GTGTAGAATGTGAGCCGGGGATCATTCAGCCCCGGGCCCCGCATTTTCGTATACCAGATTATCTCCATGTTCCTTGTAGAATTACAAGGGGGACGTGTGGAGCAGCTCGCCTAGACGTCTAGATCGTGAGATGGCAATCCACTGGGCGATCCCATCAGGCGATCTAGGCTCACACCCTGGACACGAGATTGATGCTGCGTGGTGATCCGTGGTGGTAAATCGAGTTTCTTTTGCTTGCAGCAACTGCAAGGGCAAGGGCATGAAACACCATCATCTATCACCACATGCAGCCTCTCGTATTTTTTTGATTTCGCTGACATGAGACTGCCCACTTTGACGCAAACTTGAGGGACTTTGCAAGTGATTATAATCTTGGAAATGTAGGATTTCACCAAGTAGACCTGCGCCTTGACCCTTCACATGACATGTGATCCCAGGAAGCCAACTCCTTTTCATCGGTGAACAATAACGCAGAGCCTAGTGCTGCCATTGGGAACTTTTCAAGCGTAGTCAATTGTAATTACATGTTCCTGGCTGTCCATGGCGGATAACACGGCATGCGTTTATAGGTCCGTTTCCGTTTCATCAAACTGCACATCGTGACAAACAAAGTCTGAAGACATGTGAGACATTTACCTAATTCATCTGAGTCAGCACCCCGCCATAAAAAGATCTAGAGCTTAGAGATTCTTGCCCTCTAACTCCAAGTAATTATAACTAGGTAAGTAAGGTACCGGTTATAGAAGTTGAGCTGCCTGCTGTCACCGTCCGGTATGTTTGCAAGTAGGTATCATCAGTTGATTCTACTGATACCAGTGAAAGGGATATCCCGGGCATCAATTGACAGAGAGTTTTCAGCGAGTGATTCACGAACGTCCAAAATAGAAAGAGGCTGAAACCAAATACAGGGATATCACATGTCGGCGGGAGCAGCCGCAGAACGCATGTCAAGGTCGTGTGCTCGTCCCCGCAAATTCATTTAAAATTAATCGACTCAAGTTGAAACATGGAGTGGAACCATCCATCAACCATCAACGCGTGACGACGGGCCCAAATTCTCAACTTAATATGGAACAAGGGCCCGTAAATGCAGGCATCGCCCCAGGAGTTACTCGCTCAATCTGGTTAATTAGTTGAAACAAATTTAAATTTTCAGATGTTTCTGTACAGGAGCAGATCCTTCGATCAGGCATCTGGCACATGCTCATAAACAGACCCTCGGCTGTAACCTGAGTCGTCGACATGGACTAGGATTGATAGTAGCTAGACGAGAGTTGCTTAATGAGAGTTGCGGGAATAGCCGATTCAACTTTGGCCTTGTCGATCAAGTCTTCGAGTATCATTTGCGGCATACAGAAACCTATATTACCGCTGATGTGTTATTCAGAACTTCACTTACCCTCCAGCCCATCGCCCCTTCATCTTCCGGCTCCCGCTCCCTCCCTCGTTAGACACCTTCACTTTTCATCTTTTACCATTCATTGCTTCCCAACTACAAACACTCTTTCACGATGCCTGCACCGTGGAAGCTTGGCTTCCTGGCGCTTTCACTGCTGTCGCCTCTGTGTGCTACAGTTGAGAGCACCATTGTCAATCCTTACCCAGAGGTTCCTGATGTCTCAATCCAGACTACCACCTCGAGAGCGGCTTGCAGACCTCGTGGCTTAGACCACACTACACTCCCTATCCCGACCACCTCGTCTGTTGTGACTGGCATCCCAGAAGAAACTCCGGGTGAGGAATCAACAGACTCCGCTGCTTCAGCTGAGACTTCAGCTGTTCCTGAGAACCCAGACAAGACCACTGGGGCTTCTTCTAGCCACAGAGGTCCTCCAGGTGCTGGAAACGCGGAGGAAACCTCAGCTGAAGCCTCCTTTGACTCTTCTGCTGCCGCTGAGCAGACCTCAATTCCTCCTGAAGACGCAGAGGGCACGGGAACAGAGACTGCCAATCCTGCAGACAGTACCGCGGTGGAGTCTTTCGAATCCTCGGCGGCTTCTGAGGAGACAATGGTTGCCCCCCCTGAGCCTGGAGAGACGACAGAAGATGCCTCTAATGGGACAAACACTGAAGGCCCTGAAACCCCAGTCGAAACCTCCCAGCCCGTGTCTTTCGAGTCTGGCTCGGATCCTGTTGCCACCTCGGCTGAATCTCAGGAACCAGGCGAGACTGATACGGCAACTGATAGTCCCCCTGACACATCAGTTCCAACTGGAAACGCAGAAGACACTGCTACGAGCCCAGAGGTTCCTAGCACCACATCCGAAGAAGCATCTTTTGGTTCTTCTGCGGCCCCAGTAGAAACCTCGGCAGGCACTGAGGAACCGGGTGAGACTTCGGTCAACACGGAAAATCCTGAAAATACAGAGACACAGGACCCAAGCGACCCGACTGATACCGTGGTAAACCCCGAAAACCCCACAGACACGGCAGCAAGTACTCAAGACCCGACTGAGACTGGAGTCGAGACTGAGATCCCGACAGACACTGGTCTAAACTCCCAGGACCCCACCGACACCAACTTAGCTACTGAGCAGCCACCAGAGACTTCAGAAGCAACTGCCGAGCCACCAAACACCTCAGAGGCCACTGACAACCCCGTGGAAACCTCAGCAGCCACCGAGGAGCCGACGGAGACCCCACAGCCCACCGAAGAGCCGACTATCACATCGGAGGCTACCCAAGATCCTCCAGAGACACCCGGCGATCAAACCACTTCTTATGAGCCAGAGACCACCCAAGACATTCCAGACACGACAGCGGGAGAGCCAGAGACTTCACCAGTTACTGAGGTTCCGGAAAAGACGACAAGACCTCCCAAGGAATCGTCAGATGACTGGCAAGTCCCTACGCTCACTCCTGAACCTACAGAACCTGCGGAAACCGAAACCGCTGTAACAGGCACTGATGGCGTTGTCGTCACGTACACGGCGACAAAGGATCCCAAAGAAACTGACCTTACCGAGAAAAAGACAACTACTGATGATGATGGCTTCGTTATTATCATCTGGCCTGGAGGCTGGAAATGGGTCCCCAAAGGAGGCCATGGTCCCACAAACCGTCCCCCAGCTCCAACAAAGGAGCCGAAACACAATGACGACGACGACGACGACGATGATGATGATGATGATAAGCCTTCTTCTGCAACGCCGACGCCAACGTCATATGATTCTACTACCACTCCGACGGAAACCTCATACGATTCTTCTACCACTTCGGTGGAAACCTCATACGATTCTTCTACCACTTCGGTGGAAACCTCATATGACTCTTCTACCACTCCGACGGAAACATCAACTGGATGCTCTGCTACAGAGGCGCCCGAGTGCACCATTACTATTTCATATACCTGGATGGGAGACGATTACTCTTCAACTACGCTTGGGGAATGTCCAGCAACGTCTGGCTGCGTTACAGGCGAGCAGAGCACCACAACTACCTATGTCGCTGAGACCCTGCCAGTGGATGAGGAGTTTGAGCCTCCTGAGGAAATTGATGATTCCAACGATTCTGAGGACGCCGATGAGGAAACTAATGATTGGTTTGAAGACTGGTTTGATGAAAACGGTTTCGGTCTTGGATCGAATGTCCTTTCCCCTGAGTGTGATGGCGAGCGAATTGGGGTTGATTATGAATGTTTCCTGGGGCTCTTCCCAACCTTCTGCACCGAGGTGAACGAGAACCCGAAGGAAGAGCTCTCCCGGGACTTGACGAGCAGTGATAAGTTCGGAGGTGAAGAGAAGCGTGGCCTGCTTTCCTCGTGGCTAACCAGACGAGAAGAAAAGTGCGAGGGCTATACCTATACCTTCGAGTGGTCGGGAGAGGACGGCGATAACGAGTGTGACGATACCTGTCTCGGCGCTTTCGGTCAAATCGCTGCTATGTGCGCAGTTCCCGGAGATGATGGCATCTACGCCGAGGGTCAAGTTGACGTGGGATGCGGCAAATACAACTACAAGGTCTCAGAGAACTCGATGCCAACCACGACTCAGACAGAAGAGGAGCCAACCCAGACGACTACGCCTCTAGAATCTCAGGCCCCGGTCTGCAATGACGTGGCGGATTTCAAAGGTCACGCCGACATTTCGTGGGAAAAGGTCCAGGACACTGCCCTGAAGGTTTGTGCAAGACACCCGCTTGACGGGGGTGAGTACACAGACGATGAGTCCAAGAAGCTGGGCATATGGGATGAAATCGAAAAGAAGGGCGGCGTACAGTTTAGATACTCGATTTACTGGATCGAGGGCTGTATCCTCGAAGGCGACAACACACAGAGTCCATACCAGCCCATGGGACTGGGGAACGGTCATCCATGCGTTACGACCTTTATGGACATGTGGTACGGCTGTAAGTTGCTCCCCAACCTTGAACGCCTGTTTACGGATTTCGTCGATACTGACCATTAATAGGTAACAACAACGAGGGGGTGGGAGGTTACATGGATGTTGGCTGTATTAGATATAGAGTTGATGCTGGAGTATAAGCGACGCCGAGATGTGCAGCCGGCGAGGATTGGAAATTTGGTGATCGAGACCAGAGCCGCAAGTCAAGGACAATGCTCTTCTAGACTACCTACCTAGTATACAACGTCATTTCAAGTTCTGACTGTCCCTCAACGTAGGGGTTGTTACTTGAAGTAACATTGTTTAGCCTGTGAAATAGTTCTTTTATACTGGCTCTTTTGGCATTGGTGGAACTAAGCTGTTTTAGCTATTTAGCCATCGTACTATTAATAGCGTTCTAATATAATTCCATATACTAAAAAAAAAGAAAGGGCAGATAGTTTATAAAAGCTTAGATAGTGTCCTTAAAAGAATAACCGGTAAATTAATAGCCTAGCCCTTAATAAGTTTATTAAGCTTAAAGATCAAAAGGTATTTTTATACCAGGTAGGTAATATTAGAATAAGCGGACTATTTACTCTCGGACTTACAGTTCCTGATCTCTTCTAGATAACGCCGCTCATACCAGAACAATCCTCGATAATTCCGAAATACTCCCTACATCGTTCCGGACGACGGTGGCGGCATCCATCCCATCGGGTCAATCTGCCCAAGATCCTCCTCCAGTAAGCCAAACATGCTTCGGCTACCCAGAAACCAATCTTCCATTTGCGTCGTTGGACCACTTCCAAGACCAGGTGGCATAAGAACACCGCCTGTAGTGGGTGGGACGGCTTGGGGCATGGACTGACCCTCCATCGGCATGAAACCTAGCTGACTGAGATACGCATCCAACTGGTTTCCCATCGGGACATCGTTCTGGTCATCCCGACGCTGTGACTTGGCCTCCACGTATACCATGGCCACGTCCCGGAAGACCTGAAAGATTCGACACAGCTTCTCGGCTGTCTCTGACGCGTCGCGTAGGAGATCTAGTGATGCTACGAATTCTTGAAGCATACCAAGGTCATCTCCAGATAGTGTCTCCACAATGTGACAGAACAGGACAAAGAAGGGCGCAAAGGGAGCCAACATCAGATTTCTAGTTGTTTTGGGTCAGTTTATTCTTCCAGAGGGGCACAACAAGTTGAATCTCACCTGTGAACATATATCGCCTTCATATAAGCCCCATACTTCAACGAGGCGACGGTTTCTTTGTGCCTTCTCATGGTTTGGCGTGCAGTTTCCAAACACTCGTTGGAAAATCTGCTAGGAGAGCCGGGAGGAGCTGGAATAGCTCGGTAGACAAGTGTCAGCGTTGCGAGAAATTGGACTTCATCACCTTGGACAAAGACATCAACAAGCTCCGACGAGTTGATCCGCTTTAGGTAAGCAAACGCCTCCTCTTGGACCTTCTTTCCCTCTGCGCCAAGTCTTCTGCACTCAACAGCTAGTTCCTCTGCGCGACGACCCAGTTCTGAGGGGTGAACGGCCAGGGCAGCTGGGCTGTACCTGTAGCCGGCATTAGCTGTTGCTCTCCCATCACGAGAGGAGGAAGGCACCTACAGTTGTGTGTATATATGACCCTGGAGAGTAGCCCTCTCGAGCCAAAACCTTGGCACGGTTGGCTTTTCAAGAAGAGGGAATCCAGAGAAATCGAACTCGCGGGGAATAGTTATGTCGCGATCGTCGATGACGGAAGCGCGGCCCATTCGCAGACTCAGCCCCCGGTCCCAGCAGTACACCTGCCAAAAGATGATGCCTTTGATTTGCTTTGTTCGAGCTGACTCGGTACCGGCAACATCGGCGCGGTGAAAGCCGCCAGTTTGGCAGAGCTGGGCAGCAATGGAATTGAGATGCCAGGCGACAGAGGGGCGCGTGACGTCGATGGCATATTGGGTCTGGTAACCGGTTAGTCTACCTACATATCATCATGACTGTAAGTAACAAAGGAGGAAAACTAACTCCCAGTAGGAGAGCCTGGACATTCTCGATCCTGGCGGACAGAAACATGGGTAGGTTGGCTAGGTAGGTCTCCAGATTGGCTCGGGCCATCTTGGCGTACCCCTGATACTTGTCTCGCTTTTCGACATCATCCGATAGACAGCACTCTTCCATGAAAAGGTCATATAGGCCTGCGTTGACGATGGCGAATACAGCCTGAGGAAAGTCCTCTGTGGGGAAGTATATCATCCGGCACAGGCTAGAAAAGTCCTCAACGCCGACGAGGGTCATTCCGAATGCGAAGAAGCTCGCTGTTCCGCCTGTTTCCATGTGAATCGCAGTTCTATCACTTTATGAATGGCCTTGGAGGCTGCCTACTATTAAGTGCTTTGAGCAGTGGAACCACGACTTCTATCGGCGGCATGGGTAACTTGGATAACCCGCCCGGAGGGAGTGGTAGTTGGCGCGGGAACCTAGGTCCCGTGCTGATGGAGCGGCTCCCCTGGAGCTGTACAAGTTGACGGAGATTGGTAACGGCTGCATCTACGCTAGGGTGGGCGTCGTGGAGAGATGTGCGGTGTACAGCATGGGCGAGGAACTCGCTTGCAATGGCGGTTTGGGAGATGAGGCCCGAGTCGCCACCGTCTGCTGTCTCTTCATCGCCCGAGTCAAAGTCTCCCATTGAGGTGACGGTGCCACTGTCCGGGACGTCCGGGGAGGGAACATAAACTTGCTGCCGTGCCGGCTCACCCGGGCCAACATCTCTAGCGACGAGAGTCTTGAGTAGGTGCTCTATGTTGGCGAGTCGGGACTCGAGCTGATCAATCTTTCGTTCACTGTGGTGGTCAGAACGGCTATACTACCTCGTTGATTCGAGGCGGTCGTGAGTAGGCGAGCACGTACTACTGAGATGAGATGAGAACACGTTGACGGGCTTCCTTTGGCCGTTGGCCAATGCCCGTTGACGTACAAGCTCGGTTGGCTACGCGACAATTGGAACAAGGCCAGTCTTTATCGCATCGGACCTACATAGCCGACGATGAGAAGTGCGGTTAGCCATGCGCCGTGTTGGTCGCCATTACTCAGATATCCAATCTCAGCCTCACCTTGCGCATACGGCACTGGTCGCACTATCCAGGCCAAGTTAGCCGCACCCTGCTCCGCGTCCCCGATGGTAGATACGCACAGCTCTTTTGTTGGGGTCGTCAATACCCCCGGGTGCTGAGCCGCCGGGCATACCCGCGCCCACATTCTGGGGGCTGCTCTGCATCTGTATAAAACCCAAGCGACGGTTAACTTAGGTAACGCAATTGATGAAACGGACTGAGCAAGTCTGTCGTGGATCGACGATGCGTCTGGTTCTGGGGCGCGGCATTTACCCAAGTGGAGACCACGGTAGACAGATGCAAGCTAACACAAATTGGGCAACATCTGCCGAATCGCCAGCGGAATTTGTATTAACAGAGGGAGAAGGTATTTCTCAAGATGAGGTTGGGAGCGTCTTTATCAATGAATCTCTCTAATTGAATCATTTGCCGACTCGTGGCCTTTTAGCACGTCTTACGGAGCGCCGGACTTGTTATCTTTCGCCTCTCCGTGTTCACGTGATCTGACCGCGTATCCCTTGCTCGCTGTGGATTCTTTTCGTAGCTCCTATTCGCTGAGCCGCAAATTAACGCGGCGGAAGGTTTAGCCTGCCAAGGAGCTTTTGCGACCACACCACGTATGAGATGTCGAGGCTCTGAGTGCTGCCTGATCTGCCACCCTATAGTTATGGGAAAATGGACAACATTTGGCCTCATATCTACATGCCTGACAACCTCCTGAGCAAGATTAGTCTCCGTAGAGTAAGTAAAAGCTCGTAGAAGAAAAGTTCTCCCTTTATTACAGATATATATACTCACATAAGGTCAAAGTAGTTTCTCTTGTCAATTTAAAGCAGATTTAGGTAAATTATGGCACAATGCCGTCCTAGCTATTCCACGATTTATCAAGAACAATATTGCTTTCACTTTTCTCAGAGAATATTCACTACAGCTATTTTAAGATCGACGTTCAAATTGTTGAAAGATATTTTATTTGGTCGAGCCTGCGGTTTACCGCTTTGCATTAAGGTATTACGGGACGGAGAGCAGAGATTATAGGGCTTGAGCAATGAGATTACAAGTCAAGGACATTGAGATGGAAAGAAACAGCTCGTATCAAGATAGAAAACGGTAGGCGGCCTCATCCCTGATCTATCTGCATGCCCATTCTATCTTGCTTTCTGTCACACTGTATGTAGCCCGTTGCCGATATATGCACCTGCAAAAAGCCCCTGGTTGAACCGAAGGACCTTCAAGTGCGCAAAGCTATAAAATAGCCCAGAATGTCAAAAACCAACCCGACAACAGTAGCGGTGGTTTGTATGGCCGTCGTGATAAGGACAAACCACAAAAGACCAAGTTTCTCGTTATGCCGTAACGACTCGAGCATGTTTATCGGACCTGAAGGCGAGTAAAAATCTTCTGCAGGTGGTGTTAACACTTATTAGCTAAGGTCAAGTTATGCTGACATACCGTTGAAAAGTTGTTGCGTGGAGTAGCGAAAGAGCAGTTGGTGCTGGGAAGTGTGAAGATGACTTGAAGATGAACAGATGGAAAGAAAACAATCATATTTAAATGGCCCATCCTATGAATCTACTGTGATCTCGGTGCATCTAATCTCAGGTTTGAATCCAGCATCGGATTTCCTCTGTACTGGCTGCAGGATATGTGCGGTAAACTCCCATTGGTTCCTCTTTGCTTTGAGCGCTGGGCTCACTCACTGTCACCAATGGGAGTTTTGCGCAGTTCTTCTCCGATGGGATTAATTTGCCACATGCTGCAAGTGTCTTTGGTCGGCCAGCGGGGGACAAAAAACACCGAACTCGCAGATACAGTCCTATGGTTGGGCCAGGTTCGGTGTTTTTTGTCCCCCGCTAGATCGGGCACCTCCCTGTCTCAGTCGCAATCCGTCCATCCCTGCATGTGGCTTAAAACCAGGCTGTGTCGTCTACTGTGCAGTACCTTTGCCGATGGCAAAGGGGTGGTGCGTGATTTAGGGCTTGCGAAAATAAACTAAAAGACCCTTATTTGCGCGCCCATTGAGCTTGTCCAGAAACAATCCTGTCCCCAAGGGTTGATATTATTCCGTGTTAATAGCAGCTGGGAGGCATTGTTTCAACGTGTCAGGGGGTTGAAAATAACAATTGCAAGCCATGCAAGCTGTCGATCACCAAAGCAGGGGAAGCCAAGTGCGCGGCAACATAATTGGCCAGTTAGCCAGGGCCTTCCACGAATCATTCCTCGCCGCACTTGACTGCGCTGCTCACGGGCGTGCGGGAGCGGATGTCGCCACGTCATTCCGACTGTCATCGATGCGGAGGAAACTCATTGGTCGTTGCAGTGGAGGTTGAAAATCAGGGGTGCAAAATGCCACCCCTGTGTTCCTAATTTATAAGCCTGGGCTTCCCCAGTGTCGTTTCATCGCCATTGTTCTTGAACACCAAATCTGATCGGGCTGCCATTCGGCGGGGGGTTGTCATGGCTCCCCAATGCCCGCGGACCTTTCAGCGGATACGTGCAAGGTCACCCGCTGAATTGTCTCAATACAAACGACTGAGCCGATGCCCGCGAAAGCTTGCAACGAAGAAATGCGACACCTGTCGGCAAGCCAAGCAAAAGGTTTGTTCTATCAAGACACCGAGGAGTACATGCTCATCAGTCGTATACAACAGTGTGTACCGGACAGACATGGGTGTCAGAGATGCTCTGAGAGAAAGTTAGGTTGCCCAGGCCTGACAAAAGCGAAGCGCACCAAGTCCCGATCACCCGTCTTGATTGAGCCCTCGCCGTTCTCGACCGCTACGACTTCTTCTGTTGCCGGAACACCCCTCGAAGCTCCATCATCTGCCCCTGGCGACCTGCCGGCCCCAGAAACAGCATTCAATCTGCAACCGGGTTATCAATGGAGCAGCATTTGGGGTCCGGTGACTCCAGAATGGACCCAGGGCTTCCCTTCAGACAGGCATGGATCGCCCTGGATGTTCATACCCGAGGCTATCCCAGGAACATCAACACGCGAGCCGTCTGTTCGGGGACCAGACAGTGGAGGACCCGATGCTTGGGATGAGCTTCAAGGTCTTGAGATTGGGCTGGACTTTCTGGATGAGTTAGAAGACGAAGGTAAGCTATCAATATGGATTACCATCCTTGGATAAGTAAGCATAAGCTAACTTACCTTTCAGATGAAGCCATCAACGATGGCGAGAAGACCATCGGCGCTGAGGAGGAAGTATTGATCCCGGTTGTCATTAGGCAGGCCCTGGATGATCTCCGGGCCCGCGCGACTGAAAGCGACAACGAGGAAACCATCGACGATAACGAGAAGGTCATCAGCGCTGATAAGAAGGCCTGGAATCTAGTCAACAAATTGCAATTTTGGGAGAGTCTCCGGGCTTGCGGCGCTACGTACGAACCGATGACGCGCTTTTTCACCATCTACCTGCTTGGATTACAACCAACCACATGGGGCAATGTGGATTGCCCAGTGTGCATGTGGAGTTTCACCAGCGAGTTCGATCTTGATTATGCCTGGGACCATTTTCGAAGCTGCTGGTCTACGCATGCAATGGGGCTCAAAGGATCAAATTATCGGGAATCCACCCATTGTCTCCTCTCGGAACTCCCCATCGTGGCTCGTTGTGCCCCCCTCTTGGATCGTTGTGAGCGAAATCTCCCCGCGTGGGAAGGGTTGAAGAAAATTGAGCCACCTGAAATCATCGACAAACTGCGAACACAATGTTCAGACAGGCGTGAGCACAGGCGTGAGCAATTTCGGATTGCTGCACAGGCGCAACTTCCGAGTCCTATCGTCTTCCTTACACAGCTGAGGCCATTTTGTGATGGTCAACTGACCTGCATTGGTCCAAAGTGTAAGGGGACTCGATTTTTTGATGCATCTTGGGATCACCTCAAGTCGCACTATGAAGGCTATCATGCAGATTACCTTCTGCAAGATGAAGACATCAGAGGCGTGGTGAATATCGATATTCACCTTGCCCGCCAGAAAAGAGACTTCAAACGGCTGTTCGCCAAAGCCCAAATTTGCCGTGAAGAATGGGCTTCAATGGACGACGACAAAAGGAAGACGGAATATCTACATTGCACGTATTCCCTAGAGTGTGAGTGCTCAGCGCATCGCCGACTGCCGACGATGCCACAATTCAACGTCCTCAAGGACCTGAATGGCGCTTTCAGGTCGCGATATCAGCAATTTTGCCAACATGCAGCAAAGTCTGATTCTAAAGATATGACTGCATTCATGGGGGAACTACGGCTGAAGTGTCCGAGACCCAGAGACCTACGCCGGCTGGGAACTCGGATATTCAAGCAGGTCATACAGGGAACTTCTCCAACCACCTTATTGGAGATATTCGCATTCATTAGTCTGTCCCAAGCCATGGCTAATGTTATGAGTCGTCGTAACATTCACATTGACTTGAATCCTGGAACAATCGATTACCTTTCCTGGAGGACTCTCATTGAAGACGAGGCGAGCCAGCGTCTCTATGATGAAATACTGATTGCGTGGTTTCATCCTCGCTGGAAGGACGAGCTCCATTGTATGTCTCTCAGCCTTTCGTGAGAAACTAATTGGCAGAAGCTGAACATTCCCTAGATGACCGGAGCCACCAAACCCCTCTTTCGGTGCAGGAAGAGATGAAGAGATTTGTTCTCCAACTGATGAAGGCCAAACAAACCAATGGGGCGTTCAAGTTTTCGGCATTCCTAAGGCTCAACCCCTTCTCCCAGAAACAAGCACCTCAAGAGTCGAGTTTTGCATTGCTGGATGGCGATTGCGAGCCCTCCGATTCTCCGGCCGACACTCACCCGAACAAAGAAGAGAATGATGATCCAGGAGGGAGCGATACTGAGGCGCTGATAAATACCGTCATATTCGTCCGAGTCTGGCTGTTCATGATATGTGAGTTGATGGCCTCTCCACCTGGGTACGGTATGCATGCTAACTCCTCATAGTCATCGCTGCACTTGGCGTCGCGCTATTGTACTTGAGTAATCCAGAACAACGCTGCCACATACGCAGCGCAGCGGATGAAGAACACGTGGTGTCTGTCTATGATATCGTGCTGGTGATTGAGACGCTCAAGAACAGGATTCTAAACCACCTTCGCCAAGACCGTGAGACCCCAATACCGGACGAAATTGTCACAACCGCAGAGGAGGCGTTGGACGGAGGGTATATTTGGTCCGTGACGGATTTCCACATTCATTTGCAAAAGGCGGTGCTGGTAAGTGTACATACTCGTTTTCTCGCATTACACCCATCAATTGCTTAGAGTCCGCTGACCGAGTCTTGTTCTGGTAGAACCATGTCGAGGAACCTGGCCTACGCTCCCTGCTGGGCACCGAGATAACAACGTTGTGCAGGGACGCTTTCAACTCGATCCAGTCAATCTGTGAGAATCATGGTGGTGAATGTATGTTTGCGACAGTTCCAGGGTGGTCTCCTAGCATTTTCCCGAGTCACGTTGGGGTGTAGGGTTAAATTCTGTTTCGCCTGCCTGCATTTCCTTCCTTTCATCTCTACTCAATAGATCATACGTCTTTTCCGACATTAGATTTTGATTTAGACATATACTGATAACTGTGTTTTTTGTTCTGGTGACTGATGACTTTCCTTGGATCGTTACTGAGTTCACTACGTGAATGTTCATAGCTACAGCGCTGTAGATTGCAGAATACTGGGAATTTCATCTTAAATTTCCAGGTTCAACACTAGAAGGACTAAAGATCAAGAATCCCCTGAATTACCTCCACAATGTCATCAAATGGTTTTGGAGTTGCGCCTCTGAAGCCGACCGCATATCTGAAGAGACTGCAGTTAAACTAAGCAAACCTAGCTGGCAACACCCACAAAGTCTCTTCCCCAGTTTCCATCTGTGACACCACTTCCATGCCATCCAAATCTCCACCAAGCCCCAACTCGTCAATCTCGTCTTCATCCGACTCGTCAGAGTCAGATTCCTCCCCAACCAACTGGGCTCCCTTCGTGAAGAGTTTGGACTGCAGGGGGCCTTTGTCACGGCGCTGACGTGAAAGCCATCGACGTTTGAAGACAAGCTTCTCAACCCTGATTCCGTAGATGAAGTCGTCAGATGTTGTCCAATCCTCGGAGGATTGGTCTTGGCTTTGGAAGCCAACCCGAGGGCCGACGTTCACTGGAAGCCCAGTCACTTCTGAGACACCTGCCTCCCCAAGAGCGGCAAAACTTTTCGAAGTGCTTATCTGGACAGACGGCTGGACAGCAACCTTGAGCCCCGTCACAAGATATACCGGTTCCCAGCCCGTAGCCTCAACGTACTCTGCTACATCAAGCTCCTTCATGCTGGCGCGACGGTAGGCTGGCGAGGGAGAGAAGTAAAAAGTGTCCAGACGGCGGAATTTGTACTTGCACTCTGTGCTTGTCTCCCGTGACCCGCTCAACTCGCCACCGAGACCCTCGAAGCCGACTGCTTTGGCCCATATGCCCAACTCTCCTCTCCTCATATGGGACGCCGTTGCTTGAAACCCCTGCTGAACATGAGAGAAGACCTTTGCTTCATCAATAGGTATGCGGCAGTCTGAGTTGAGGACCTCTACATCTCGGAGGTTGGTGAGGATGCTGCCGAGCTGGATAGGGCCGCGTGGTGCAGGCCCGATGGAGAAGTTGGGAGGAAGATGGTACGTCTGAATAAGACTCTGATTGGCGGGAGTAGACATAGTTGCAGATCTCTGGTGCTGGGTGTGGAATGTGAGTTTGGAGACAGTACCAGGTATGAAGATCAGCAGACTTTGTTGAAAGGAGAAGACAATTCGGCTAAAGGGAACGGAAGCAAAGCCAAGAAGAGGTGGCCTGATTGAAACTGCGGCTGAAAAGCCACGTCAGTGGCAAGGGAGAGGATGACATAAACGCGTTGCTATTTTCAACCCAACAACCAGGCTGGCAGACAAAAGCTGGACTTTGGGCCTCAATGGCCACGCCCGGTCCGGCTTGGGCTCATTTGCTTATCGTAATACTTAGGTAACCAAGTCTTGGAACATCAGGACAACTTGCTAATTCTTCCCACACATAAAACCACAACCACCCCAGTCTTTCCCAGTTTTCTGTGTTCAAGTTGACTGTCTAAAACTATATGAATACGCATGTATTTTACCAACTTTCCAAATTCCAGAATAAATGGCATCTATCCCTATCAACGTGACTTAAGTGCGCCCCGGATATCGCGCCAGATGTCTTTCTCGTCTCGTCCATCAAACAGTGCCCATGGCATCACATATCGGTACCCGCCCCTTTCCTCGCTCATACTTCTCAGCACACAGGACATGCCACACGATGAGAAGAGCCACCACTTCTCCTCATCCCGTAACTTCGGATCTCGCCTCGCAAAATCCAGGATATTGGCTGTGATACCTGCACCAATGGCCGTGGCGTAGGAAGTCCCTGAGATGTAGACTTCGGACCTCCTTTTGTCTTTGCCTTTGCCTTTGAAACTTGACTTGATGGACATTCCGAGCGTGGAAAAATCTTTACCCTTTCGTGCAGTCGGGTTTGTTTTGCTGGGGTTACCATACCCATCGGTTGAATGGACGCAGATGATGTCTTCGTAGCACGCTGGGAATCCAATATGGCGATTGCCGCCCCAGTTAGATGCTGCCGCAATCACTATCACATTCTTAGTGATATGGCGAGGTGGGTTGAGCACTTTGTCGAGGGTCGCTCTTATTGTCTCATCCTCACCATCCATCGCGAAAGATAGGGAGATGATGTCGACTTCCCATACTCCGGTCGCCCATTCTATAGCCTTTAGTTTTCAGTCAGCTCCTCTGCTCAGACCACTACAAGTACTCATACCTGTCTAATCCTGCCAGAAACCTTCGAGTCGAGTTTCTTCCTCTCGGTCACCTTAGCAACGTAGACCTTGACAGCCGGGGCAGCTTCTAGTATCAACCGAGTGACGTGAGTTCCATGGCCACAGTCATCAGCACACGCATCAGGTTGATCACTCGTCCAATTCCTTTTATCCCCAATCTGGCAGCTTCGGGCACGGATCACAGGGTCATCCAAGTCAACGCCGCTATCAATGATAGCAACCTTGATCGGATCTATCTCGTTAGCCGCCGAGTCTTTGAGTGGCTTAATACGCCTATTAAAGCCCTGGCTGAGTTTTCGCAGGTACTCTTTGGCTCTGACTCGATCGGACTGGTCGGCTTCTCCCTGATCATCGTACAGAGATGGTCCCCCTTCACCCTCCTCGGTGTGTTCTGTGAACTCTTCTTCTACCGCCGTGCATTCGCCAGAGTTACTGGCCGATAAGCCTGGGTCATGGCCGCCCGCCTGACCCGGGGCTCTAGGCGCATCTGGAGACTGGGGCAGCACAGCCAGCTTCTTGGTAGGGGGCTCGTCAAGGACTGGGTCTTGGTTCTTTCGTTTCCTTTGCCCGTGAATTTTCCGTTCCCAACTCGCCAGTACCTCCAGTTTCCGAACCACATTTTCGTAGATGGTCTTTCTCACGAACCGACTGGTAGCTACGAGGTCCGAACGGCTCTTGCAGTCTCGCAGAGTTGCCCGAAGCCGTAGACAACTTTCCACAACCTCCAAGTATTTGAAAGCGAATGACCCCCTACTTTGATCCTGAAGCAAGTTTTCAACGACATCTCCAAGATCCAGCCAATTCCAGAGCTTTTCCTCGCCAGTTGGGATTCTCTGTATGCTTATCGCTTTCCCGTCAAAGATTTCGAGGAGAAGCTTGGCAAATGACAATACAACTGGATTGTCACTGTCAAACATTTTGTTGATGTCGTCATTGTCAAGCATCTTGTTGATGTCGGCGCTGCGAGCCTGGTCAAGCTTTGGGCGAAGCGAGACATACAGAAGACGTTGCATTCCTTCCCTGTTGCTGTCAGAAGACTCCCTGAAGTGGACGTTTTCGGCGGTCCAGCTGTGTGAGGCCAGTTCAAGTCCCTTGTCAAAGAAGTCCATGAGACATCTAGATAGCCCCAGTGCCACCTGAGCCTTTGTTGCGGAATTGACCTTCCTTGCTGCAGTATTATTGAACCATGCCTGCGTGTCGATGGGCCCAAAGACATCTTGCCTGAGCAGCTCACTAAGCGAGATCCCGTCAAAGCTGTCACGGCGCAGAGGGGCTGGTTTAACACTGTCTGTCACGTCAATCACGCCTCGGTGATCAACCAAAAGATGCAGCTTCTTTCTGTCCTTCATTGCCTGCTTGATTCCCTCACACATACACTTCTCTTTGCCAGAGATTTTGGCGCTGGATTGGCCTGATCAGTCAACAGCTCGCTACCTGAGACCACAAGAAGACACTCACTCAAAGTCGCCACATTGAGACTCCTGCCAGATAAGATTGCTTGTAGGACAACGAGATATGAACATATCCAGTTTAGGCGGGTTGTCTGGACGCGTTGCGGGTAGATCATTCGAAACCTGTAAAAGAATCTCGTGCCTCCTCTCCTTAACGCAGCTCAGCCGTCGAAACTCATCGGTGATAACCTTGACTATACTGCCCACGTGCTCTCCGCGGCGCTCATTCCATTCGTAATTTTCTGTTGATTCTTCTGTTGCTTCTGAGGGATAAAAAGACAAATCTTCAAACGTTGGGGAACCGCCGGGTAGTGTTTTCAAGATCTCGTGCCATCTTCTCAGGCAACCTATGGCCAAGTCCCCAGTATCCCCTGGAGGAAGAGTGAATAGAGGATATTTTCCTGTCCCAAGGCTAAGCTCCCGTTGGTCACCAAGGGTGGATGGTGAGACCAGAAAGCTCGTCAGGTGATGAAGTTGTTCGAAGCCGGCACCAAGTCTGGCCATTCTTCCAACGCTTGATCTCAGCTCCGCTAAGTGGTTGTCTTCAGCGTGGGTTGTTCCGGGCACGTCATGAATGTCTATCGGAGGCCGCTCGGTCGTGATGAGCTGCAAGTTGACTATGGAGTTCAACGAGCGAAGGAGGTTCAGTGCTGTGTCGTCCATCCTCTTGAAAGCCTCTTGTGTGAGGTCAGTTACAGAGTAGTTTGCTCTGATAATAGGGCCGAGGTATATTTCGATTATAGAGGCATCGTTATCGCGTTTCCCAGGTCTGTGATCAGGCATTCCGGGTCTCGAGTACTGCCCAAGCCTACCCGAGACACACGCCCCGAGGTCCTTGAGGCCATTCCATCCAGGTGACTCCGTGACAGAAACGAGCGAGGGGCCTCTAAGAAACTCTTCCATAGCCATTCTAGGGGCGTTCAAAGATACAGTTTGGTCGGGGTTTTGGATGGAAAAGAGAGGGAAACACAAATCAGGCTGGCGCCTGACAACCAATATTTCTCCTTGGCATCCTCCTGCATGCACCTATAGGCTTTCAGATCTGATCGGAAAATGAGCTTCTCCGAGTTACGCCTTCGGCTGAACTCACATTCCGGCCGTGTGGCTGACATGCACAACGGTTGTTGGGCCTCGTTCTTGGGCATTTTGGCAGAATCATGTCACGTTGTTGAGCATCCCCCCAAGGAATGACGGAGCTATCCTAGCACCCTCCTCTGGCAATCTACTCCAATATTGACAAGTCTTCGCTATGACTACATATTTGAAAGCGATGGATGAGCCAATTTACGATGCTCCGATTTACGATGCTGCCATGGAATGCGAGGGGCTCTTCAAGAAACAGGTTGCGCGATTCGACCAGGCCAACGACGCGAATGGAGCAGCCCTGATTGGGGAGCTCAGCCACCAATTCTCTATATGGGCAAATTCCATGAGGGTTCTTGATGATGGAGACTTCAGCCTTGACCGAAAGGTCCAGGGCCATACTCTGGTCCAGGAACAGATCCTGCGAGTGCTGGACCTGATGCGCGCAAACTTGGCATATGGTGAGCCCTTTGGGCCTTGCTATGTTATTTCCATCTCTTACATCACCGCTAGTTCATCTGAGAGATGCTTCTCCTGGAAGAGAAGTCACTGGGCGCTCGGATCTGGGCCAGCCTCCCCAGCTCAGCAAGGAAAACGTCGACGCCGTTTCCGAAGCTTTGAGGCTACTTCATGAAATCGAGATGGCTATTCAACATTCGTCGACAAAGAGTCACACGAGACGAGCCAGAGAGCATACTGAAGGATTTGACTTGAGCTCATTCACTCAACTGGCATCCTTGTCTCTCCAGTCACTCTACAATACAGCAAATGCAAATCTTCTCGAACAGCTGACAATATCAATGACTGACACGTACAGGCTGTTTCTCTTTCGCAAGGGAAAGCAGGAGTCTCAGAAAAAACCAGAACCGAGCCCCTCTGGACTCTTCACGATTCCAGAGGACCCAGCTGATGAGAAAATGCCGAGAGAAACGATGCCTCACCATCGTCCGGTTGCAGCACAATCTAGACCTACAACAATAGATGGTCGAGAAGTAGCTTCTATATTTGAGAAGCGCCAAAGGGCCTCGACACACCGTAATTCAGCATCTCTCCTGACCAGTCATGTCGAGTATCCGAAACCAGCTAATGGCGACAACACCTGCGAGTGGTGTTTCAAGACTCTTCCCGAAGACACGTTCGAAGGACGCAAGTGGCAGTGAGTTGGGCCCCTGAGTCTTATAGCCGCTCTGCCTAACTTGCCGCAGAGAACATGTCAATGAAGACCACAGACCGTTTGTTTGCATATCAGAGAAATGCATGGAAATATCGCCCACGCCGAGGTTCCCAACCTGGAGAAAATGGCTTAAACACATGGGCACTCATGGCATAGAGTGGCACCGTCAAGTGCATCCCTCTCAATGGAGGTGCCCTTTATGTGACGACGATAGCATCAGGTTTTTCAGTCCAGAAAGGCTCAGGCAGCATTTTGAAAGCAAACACTGCGAAGTGGCCCTCAAAGACTCACAAAAAGATACCATCCTGCGGTTGAGTCGGGCTTCTTATTCACGGCCGCGAAACGAATGCCCTCTTTGCTGCCTCACGATCGGAGACGAAAAGTCCCCCCAGAATACAAAAGGGAGTGGAGAGAACAAGAAGATTCCATCAGACCAAGCATCAATGAGCGAGAATGAGAAGAATCAATTACAGTCCCAGACAAGCCAGCAGACCTCCGTTCTGGCTATCGGCGAAAGCGACCCCAAGGTGTCCCCTTCCACAACGATCCTTGCCCCTGAGACGATTGCTCGCCATGTCGCCGAACATCTTCGAACAATCATGCTACTGACGCTCAGAATCATAGCGATCGATGGGCCTGTGGAGATTTCTCCAGACATGGAAAGTGTATCAGGGAAGACCAATGAACAAGTATCCCGAGTCGCCTCCACCCATGACGATCCAGGGGGAAATGGAGACATTTTGACACTGTCTTCACACCTCGGCGAGCTAGCTGAAGGTTATCAGCTTGAAGATCTTGAAGAAGTAGTACCGGAACTAGATGGGGTCGTCACTTGGCATGATCTCCTTGGCGAAAATGATGTCATCATGGAGGGTGGCACACTTGGGTCCCCGGTAAGTGTAGTCTTCTTTCGTGCTATTTCACTAATAATGCTAATGTTTCTCTCAAAGAACCTCGCCCAAGATGATTCCAAGGAGCCTTCTGGTGTTCCCGGAGAAGAGACAATCCCTTTGAGCTTCTTATTCATTGTCAACAAACTGATCATATTTGATCCTGAGTGGGATGAATACCATAACTCCATCCCGCCTCACGCACCCCATAAGTACATGGGTGAGATTTCAAGCAAGGTTATGCGATATTCGAACGGTCAAGTGTCTGAGGCTGTTGGATACCACTGGTATCGAGACTCAAGTCATGCTATGGGACACCTTTTTTGCCTTGATTCATCTGGTAACTACATTCCCGACAACTCGACCGACTCGTATCACATGGCCCAACAGTACGAGACATTTGCAGTTTTTGCCTGCAACCCTCTACTGCCTCTCATGGTCACGGACAGAGACCCACTAGTGCGCGAAACTCGCAACTGGCAACTCCTTCGAATCTTCCACTCACCACGTGCCCGTGGTCTCTCCCAGGTTGTGACCCTCGAGAGCGCCATGGGATATGGAGGGGCCCCGGTGCGGTATGTTGCTGGAAAAAGTCCCAGCTGGATGCCGGCCTTGATTCCTGAAACATACCAGAGCCCAAACTTGCGGGCTCCGCCTTCTCGTGGACTAGGGGGTGAACTGGGTATTGTGTTGGGTCTCATGGCACTGACTGCGGATAAGTCCACAACTAGTAATGACGCAGTGAATGAAATGTTCATAGAAAGGCAACAGTGGCACCACAATAAATGGCGAGGGCCCAAGGCTCCCAGAGGGTGTAAGTAACTTCATTTCCTTCTTTGTGGATACATCACGATGGCGAATTACTGACCATTGTTGTATAGACCCAGATACTGCTCAAGATGATCCTAACGGCTTTCTCAGCGTTGTTTTTCTTGACCCTGAAAACCCGTATTGCACTAAGGATCACCTACGCCAGTTCGAATGGCAGACAGCGATTGTTGATGAGTCATGAATAGGATAAGCTATTGCACGTGCGAGTCACATCAAATAGGACCTTGACTTCAAGCCAACCAGGAAGCACTTGAACTCCTAAGTTGCAATCTATGTGATCTTAAATGCCTCATAAAGTCTTCATCGGAAAGATGGAGCTCAGTGCTGGATTTGTGCATATGTGTTTCCTCCCATATATCTCTGTTCTAATAGTAACGATACTTCGAATGCAAATCTTTTCACCTCTGGTCACTAGGTCGGCCTTTTTTAACACTTGCCACAGGCTATACGGATATTTTGGTAGATCATGCAAAGATGCACGGCTTCCTCGGGGCGCGTCACTACGTTCATGCAATGCGTAGAGCGGTATCTATCAGTCATGCACTGACAATTAATACTAAATGTACATCTTTCACCACCCAGGGAGTATCCTTGGTTGTCGCTGTTGGCCAAGAATTGCTGAATTATTGTCCCTCCAATTAGCCACGTACGCTCATCTCACCACTTTGCAGTATCGTTTGCTAGCTTGTTTAGACTCAACTAACACCTCTCACTCAACAGCTAAGAATACACTGCCCCCCTTTTCTCTCATTCACATCTCGCTTCAATGTTCAAATCAGGTACATGAGACGCTCATGAAAGTGGGCCTCTCTGAGTCGTACTGATGCCCCTTGTCAGCCGCACATTGAGGTCAGAATAGTCGGGCTCTTCGTCGAATAATCGATAGTTGCTTGTACCACCACAGGCGATGGTGAGCTTCCACGACCTGGGAGATTGAATCGGTACCTTCTCGAGCTTACGCCAGGTGATGGCCGTCCAGTCCCGGACCATTTGCGGTCGCATAGGATATTTCGGCCTGGTAAAAGTCATGGCCCTGCCCGTGTACCACAACACACAAGAGAATTCTTCCGAGACGAGCTGTAGAGGATCCAGCCATCGTTGGTGGCCACATATATGATCTCTAAATGAAGTGTAACGGCCCCGTAAACTAATATATCACCATGCACATCTGGACTTTCCAGGTTATTTCCAAGATTCCTTCTGACGGATAAACGATCTAAACGATCGTTTAGATACCCTAGGCCGCTGGGTTGGCATTGACGCCCCCACCCAGCCACCCACAGAGTGTCGATGAATATCCAGCTGAGGATGAGATAAAGAGGCCGCCAACTCTGGCCAATCGCGACTCTAATCCAACAATCTTCGAAAGGAAATACGAAAAAGATGATAGACGCGGCATTGACTATGTCCATTTGGAAATCCCATTCGAGCTGCTGACCATGTTGACGGCATCCCCACAACTTGCAAAAACAAAGCCGCGTGGCGCAGAATAAGCGCAGCTAAACCAAACAAGGACAACTCATTCGAGTTGACGACATGGCAAGGCCAAGGTTCAGCCAATCGCTATCCCGTGATGCTGAACGAGGAAATCCATTCGGCCCCTTGTCAGCCCAGGGTCCACCGAGGATCAAACTCGCAAGCCACGACTTGACCGTTTTGCGTTAGCGAGAAAACGCCTTTGAACGAGAACGATGAAGTTTATGGGTTCTGATTGGTTGGTGAGACCTGGTGGACGGATGTCCCCGAGGAGACTCGACAACTGGATCGCATCGACAGCCACGACTAGGGATGGCTTTGTTTCTTTGGTTACAGGGCTGCGCCTACTTGTGACGAGAATGGTTGGGGTCAAGCCGTTTTTTTGGGTCAAGACATGTGAAGGGTGGTCGTTGTCGAAGATTAAATATCGGGCTTGGCCTTCTTCAGTTTCCATTCCCAAGACACTCAAGCACCGACATCAACGACAACATCCACCAACAAGCATTACTACTACATATTCAACTACAATGAATATCCTCTACGGGCGATCATCCGACCATGGATGCACCGAACACGACCTTGGCATAGGTGAGCCAAAACCACGCAACACCATCACCAACAAATTACTAACAATCGCCAGATGCCCAGGATAATGTTGCGGGAAGCCTCTCCTTCCATCAACTCAGCGCCATCATCTCTGGAGTTTGCGCCGCCATCTCGATTTGTGTCATGCTTATCTTCAAATCGCTCCACGCTACACATCTTTCGAATCCAACAGAGCAGGTCAAGTGAGATACCCCACATTCTCGAAAACCTGCAGGGAACTGACAATCTTGATAGAATCATGCGCATCGGAACTCTGATCACCATGTATTCCCTCATCTGCTTCCTCTCCGTCTGCTTCCCCAAAGCAGAAGTGTACATCCATCCTTGGTTGGACCTCGTCGAGGGTTTCGCTCTGGGCTCTTTCTTCCTGCTCCTGTGCGACTACGTCTCGCCGCATCACGAACAACGCGAGCTTTTCTTTGCTGCCGAGAAGCTTGGTGGCGTCAAGTGGTTTAGGGCAAGTGATTATAACCCATACTCTACAGAATAGCCGCTAACCTACCACAGACCCGTTGGTTCCTGATCTTCCAGATGCCAGTTGTCTCATTCGTCATCGCCATCGCTACCGACATCACCGCAGCAGTTGGAGTCTACTGCGAATGGGATAACAAGATCAAGTCTGTCAAGTTTGTTCTCCGCTTGATTTCGACAATCTCCCTGGTCGCCTCAGTCCTATCGATCCTACAATTTTACCGCTTTCTCAAGAAGCACCTGGCTCATCATCAGCCGCTCATGAAGCTGCTTGCCTTCAAGATCATTGTCTTTCTAACGTTTGTGCAAGGAGTAAGTGATACTTTATAATTGATTGTCAAGAATTCTACTAACGTTAACTAGATCGTCTTTTGGATTCTCACCGATAAGGGCGCTCTCAAAGAGACCAATACCCTGACCTTTGCCGATCTCCACGTCGGCATTCCCAACATGATCATCTGCATCGAGATGGTTCCCCTTTCCCTCCTATTTATGTGGGCTTACCCATGGAGAGTCTATCTGGACAGTTACAGCGCCGATGACGCTGAGGAACACCCCGGACGACCCTTGAAATCTTACCAGGGAGGTCCTTTCGGCATCCACGCCTGGCTCGCCATGATCAACCCCTCGGAAATTTTCAGGGCTACTCTTTTCGCTTTTAAGCATGTTGGAAGTATGAGGAAGGGATCTCGGGAGCCCATTCTTGCAGACGAAGCGGCTCCTCCCTATGACAATCACCGGATGCGCAATACTGGCGCTTAAGTTGTCATTGAAAGTGCTTCATGAGTGTAGGGATATAGAATGCCGAAGGAAGTTGAAATGATGATTAATATGAGTGTGGAAGACGCAGAGTATAATGATCTAGCTAATGATATTTTTTTGTTCCCTAGCTGTGTTTTGATAGGCAAGCGTCATCACGATATAGACTAGCCCTTTTTGCTATGTTCGCATATTTTGCTAAGTAGTTATGATCCTTGCTCTCTGTGCTCTTTTTCTCACCAAGTAAATCAATATATGAAGTAACTTAATAGTCAGACTGAGGCGATGAGAGTAGTAAATATCCTCACTTTAATTAACCCTTAATAATAATGTCGAAACTCTAGGGGCTACCCTAGACTCTCTTCCTTCTTGGGTGGGTCCCATCTACAGCAAAGGGACTGATCAACTTTCACATCAAGTTAATACTCAAAGATCTAATGCTGTGTAGTACAATCCTCAGCTTTATACATCTCTACAGATAAGAAGCTCCTGAACATGAAGAGATCGAAGCAGCCTTGCCTCGGAGTGAGCCGACATGTGGAGCCAGACCCTCCCAGGTCCGAGCCACCGGTAATTTGCACGACGGATCCTCTCTGATTGGTGGAAAGACAACTTCAACGCTCGATTCAACTCGGAAAACTCGGCAACTAGCCACAAAACGCGTCGTCTCATCCCTTGATGTTTGTTTCAGGTTACAGTCGTAGGGCGCTATACGCCAAGACGGGTAGTCTAGAAGCGTTGGTTCCGGAGGCTCTTCCCGTTCTCAGCCTTGAATCCGTAATGACCGGCCGAGATACAGACGGAATCGTGTCACGGCTCCTCCTTGTCAAGCCGTCATTTAAATATCTCTAGTCCCTTTCCAAAGTGAGCTGTGTCTAACAGTTCATTCATTTTTGCCATTCTCTGTAATTCTTCCATCACCTTCACTTAGTCAATCTTTCCAATCCAACTTCTATTCTACTTTCGTTACTCTTTTCAAAATGCAGCTGACCTCCTTCCTTGTCTCGGCTCTGCTTGCAGTGTCCGCTGCCGCATCCCCTACTCCCACCCTCGACAAGCGGGCGCAGACCATGTGCGGTAACTGGGGTACCGTTTCGACCGCCGGCTACACTGTCTACCACAACAACTGGGGTGCGGGCCAGGCCTCCTCCGGACACCAGTGCACTACCTTTGACCAGGTCAAGAGCGGAAACTCTTTCGTCTGGTCGACTGAGTGGAGCTGGACCGGTGGACACGGCCAGGTCAAGTCGTATTCTAATGTTGCCCTTGAGAAGGTCAACAAGAAGCTGTCCCAGATCAAGTCGATCCCCTCCAAGTGGACCTGGAGGTGAGTACATCCACGATAAGCTACCAGCTACCTTCGCAATAGCTCACACTCTATAGGTACACTGGCAGCAACATGATCGCCGACGTCTCCTACGATCTTTGGCTCGCGCCGTCTGCTTCGGCCAACAACAAGTACGAGATCATGGTCTGGGTTGGTGCCTACGGCGGGGCCGGGCCCATCAGCTCGACTGGCTCTGCTATTGCCACTGTCTCTATTGCCGGCAGCAGCTGGAAGCTCTTCAAGGGTCCCAACGGCGACACCACTGTCTTCTCTTTCGTCGCCACCAAGAACGTTGGCAACTTCAACGGCGATTTGAACGAGTTCTTCAAGTACCTTACCTCCAAGCAAGGTGTCAGCAAGGACATGGTCATCACCAGCCTTCAGGCCGGAACCGAGCCCTTTGAAGGTAAGAGTGAATTGTTAGTCGAGATGTAGCATAAAAGCTAACTATAGTACCTAGGTTCCAACGCTGTGTTCAAGACCTATGATTATACCATCAAGGTCAACAGCAACTAGACAAAAGTCTGAGGAGAGCTGTATTATAGATTTTTGAGTATAAATAAGTCTCTAGCTGGGCTGGAGCCTACATTAATTCGAATTGTACATATCTGTTACATAGGACATATATCAGCCTCAAATGGCTTTACTATGGCCAGGACTTGAATTACTTGAGGAGTTGTGCAGTAGTCTCGGGTGATGCCCGTCACCGGCGGCTAATCATGATGGCCTTGTAGGAAACAGAGAACTCATTACTATTCGTATCGATAGGTACCCTCGTCATAGAGTACCCGATGCCGCCGACTACCAGTGCCAGCAGAAGAGCGGTCCCTTGGCATCATTCGCTCCATCAGACGCCTTCGCTGGATTTCGTCCTCCTCCCTCTCATCCCTCTCCTCCTTTCGAGCCTGCCGGCGAGCCTTCTCGTCAAGACGGTCCTGCTCCGACTTTAGCTGCCGCAGGGCTTCCTTAAGCTCGGCTTCACGATTGGGAAACCTGACTTCGGGCTGCTTTCCCTCCCCCTCATTTTCCTTCCCCTTCCCCTCTTCCTTCTGAGATAGTCGGCGAGCCTCCTCTTTGTAGCGCTTTTGCTCGGATTCGAGTCTTAGTACGGCCTTAATAAGCTCTTCCTCGCGATCGAATTCTCCGACCGAGGGCCTGTTTTCTTGTCCTTCTTCCTTCGCAGCCCGCCGGGGAGCCTCTTCTTCGCGCTCAATGTCCCCCCATCGTATATAATCGGGAGGATCTGTCTCAGGATCGAGGACCTGGACGGCTGGCCGCCGGTAGGAAGAACGGCGTAGGGGCTCAACAGGAACCGGTGGACGACCGCTGATCTCAGCGTTTGCCTTGTTAATGCGAGCCCGAAGTCGTTCGTCTGCCTCTTCCTGTCGCTTGCTCTCCCGTCGTCTTTGCCGTCGCTTCTCTCGCTCTGCATACTCGTCATTCAAGCTACGGACAGAGCGAGGGGCCTCGGATGCATGCCGGGGATGGGTTGACTCCTCGTTCAAGCTGCGGGTAGAGCTGGGAATATCAGAGGCATATCGGCGACGTCTCGGTTGGGAACCGTCAACAATTTCGATCTCGACGCGAGGGCGAGGGCGCTCGTCAACTATCACTGGTCGACGACCTAAGGCGTTGGGTGCAGTGCGAGGAGTGGGCGGGCTGTCGACTATGACAATACGCTCATGTCGAGATGCCACTGGGGAATTTTCGCGGCTGAAGTCCCGGAATCTACTACTCTCAAAGTATTGCCCGTTGTAGTGGACACCGGGGCGGGTCTTCCGTCGAGGGTTCTTAGGGCGTGGTATATCATCTTCAACGTCGGCCTCGAAGGCATCATCGGGGTAAGGCTGTGAAGGAGGCGGCGGCGGTTTAAATGGAGCACTTTGAGGAAGGGGATACGGGTGGTAGTTGCCATCGCTCAGGTCGTCCTCCTGAGCCCCGGGAATACTTGCCCATTCACGGGGTAAAACTGGATTCCAAGCCTGAGGCGCTGAGGCTGCAGATTCTTGGTGTGCAGAAGCCACACCTGGCCTCGGAGGTATTTGACTGGATGAGGAGCCACCTGGTACTTTTCTAAGGGGGGATGATGAAGATTGGTGTTTTGTGAGTGGGCGCTCCCGACGTTTGAGATCCATCACCTTTTCCTCATCGACATAGACGCCCGACTCCCGTTTCCTCTCGAGATCGGGGGGATCATCGTTCTCGTCTGGAGACATGGAACCAATCAATGGCGCACCCGGCGGCTGAGTTGTTTGACTGACAGAGTCTGTGTCATCATCGTGGTTGAATTCACAGCGTTGATCTTTGTCGGGACAGTGACCGTGCATAACAACGTTTGGACATGTTATCTCCTTCTTCTGCGGTCGGGCATCCTGTTTCGTCTGGCTGTCAGGCTCCGTACTGGGGGCGGGCTTTGGCAAAAACGGTTTGAACTCTTCCCAGAGATCGGGAGTGGGCTCAAAGAGTGCGCTAATTTGAGCCTCAACGTCCTGAACAGGTGTCCGCTCGAACTTGAAGGTTTTGAGAATGTCAATGAACTCCTCGTAAACCTCTGGCTTGTCTCGAAAGCGGTCCTTGGCTACTATTAGTCGGCTGCGCTTGAATGAAGAAAGCTGTTGGAGGCAGATTTACCTTGACCTTGTCCAGAAACCCAACAGTTTCGTAGACGACGACGACACGTTCCTCCGTATTTTCCTCGTTCACAACGTCGCCTTCATCCACACCGTCTACCGTCTGCACAGTAGCGACTGCTTCGGCATCAGCGCCTCTAGCATCGATGTACCGTTGCATAACTTCCTTCCCCTCCTTCGCTAGCCTGGTTGCCTCTTCTTTAAAACCTGGAGAGAGCTCGGCCTGCTCTAGGAGCGCTAGAAGATCTGGTTCCGAGCCTGGGCGAGACTGTGCCGTCGGTTCAGGCTCTGGATCCTTGCTTCCCTCTGGAAAGATCACGTCGGCATGTTTTCCAACAGGTTCTGGTTGGAAATGAGCAGCTTCAGCATCGGCGGAATCCTGTGCGCCTGGGGTATCAACTTCATCCTGCCTAGACGTCTCGTCCATGGGAGGGTTTGATAAATTGACGCTCTCCGGGTCCGCTAGGATCTCAAACTCCGTCGGCGGGGGAGTTTGTGTCATCTGTCTAATTAGTGTTTCAGTGATCTGGTCTCTCTTCGGGATTTCTACTTCGGTATCCTGCCCAGAAGTAGTTGTCTGGGCATGCGAAGGTTCAACATTGACAGGCTGTTGTGAGATCGCATCGTCAACCTCGGCCTGCCCAGATGTCTCACCCACGGGAGCTTTCGACGAAGTGGCCTCCTCTTCTTCCACTGAAGGATCCGAGCTGTACTCTGTTGTAGGATCGAGAATATCGACTCGTATCAACTGCTGTCGCAGCAATGACTGAAGAATTGGGTCATCATCAAGATTCTGGGACGACTCTTTGAAGACCATGGTATCGAAGAACAGACTGGCAACGCGGACATCCATGTCCTCGAGATCCAGTTCCAAGTAAACATCTCCCAGAAAGTTGACTGAAACATCTTGAGCCAGCTGAGGAGTCCAGTGGTCCCAGAAGCTCCCTGCTCCATCTTGAAGTATCTCCTTTTCTTCCTCCATCTCTCTGATGGTGCTTCTGCTTCGTGGCCGCGACCCGTCAATGCTGTTGTTCCCATCTTCAACATCGTCTGGGATCTCGTCTTGATAGCTTGGGAGTGACTTCAGGGCAAGGGATCGCAGGTGCCCGGCGAGGTGGTCTTCGAGACGGCCCTCGACTTCGGACTCTTCTCTCCCACACAGTGGGCATGATTGAAACAGCTTAGTTGCCTTGCGGCTGTTTCTGTTTGCCACCACACGAAGCTGTCTATCGCTGAGCTTGGTATCGTGAACCTCCCGCATGTGCCGCGTGTACTCCTCAAGTGTAGAAAAAGGACCCATCTCGCGGTGCGAAGGGCAGCGCCAAACCTTGCCGTGTTGGTGCAAATGGCCAAGCCATTCATCGCTGTGAGTATACAGAACGTCGGGCTGATCACAATCCTCGAACAGACAGACGTAGGGGTCTAGGTCATTCTTGACATGGTTTCTAGAATGATGATTAGCGCAGGCCTGGATAGATCATGTTAAATACTCACTGCCACTTTCTCTCGTCAAAGACTTCGGCAGCTGGAAGAGCATATAGGCAATACGGGCAGGTGATCTCTCCTATTGCTTGAAGGTCCGACTCTAGCAGCTCTCGGAGACCCGGCTCCGTGCTTGTTTCCGCTGCCTCAACTATTCGTTGGCTTTTGAGCTTCTCATACCTTTGCTTGGCAGCGAAGCCAGGCGCGGGCGGATAGGTCAAGACCTGATGTTTGCCCGACGCGATTGTCCTGCTTGCTGAGACGACCGACGGACTTGAGGAAACCATTTTGAACTTCTCCGGAGCCAAGGTAGTGGCGCTTTTGACTTGTGAAGGTGCCACTTTGGATGCTGGCCGGCTGATAGCGGCCTTTGCGTCCTTTTTCTTCGACGTGGTTTGTAAAGAGGACCCTGCTCCTGGCTGAGCATCAGGTAACGTGACAGAAGTTTGAGAAATCGTGTTTTCAGAACGGATAGAAGTGTTGCCCTGGCGATGTCTCCGGTACAAGATTCTTTTTCGTCTGAGAAGCATTGCTCGAGCGAGCCTCTGCCGGATGTTTTCGCTGATACCGGGAAACCAGTCGCCAATATGATGCTCAAAATGGCTGAGTAGGAGTGGCTCGGCGTTTTCGCCCTCGTCGTCTTTGATTTGAAAATTGCTTGCCTTTAGTACTTGAGTATCCTTGCTGGCTCGGCGGATTGTGTTGGAGATCTTGTTGAGACGAGTGATCTCGGCGGCGATATCAAGAAATGATTGCCCCAGCCGATCGTTTGCTGTTGTGGAGGCATCTGCTGTTGATGAGTTTGCTAGTTGAGCAAGGGATTTCGAGCCTATTCCTGTTAGCGTGCTGATGCGAGGCTGGGCCATAACGAGAAACCTACAGGTCTGAACACGGTAGTTCAGGGATTCTAGCAAACCAGTCACGACACTCTGGACTTCAGAGGCATATCGCAGGCGATGATCCATGGAAGCTGACCCCGGGGCGAATACGCCAATGTTAGAAGCCCAGCTGGAGAACCTCGCAACTTGATCTTCCACCATCGAGGCCTCCCGTGGATGGACTGAAGACGCGCTGATAAGGCATTGTTGGAATGATTCCAGGCACTCGTTGGCACAAGCGGCCACAGTCGGCCCCTTGAGCTCCGGGCTGGGGTCTGGGTCCGCCATGATGACCAACCTGCCCGATCAAGGGTGGTAGGCAGAGCTCGGGGTGTTGCTCTGGGAGCTAGGCTCGCGGTGCAGCTGGGATGAGGTCTTGGTGATGCGGGTCGTGCCGTAGTAAGCGCGCGCGCCAGCCTGGTGGTACGGCCGCTATTATTGTCGCAAATGCGGGGCTACCAGGCACCGAGGTTGGAAGGTTCAAGGGGAGACACTAACAATCGATAACTAGTCTCGCTAAAGGCTACGACAAAGCGGTCGCTACAATAACCTAAATTATCGTGACTCGGGGTTTAAATAGTCTAACAACTGTTGTAGTGTCAGTGATTAACCCAGGAATGAAGCGAAATGCTGTCTTTTGTGATTCAATGCTGATTGTTCCTATCTGCCTGATACTAACTGGTATTACTATCTTTCCAGGTTTCACCGTTTCAGCTTACCAATGCCCCACCTCGACTCAGCCGCAGCTGATACCCTCTCCTCTCAAGCTCACCAAGATGCGCGTGCGCGACACTCTCGGTAGTACTCAAGTCCTCGAGCCGGATCCGGCATGGTCATCGGAGCTTCTCAAAGGCGTCAAGTTAAGCGTTGACGCGATGGCCATATCCCCCGAGCCCAAGGATGGCGCTGGCAACGAAGCCCTCCTCCTTGACACAGTGGGAACCGTCCTGCAGATGGCGAAAATAGCTCGGATGAACGAGACTAACGAAGAGGTCAAAGTGTTCTACAGCCATTTAAGCCTACACTGCTTCAGACTACAAGAGCACTTGACACGCGCGCGGCAAGCATCGTCCCGTCTCAACGGAGAATTGGTTAGCCAGGCTCTGAGCCACCTCGGTTCCCTTGTCCCCGAGAGTGGTCTTCACGAATTACCCACATACCCTGTCACACCAGATTTTCGGCTCAAGAGGCTTTACCTGCACTGGGAAGAGGCAAGAAGGCGGCATGACAGGACAGAACTTGATTTCATCTACCGTTGGCTGAAACCGGGGGTCTCAGAAGCGCAGAGACACGAGGTGGACAAGGCCTTGGAGGCTTGTGCGGACGAACTCGACAAGCAACAGCCGGAGCAACCCTCCCTCAAATCTCTTCACAAATATGCTTCCACTGAGATTACCGAACCACCATACGCCGTCTGCAAGGCAGCCAAATCGATTTACGATGCATTGATCAACTGCAAGGGCTGTTCATGCCCTGATCCACATGACTTCAAGGCCAAGCTCGAACTAGGAACATACCGAAGCCCCGCGAAGAAGCAGGTAGTCAAGCCTGCTAGGAGGCGAGCTCGAAGAGGACGCGGTGAGGATGATGCGAGTGGGGGCATCGAACTCGACATGTTTCTCTCCATGGAGCGAGATTGGCACGAATTTCGCGTCCAGACTGTCAAAGAGAGGGCCGAGAGGGCTGTTCGGTTTGGCCCCTCAGTTGACGATGCTCCATGCCGTGGAGGTAAAATCGTCGAGCAGTATGCAAAGGTGGAGAGGCTATGCAGGCCGATTATCAAGACGAAAACAAAGGCATTGCAACGACTCGTCCTGAGGTTGAATAGTGGCGAGCTTTTCGAGATTGGCTTTGAGAAGAGCAACTTTCAGATCGATCACAACGCCGAGCCAATCTCTTTATCGCAATGCTTCGAAGACCGACAGGACTTTTTCACGGAGAAGACCAAGAGAATCCTCTCACTCATCATTGGGTACACGGTACTTCATCTACACAGTACTTCGTGGCTCCAGCCTGGATGGGGTTCATCGAATATCAAGTTTTTCCAGACAACATCTTGCAAGACTCCCTTGCGGCCTTTCATCGAAGCGCAGCTACTAAAGGCTGGCCCTGAATCTTTCGGAGACGACTTAGAGGACGAGGATGACGAGCTAGATTCGGGGCATTGCTGTCCAGAAGTGGTGGCCCTAGCTGTTGTCTTAATGGAGGTCTATTTCGCCAAACCTTTCAAAAGATTAGCGGCCATGCACGACATCCAACTGATAGAGACGAAGAGCGGTCGCATAACGCTCATGGATGTGGACCAAGTGTTTGAAGGAGACGAGGAAAATGAAGAAGGATGGCGATCCCAGATTCCCGAAGACTCACCTCTTCTAGAGGCCATCGATAACTGCCTAGATGCAGAGTTGTGGGAGGACGAGGAAGGACAGCCCCTCGACAGTGCAACACTGAGGTCGCTCATTTATCAAAAGGTTGTCCGGCCACTCGAACTTGACTTGACCAACGGCTTCCGCAACATTCAACTGGATGAGGTCGACCAATACGCCAGGAATCTCGACTTTGGAAAATGGGGTCAGCCCATGTTTACTCAAGAATCAGATGGCCGGACCGGTTTGTTGTGCCCTCGGGAGGTGTTGCCTGTCCGCTCTCCTTCACCTGGACCATTCGCCCTGCTTTCCCCAGGCCAAATTGCTATTGGACCTGATGGATGGAAATATATGCATCACGCTTCACGACTGCATTCTTTCGCTTCAATTTCTACACCAGATACGGATTCGATGTCGAGTTCTCCTTTTGACTACAAGGCATTCCAGTTCTTTGACGATCAAGTTGGCGACGGGGAATATTCTGCGGTAGAGTGAGTACCCTAACACACAGGGCTATAGACGCCTTCGACTACGGATGTTTGATATCTACGATACAGCTGCTGACGTTACCGCTCACAGGACCGATAAGTACATAAGATGGAAATCTGAATACGAACAGGTCTACAAGAAATTCGTTGGCAACTACCTTCAGAACCCTCCGTCACAGCCGGTAAAGATTGCGGTTCTCGACACTGGCATCGATAGAGACCATTTTGTCTTTGAAGCCCGCGAGGAAAACCTCAAAGGCAAGAAGAACTGTTACAACGAATCTCAGAAGAACGTACCAGATACCCATGGGCATGGCACATTTACGGCCAATCTTATTCTGGACTATGCTCAAGATGCTAGTCTCTACGTTATTAAGATCGCGGGCAAGGAGAATACGAGACCAGATGCGAAGATCGTGGCCAATGTGAGTAGCAACAAGGTCCCTATTTACGTTTTCACAATGCTTATCACGATGGACACAGGCCATCAACCATGCTATAGATAAATGGGACGTCGATATCATCTCCATGTCGTTTGGGTGGCCGTCTTCTGACTTTGACGGCTATGATGCTCTTCAAACCGCAATCGACAAGGCAATGTCTAGGAAAGTTCTCATGTTTGCTGCCGCCGCCAACTCAGGCGGTCGACTAGGCCGGGCATACCCTGCCAGCAGCTCGCAAGTCATCTGCGTGCACTCGACCAATACAAACGGGAGTGCGTCTGACTTTAGCCCGACGGCCGAGCCCAATGCCATCAACATTGCGACGGTCGGCGAGTCGGTTCAGTCAGCGTGGCCCATGCTGCTCTGCCAGAACAATAACACAGGTTACATGATGTCCCGATCCGGCACATCCTACGCGACTCCCATTGTTGCTGGCATGGCGGCGTTTCTACTTCAATATGCGCGTCTGCATCTCTCTGAGGGCGAGGCACTGGCGCTGAAGCGGAGGGAGAAGATGGAGGCCCTACTAAGGAGATGTGCCGTACGGGGGCCAAGTTATCAACCTAGGGATGGGTACTTCTTTGTTCATCTGAGTTTGGATAAGCATAATCTGTTTGGAGGGGAGTTGGATTGGGTCAGTTATGAGATTTCAAGGGCATTAAAGACATAGCGAGCGTATCTGGAAATACAATGCAAACAACTTAACGTAGTCAACTGTCTTCATCTTGGCCCCTCCTTGAACTTGCAAAAGACCAGCTGCAGGCGGCTTTACTGCCTGCTACCACTCATCTTCAGACTCTTCCTCCCTCGGGATGGCGCAGAAGACCACTTCCTCATCATCCATCAGTTCCTCCAAGTCAAACCCTTCAGCCCGCGCATCTGGTTGTTCAACTCCCAACACAGATAGTTCCGGTTCTTTCTTCTTCGTATTCTCCCTCTCGAACATAGCCCCCTTGCGGTAGTCCTCTTCACTCACGACCTCGCCAACGCGGACCTTGCTCACGCGAAACCCAAAGACAAAGTCACTGCTGCCCTCCCATTTCGTACTTACCTTGTTGCCGACCTCAGCTTCCACTCCTGGGCCGCCACCAATGGGTACAGCTGTCCATACGGTAGCGTCTACTTCAACACCAACACTGCCGCCTAGGGAACGAGACTTGATCGTGTTGGCTTGGGCGCCTGTGACAACTTTGAGACCCGTAATGATGTAGACGGGCTTGCGGTACTTTGAACGCTCCAGAAAATGACGAACGTTCTCGGCTTCGACGCAAGCTTTGAGATATGATGGCGTTGGGATGAACTGCGTAGTCTCGAGCGTATCAAAGACAAATATTTCCTCGTCACTAACGTCGTTAGTACCTGTGCATAAACAGAGGCATGGTTACCTACCTCCTGTCTATCTCGGCGCCAATATCGATGCCAAACCCGAGAACGCTAAGGAACTTGGTCAAGATGGAAAACCTGCCTCGCCGCAGTTTCTCCTTGGTGTACTGGACGCTCTTCTTCTCAGTCTTAAAGACGTCTGATTCCTCGGGTGGTGGAGAGCAGAAGAGGGGTCGATGGGGGTTCTTGACAGACGTGATGACATTGCCCAGCTTGATTGGACCGCCTGGCGGGTAGTCCCAGGTGGGTGCGTAAAAGTAGAAAAAGTCTCGGTTAGCCATGGTGTTTTTCGCATGTTCTTGGCCGTAGATACGTGTGTTCACTTGAGTGTTCCACTGATGTAACTTGAGGCTGATGCAATTAGGCACGCGTGTGTGGTGTTGTGCTTACTTATGAGTGAGAAAAACGCGCAAGGCCGCATTTCGAACCACCGTATGCTCTGAAACGCCCAATCACATCGCGTCTTGTCCATGGTTGCCTGCTTATCCAGTCGCCTTATGAGGCTCGGAAATGGGCCGCTCGAACTGAGACAGAGGAAAACCACTACCCTAGACATCCTCGACGGCCTTGGTGTCACGCAGCCTGCTTCAGCCCAGCGACCAGTCATGTTCGTCCTCTACCATTTACCTACACAAATGTTTTTATGACGTAGTATATGCGTTACACAACACTTGACCCCGCTCCGCCCAAGCATTTGGGCTTCTGTCAGATTCTCAGGTTGGGTAGGTCCAACCTTTTTTCTTATCACAACTATTAAGAACAGCCCTGGCGCTCCACCAAAATCGATACTCCAAAGTAAAAAGGCCCACTAGGCACTGGCTAATTAATCCAACCTATTCAGTAAGTACCCAAATAGCCTACGTCTTAGGCTAGCCGTCAGATTTCCCCATGCTAACACTTTCATCCCACAGACCCAAGGCTAGCCAGCACCTTCTCCAAAACATGTCCGAGGAAGCGCCTAACCCGCTGCCGTTCTCCGAAACCACCCACACTACGCTCGCCGCTGCCATCGAGGCACGTCAACTCCTAGCCGACCAGCTACTTCCGGAGCTTGCGAGGCCAATAACCTCGCTTTCTTATAATCCCTGGATCGCAAAACGCAGGGATGATAAGCAAGAGTACGAGACAGATTCCGAGGGGGGATTCATTCATGAGTACAGCGTAGGAGCTATTTATCTCTTCACTGAACCCATCCCCACTGGGTTGAAAATGGTCACTCCGAAGCGTATCATCTTTCAGACCAGAGCAGCTGACCAAGGATGGGCAACCTTTGGCGGAGAAGGTACCTTTGAAAACAGCCACACGTGGTTCGAGGCCAGCATTCTACGTCCCATTGATACTGCCCACGACGGGGCACATGTTCTCCCTGAAAGCATTCTTCAGCAGACGTGGTGGGGTCCCGCCGGTGCAAGGAGTCATTTAAATAAGCTTGGGTGGGATTTTGTCGAGGTGGAGGATGGAGAACTCACATGGACAGTCTGTTGCAACATAACGGCAAGCAGTGAATACCGAAACTACAGGGTCGAGTGGGAGTTGGATGTTGAGCCAGAGATTGATGATGAGGATGCAGTTGGTGATGGGTACGGGTTTCTCGAGCTGCTGGAACCTGGGTGCATCGTTGCGCTTTGGGCGAGAGCTGAGGTAGGCTTCCAGACATCTCTCGGTGTGCATGTTTACTGACCTGGTTCACAGCAAGCTCACTGGGTTAACAAAGTTGCTGCGGCAACGATCGAGATTGAGTATGATTTCTTGTAGAGATGTATGTCGTCTATTAGGGTGACTGCCTTGGCTGGCCCCGTCTTTGGAGGTTTACGAGAGACTTGTACCGAGAGAGGCCGATATAATACAAACCACGTGGCTCTTCACCAGGGCAACAAAGCAACCGTTGGGGTAGTGGTAAATAAGGTTGTTATACGTTTCTTGTCGGCATTGAACTTAATTCCGTCTCACGCCGCAGAGCCGGTAACTCGGGGATTTTATGATTTAGTTATCCCAGACTGTGTTTTCCAGCATTCTGTTGAACGTAGCTGTGTGTCCCTTCATTCTTTTTCTTTAATCAAGTGTTTGACGGAAACGTGATTGAAAAATTAGAAAAGAATTAGTTGTCCCATCGAGGGCCGGGCTTCAACTGTAACAAAGAACCCATGATGAACACATGCGCATCATATCTTGATACCAGCATAGTAGCCTTTTTTTCCTATTTTCTTTTTAAGCTTTTTGCTACCTGATCAGAGGACTTATGCCTCCCTGCATCATGAAAGGTTAAACCTCTCGACGGGGATTCAACAGTTCTAACCTCCGTACGAGAAACAAGAGAGAAGCATCCCCTCAGCAACCCATAGAAGCAGCGTGTAGCCAAACTAACTTTGATGTTGGGCACTCTCTATATAAACAAGCCTGCCTCCCCTTTACGCCCACGAGACAACTTTCCCAAAACATTCACAACTCTCAGTCTCTTCCACAAGATAGCATTCAACAACAGTCAACACCATGAAGCCAGTCACTACCTCCTCTCAGCTCGACAGCATTGTCGAGCGAAACGAAGTCTGTCTCCTAGACATGACGCGCCTCACAATCCAATTCGTCAAACGCCTTGTCAACCACTCACCTGGCAACATCGCCACGAAGCAAGGCAATAAACGACTGCCTCTTGAGATGTGGTGGGAAATCATTGCTTGGGCAGAGATGACGGACCCGAACCACCACACTTACCGCCTTGTTCAGGCTCAATCCTTGGAAGAGCATGGGACACAGCACACCCTGGTTTGCGCCGAAATTCCCAAATGGAATCCATGCGGCCTTCTAGAGACAGAGGAGGCCTGCAACGAGTACCGCGCTTATCTCAAGCGTCCCGGGAAAGGGCATAACCCAAACCGCCCATTTGTTCTACCAGATACGAACAATCAAGATTCCCTCATCAAGCTCAAAGACTCCCTGATGGGCCCCGACAGCAAGATTCTATTCCGAGCCTTGTCCGTTTCCGACGTCATATCCCGGGCTGAAAAGGGCGAGTGTTTCTTGTGCGCCAGCGACCGATGGTGTTTCCTATATCGAGATTACGAGGACGAAGGGTTCTTTGGACTTTTTATTCCACGCGGCGTCGCTGGTTCAGCTATGCCATGTCCACTCTGCATAGGTGTGCATGCTCCGGAGTCTATGGATGAACTTGAGAGCGTGGAATATGAGAAAGCGACTAGGCAAGCATTTTACAAGCTCGGATACATGTTCCATTAACCGGGGTAGATTCATGGTTGTGTCATGAGCCAGTACAATTGTTTGGAAAAGCTCAACTACAAGGAGTGAATTAGAAGTTCAATATACAATAACAACTCAAGTCTGTCCATGTTCATCTTCCCTCCCAAGTTTGTGTAACAGCACCCCAGTACCTCGCCTCGTCGTGTCTAGAGTGAGCCACATGAGACGAACCATCAAACTTCTCTCGCCTGACCTGAAAACATACTTTCTCTGCTTCATCTGCATGCGACTCGATCGCCTTGTAGTCGATCATAGTATCTTTCTCGCTGTAGATGTAGGTCCGACGTATCTCGTATGGATTCTTGTTCTCCTTGTCGTTGTGCGTCTTGCGCCAGACAGTAATCCAATCCTTGGCCAATCCGACCGTGATTGCTGATACCCAAACGACACCGACGAGGTACATGAAAGGTGTTGCTACGAGGCGCAACACGCCGGAGAGACCGACTTGCAAAAAAGCAACCAGACCGCCCACTGACTCCCAACCGGGGCATGAATCACAGATGGTGACGTGTGGGGGAAGATGAGGGTCCTCATTCTCGCCGACCGATGCAGCATACGCGTCGTAGAGGTTTGAGATGCTGGAAGAGCCGCCGTTGGAGAGCATATGGATGAGAAGGCTCGGGCTTGGTGATGAGGACGCGTCGGCTGGTAGGCATGCCTTGACGGCAGGGACCATTGGTTCGATAGCCTTTCTGAGAAGTGGAGGGTTGAAAAGAATCTTGCTTGTGCTCTTGACGAGGACGATAGGAGACGAGGGGTAGATAATCTTGTACTTTTCGATGTATTTGGCAATGTGGCCATCCAATGCATTGGTCCAGCTCGCGACGATGATGAGCTTTGGATGAGCGGGATCCCCGGAATCGGTAGACGATGACGGACGGTAGAGAAAGACCTCTGGCGACAACTTCTCCATAAAGGAGAGAGGGCTTTCCTTTGCTGGCTTGGTATTTGAGGCCATCTCGATTGATTAGAGTCGTGATGGTGTGGTTGTTAGGTTTAGGTTCGCTGCTTCTAGGCGTCAGCAAGTGGGATGGTATATATACCCACCAACGCCCGTCACCTGGGTGTAGTGCTTACGCCATGAACCAGGATGAGGCACACCTCGTAAGATCTTTCCCAGAATTGATAGGAAGGAATTTTATCGGACAGTAAAAATCGCTCTGGAACAGCGGCGTGAGGGAGGATGTAGCGCTGGTTATGTGTACATCCGAGCCGACACATGGATGAGCTTCTCACCGTGGCAGTTGCTGACAACAGCGCAACATGGATTGTGGCTTGGCTTCCAAGAAATACCGTAACGTTGAGCAATAATCTAAAGGACGGGCTACCGGGGTATTTTTGTTGGCTGACAGACAATCCCTAGGTTTGGTGGGTGTCTTAGGAGCGGTGATAATCCCGTCAACGTTGGCGATGGTGGTGGTACTAAGTCAACCCTCTGAGCTTCCCTCGGCAGTTGCCAGCGCGAAAGAATATTAGAATTTTATTTGAGGAGGCAGACGACCATAATAGAAGCAGTACAATTTTTTCTTTTTTCTTTTTTTAAAAAAAGCCATTATTCTTATAATCTTCCAAGGCGTACTCTATGGCCCTAGCTGCTCTGATGAGTTACTGGATTCCTAATGTTCTATACTGGGATATTTTCTTTTCTTTCTCTTAGATGGACTTGATTTCTAGCTCTCAGAGACATGACTAGACGCCTGGGGCACACCTGGAGATGTTCATAGTATCATCAACAAACTATCAAATAGACGCGTCGTAGATACAAAAGGACTCGATTCTACGCCTGCCACAGCCAAAAGCAGCTGGCCACGTGCTTCATGATCAAACGGGTGAGACAAGCAATCAGAAATGCAGTGAAGGTTAGTAAGCACTCCGGCTGATGTTGGGTGTCTTTCTGGCAGCCTGATTTCAGCTTGCGCCCTTTATTTGAACAACTATTCAGACCAAGACCCATCCAGCCGCTCCCATCAGACTCGCAGTGACCACAAAATAGGCGCTACGGCTCTACTCCTTTCACTTTGACCAAATTTGTGACCCAAGTCGTGAGCATGCGGCTCCTTCATACCAAAAACCTCGAGTTCGTGTCCTTCATTGGAACACCAATCGAGGAGCGGCCTCGCTACGCCATCCTCTCCCACACGTGGAAGGATGATGAATTCCTATTTGAAGAAGCTCGAAACGGCATCCGTCAGCAATCGCGGAAGCCCAGGAGAGGTCTGCGAAAGATCCTCAATGCCTGCAAGAGAGCGAGGCAGGACAACCTGGACTACATCTGGGTCGATACCTGCTGCATCGACAAATCCAGTAGCGCAGAGCTGTCCGAGGCCATCAACTCTATGTTCAAGTGGTACAAAGAGTCGGCTAGTTGCTACGTGTTTATGGACGACGTCACACTCCAAGGGGATGGAGTCATGGGGAACTTTGACGAAAGTCGCTGGTTTACTCGCGGCTGGACTTTGCAGGAACTCATCGCCCCCCACGGACTCATCTTCTTCGACCGGCATTGGAAGTACATGTGCAGCAGGGACGAGATAGCTTCCAGGCTTGAGAGAGTCACGGGAATCACTCAAAGCATCTTGCGGAGGAGACACATCTTACCCCCTGCCGAGACTTCTCATCGGTACGACTATAGATCGAAGTGCCCAGGATGCGGCCAAATTGACGAAGTCAAGACAGACCTGGCGGAGGAGCCCATCTCTATAAAAATGAAATGGGCAGCTAAACGAAGGACAACCCGCCCGGAAGACACGTCATACTGTTTGCTGGGTTTATTCGACATCAACATGCCTCTCCTCTACGGCGAAGGTGAAAACGCCTTCGGGAGGCTTCAAGGGGAAATCTTGAAAAAAAGTCCGGACCAATCCATCTTGACTTGGACGGCGTTCCCTCTAGAAGAAATCCATGGGCCATATCTCCCCAAGACCCCGTCTGCATTTCGATTTGCGGTTCAACGACCAGAAAGCGCCCCCATTGAACGAAGCGACATTATCGCAACAGCCAGGGGCCTGGAGATCGATGTCTTGTTCGGGCCCTGTGATATTGGTTTCAGCCCATTTTCAACAGAAGCTCGGGAACACCAAATGTTTATCGCTATTCTCAGCTGTGCGTCAGATCAGGATCCTCTTTCCCGGGTTGGTATTTTGGTGCAGCCTCTCACTCTAGGCGCTTCGGATACAGCATACATCAGAGTCCGTAATCACACGCTGATCCGGTTGCATCCTGGGGCTGAGCAATTGATCTTGCGCCATTCTATGTGGGGCGAACTCCGTGAATCGAAAGATTCAGCGTGTATGTGCTATTTGGAGCAACTGCAACCGATCTAAGACATACTGATCTGTAATTTATAGTTGCATATGACCCGCATAAGCTATCACCAAGACGTATTCTCCTTGCCGCCATCAAACCTATTGCAGATCCTTCCAGACAACGGCCAGAGGTGTATATCGTGGCCCCAAGGATCGAGAAGCTCAAACTGAATATGACGGAGCGAACGACCGTGACTGACACCATGATTAGATACCAGCAGCGGCTCCCTGGTTATGGAGCCACAGAAGCTGGGTTGCTAAATATTCGTGGAGTCTGGTATCTAGAAAATGGCTATTCTGGCTTCTTTCTCTTGTGGGGAGTCCCAACAGCTTCAGCTGATGGGGCCTTTGTAACCTGGGTCGAGACTTCGGGATCTTTCCTCGAAGAAGGGAACCTACTACGGAGCACCGTTGACGCAGCTCTTTCACACTACATGAGACTTGAGAAATCTTCCGTGCTTTTGCTAGCAAAGGATATTTCAGAGCCTGGTTTGAAGGTCAACGTAAGAGTCGACATGGCCGAATTTCTAGGGAGGAAGATTTACAAGGTCATTCTCAACATTGATGGATGGGACGATCATCCGGTGTCTATGGTGAAATACCTGCAAGTGCGGACTTACGGCTGGATATGAACTTTGTAAACACGGACGGACCTCATAGATGTTTTCAGAGCTTTGAACACAGCTTTAATACATTCAAGTGGAGCTTATGTCTGCCTTCTAGGTGATTGCATCATCCACAGCTGGGTGAAGACCATTATATCAAGATGGTTGGCTTCTAGCCTTAAGAGCAAAACTAAGTTGTGATGTTTGATGGTATTGTGATTTGTTTGTTTATTGACATCATTATAATTCCTTACTACACCTGTTAAATTCCAAGCAAAATACTTTCTAATATTATAGGGGTATTTCCTAAGAGTTAGATGTGTTTTACCCTTTTAGTATCGTGTTTTGCTTAGAGCCTGTCGTTATTAAAAGACAGAACGTTGAGAGTAGTGGGAGTAAACACCTCCCTACAACTGAGGGATATAATGAGCTACGCTAGGCATTCACGAGAATTCTAGACAGCATCTGAACCGAGAATAGCCTCATTCATAGACAAGCCGTCCGAGGTTGCCGAGGCAAGTGGGCTAGCACTTGAACAGCACGGTGCGAGTATGAGTCCATTTCAATCCAAAGCAATTCCGCGTTTACGAATCTCCTGATTTCGGTCAAGACAATCCCGAAACTAAACTCTATTCCCCTCACTCAACCTCGTGACCGCTTCTCCAGTCCCCGCATACCCCGGGGTCCCGGTCGGCGTACCATCCAGATCCTTGCCTGACTGCCGGCACTAACCCCCGAACCCAGGAACCACCGCCGATCAGCGTTGCCACCGGCACTGGTGATCCACGGACACCGATTGGCGCGCCTCGGTTCTCGTGCAAGCATCATTCGCGCTCCAATCATTGCCCCAATTTCCCCAGACGGCCCCAGATTGTAGAGTTTCTCCGCGTCTACGTCAGACGTGTTGACGAGTTGGCAGCTTGGCATGGTATTGGTGGATCTTGTTTTTCGTGAGGGAATTGCATATAAATACAGACTCGAACCGGATACTTGGTAACCTTTTCACCAGCCTCGATACCACTGTAGCATTCAGTCTTGGTCCATCATGAGATTCGCCGGTCTCGTTTCGTTCTTGCTGCCCTTTGCGGCAGCTAAGAAGACATTCAGCAACAATGTCATCTATGATCCTCCGAACAACTACACGGACCCTCAGGTCCTGTATTCTCGACCTGTTGAGCTTTCGGATGGTACCCTCCTGGCTACTTGGGAGAACTACTCTCCCGAGCCTCCTCTGGTGTGGTTCCCCATCGTCAAGAGTGTTGATGGTGGAAAGACCTGGAAGGAGATCTCCAGGGTCCGTGACCAGGTCAACAACTGGGGTCTGAGATATCAACCCTTCCTGTACCAGCTTAAGGAGGACATTGGCGACTTTGAGGCCGGCACTGTCCTCATCTCTGGTAGCAGCATTCCTACCAACCTGAGCCACACCCAGATCGAACTCTATGCTAGTCGCGATCTTGGTTATACTTGGGAATTCGTCAGCCACGTTGCTGCTGGTGGCGAAGCCAGACCTGAGCATGGTCTCACCCCCGTTTGGGAGCCTTTCTTGATGTACGTTGCAATCACCGTGACAAAGCATTCTACGCAGTTTACTGAACTATCACAGGACCTACGAGGGAGAGCTGATCCTGTACTACTCCGATCAGCGCGACAACGCGACCCACTCCCAGAAGCTTGTGCACCAGCGAACCAGTGACCTCCTCACTTGGTCTGATCTTGTTGAGGACACCAAGTATGCCGACTACTACGCTCGCCCTGGTATGCCCACTGTCGCCAAGCTGCCCAATGATGAGTACATCTATGTCTATGAGTACGGTGGCGCGCCTACCACCGGCAACTACTGGTTCCCCGTGTACTACCGCCTTTCTGAAGACCCTCTGGCCTTCCTTGAGGCTCCTCACCAGCAGTTGATCTCCGATGACGGAACAACGCCCGCCGGTTCTCCCTACGTCGTGTGGAGCTCCTGCGGTGGTAAGAACGGCACCATTATTGTGAGCTGCGGCACTCTGCCCCAGATCTTCACCAACCAGGCTCTTGGACACCCTGACGCTTGGAAGAAGTGGGAGGTTCCTCAGCCTGCTGCTTACACTCGGGCTCTTCTGGTCTTTGAGGAGGATCCTGACTTGCTTATGATTATGGGAGCTGGTGATCTGCCCCCTGGCAAGACCAACGAGGTCAGCGCCAGTGTTGTCAGGCTGTCTAAGATTATGAAGGAGTAGATTAGAAAAGTGTAAATATCACGAGGTATATAGAGTATGGCTCATTGAATAACTTCAAAGAGCATGTACAAATAAAAACCATGACTTATAAACGGCCCTTCTATTCAAGTAGGTGACGATGTTTAAGCTTTTGCGAATTTTTTCTAAGGAAACTTTTCCATAGTTCTATAGTTAGGACTAGAGTTTACTGCGACATAGAACTAAATTGACTCTTGGCAATGTTTACATATATGCCTTTCACGCCCCTGCTACAAGTTAGGATGGGCACTTGAGAAGTCCAGTTACCCACTCTTCAAGTAGACACGTACCATGCAATGGAATAACTTGGTTTGATGGGCCATGGATCTGGTAGATCATCCATCGTGCAGCCTTCCATGCACTGCATCTGCAGGCGTATGCATACTTTTTCACTGCATATGCGAAAAGTCGATCCTCTATAGCCGTGTGACAGGACTTTGGGTCACATAACAAAAGCTTAATTCAACCACAGGTTTGACATATAAAAGCAAATCTTCCTCTACACAACCTAGGCAGCACTCTCATCTCCTACACAAACACCGCCGTCAACAAAACCATCACAACACAATCATAACAACAATGGATGAGTTGGAGGCTATGGCTCATTCCGTTTCATTGGCGGATGCCAACGAGATCGACAATAACATGGTTTACAGATGGCAGTTTTTGTTCGGCTACTCTGCATCCGAAGCCCGCCATAAAATCGAAGCATATCGCTCAAGCCCGCACTATATTGTCCTTTCCGACAGCCACTGGGAAATGATTCGAGATCAAAAAGAGCAAGAAGGCTTCGACAGGGAGGCATACGAGTACTCGTGCACTGCCGCTGCTCGCAAGCCATGTCACCCATCGACACTGACCCAGAGGCAGAAGCAGAGACTTCAGACTTCAACATTTCTGGTCAAGCTCGAGGGGCCTCTTCAAACCGTTGAAGCCGTGGCTCAGGCTGCGAACATGTCTTCGATACAGGAGACCATAATGGCGATGGACTCGTCGGGGCAAAGCAGCTCCTTCTGCAAAGTCAATGGCCTGGAAAAAATGGCTATTGAGGCCTTTTTATCCAAGTCCCGCATTCGCTCGGCATTCTCCCCTACCTTCATTCGAATCTCAGTTGCCCGAAAGGAGTTGTCAACCGATTCCATCTATCCAACTCTTGGCATCGACTCAACACTGCCTCAACACCGACTGCGAGATCATGACAACAACCCTCAACCAGCTCAGAGCGAATACCCCATCTTGTACTTTCTCTACGGTACTCTAGCGCAGAGTGAGGTCCTTTCCGACCTTTTGGGTACAGATCCTGTGTATTACGATGCCAAGATCCATGGTGGGGTTCTCGGAAGCTGGGGCAACTACAAGGCACTTGTCGACGATCCGAGTCAGAGAAACACGGTACAAGGAAAGGCGTTTGAAGTCACATGTGAAGAGGATGAGGAGGTTCTGCGTCTATATGAGACGGAAGCGTACGAGATTGTCAGATGCCAGATTGAGTTGGACGAGGGACAGTTCATTGACGGTTTAACGTTTCGTTGGAGAAATGAGGATTATCTAGTACCAATAAAATATCGAGTGTTCTGTTTGAACGGCCATGAACAGATTCATGTGAACATTAAGCACCATAATTCTCAAGGGCATCCTTCACCAAAGCCAGATTCTGAATCACAGCCAATCCATACTGAGCAACATCGTTAGTAGAGACCCAGCTGGCCTCGTTTCCGGGGATAAGGCCGTCATGCTTGGCAATGGGAGTAGTGGCCCAAGGGGAAGTAGCCTTGAAGCCATCAGTCTCAAAGAACTCCTTCCAAGCTCGGTCAGCAATGGTCTCGTTCTTCAGCTGAGACGAAGCATATGCAGTCAGGCGAGAGTGTCCCTGGTAGAGGTTCAACTTGCCAAACTCGACACCATAGCGAGCCTTCTGCTCCTCCTTGGTAGCGCTGAAGTAGTAGCAGTAGTCAAGCCAGGCCTGCTTGAAACCTTTGGGCAAATCATCCGCGTAGTACTCAATGAGCTCAGAGACAACCTCGGGAAGACCAAAGACAGCTGACAAGTGAGAGATGGAGACGACTCCCTTGTTGTCGGGATCGGCGGGAGGCGGGCCCAATTCCCATTTCCCGAGATCATACAGACCAGAGCCCGTGACGAAGCCGTTCTTCAGCTTGGCGATGCCCTGAACCGTGTTGGTGAGCTTAGCCTTGGACTCCTCCCATCGAGGTCCACGGCGCTCCCAGTCGATGAGCCAACCACCAGCGAGGGATGACCAATCAGTTCCCAACTGAAAGGCGACGGTTGAGTTGGGGGTAGGCTTCCATCCGTCCGTGCGAACCTTTCGCACAGGATCAAGAACGCCGTAGGTCTTATCAGTGTCGAGCAGTTCCTCGAAGAGTTCTCCAATTCTCTCGTCACCACCGGACAAGTAGAAGAAGTACTTTCGGTACTGGGGCTGTGAGATACGAGCCTGCTTCGCGCTATCACTGAAGTGCTGCACGCCGTGTCGAGTACCCAGACCCTTCCAGTTACCAAGATGGTAGACATCAACCTCTCCAGTGTGACGAGTAAGAGCCTCAGCGAAGCGGTAGATATCCTCTCGGCCGGTGCGAAGGAAGTACTGCCAGAAGAAGAGATCAGGAGAAAGCTCAGAGTTATCCCAAGCATAACCTCCAACATCGTAACGCCAAGTGTGTCTGTCGACGTCGTAGGCGTGCATAAAGTCACCGTAGTCGAGGAATCCGTACCAGCGGCGATGCTCAACTTCAGATTGATAGAACTTGGCAAGGAAATCAAGATGCTCCTCAAGAGTCTTAGAGGCGGCGCTGGTAGAGTCCGCAGGAGCCCAGTATGTGCCAATCGCCTTGGTCTCCCGGATGTATGCGGACTCGGGGGTGAGGACAGGAGGGTTGTTGATCTGGCTGACAAAGCTGGCGAACTTCTCGCGTGAGGGGGTCTGATCGAAAGCGATGAGATAAATCTCACTAGTTCGAGCAATTCCATACGGGGTATCGAAGTCCTTTTCCCAGTCCTCATAGGTGATCTCAAGAGCATCCAATTCGTCGGTGTAGTTCTTCTGACCTAGGCCATCGTGGTAAGGCCTAAGGTCGAGGGGCTCGGCAGAGGGGCTGTAGAGCCAGAGAGTGATGCTTCCGGTATCAGAGCCAGCTTGAGCAATGTCGAAGCCAGTGGGGTATCGCTTCCAGAAATCTCGAAGTCCAACGGCCAAGCCACCCTTGGTAGCTCCACCAAGGTAGACCAGACCCTCAGCGCGAGTGCCAGCGGGGATATTGATCCAACTCTGCCCTGACTTGGTTCTCTTCTTGATGGTGAAGCCATCGGGTGAAAGCTGGCTCAGGCTGTAGTCGTTCCATGCTGGGATCCAGTGAAGACGAGAAGAGACTCTGGTGTCCCAAGTGCTAACATCGGGAAGTTCCTTGCCATCGAACTGAGCAGTCTTGACAGCCTGGCCCGGGTCTCTCCTTTGTCCAGTAATGGGTTGAACAGCTTCGCTGAGCAGGCCACCCTCGACACCAGCAATTCTGACATGACGGTTGTACAGCTCCTCGCCCTTGAGCGGGACATCGAATCGGAGACCAAGACCGGAGACAAAGTCCTTGGAAGCATCTCCATCAAACACCAAGCTGTGAATAATCTTGATGGACTCAGAGTTGGAGTACAAATAGAACCGGAGGACGAAGGGAAGCCAAGGGTCGTGGGATCCACTGGCAGCTTCATGCTTGCCCCTAACAGTGACAAGGGCGCGAACAGAGGTTTGCTCACTGATGGTGACGTTGTCGATGGAGCTCTGGAAGCGAAGAGACTTGATTGGGGTGTCGGTCTCGTCTTCGAAGGCGTGGGAAACTCCAGTCTGGGAGTGAAGCACAAGCTTTCCGTTCTGGGCGACTTGCTTTCCATCTGCAGACTCGATAGACTTGACAATGACAGAGCCCTTCTTGGGGAAAACTGCGGTAACCTTGCCAGTTCCGACTTCGATGCCATCGGCGCTCTCGGTAACAACGACAGCACCCTTCTTTCCGGCACCGGTTGAGGCAGTTGAGTTGATGGAGCCCCGTGCAGTCGTAGCCTTGACGACATATTCGTCAACCGGGCTGTCGGACCCTGCAATTGCGTGACCGGTCCACTTCACCGAGCCATCCGGCCAGTAGCCAGTGACCCATGACTGAAGATCAGCACTCTGACCCGAAAGAGAAAACTGGGTGTTTTCAGGAAAGTGCTTGGACCTCGGCCACGGAAGACCAAAAGTGACGCCCGAGATAAAGTCAGGCTTATCACCTAGCCAGTGAACCTTGGCAGAAGAGGTGGCATTGGTAGGAGCCGCAAGAACAGCTTGACCCATGAGGGCAGTAAGCAAAAAGGAATGGACGGCTTGTCGAAGCATGTTTGGCTAAACGACGTGCCAAGATGTGTAAAAAGAGTGTATTGGAGTTGATTCCTCCAGAGACAAGTGTGTGCTGGAGATGTTTTTTGCTCCTAGAGCGCGATTCTGGGTAGTTTTATACAAATGGACCCTATACTTGACGCCATTCAGGACCTGGATGAGAATATGCACGTAATTTCGGTCCAATGTCCTTATGAGTGCATTATAAACCCCGGCCATCCGGAGCAGGCGTCCGCATTCACCATAACTCGCATGTCGGTAGAAATAACGCCGAAAGGGACGATCTTCCGGCGACGGAATAATAGCTCAGGCTCTAGGACGTTTACTTTTACCATTTGAGCATGGAATGACATTGTTGCGAATGGGCCGAGGGGTCCAAAGAGGGAAGAGCAGGTTTGCCCCCGCGACGTCGATCACTACTACAACAGGAAGCAGAGTGTACTGCAATTTCCCACCCGTACCAAGGTCCAGGTTCCCCGCGTCGAATACCGTGATGCTTTGACTGAAAGCGTTGGAGCTAATCTCTTTCTATACTAATGGCAGCGGATAGTGCCGACCTTACACGAGGTAAAGGAAGGAGTTTACGTGGATGATGGTTGATGCAAGGTGTCAATGACACAATGCCAATGTTGGACGTGGTAGTGGGGGGGTTGACTTGGGGGATTCTCGTTGGGGGCCATTTGGGGGCTGGACCTTTGATGATCACCAGGCTCTACAGAGTAGCATTGCGGACGATCGCACCGGGAAGCGGAGTAATGAGCTCGGACGTTGTTTAATATTCCGGGCTATTGCACGTGGAAGCAGAGATCATGATCGATGGATAGCTATGTTGTTCCCGACTTTTGGAGATCAGATGGGCCATCGGGCGGAAAGTCGGAGCTGTCAAAAATCCTCAACGGCTTCCCTTAAGATAGAGTTCGGCCCGTCGCTTTCTTTCCCCTAGTAAAGTTTCACCCCCTGTCGAGTCATTTCGGAGAGCCGCCGCAACTCGCACGTCACCCAAGATACCCTAGAGCGGGAGTTTTATTTCCCGTAAGACGCCATAATAGTCGCGTTGTTCGTCAGTTACAGAGATAGAGAATTTCGCCTTTCGATGTCGTGAAATAGATAAGCTTCTCGTAGGGAGGTTGTTGTGGAACTTAGTAAAAACAATGGGAGAGTGTGCTGAACCGACTCGGATGTGAGGGTAAACACAATACGGTGAGGGCAGCAGACAAAAGAAGTATAGTCGTCATGTGAAAAAGGCCGAGTGTCTCTGTAACTTAAATGACCTTCAATTGATAGACACAACTATCAAGGAATATTTCCAGAAGCCATTAGCCTCAGCCACGTGTTGAGTGTGTGCAAGTCAGGACAACAAGTACATGTTGCAACATCCAAGCGAAGACACCAAGCATTGTCTAAACGATTGTTAAAAGTGCCCAGTAATCGCAGTCTATTGTTCTATTGTTCCATCAGTCTATACCAAGATCTAACGCACAGAATCACGACACCTGGAACCAATTTCTCGGTCTAGGTGTTAGAGAAGCCCCTTGCTAAATCTGGGGGTTTTGGTGGAGAAACTCCTCCATCGAGGTAGTCTTGACATTCAACTTATGATTGTCAAGCTTCTTGAGGGCAACAGTTCCGTCCAGTTGATAGAGCTGATAGAAGAGGCCAATGAAGCTATAAAAGTCGTTGTATGGTTTCTGGCTCCTCATTGAAAAGGCAAGCTCCCTCAGCTCGTCTAGCGTGCCTCGGTAGTTGTGAGAAATCTCAATGCCTCTGACCTCCTTGTAGATTCTCGCGAGCTCCTTGGGCGAGTAGGCACCGGAATGCAGCTCCCAGAAGCCGCCTTTAGGGGCATCATCGTGTTGGATGACCTCAGCTGAGAATTCGGCAGCGTCTCTCTCCGTGGTCAAGTCCCACTTCTCATCGCCGGTGCTCCAAATGTCAATACTGTGGTTTTCTGGGTCCCAAGGTCCGTTGTACGCAGGAGAGAAATGTCCGTGGCCGGGAACAGAGAAGTAGACTTCAGCCAAAGCTCCGGTGAGAATAAAGATGGGTTTGATGTTTGAAGACACCTTGGCCTGCTGATAAAAAGCGATCATGGCGTCATAGCTTTGGTGCATTCCAAGCCCAAGCTCCCTCCAGTCGACATTCCAGCTGGCAGCGAGGAAACGAGTGATACCGGCACGCTCGGCGGCCCGCAGGAGGAGCAATTGAGCGTCCAGCTGCATTACAGGAGTGCCAGTGTATGCGCATATAATCGCATCAGCTCCGGCACAGCCTTTATCCAAGGCTTCAACGTCATAATAGTTTTTGATCTCGACAAAGCTTTCTAGCTTGGAAAGTTGCTCGTCGGTGAGCTTCGATGGAGATCTGCCAAGACCACGGACTTGATGGCCACGAGAGACGAGGCTGTCGACCAAGCGTAGACCGAGATTGCCGGTGACTCCGGGAACGAGGACGAGCATGATGGAGATTGATTTTGCAATGTGAGGAATAATGTCAATGTGTGATAATGATTGACGTGTGTTTGTGCCAGGAGGAGCGATGGTGAACCTGAGGTAGCCATATTGCTGATACGGCTTCTGAAGTTTCTTAAATACAACCTGTTTCTGGCTGCTCGGTCTTCGGACTCCCGATGATTATCTTTTGTCCGTTGTTGAGTTAGTAATGGCATGGCCAAAGAGTCGCTCTTCGGCGCTCGGCTCTCGGATCGGGAGCACCGATGAAGGTGTATGAATCACACGTTGGGCGGGGCCTTGAACACTTTTTGGTATCTTTTTGTGGGATTTCCTAGCTCTTACCCTTTCATTAGACGCTAGAATGAGGTCGTTGCCGTATTGCTGGCCATGCTCAGTCGGTACGGGAGATACGGAGTAAGAGATGCACTGGGCCATATCGAACTCGGCATGTTGACTACCAGGGCCTCTTCCTTAGACAGATTTAATGCTATACTATTGCAATTGACAATATCTCTTTTAATGGAGCGTTATAACAAGCAACAAAAAACTGGGCGTGTTACAGATAAGCATATCAAGATTGTTGAAAAAACTTTCCAAAAGCTTGACTTGACCCACAAGATACCGAGGACCACCGATGACCTCACAAACCTCATACTCGCCGAGCACTAAACATAAACCGGGGAGTAAGCCAAGAAACCCAATATCTCGTCGCTCTGACAGTCGTCGTTGAGTTGTCGCCCTGCTCCATCTCAACTCTGAAGATCTGCCAGCACCGGAGGAACCACACAGACAATGTCCCCGTGAGAAACATGAAGCCCACAAACAACTGTGCCTCTGTGAACTTTAGATTCTCTCCACTGCCTGCTATTTGCATGGCCAAAGGCCCGCCAAAGGTAGTCGGTATTGCCATGGCGATGCAGAGTGATCCAAAGGTGCTTGCGAGCTTTTGAATGCCCACCACTTCAACCATGACTGGAGTAATGGTGCACCAGAATACACCGCACAATGCGCCGCCTATGAGTGAAAATACAAGTAACAGTGCGTAGGTCGTTGCTGGAAGCCAGATTGCAAAGCAAGAGATGGTGCAGAGGAACGTGAGAATGCCGGCCATGTTGATGCGACCAAACGAGTCACTGAGATAGCCGATCAGTGGCCGTGACAAGGCCATGCCGAGGTTCAGCAACGCGCTAGATATGGCGCCTTGTGCTGGTGTAAGGCCAATGGAGGAAGCGTATGTGGGAAGCGAGTACAGCAGAATGACATAACCCAAATCTGTAGCGAACCCCCAGGCGATAAGGAGAAGAATCTCGATCCGTCCAAAGTCGCGAGGGTTGAAACGTTCTTCGTCCAATCTCATGTCAGGCTGTGCCCTGCCGCCCCATTCCTTGAGCAAAAAGGCAGCAAGAAGATTAGCGCCGAGGCCGCAGAAAGCGAGAACGCGATAAGTCCAGCGGATCCCGACGTCTTCGATGAGCTGATTCGCGGCGATGCTGTATACCAGTCCTCCAAGACCGACACCCGCGGTTGCGCACCCGACAGCCAGGCTTCGCCGAGAAGTGAACCATGGAGGAAGCACAGCAGCGCCAGAGATGTACGATAAGCCCATACCAAGTCCAAAGCAGACGCCTTGGCTGAGGAACAACTGCCAGATCTTGGTTGCAAAGGAGGAAGTGATGAGTGAGATGAAGAGAAGAACTGAGCCAAGGATGAGAGTCAACCGCAGGCCAATGCGCTTGCGGACGACGGTCACGAGGGGGGAGGTGATCAGGGCCGCCGAAATGGAAAGCCCACCAACGAGGGAGTATTCGAAGAACGAGGCTGGCATCTCCTTTGGGTGCGTTGCGTAATAAGCCATTATCACGGCCCAAGACTGGAAAAAGGTTAGCCGTGTCATTGTATCTTGCATTGTTGTGAACTTGCAGCATTGATACCCCAGGTATGGGAATTGATGAGGAAAACGGCAAAGGCGCAAACCCATCCATAGCCTCCATTGGGAGGAATGGGCTCAACGGTAGCCACGTTTGCCATGTTATCGGTGGAAGATTCGTTAATGTTGCCCATGACATGTGGTGATTGAGATTCCATCTCAAAAGCTTCGACCCTCACCTCCCCCGTTTCGACGGCAAGATCAGCTTGGCGAGCCATGGTAGAGGATGTCACAGGTGACGTGTAGGTGAAAGTGCATAAGTCAAGAGCATGGGAGAGCAATAACTATATATTTAGTTCAATGACCGGGCCGGTGGCTTGCTATCTTAAACTTGCATTTAGCTAATCGTGATAGATCACCATCCAACGCCGACTTCGCATCTCAAGGTGTGGTAGTCATGTGGATCTAGCGTCAGTTGCTCACTCCAATCTTCCTTTACCCCGCCCTCGGCTCGCGATAAGAAGGGTTGCCAAGGCATATGACTTGTTGTAAAAACGCCCTGTATATGCATGATTTGTTATCTCCTTTCTGCTTTCGCCGTAGTAAGCCGATGAGGGGTCGGTATTCCCGGGGCGAGACTAAGTCAACCCCATGCCGTCAAAAATGGCAAAATAATAAAGATTTTAGAAGATATATAGAAGGAATCGAACAATAGATAGCGGATGGGATATTTTTGGAACTCTATTTTTATAATTCTTTTCTTTTTTTTTTTCTGACTCTGCCACCGTCCGTCCGGGGCCTGAAGACCTATGTTTTAAGGTCAATGTTGAGGCTTTAGTCCCCTGTGGTCCAATGAAGCCGTGTTGACTCATAGCCTCACACCTGGTCGTCTACAATAGATAGAGTTTACCGACCCTCCAACATGCGAACGGGCTTGAAGGTGCCCGTTTCCGGTCACGAGGAGTAGATTAGTGAGTTTACGCCACATTTTTATATGTTCCCCTCATCGGCATATCCTCCGATGTCTCCGGTATCAAGTGACAACGCGGGGCGACGGAGTTGCGCTTATCAAGGAGTCTTTGCTTAAATAAGTTATCTTTCTTAAAGCGTGAGGGGGATTTTAAAGTCTTCGGCATCGGTCTCGGAGAATGACATATCTTACAAATTTTCCGGACTTATCGTGTGTTAGTCGTGTGTTACAAGTCCCTACTTATAACGATATTCGGGCCCAGTTAACCCATCAAGGGCCGCGCGGCAACTATAATAAAGAACAGATCTTCAACACATCATAACATCATAACCCGATGTCTACTATCAACCATGACAGAGATGAGCATGGACCCCCCAGATCTGACGAGGTTGTGCTAGGTTGCATACCATTTCGATGCAGTTGCATTCAAGGCGACGCCAAACTGGGTAGGGATGTATCATTTCCACTTCGATCGGTCTATTAGATCTAATTACGTCTTGCCAGCGAGTCGACGGAATTCTAAGCACTTTTGATACAATTAGGCACAAAGCTGTCAGATATCCATTCACAATGACCTCGAAATGAAGCAATTAACAATTGATTTCAGCGAGAGATGTTGGATTTACTTGGCGCCTCTTGCTGACAAAATCTCGCTGACTAACGGACCCAAATAGTTGGAATATCAGGCATGCTCAGGTGCCCAACAAGTCGAACCCTGCAGGTGGGGTTCAGGGTTCAGAACCGACATGATCGGATAACAACCAACTCAGACTTGCTAATCCCTGCCCAAGTGTTTGGAATTCGAGTCCTGTCTCCGGGCGAGCTTAAGACCCTCTTCTGGTTCTGAACCTCGGTTGGCGCTTGAGCGATGGATACCTCCTCTGAAACCTTCTCTTACCAGTCTCTCGACGGTGATTCAATCCGACTCGTCACCATCGAACCTGGGTCATGGGACTCCATTATAGAATGTCGAGTCGACGTGAGGAAGCTTGACCGGGGCAAGAGTCGCTTCAGGGCCCTATCATACGTCTGGGGCGATAGCAACATCCGTCGCGCAATACGTCTCAACGGCGACGACTTTGAGGTGACAGTGAACCTTTTTGAGGGACTTCGGCAGATTCGAGAGTCTATGTTTGAAAACGGCACTCTCTCCCAGTTACCTATCTGGGTAGACGCTATCTGCATCAACCAAGGCGACAAGGATGAGAAGGCGAAGCAGGTCCCCAACATGCACCAGATCTACAGCACCGCTGAGGAGGTTCTCTTGTGGCTCGGTGTCATGCCTATTCCACCTGACTTCTTAAAGCCGTGGATCTACAACGAAAGATACTCTTGGATGGGGTTTGACGATGAAGATTGTCCAATGAGCGAGCAACTTAGGGCGGATGCCCTCGAGAGATACATCGTGTACGTCCGAAGCCCGGTGTATCCGATTCAACGTCTAAGTAAAAGGCCTACTGGAAAACCTCGGATACAACAACTGATGCACTTTGCCGTGGCATCGGCGCTTCGTCATTGCACTTACTTCCAGAGGTTATGGACTGTTCAAGAAGCCGTACTTGCAAAGGATGGGCCCATCGTTCTGGTGAACCGGCACGTCCTGACCTGGGACGAGTTCACGCACAAGGACCGTCTGGAACGAGAGCAGTCTGTGGAAGTCTCGAACCGTCCCCACACCTCGTTTTTCGGCATTTCGTCGCTCAGGAAACAGCTCACCTCGGGCCACCGCAAAAGGCCATATGAGCGACTACTAGACGTCATTGAGGGCTTTTCCGACCTAGCGTGTACGGAGGCCGTAGACAAGCTATACGGCCTACTCGCCATGGTTCCCCTGCATGATTTGCCGAAGTCTCTTTGGCCAGACTATGAAATACCCTGCGAAGAGGTTTACTGGAAATACGCCACGTATATCTTTCATCATACTCAACACTTCGCCCTCCTCGACCGGTACACAAAACCTCTCCCTAAAGTACCGTCGTGGGTTCCAGAAATTGGAACCCATAAACAAAAAATACTAGTACGAAAGCGCAGCTATCAGCTCCTAGACTTCTCGGACGACTTCCGGGAGATGTCCGTCTTGGGGTACGACTACGGCATCTGCGAAGATCGCACGGAACGCCCTTTGGGTGTGTCCAGGCCAGAGGACCTGAAGCTTGTGGGGACATCTATTGATCTCCGGGACGCGGTACGACAGCTTGAGGAGCACATATTTGCGCCTTTCGGCACGTTTGGTCAGTGGAGATGGCACAACGCAACGGGATTAAGAGAAATGTCAATCAAGCCCAACCCAGGATCAGAACACAGTGAGGACATGTTCGAACTCGCCCAGAAAATGGACTTGAGCGAGATGCTAGAGTTATGCTCAAGGGATCAAGACCTAGCAGCACGCGCCTTGAGACACTGGAGAGAGATAGCCGCGTTTGCGTGGACGTCTCTGAGAACGAGCAAGGGGAGGATATACACTTTTCGTGATAACCTCTGGGTTGATGACGTTCAGCCTCGCAACGGCGATCGCATCTTTAAGATCAACGGCATGAGTGACCCGGTTTTTCTGCGACCAGAAGCTGACGGCAAGTTTCGACTGCTAGGGCGAGTAGCAACCTGCAGTACGAAGGTTTTTTTTGAAGACTTTTTGGAAACTGTGACTTTGATATGATGTGTAATTTCCTTATTTTTTTTTTATGATCTCTTCGCATGTTAAAATCAGATCTAATTATGAAGCAACCGTTTTTCTCCATCGAACCGCCGTTTTCCCACTTCGCTTAGATAGACGGCACAGTTCTGCACTCTAGTCACTACTCTTTATGACCATAGATTAATTCGCAGTAAGTTACAAACGATAAGTAAGCAGTATTCTCGTAAGAAATCCCTTCAGTGGTAATATTGAGGAACAACACCCTTTACTCGTAGCCATCCCTTCTCGACGGCCTCAAGAACCTCATCCGGCAGCGGCCCCTTTTCCAGATCGACCAGATTCTGCTCCAACTGAACTGCACTGCTCGCTCCAATAATAATCTTGTCGCCCTTCTCCTTGCTCATGGCACTATGGTGCGACAGCCATCGTAACGCACACTCCGCCTCGGTCAGTTGATGCTTTGCAGCCGCAGCTCTGAGCCCCTCCAGCGCATCAAAGTAGGCGTCGTTGACGTATCGCACGTGGTGCAGCTTGCCCTGGAGATGCAACGGGTCGAATCGAGACCCTGGAACATAGTCGGTGTCGCTCATGCTCCGTTTATACCGCGACGTGAGGAATCCACCTGCCAATGGCTGGAACGAGTACAGGGATATGCCGTAGTGGCGAAGGCACCGCATGAGCTCAGGCTCAATGGCTCGGTGGAAGGCGTTGTATACGCCTTGGTAGACGGTCGGCTTGATCCATCCGTGGCGTTCACAAATCTCGCAGATGGCGGCTACCTCCCATGACATGTAGTTGCTGACACCGAAGCGATCGAAGTAGCCCTCCTAGTATAAGGAGTCTACCTCTCGCAGAGTTTTTTCTAGAGGGGTGCTTCGATCTGGTCCATGGAGATACCACAGGTCGAGTTTAGTGGTTCCTAGAGCTTCAAGGCTGTCTTTGAGACCCTTTCGTACATCCACAACTTGTAGCGTGTAACTCAAACTCCCAGCGCTTCGTGTGCGTGCGTTAGGGTACAGCTTCGTGCCCATCTTGAGGTTTCAGCCTTGCTAGTCGGCGTCGGCGAGATTTACCTCACAGGTATTATTTCCGGCTGGCAGCCTCGGACCCAACCTGTCCGAGACAGCGTGTCACTAGCTCTCTCCAATCTGCAAGAGATATCGTCCCCTTCCATGTTGCGGGTACTGGCCTGGCCACTTTTCGTGGTGAGCTGCACGGCGTCCAGGGAGCAGCAAGAGGCGTTTAGGCACATCTTTCGTCGCTTGGAAGATTTGCGGGCAGCCAAGTATCGAATCGACACTTAAGAAGGTCTCATTTGGCTTATGTTTATCTCTATCTTTCGTATGTCGTATAGCATTAATGTTAACTTATTTTTTAAGTATCATTTATGAATTTCTATTTAATATCTTTTATTATAATAAGTTCTCGAGTTCTATGAAGCTGTGATGTCAACTTTTCTCTTAGAATTCGACTCACACTACAAGTTGCTTAATATATCACCCAGTATTTCCGTCAGTTATCATCCATGTCACAAGGAGAGGCATTGTATGCCATTAATTCAACCAAAAATGGCGATTTCGTTATGCCTCGCTCACGTTGGCGGTTGCTTATATCCGCTCAATCCTACCTCGATAAGCAGGGCCAGGGGCCATTATTAACACACACGTGACCCTCGCCAAGCCTAGGGATTTGGATCGACTAACAGGGCTGCACATTCTTACTCTCACTAAACACACCATGAGCGCGTCAAACGGGAATCAGGCGTCGGTGACGTTGCTGAAAACATGCCAAACATGTTTTAACCTGAAGATCAAGTGTGACAAGACTCAGGATTCTGATCTTTGTGATCGGTGTCTTCGGCTTGGCAAGACATGCGTGTTTAATCCGGCCCGGCGTCGGCCACGCAACACTAGTCGTCACAGGTGAGAATGTCAAACAGAGGCGATGCATCAAGACTAATTGGCTTTGGTATTATAGATTGGAGCTGAGGTCAAAATCCAAGAGAAACTCTAAATCACCATCAAACTCGGGCGCTTCAACTGCAACTGCGACCCCCGGCGACATCTTTAACAAAGATGCGTCACTAGACCCTTTTCAACGAGGGATCATATCTTTAGAAGATGGGGACAAACTTCTCCACTACTTCCAATCGAGGATGACGCCGTACTTCCCATTTGTTGTGTTCCCAGAGGACATTTCCGTCGGCATAACCAACTCGTATCGACCGTGTGCCTGTCTGGCTGCGCTCGCAGCGGCCTCGCATGCAGATACAAACCGTCAAAAATCACTTGGCGATCTATTCAACCAAGTCGTGGCAGCCAAGATGATTAGTGGGAAGTTCAATGACCTTGACCTACTACAGGGTCTTCTCATACATCTTGCTTGGTATGCTGCCCGTCTCATCAATCGAAAACGACCCTGCTGAAATTTGGTTCTAGGGCACATTACCAACCTCGACCAAAGAGATATACACAGCACTTGCATCTCGCCACAAGTATTGTTAGCGACATGCGTCTTGATAAACCAAGGAGACCAGAGTTATGGGATGTCGGCGGTGGTAAAGACAAGGACGAACCAGACTGGGGCCCACCCGAGATGCGCGCTCTGGCAGGTGCATATTATCTATCATCTACGTGAGTCAACTTGACTAGGCTTTTTACTTTCACTAATTTCTCCACAAGTTCCTCTGTTGTGCTTCAGAAGGCACGCCACATGTCGCATTCTCCTTATATCTCAAGATGCTGCGAGCATCTCGGTCTACTTAACCTGCACCCGACTGACAAGTACCTCGTCTATATCATCCGCGTGCAGACTCTAATTGAAAGGGTTGATGACATTGTCAGCAAGCCTTCTGCCGCTCAGGACCTTTCGCCTTTCTGGGAGGAGACTCAACGGATTGCTCAAGAGTGCGCTGAGATCAAGGCAACATTACCCTTTCCCCTCAGCGACAGCCGTAAGTTCCCTGAGGCAGAGCCTCTACTCAATATCCACCTAGATATACAACTGACATGTAACTAGCGCCATTGCTGTTGCAACTTCACATGCTGGAGCTTCTTCTCAGCCAGTCATCACCCCGAGGAACTCCCTTTGGGCTCGACAAGTTTCAGCGCAACCAGGCCCCCGCAGAAGGCCAACCTCCCATGATAGACTGGCTCTCTGCCAGTATGTCGGCGGCTCGCTCCTTGATCAGCGTGGTGTTGGTTCTTCCACACGGCGAAGAGATGGCAATGTCGAACATGGGGTGGATCATGATCTATTGCGGTCTATCTCTGGCGGTCCGTCTTGATCTTATTGCCATGAGAGGGACCATGTCCGGGTCAACCGGACACCTTCGCCGGTTCCTGGATATGCCTCATACACTTCGGCAGATTGTGCTTCGCCTAGAGTCAGCAAGAGATGGGGGCAAGAACACGGCTGTTAATCTGCACCCGTTTGAAGGCCTGGCTAAACGAGTTCGTCGGCTTGAAGTGTGGTACCAGGCCCAGGCTGGCGATTACCTTGCCGTCACCACCACTCCTAGCCCACAAGTTGTGGACCAATCCAATGTTGTGACAGTGGACGCCAACAGCATGCCTGTTGCAAACCTACCAGGATATCCGGATGTCAATGCCTGGGGAGGGGCTGGTTGGTACCAGGGGGGAGAGTTTGACATTAGCACTTTTCTCTTTACGGACCCTGTTGACATGCCTGGTAATTTCGGCATTGGAGATAGATTTCTTTGAGTGTAGCGGACTTGGATACGGTATAAAATCATCGACTCTGGTCCGGCCGGTTGTTGGGACTCACAACTCCGACTCCGAGTCGGACTAAGATACGGAGTAAGATACGGAGTAACGTACGGACTAAGACCTTGAGACGCCTATCAGCGTTTTGCACAGTAGATGCCGTGTAGTCCTGGATTTAGTGAAGGATTGATCGTCAATATTCTAATTTCGGCTTCTAAGCCTCATTCAGGCGTTGAAATATTCTCCGTGAAAGCCGAAGCTCTGGTCTACTCGGCATGTATAATAAGACACCATCAAGCCAGCAATGGCTCAATCTGCATCCTCTCCATCTCATCTTCAACTACCTTTCCTCTTTTTTCTTCGATCACCTTCAATTTCAAGAAAGATGCGTTCTCTTATTCCCTTGGCGGCTGCCGCATCGGTCCCAAGCGGTCTCACCACCACGGTATCTGCTCAGCAGAATGAGAATGACATTCCCTTTTCGGCTTGCCCTCTCATAGGCGCATACTACCCTCCGCTAACCATCGACAAGTCGTCCAAGACTTTTGCGCAGCTTCAAGCAAGGTTCACCGGGGTTTTTAATGACCTGATTAAGAATGGCGGAAGCGATGATTATGGTCCCATCTCGGCAAACACGACGTCTTTCTCTGTGGTTCTCTTTGGAGGTGCTGAATCGCTTCGCGATGATCCGGTCTTTTTCGAATACCACTACACCTCCCCTGAGGACCAAGCTGCTGTAAAGGCAAACCTTACCTCGACGACAAAGTTCCCCGTTGGCGATTTGTCTGTGGTCTTTACCGTCTACGCGTGGCTCGTCAAGAATGGCGACAACTGGGAGACTCCTATCACAAAGTACCTGCCAGAGTTGGCGAGAGTCAAAGGACCATTGACGGTACCTTGGAAAGAGGTCACGATTGGATCTTTGGCTGGCCAGATGTCTGGACTTAGTCGTCAATGTGAGTTATAATGATCGATGCCCTGAGATATTCACTGACAACATAACCAGCCCAAGCGTGTGTCATTGGGGAACCTTGCGATTATGCTTGTAAGTATTGATAGAAACACGAGATGATAAGATTAACGGCTAATAGTTGTAGCCTTTGTCAGCGATTTTGCAAAGGAGGCTCCCGTTTTCCTCCCCGATACGACTCCAGTTGTATCGTACGCTGCCTTCCAACTCCTTGCCTTCGCCATGGAGAGGCAAACCCAACATGGAAGGAGAGAGAACTCTTGGGGTTCTGTTTTAGACGATTCTCTGCTACGTCCTCTGAACATGAGGTCTAGTGGTCTACTGTCCCCTGACGACACGGACGTGTTTGCCATTGAGGGACTGAACCTTTCACAAATCGGCGAACCTGGGTAAGTAGAGTGGCTATCCTTTGATCTTGAAGATCTTTCCCAACTGATGTATTCCAGTGCTTTGTCACTTGTCAGTTCGATCGAAGACCTTGCTCGAGCCGGCCACTCCATCCTGTCTTCCACCCTTCTGTCACCTGCAATCACTCGACGATGGCTCCACCCCAACATGGACACGTCCAACCTGCGAAACGGTGTTGGTCGTCCTTGGGAGGTCTACCGTGCTGGATCCACTGCCATCTCGCCCGTTCTCGATGTCTTGACCAAGAGCGGCACCATCGGACAGTATGCCAGCTACTTTGGTCTCACGGCCGACTTTAATGCTGGTTTCGCGATCCTTGCGCACGATAGCACTGTCAAAGATCGCAAGCTTGATCTGAATGTGCATGCCGATATCGTTAGCGAGTCTTTGGGATACATGCAGGCTTTTGCTGCCAAGGAGTTGGCCCAGCGCTATGCGGGCAGCTACGAGGCGGCTAACGGGGGTGCGGCTGTTCTCAATATCACCGAAAACGGCCCAGGCCTAGAAATTCAGAGGCTGAGCATCGGCAAGGTTGATGTCAAGACAGAGACGGCGAAGAAGCTCGGTATCAAGGTCGCCGACTTGGACTTTAGAATCTATCCGACCAACGTACAGGACAAGTCCAAGCATCAGTTTGTCGCCGTTTTTCAGGATAGGAGTGCTCCTATCGATAAGGGTACGCCGACTTGTATTACCTGGCAAGAGGTTGGTGCCGTTGCTGGTGTTGAGGATATTTTTGTCTTTCTTCTGGATAAGGATGGAAGCGTTGTTGGCTTTGAGCTTCCTGAGACAAAGGTGAAGTTTGAGCGGGCGTCATAGTTGACGCATCTTGGCAATACGGATACTTTTATGAGTTATAAGCTTTTTTATTTTTCAAGATCGAGTTGATTGGTCACTGCTCTCGATTAGTCGGATCATCAATGTAGTTATAGATCATGAGGTGGTCACAGCCTAGACAGGCACGTCAATATTTGGTCTTGCTTCATTCAACAGATTCATAAACGCCGAGGCCTGGAATAGAGAAGGATTCTCGCTTACGAACTCTCACAATGCAATGAGAATCATACGACCAAGGTAGTGATCCAATCATCTTGGCCATCCTCTCGGATGTCATCGTCCTGGGCAGTCTTATAGCGGGGTTGCTGCCTAAAAGGAAGAGCTAAAATCAACGTCCAGGGGGTGAGACGCGACGCCCTCAAGCGTGAGATTCACGTTCAATCCCTTCACCGTAACAACATCAGGATCAGCAACATTGAAGAAACAGTCAAAATGGCCTCTACCGCACCAAAAGTCCCCCTCCCTGAGCGCCGAGATCCTCCTGAAGTGATCGACCAGCAAGCATCAAAGCTAGTCGAGCTCATCAAGAGGAGCAAGCACTTTATCGTCTTTACGGGCGCAGGAGTGTCAACATCCGCAGGCGAGTTACTCCATCCAGTACCGCATAACAATAGCTCATATAGCATCCAAAATACAGGTATTCCCGACTTTCGTGGTCCTGAAGGTGCCTGGACACTCAGAGCCCAGGGGAGAGCGCGCACCACCAAGGCCGTGAGCACTCTTCAGGCGGTCCCGACACCGAGCCACATGGCGCTGCTGGAACTCCAAAATCGAGGCATTATGAAATATCTCGTCAGTCAGAATTGTGATGGACTACACCGAAGAAGTGGTATCCGGCCGGTAAGCATGGCCAGCTAAGGAGCAAGACTGAAGCCATGTACTCACGCAGTTATGTTTAGGACATGATCTCGGAGCTTCACGGAAACAGCAATCGTGAATGTTGCAGAGATTGTGGAAAGGAATACATCCGCGGTATGTAGAGTTTCCTTGATGTTATTCTCATACTAATGCCGCCAGACTTTCGCGCCGTCGCAACGTACGAAAAGACTGTCCGTGATCATCGAACAGGCCGCACATGTACCCGTTGCGGAGGCCTTCTCCACGACAGCATCATCAACTTTGGCGAGGACCTACCCGCCGAGGCGTTTCAGCTAGCAACCGACCATGCCGAGAAGGCCGATTTGTGCCTCGTCCTTGGTTCATCTCTAACTGTCACTCCAGCGAGTGGTATACCGCAGATCTGTGGGATGAGGCGAAATGCCAAGCTCGTCATCTGCAACCTCCAGAATACGCCTTTTGATCGTATTTCGGAGATGCGCGTTTACTCCGAGGCGGATAATCTGATGACACGAGTAATGCAGGGACTAGGGCTCCCTATTCCTACCTTCATTCTCAAACGAAGACTGGTCATTAAGGCAGAGACGGACAGCAACGATCGTCAGTCTCTGACGCTTAGCGGGGTCGATGTTGACGGTACACCCGTATCATATCTCCAATCTGTCAAACTCGAGTACAACAGACGACTTCTTCGGTCTGAACCGTTCACGTTCAGCTTTCGGTCTGCTTTAAGCCCTGGCACAGACCTCAAGTTTGAGCTTGAGTTTATGGGTCATTATAATGAGCCGAATTTAGTTGTGGACTATCAGGTTCAAGACGGCGAGGGCCATGAGGCGTTTTATGATCTTCACTATGACCCTAGTACGGGAGAGTGGATGACAATTAGATGATGACAGTAGATTGGGATGTTGGAGGGCATTAGCGCGACTCCCTGGGAGTCACTTTGGGGCGATTACGGCTAGCCCAGCTGCGATAAAGATCACACAGGTGGGAGGAATGATGGTTGATATCGCGCAATTGAAATATCTAGATCCTCTGCACAGCCTTTCCCATCGGCTCAACGATGTTCCTCTGGAAATACCTCTGCATCTCGTATTCACTCAGGCCTTTGGTCCTTGTATCAAAGTCCAAACAAGTCAAGATACAGCGTGCAAACACTGCACCCACTTGATGTGGCAACATTTTGACGCACTTTTCTTTCAGGACCTGGGTCACCTCGGACGGGGCAATTTTTTCTGGGTCCTGCTTGAAAGACCTCAGAGCCGACTCGATGTCTTTCCAGAGCGCAATCTCGAACAAGACTACACCAAGTGAGTATACATCGTGGCTCTTCTTGAATCGCGCTGTTGGCTTGTTCCATCGCGCAGGAATGCGGTAAAGGTTTTTTGCTCGGGAGTGATCCTCTTCTAGGTAGGTAGCTGCGTCGCCAGCGCGAGAGTACTCGAACCCAAAGAGTAAAGGGTTACTGAGATCAAAGTCACCGAGAGTCGGGGAGAGTGAGTTCTCATCTTCCCCATCTTCCCTGGTCAATGATATCTTTGGCAGAGCGGCAAAGGCGATGTTATTGCTCCTAATACTCTTGTGCACCCATCCCACGCGGTGGAAATGTTCGATTGCAGCAGTCATTGCCCATGCGAGATGGATCCTGTGTCCAAGAGGAACGAGTTTGTGTATCTTGTACAGATCAAGGAGAGTCTCAACACCGGCGCCGTCACTGTGGTCAAACGCTGGCGGCAAGTCGAACACAAGGCCCATCTCGTTTCTGGTACCGCGGTTCCAAAAGAAGCCTGCACAGGGCAGGATATGAAATCCCGTACGCTTGGGGTGACGGAGTAGTCCAGTGATCCGACGCGCTTGGTGCAGTGTCTGTGGCTGTGGTTCACCACTAAAGTCATTTGCCTCCTTGTACTCGTACGTCTCCATGATGACGGGCTGGCCGGCTAGAGTGCCATACTTGAACCGGCTGTGGTTGGATGTGCCATTGGACCCTCCTCGACTTTTAGCTGTTTTGAACGCAATAGTTTTGTAGCTGATCTCAACAGTGTAGAGGCATGCTTCTTCGTTGAGAATAGCCTGGCGGAGGTCAAGTGCAGCACCCACGTCAGCGGCTGCGAGAAGTGAGGGGGTGTTGTCGTCAATAGTTGTGTCTTGAGGATGGCTTGGGTCTTTCGTGGCTGTATCCTCTAGCAGCAACGGAGTCTCAATGGCAGTGCAGACTGTGGACACCGTCTCCTCTATCTCATCCAACGACCGATGAATAGCATCTGCTTTCTCGACAGGCGGGATAGTTGTAGATTCCTTGGCGTACTGGGCAGCCGCAGCCATGACAGTGTCCAGCCCTCGCATGCGTCTTTCAATCTCATCTCGGGCTGCTTGAGACAGATCTTGGAATACTGAACCCTTTGGAAAGGCTTCTTGAATCCGACGGGCACGACTGACGACAGCCTCAATTCTGACCGCCGTAGCATGCTTTGGAGGAGCGCTCTTCAGCCACTCGGCGATTTGGGTGCCTGTCACGTCCCCCGAGAGAGACACTCTAAACCAAAGGTAACCGGAAGGCTTCGTCATGAACCCATGTTCATCACTCAAGCGTTGCAGTTGAATGCTGGTTGGGGATTTCCGCACGAAATTGTGAAAGACGGGCGTTTCTAGCAATCTCGAATGTGAGCACATATTCAACAAGGACCCAGATTGGCAACCGATACATACCAGTAATTTTTCTATGCTCTCTCAACTCAGATGACAGATTCTCAGACGAGATACCTTCGTCGGCGTGCAGTTTGAGTAGCTTGGTAAGCGTGGTTGTAAAAGATTTCGTTCCTGGCACTGGCGTTTTGCCATCTTTGGCTGAAGCCGCGATTAGCTCGAAGCGACTCCCCTCATCCTTGGAACCCAGAGCAATAAGTGATGCATTGCAACAGTCTAGGATAAGAAGAACATCGCCTGGGGCTGAGAAAAGCAGTTGCTGTCCTTCATTCCACGACAGCTTGGGTTGTTTCTGGTCCTCGAAAGCCGCCCACTCGGCTTGACCATGATCACCGGGACCGCAGTGACCGGCATAATAGACAATTATCAAACCATCTCGCTGAGATTGATTCTCGACGAAACCGAGAATCTCCTTGTTGAGGCGTATACGACACGACTTGTCAGTGGGGATGCGGAATATGACACTGTTGTAATTGTACTTTGTCCGAAATACATCTCGGAGCTTCTGAACCTCATCTTCTACACCTTCAAGGTCATTCACTTCCCAGTGGATGAGTAAGACGTGGACTTGGGTGTATGGGGTGTGAAGGCCTGGCTCTATGCCGCTGTTGAACGATTGGACAATGTCGGCATCAGCCATTTGACCGGCTTTCAGGAAACACTTTCGACATACATGAGAGAAAGAAATTGAGGGGAAAAGCAGCCTGAGGATGCGCATCAGCTGAGCAACCGGATAAACGTATTTGCTATGCTGTGTAACGCACCATGGAACAAGGCCTATCATGAGGGGTTGGCTGAATTGTTGTTTCCTCTTCTCTCAGCAGCCACCAACAGGGAGGGTTATCGCCAACCGGCGAGATTGCCCGACCAGAGCCTGGCGAACAGCGACCCCGCAAGTATATAGCCTGCAGTAATTCGTCCAAAGTCCTATCTCCAATGCTGTCGCCTTCTTCCCGTGTTTTGTAAAGTTCAAGATTTGTGACCATGTCGGAGCCTGATAACCCCCGTCGCCGAACAAGGCCTGAAGACTCCTCTGAAGACGAAGAGGCAAATGACACTATACTTCCTACACTTCCTTCTAGCTGACACGCACTCAGCCTCAAACCGGCTTCTCGGAGAACGCGAAAGGACGCTATCGCTCTCGCGTCGATCAATATGGGACCAAAGCCGACGTGAGTGAGGCAATAACGGTTAGAGATATGCGACTGACCCCAGCTGAACCACCCCTGCAGTGGCCCCGTGAGCCACTCTACCAAGTCGGCGAGACCGTCTACCTCCAGATCGCTGGACGCCAGCAGCCCGCCGGCCCCTACGTGATCGTCTCCAACGACTTTGAGAATGCCACGTACCAGCTCCAGCGATTGGATAATGGCCAGAGGCATCCGGTGGCGGTACCCGAGACCAGTCTGAGGGTGCCAAGCTCTTGATTTGCTGCAGGCCGGGGGATACAGGGGGGCGCAGCCAGGCTTCTGCTGCCTGGTTTATGGAGGCCGCTGGGTGTCTGGCACCAATGGGATGCTGTGCATGAATGAGGGGCCCTGAAATCTGCACATTTCACACAGATCAGGCGTATCCAGCGATGGCTGAGCTATTGTTTAAAGACTCAAGGTTACGGTGAACAGTGTTGCAGTGGAAATTACATCTTATCGCTTACGAAAGAATATCAAAGCTGCTCATTCTCTCCTTGGCAAAGTCTTGATATCGTCAATTCACTTTGAGATTAAACACCATGACGGCAACGACAGCATCAAGAGCCTCGACGGCATCGGGAGCCTCCACCGGCGCGACGGCTTCTCAGATAACTCAGCAACAATTTATTAGCAGACAAAGACGTAAGGAACACACCACAAATTCTTGACACACTCTCTCTGGTTAATAGTCGAAATAGACTTGACAGATCTGACATTCGGATAGCAATTGCGAGATATCAATCACAGTACGATATTCCTCGTCCCTCTTTTACGACAAATCCGCCACAAAGTATGTATCCCACATAGTCCGCAAAGACCATTCAAGTGATCTTTAGTATCCTAACCTCTGACTTAGTTGAATCCTTTCCCCGTGGTTATCCCTCGTTATCAGCATTCCTTGGCAGCGATCCAGATTTTACAATATTCCGATGCTTTACCCGTTTGCACACGCGTGTTCTTCTTCACAAACAAGACGACCTGATAGAGCTTGAGCAGCAGTTGGATCAACTGGACCTTTCACAAAGTCAAACCAACCCATATCTTCTTACAACGAATAGACGCTGCGAAGCGAACAAAGACCGACAGGAACTCTTGGAGAAGATAGAAGAGAAGCTTAAAGAGTACAGTAAGGAAGACAACTAGGGCTTGAAAAAAGTCACTCTCCGAGTGCATTGGCTAAGGATGTACAGACGAATTACTCGCCGCATTCTACGCTCATCTAGAACGCCCCGAGCCAGAAGAGTCTGAGATCCAGAGTGTGGCGAACTGGATGGATGGGAAGAAGCCAGTGGCTTTCGCGGAGTCAACCTTTCTCAACGATTGGAGTGACCTTAGACGGGCAAAGCACTCCGTAGAGAAAGGCGGCTTGGAGACCTTTCTTGGCAGATATGCCGGCGTGTTCAGCCCATGCAAGGTCAGTAAGCATCTACTCTGAAAGTAGGAATATCTGGGACCAGGAATCTCCTTTCGGATACTCTGCTATTGTCTTATTCTATTGCTAACAGCACAACTAGGATACCAACCCGAAATCAGAGGATCCACAGATCCAGTTCATCAAGCAGTCCAAAGTAGTAGCCCTCTCACGAGCGTTAACCACCATCTTCGCCGTGGCTACCCTCGTGGTCCCCATTGGGATATTATATGTCGTCAAAGCAGTCCCGACGAGACTTTTGGTCATTGCTGCTTTCACTGGGGTCTTTTCTTCTGCTCTCTGCTGGTTAACATCGGCTCGCAACTACGAGATCTTTTCAGCAACGGCGGCATATTGCGCGGTCATGGTTGTATTTGTAGGAAGCTTGCCAAATGAGTAGCAGTCCGTATGAAATTGGCGTTTAGACATAACATCTACCTACCTCTTAAAACTACTCGACATTTTTTGTATCGGCATAGAGCAGGTCTAGGAACTCATCTCGCGACCAGTCCGGCATCTCTGGGTCTACAAACGGTCCCACCCTGGGCTCCCTAACAATCTTTCGCTTCGGTCGTGAAACGGATCCTCCCGCTTTCTGTTTGAGTTCCGCTTCTCGGAGTAGCTCAACCACTTCATCAAGGCGGTCCACCATGCCCATCTCGATCCGTTTGGCCCTGTCATGGTAGTCATATGCTGCTCCATCCAACGCGTGAATATCTCTTCGGATGCGCGGATGATTTTGTCGGATAAACTCTCGTGACTCAGGATCTGTGAACTCCCGTAGTGTCAAGGTTGCCAGGTCAAGAGGTGTCTCGTCGACAGCGGAGATCTTTGTCGGGTCCGCACCGGCATTGAGAAGGGCCTTGACACCGTCAACGTCGCCGAAATATGTGGTTTTATGCAGGGCAGTCCAACCACTATCGTCTTGTTCATCTATAATGTCTTTCTCGCGGAGCTGGGGGCAGAGCGCGAGGCATTTCCTGACGTAGGATGGTCTTTCGGAACCTCTGCAGACCGCATACTTCAGGATCGTCATCTCGGAATCAGTGGTCAAGGTGAAGTGATTGCTAGCCCCAGCGTCGAGGAGTATCTTGACTGCCTCGATATTTCCAAAGCAGATGGCACTAGCCATTGCATCTCCTTTCTCGATGTCGGCGCCATTCTCAACCAACAGGGCCAGCACCTCCAGAGACCCTCTTTGTCCGGCTAGAGAGAAGGCTGTCATATCACCAGAGGCATTCAATGCATCAATGTTGGTTTGTGGCCAACAAAGTAACTCCTCGGCAGCCCGGGCTGCATCGAAGAAAGCACAGTATTGTAGGGCTGTCAGACTTCTCGGGCCTGACCTGAAGGAGTTGATGTCTCGGACTAGCGGTAGAAGCAGGGGGATCTTCCAGGCCGAGAATCGTCGATGTCCACAGCACATGACAGCCGAGGTGACAATATTGCCTTCTTTACCGTCGTCCATACTTCCAGTCGTGGCTCCGGCTGAAAGTAACTCCTCGAGGATGTATGGCTCAAGATCCATGTTCTTCACCGCAACTAAGAGCGGTGTCTCGCCCTCGGAGTCGAGTCCATTGATATCCACGCCCGCATCACGGAGGACTTTGATGGCCTCCCGTAGAGCAGCCCGGTTATGCTTGCCATGACTCATATACCTCGCAAAGGGGAATGTGTGATAACCAAGCATGTGGAAAGGCGAAAAAGACCAGTGGAAGTCTCCACCAGAGACCTCACTTCCGTGATCGAGGAGCAGCTTGACAATCTCCGGAAAGTGGCAGGCTGCTGCAACATCGAGTGGACTGAAACTGGGATGGTGTTCTCGGTAGCCATCCTGATGTTGGGTTGTTCGTGAATTTGTTCTCTTGTTGACATCAGCTCCAAGACGGAGATATGCCTCCACAAGGTCCTTGTAGCCTGCCATGATTGCCCAATGCAGGGGTGTGCCTCGAAGCTCGAGACAGCGGTGGGGAAGCAACACCGTCATATCATGTTCCGCGTTCAACAGAGAGCGTATGGAGTTCAAGTGAAATTTCTTCTCCGTCTCTTTCGTCTGTGATGATGCAACTGTCTCAAGCACCTTGATAGCATCCTCTTGGCTAAACATGATCAGCCAATGGAACGGGTTGGGTTTCTCCGTGTCGATGGTGTAGATGTCTGTACAGTGCTGAGCAAGGAGCATTGCTGCGTCCAAGTGGCCATCCCTGCAAGCGTCTGTGAATGCGTCGGATAGCTCGGGTGGCTCATACTTCTTCCCTTTTTTGACCAATCTGGAGAAGATCTCGAAGGACTGGATCTTGATAGGGCCGAGGGTCAAGAACTTCTCATCTGCTTTGTCACTTCTCTCCAGGGCGCCATCGAGGAACATGTCTGGGTTCCTGTAGGTGATATGGGCTGGTCCCTCGTCGGCGTCATGTTCTTGGTCTTCATCAGGCTCCAGGGCCGCGCGAACTCTCCCGAGGATCACTCTGGCAACCTCGTTGTGCTCACTGGCGAGTTCAAGGTGCTGCAGCGCTTTCGAAGTGTCGTCGGCAACTCCGTATCCAATCAGGTACATGATGGCCAATTGCAAGTAAGCCTGTGCTCTCCTTTCGTCGTCTTGCTCAGTCTTGATGGCGTGCTGTAGAAACTCAAATGCTGCGCACTGATTTTCCCAAGGCGGCTGCCTGTTAAGAGATGCCTAAGCCATCATTAATATCCGCTGTGTTTGCAGGCCTGACGTGATATACTCACACTAAACATGTCTTCTGGCCCATAGCAATGGGTCTGGGGTGTTAAGACCAACGTTCCTACACGCTTTACTGGCGGTAACCTGGCAACTTGCAGGGAAGGGTCTGCGGGAGCATCTATTGGCACCACCCGGAGATGTTCAGACGTTTTTTCCAGGCGGAGGAGCCGAGCGTATGGGCCCTCGTCGGGGGTTATGCTCCTGATCTTCTCGTAACCGGGTTTAAGGAATGGGCTGGAACCATTGACCTCTTGAGGTCGAGGCAAAACCTTCAGGGTTGTGCTTCCGCCTGGAGGAAGAAGGTCGCTATTTTTAAAGTACGTTAGTATTTTCATGTCAGTCCCTAATTAAGAAGAGTGACGTTACCTGACTCCCTTGGCAAGAGCCTCAACGATCTGGTGCATGTTGCCTCGGTTCCATATGCTATCCTGTAGGCATAGCGAGACGGTGTTCTTCAAGACTTCAAGTGACTCTTCATCTGGCGGTGCATCAATGGGATCAAGATGAGCACGGCGCTCATTCAACATCCCCTGCATCTCCAAGCGAGTTGGATTCGAAGGGAACACTCCAATCCTCGACTCAGATTCCTTCTTGTCAAGCGCCTCAAAGGTAGTTTTCCAGCCGTTGAAGAAACTCGTCGCCTTCTCCAAGATTGCGTTTTCTTTGTCCCAAAACATGTCTTCAAGTTCTTCGAGGGGATTCTCTGTCTCGGTAAAGGATTTACCACGGTTGACGGTTTCCCAGAGCAAAAGACTAAACGAGTAGCAATCTGCAGCTTTGAACCGTTGGAAAAGAGGAATCAAGCCATCATGCTTATCCTCATCTTGGTCTTTCTGCAAGCCACGGATCTCGGGAGCGTTGTACTTTGGGGTACCGAGATAAGTGGCTTGTTCGTGACTTGGATCCTCTTGGAACAAGGCAGACCCAAAGTCGGCAAGCTTTGCCTGGTAGTGGCGCTCATGCTCCTCAAGCCTTGTACTGTAGTCATAGACGAGGACATTGTCCGGCTTGACATCTCCATGGACGATGTTGCAATCGTGGAGTGCGCGGATGCCCATGGCCACATCAAGAGCGAGCAACCGTCTCTCGATGAGGTTGAGGCTCCTGTGTTGGGCAAAATGGCTCAGAGTGCCATTCATAGAGTAGCTCATCACCAAGTAAGGCCTCTTGCTACCACCCGTGTTGGGAGTCCACCCCCAGCCGATAGCATACACGAGGCAAGGGTGGGCTCGGAGCTTGGGGTGGGTGAGCACGCGCACCTCTCTTTTGACGTTTACCAGTCGTCTAGACTCTGCCCTCAACTCCCTCGCAGACTCCTCTAGGGCGTCGGTCTCATGCCTCATGACGAGACGTTTCACCGCGACAAAGTGAGGCTGCTCTCCGATCGGATTGCTGTAGATCTCCTTGCTGACTTCGAAGCTGGTTCCCTGGCCCAGATGACTGTCGAATCTCAGGAACTCGTGGGCGACATGGGGTAGTCCGTTTCTAACAATCATCATGACATCCCGCAAGAGGTCGCCCGCTTCAGTGCTAGCTCTGGATACAGACCCGGCTGCCACGACAGGTATCGTGACGGTGCCATCGTCGAAACGTGAGTCCCAGATATTAGAGTCGGATTCTTCCATCATGTTACCTTTCAACTCCTCTGGTTTCGAAGCGTTGGTCCTTTTGTGTGCTATCGATTGTGGAGGTGTTGGTGATGGTGATGTAACGTTAGGTGTACGGTCGGCGAGCAAAGAGGGGTACAGCAGGCTGTCAGGCTGTGAGGGCGCGTCTTTGGGGGCCTCAGTCTTACAAATTCAGCCACAAACAATTCAACCCTTGATACGGCAGAGCTGAGAAGAAACCCGGAAGCAGGCTCTGGAAATTGCAGTTACACAGCATGCACTGCCACGTACCCACAACCGAGATAAAGTTGCTCTCTCGGAATTTCTTATTAGTAGAATGTGCATCAATAAGTCTCGTCTCGATTATCCTTAAAAGGAGAAACCTTTTATAGATTACAGTAATTGTTTCATATACTTCTTTCTTTAATCATATCGTCGTTTTAGGATTCTTAGTAGCGCATTTGTTAGATTACTAGGTTAGTAAAATCCTTATGAAACTCTTGACAAAAAAACAGCCTCATGTAGGTAGGTAAAGCGGAGTGAAAACATAGATCTCGAGTTCATCTTTCCCCATGTTTCCATCGACCGCCAAGAACTTCCCACAAAGACGCTGTCTAATACGAGGCGGAGAGTTTGATACCACTGCGGCCCTCCACATAGCCACCGAGGCTTAGATCAATTAGGACTGAGTTGTCTATGGGCTGCACTTCAGATGGCGTTTGTGCCAATTTCTAGAATAGCCAATCAATCATCTTCAGTCCAGCCTTGAACCTTCAGTGGGGGCGCTTTTGAGTTGTCTAGGTTCTTTTGGCCAGCTTGAAGAGAGAGCAGGTAAGGTTCTACAGGGGAGGAGGTAGTGGACGCGTAAAGAGGTTTGGTGGGGCGGTAATACGGAACGCGTCAAGACCGTGGAGAAGAAAAATGAGAGATTTGGAACATTTTCCTACCTAAGTTACATAACTACCCTAGAGGGAAGCAAATTCCATAGAGTTTTCCACACAATAAGTTCTGGCAGCGTAAAAAGGACCTCCAGTCTCGAAAAGAACTCACTAACCAATACGATGACTCTCTAAATAAATATCCAAGATAAGTTCTTAAACCCAATGGGCAGCACACACAACTAGCCGTTTCAAACTTCGACAAGGAACCGCATCCACGATGATGCCACTTCACCGCCGGCTGAACCCACACTGTCTCCGCAACCAAAATTCCCTCGACTCATGAATCGACAACTGAAGGCCCAGTGCAACCAACCCAAGGGGGGCTGGCGCAACGGTAGCGCGGTAAGTCACTTCAAGTGATCCATCTCATCCAACATGTCGCTAATTCCCTCATTAGTCAGATTCCAGTACACCGGAATCTCCTGAAGGTTAAGGGTTCAAATCCCTTGTCCCTCATCTCCTTACAACTCTTTCTTTTTTGCATCTTTTGCCTATTGATGGAACCCCCTGCTCTTAATCGCTCTCGACGACAAGGTAGTCATCGAAGGGGGGCTGGCGCAACGGTAGCGCGGTAAGTCACTTCAAGTGATCCATCTCATAAATCACTCAACTAACTCCCCTCATAGTCAGATTCCAGTGCACTGGGATTTCCTGAAGGTTAAGGGTTCAAATCCCTTGTCCCTCATCTCCGATCATCTGTTTCTTTTTTGCCCTCGGCCAGTGCAGATTATCTTTTTGTCCCAAGTCTCAATCAGCGTCCTGAGAGGTTGGTAGGCACTGGTCCACTTCCTGAATGGCGGAGAACAAAGGACTATGCAGCTCGCTTTGAGTAAGTTCCCGGTCCCGGGAAAGAGACGTGAGTCCAAACCTTTAACAAAGTTTTTCGCTTTCCCTTTCGGTTCTTCTTCTCTCTGGCTGATTAGGGTCTTCTTTTCCTAATGGGACCTAGAGTCCGCACAGTACAAAGACCATAATGGTCTTTCACACAGGTCGTTGGCAAAGCAATGCCACAGAATACAGTCTAAAAACAAATAGCAACTTGAAGAGACTAGCAAAGGTTTATTCAGCGAATCAGGCATGTTAGTTACCCAGCCACTTTCTTCTTCAGTCCAGCTCTATCCGGTCCATTCACACCGCTCCCCGATGCCCCGGTGACTGGATAATTCTTGGCATAAATGCTTGATTCCCCAGTAACGTCATCCCCAAGTGATCAGCACGATCCAGCCTCTCTACCCCTCACGGCAAGGCCATTTTCCGTCCATACATGCAATTTGCGCCCTTAGTTCTTCACTCCATCAAAAGCCGGTCCTTGACTTCAATCGCGTGACATTTTTATTGGGGCGCATCCATATATCATCCTATGCACCCTTATGTACTTCGGAGGTTTGCATCCCGAGTTCCATGCTCTTGGACAAGATGTAACCCTGGAAATTGGTCAGGACCTACAAGGCCCTGTCGCTTTTTATTGGGCCGCATGGGATAGAGTGAACAAACTCAACCGGGGCCCCACGTGAAACTTCCGTTTCGGCCCATTAGCCTGATGGAGAAGTCGGACTGGTGCTAGTGGGAGAAGCTTAAGTCGTCCGTTGAGGTGGAATAAATCCTCCAGTAGTGTTGGAGCTCGTGTTTGTGCATCTCGTGAGCATTATGCTTGAGCGGTGACCACCAGCTAGCTCAGCCGCGTTGGACAAGTGTATAAAGACAGCCGGGAATCTGACATGAAACTTGAGGTAGACGGTTTGTTTTAGTATCATCTGCACAATGGTCTCTTGGAATCTCTTCACCCTGGCCCTCGGGCTGTTTGGTTCGGCCCAGGCCTTTACCAACCCCATCCGCAACCCGGGCGGTGGTGATCCTCAGGTTACCTATTTTGACGGTTACTACTACCTCATCTCTACCGAGTGGACCAACCTTCAGCTGTCTCGCGCAAAGACCATTGAGGGTCTGAAGACAGCCACTCCCAAGGTCATCTACACGGACAGCAATGCCTCGCGTTGCTGCAACGTGTGGGCTCCCGAGATTCACTACTTTGATGGAAAGTGGTATCTCTACTACACTGCCGGATTGGCTGGTGACAACCTGACGGGCCAGCGATCGCACGTCCTCAAGGGTAAGTTGTTTGCCACAAAGTCATGAACATGCACTGATCAATATGCAGGTGGAGCTTCTCCATGGGATTCGTGGTCGTACGGTGCCCAGCTCACCAACGACTGGGGCATTGACGGTACCATCCTCCGCTTCAACGGCTGGGGTAACTACTTTGTCTACTCCTGCATGACCGGAGTCCAGCACCAGTCGACCTGCGTGCGAAAGCTTGGCTCCAACTACATGTCTGTTGGAGACCTCAGCATCATCTCTCAGCCTGATCAATCTTGGGAGCAGTCCGAAGTCCCTGTGCAAGAGGGCCAGAACGCGCTCTACTTTGGCGGCAAGACCTACATCGCTTACTCTGCCAACTACTGCTGGACCCCCGACTACTGCGTTGCTCTGCTGGAGTGGGATGGCAAGACTGATCCTGCCAAGGCCGCTGCCTGGAAGAAGTCCAACGGCTGCGTTCTCAAGAGCGGTAACGGAAGCTACGGAACTGGACACAACAGCTTCTTCAGAAGTCCCGATGGCAAGGATACTTGGATCACTTTTCATGCGACTTCCAACAAGAACGGCGCGTGCGATGATTCGCGATATGCCATGGTTCAGCCCCTGACTGCCAATGCTGACGGCACACCCAACTTTGGAAAGGTTCAGGCCTTTTCTTATCAGTGGGCGGAGCCCAAGGCTTAAGGTGCCGTTGCATGAATGCCACGATTGATGTGAAAACGAAATCAGAGCCAGAAATGGTGTCTGGTGGATTGATGCTAGTATTTATAGGCAAATATTGAGCATGTACATAGCTATGCTACATCTATAACTTCCCTTGAGTCGAACCAGTTATATGCAAATTTTGTGCCCATGGAACTCTATAAGAATGTGAGGCCTGTGCTGTCTTGCGGGCATAGCCATGACAAGGTTGCCCTTAAAACACCTTCAGAAGTTTCTTGTCGGTGTATAGCAACCTCGAGACGAGTGTGATTGTTGATCCCGCGAGGCACATGACGCCTCCAAAGATTTTGACGTCCAGCCAGCCGTTACTCGAATTTTGAAGGATTGCACCACCAATGGGCGCCATTGTGAGGGCTGGGATAGAAATGGCAAGAAGGAGGACCCCGAGCCGGTAGCCAATCTCGGCTGGAGGGGAAACTGAGATGGGGAGGGCACCGGAAAGGCCTATGAAGGCTCCTGAAGCAAAACCAAACATGATGGCGAAACCAATGGCGATAGAGGAGTGTTTGGCGGGGATCCAGACAGCGAACTCGGAGATTCCAGACAGTGCACAAGCGATGATGAACATGTTCCATCTTCCGATTATATCAGCGCCGTAGCCGGAGACAAGACGACCGAAAAGGCTTTTTATAGTTGTTAGCATTTTCTGAGGATCGTAGCAACATAGTGGAATGTCAACCCACCTTGCGGCGTTGAAGATGGACACCAAGTACTGAGCCATTTCCTCCGATACGTGCGCCTCCTGGAAGGCCTGAACAGCTAAATAATCGATGGGGATGAATATTCCATAAGTCAACACAAATATTCCCAATAGTAGCATGACAAACGGGATCTCTGTGAAGGGTGCAGCATAACGGCCGGCGGGCATCTTTTTGGGCACTGGCTTCGTTCTCGGACGGACCGTGATGATCGCAATGATTTGCAAACCGAGAATGAGAAAGGCGGCAGTTCTCATCGCCCAAGGGTATCCGGTGCTCTTGATCATGCGGCTGATCATTATGGGGAAGATGACGCCGCCGACTGATGAACCTGTTGCCATGATACCCATAGCTGCCCCACGCCTCTTGGAGAACCAGGTGGTCATACAGGCAAGCGCTGCATCGCACGGAATCAGTTAGCATGAAGGAGATGAAAGAACGAATAAGTTCGACTTGCCAGGCGAGTATATGCATGCAACACCGATAGCACTGCAGACTCCTTGGGACAAGATGAACTGATAGTACGTCTTGGCCAACGACGCCATCATCAGTCCAAAGACGTGAAGAAGTGTTCCACCAACGATGAGAGGTCTCGGTCCATGCTTGTCGAATAAAATGCCGACAATAGGTCCTAAGGCGAACAGGAAAAAGATTTGGAGGGATGGAATCCAAGCAATAGTACTGCTGGAGTAGTTCTTCAGAGGTCCAACCTCGTAATACTGCTGGAAGCTGCCCACACCTAGTAGAAGATCGGGCCCATTAGCCGAGCTCACACTAAATATGGTGATTAAAATCGAGAGGCTACGGACTGTTGATCCAGCCTGGGCTGGAAAAGGAGCAGCACCAGGCTCCCAGGACAACCAGCCATGCAGCAGCACCGCCATCGGGGGGTCCATCGGGAACTGAGCCTCGAGGGTCTTCGGTGTCTCTTTCTGTCTCGCCACCGAGACTAGAATCTGGAGGTGTGTTTTTCGGGTCATGCATGGAGGGAGTGGTGTTATCTGCTTCAGCCATTGTCAAGACACAGGTGAAAAGATGGGACACTGAGTAGGAGACAACAAGAAGGAAACAAGTAATTGCAGATGCGATGGTGTTCTGATTCCCTTTCACCACCTGCAATTAATTCATTTATATACGTAGCCCCTATGAATCGAGACTTGAGAGGAGCGGACGATGGGCGGGTGGTGCGGAGGGTCAAGCGGGCCGTGATTGGTGCTGACGGCGGAGATAGCAAAGTTGCGGCGGATGATTCGGAGAGTAGGAGTCTCTCTTCCCTCTTCACATTCCCAAGTCTTTCATTGTTCGCTCATCAATCTCCAGCGGACCCTACACACAATGGGACTCCCTGACGGATCCCCAGTTCTACTCCGCCCGCATCCAGGTCGCCGCCGGGAGAAGCCGCAGCTATCATGCAATTCCTGCCGCCAGCGAAAGTGCGTTAGGGCCGCCTCCTCCGCAGACACATCCCCGGTGCTGACGCAGCGAGCAGGCGAAAGTGTGACCGCCAAAGGCCTTGTTCTCATTGTATAGTGAGTTATCCCAAGGATGAGAACGACGGGGGATGTTGACGCTTACGGTGCAATACCTTGTAGAAACGACGTCTCGAGTCTACGTGCGCTTACACCGATTCCCCATCGCCATCTTCTACGTCTAGACACCCACATATTGTTTCCCCTGCTACCTATAATATCAGTCCATCTGCTAGCGGGCTAGGCGGGCTTGCGACACCTAGCAGTTCGGCTTCGGTTCCATCGCCAGAGTCCACGGACCTGCACTTGACCGAGTCTGGAACCGGCTTCAAAAATTCGACTCACTGGACAACAGTTTTGAGCGGTGTGGCAGAGACTGAGGATACGGCCCAGGTAGGGACTACGCTTGAAGATGGCTCATTGCCCGTCGACCATACTGTCCTCCTCTTTGAAGGGTGTAGACGCGTCACCAAACAAGAGCTCCTGGGTGCATTACCGCCAAGGAGGGAATCTGACGCATTGGTAGCATTCTACTTTAGGGCTCAGGAATATCGATGTACGCAAAACAGATGAAGCCACTCACGCATACCTGCTGACCCTTTATCCGCACAGCTGTGATACACCCAACAGAGTTCTTGAAGAGGGCAAGTCTTCACCTATACCCTTAAGTGTCTGCTAATCGCTAACAGTGATGGTCAAGTACAACACATTCTGGGAAGATCCTGGCGCGGCTGCTGTCTCCTGGTTTGGCCTCCTTTACGGCATCTTCTGTCTCACTACCCAAGTTCAGAGCCAGGAGAGCTGCCTCTCAAGGGCTCAAGAAACCATTGCTTGTCCCTCGCAACAGACAGTGATGCAAAAGATACTAATATACAGGGAAAAGGTTGTCCAGTGCCTTATACAAGTTCAGTTTGCCAAAGGAGGGCCGGACATCATGGAGACCCTTATTCACTACATCGTTATCGAGAACAACCTGAACAAGGACTCCAACATTAGAGTCTGGCTCTTGATGGGTAATCTTGTTCAAATAGGTACGTCTCCGTCCGACAGCTAGCTAAGAAAGCTGCTAAAAAGGGTTCGGGTAGCCATTCGCATGGGCTACCATAGAGATCCCAAGCACTTCAAGTCCTTATCCCCATACCAAGGTGAGATGAGACGCCGGATGTGGGCTATGGTATACTCGCTCGACACAGGCTTCGCAACTCAAATGGGCCTTCCAAGTAACATCAAGCACTCGCTCAGCGACACCACGCCACCTAGAAACCTACAGAACAGTGACTTTGACGCCACCTCCACTGAGCTGCCGCCGGCGAGGCCTATCGATGAGCTTACCTCGAGTACCGTGATCATCGCCAAGTTTCACATCGCCGTCTGTATGGGCGTTGTGTCAGACATGGTCTCTAGTCCTCACGCACTCTCCCACGAGGACGTTCTGGCATCAAATGGAAAACTAGACACGACATATTCAAACCTTCCTAGTCCTTGCCAGTTCCGTTCCATGTCTGAGTCACTGCTGGATCCCCCGAGCGTCGTATCTCAGGTAAGAAGTGCATTTATTCCTCAAAGTAGAGCGAACCCGAGCTGATGACATCTTGTTCACTCGGACAGCGAATCAACTTTTACATGCACTACCAGAGAGCTAGAATCCTCATAAACTGGAAGTTTCTCGGTACATCCAAGAATCCGAATGACAGCGACCAGTCCTGGAGTATCGTCATAGAGGCGGCCTTGGAGATCCTACGACTGCAGCACCTCATGGCTGAGGAGTCAGAGGTCTCGGATGCGACCCGGCCTACTGGTATTCCCGACTCTTGTTTCATGAACAATGGCTACTTTTTAGCGGCCAGCGCCGCGTGCTTTCTTGTTCAGCATCGCAAGGACAAACTGTCGCCTGAAGATTTGACCGAAGTACGGAGGCTGCTAGAATTGAGCCTCAATATCTGGAGCCGCGCAAACGACTTTTCCAGAGAAGCAAACAAAGTAGTCATGGCTCTGAGAGTCGTTCTTGGAAAGCCAGAGGAGCCTCGGCCTCGGGCGAGCGAGGGTAAGAACTCAACATATGATGGCAAAGATCCGGATCTGACCGTCTTGCAGTACTTGGTACATATGACAGAAGTGAAATTCCGCTTTCTAGCTTTACGCAGTTCTTTGATGACCTGCCTCTGATGATGGGAGACTCTGAAAACGTGGTGTTTCCCCCACTAATTGACTGTTGGCCCCAAGGAGATGGGAGTATGTAGATCTCCGGGTCGAGATGAGAGACAAGAGATATGCGCATCAGAAATATTGAGACTCTATTCCATCAAACAGAGCCCGTCCCATGGCAAGCTTCGCAAGACACTCGAAAAACTCCCGTCCCATGACAATTCCAGCATGTAATCATCACGGTTCTAGTCCCACCACACTCAGCGCAGTCACCACCATTGCAGGAGCCACACTGCTGTCGCAACTTTCCGGAAGTCCCGCAACCGTTGCAGTTCACAGTCACCATTGCGCTTCCGTTGCAGGTTGAGCAATCAGCCATGTTGTGGGATGGAGTCTGAGAAAGGTCAGTGATTTCCGGGGTGAGCGGGATAGACCTCACATTAAGCGTTGTTTTGGGTCAAAGATGTGGGTTGAGATACGATTATCCTTCTGGCATACCACATGTTTCTCGGTTCGGTCCTGAGCGCTGCTTTTGTAGTCATCTTGTCGCAGGTTAAATAGTGAGGCTGTCGGCGTCAGATGCCATGAAGCTCTGCACTTTCACCCACTCGGCCATGATTATCTTGAACGCCTTTGCGCTTTGACACAACCCACTTTGCTTTACGCCGGGTCTATGTAGAGGTAGCTTGACCATATCATATAGACAGGGCGGAAGGTTGCCGGTATCTGAAGTGTCATAGCATTAGCCTATAGCATACACATTACCCCAATAATGGCAAATAAGTGGCCATCTGTGATGAGCAAACCATACAGAATCATGCACTCTTGCCCGCCGATAGTGAACTCGGGCAAAAATCGATCCTCGGGGCTTGGGTAGTTTCGGGCTGGCTGATCCGAGTCGGCCTGACGAATCTCGGAGTCCCAAAAAGGCAAGTCCGGATCTCCGAAGCCTGTTAGCATCGAAGGAGCTGGCCCGAGATCATCACCAAAACGCGAAGAACAAGGACAAGATTCGAGCTCGCGCGATTTACCACTAGTAACGGCAAGGATTCAAGTCTACAAGTTTGGTTTTCTAGAGAGTTTATCGGGGCCAAAAAGGTAGCACGGTTTGTCGCTTCACCACGAGTCCACGACCATGAATGATAGTCTAGATAGCCCGTTTTAGAAGACTCCATCCCTCTCAAGACCATTATAAACATGTCATTGAAGTCACCCAAATTAGTAATTCCGACATCTCCGAGTTGACTGTAAAGCGGTGTTGGACTGTGCCTCATCGCAAGATCCATAGATAGCTCGGAGATCCCAAAGGGGTAAAGTGTCGATGAAGCTCAACACCTTGAAGAAATATGCTTTTCATTCCTGCCCCGTACCACGACTTGTTTTATACACAATAAACGAGATGAACGAACATCAAGCTGGAGAATATCGAAGAACGGAGGCCATTTTCGACGGACTCCTCGTCGACCTGGACGGGACCCTCATCGACTCAACGGAAGCGGTCGTCAAGCATTGGGCAGAGTGAGTGATCCATTGCTTTAAGAGCTAAGATAGAGCATTTGGGACGCTGATATCTTTTAGTGTAGGGAAGAAAATTAACGTCGACACAAGAGTCATCCTCGAGATGTCGCATGGTCGTCGCAGCCTTGATGTGTTGCAACTCGTGGCGCCAAGTTTCGCTAACTGGGATTGTAAGTCGTCGTCATTGCCTCAAACCCCCATATACTTGGCTGATTGCTTTTAGTCGTAAGGTCCATTGAAAGCGTGATTCCGGTCAATCACGGTCACCTGGCCAAGGAAATTCCAGGTGCTGTCGACTTCCTTTCCGCTCTCGCCACCCATTCTGTACCCTGGGCTCTTGTGACGTCGAGCACGCTACCACTCGTACAACAATGGCGAGAAACGCGGAAGCTACCACTGCCGATGGCGCAAGAACTCCTCGTCACGGCAGAGTCTGTGGAGAACGGCAAGCCGGATCCTGCTGCTTACGTCCTGGGACGTGAAAGACTCGGCATGGTTGACGAACGCTTCGATATGCTTGTCATTGAAGATAGCCCCGCGGGCATTGCGGCTGGCAAGGCAGCTGGTTGCAAGGTTATCGGCTTGCTCACTAGCCATACGTATGAGCAGATTGCGCCATCGGCCCCCGACTGGATCTTGCAGGATCTGCAGTCGCTGAAGATCTTGCGAAATACGAATGGAAAGGTAGTGGTTGAGATGCTCCTTGTGAGGAACAAAGTATAAAGAATGTGGCATAAGTTCGAGAGCCTCGAATAAAAAGGACGGTGGTTAAAGACTGGGTAATAAGTTAGGCAAAACGCATGATATGTCATTCTCAGCTACAGGGTAGTCTTTTTAAGGATAATTTTACACCAGCCACTTCCGTCCCACTCGCACTCTACCTAACTCGCTTCTTTCACCACCATGGCCGCCCAACTGTGACCTCACGATCTGAGGTGTCAGCTTCAACTTTCATATCCTTCCATACGTTAAGATCTTGCGGTCAAAATGCAGCCCGACGATAGCGGCGATGTACCAATGACGGCGACTTTTCGCGTCAGTACAGCCCACGATTTCCCTCAGCTCATCCGTTCCAATCGACGGGGTCGTCTCTCGGCCAAGGCCTGCCGCATGTGCCGGGCGCGAAAGGTGAAATGTGATCTTGGCGACAACTCTAGCGAAAGGTCCTGTCGTGCCTGTAGACAAGCCAACATGGAATGTATCTGGGATGTGACAGACGGGCGGAAGCGACGCAAACTTCATGTTGGACACAAGCAGGTTGGCAGAAGCACTGAAGCGCATCCAGCTCAAGCTAGCAGATCCCCGACAGACCATTTGCTAGTACAGGTGGATGCAGAGACGGGGCCCTCGGATCAGCTTGTCAGGACGAGGTGCTTGCCGGACCTTGAAAGCGATCCTCTAAGTTTGTTTGGACTTGAAGATCCTGCAAATTCGTTCGACCGCGGTCACTCTCTGATGCCGTGGCACCAAGCAGGAATCTTAGATCTCGACAATCAAGGTCTAGATACCATGGCCATGTCGCCAGTGTGGCCCGCTGTTGAAGACTATCTTCTGGACCTCGACGCCGTCACTTTACCAAGCAATCACGATTCGGCCTCAATTGCCACACCCACCGCAAAGGGGCGAACGAAACAAATTCGTCTTCGTATATTCCGACGATACGGCCCAACCGCGGTGGCTCCGGGCTTGAAAAGACTCTCCGTCGCCGTAGGACCCCGTTCTGATAGTAGCTCAAGGCCACTATTAGAAGACCTAGGCGAAGGAGATATGTCGACCAGCACGCAACAGACACCATCTTCCGCCACTTCCTCAGGCCGTCAATCTGATATGATGCAAGATTGCTTCTACGGGCTACCTTTCGACGCTGTATATCGGGCCCTCGATATCTTCTTTCAGACCTTTGGCGGCCATTTTCCGTTTCTCAACAAACAAATCCTTGCAAGCCACGTTCACTCGAAGCAGGCATCCAAGTTCCTCATTAGTTCTATCTTAGCCCTGACGGCTCGCTTTTGCCCGGCCGAGATGTTCCAGTCGACGACAGATGGCGATTTAGAGCCAGTTCACGAGTGGTGGAGAGGGGCGCAGTTCCTCAAGGCCGCCAAGGAACAACTCATGTGTCTCTTGGCGGTCCCTGCACCTGACGTGGTTGCTGGGCTTATCGTCCTTTCCTGGGCCGAATTCGGCAGCAATAGTGGCGAAGGAGGTTTGTGGATGTTCTCAGGCATGGCCATCCGCATGGCACAGGATCTCGGCCTTCATCGCTCCGACACGACCGATCCCGATCCTCAAGCAGCTTTCTATGATCACGCTCCACCTAGTCCGCAGGGGATTCGTGTCCCTACTGACGAACAGTCAACTCTTCATCAACAAAAGTCAAGACTCGTCATGTTTTGGTCCGTCTTCACCTTGGACGTCAGCGTCTCCTTGCTTATGGGACGTCCACCCACCATCAGACGCGCCGAGATTGAGGTGCCGCTTCCGACCTCGGACGATATGAAACCAGTGTACCTCGACTTTGACGGTTCTCACAAGATGTGCCACGCGATTTTCCCTGCAGTGGCACGTTCCATGTACATTTTTTCTGAAGCTGTCGAGCTCTTTAACTTGAACAAAGGCGCCGAATCTTCCTGTCCCCTTGAAGAAATCGACAAGCTTGAGAAGAACTTGGCAGAATGCCGCAAGCAGCTCGACGCTAGTCTTCTCTTCAGCGCGGATACCTACGGGAAGTCTTCGAGTGATGGACATGCCGGCCTCTTTTTGATGCTACACCTCTACTTCTACACCTTTGTCGCGCTCTTGTCAACCAGAAGATATCAATCACTCCCTGCGCGTGAGAGGAGCAAGAGATCTGCTCAGGTTGCTTGCCAAAAGATACTGCAGACTCTGTCGATTGCTGAAGCCATCGACAGCAAAGGGTACACGGCGACTCCTTTCTTGGCATATAGCATCTTTGTCGCAGCGTCCACCTTGCTGGAAGGCATCGTGTTCGACATCGAAGGAACTGGTGATTTCATCACCGTGGTCGATCTTGCAGACGTCGATTTTCTCAGTCAGAAGCTCCGCGAGATGTCTCGCTTCTTTCACGGTGTCAATGCAACTATCGACGCTATCGACCTGAAGAGGAGAGGTCAAGGACCCGAAAGTAGCAATGGCACTGAGGAAGGGAATGATGTAGAACGTCAGTGCGTTATCGAGCTTCAAGACGGGGGCATCATCAACAGGTACACAATTCCTCCAGCAACTAACGAAGGAAACGAGAGCCTTTAATATGCACAACTACTTATAAAGAATTGTTCCACAATGTCATCCCTATTCTGTTGCTATAATACGAGTATTTTGCTTAATCATTGGGATATTTCGGTCTGGGGACTGGTGATATCTGGGATATCTTGGCCCGCCTGAGGTTCCAAATGCCGAACTGCTGCAGCGTCTGTTTCCCACAACCACCCCTCAGTTCCTACGCCCACGATGCTATCTAGATCTGGATAAGAATCCAACAAGTTGGCAATGGACAGTATCTGATTCGGCGACATGCTATGAGGCATGGCATGCGAAGGATCTAAATCGTCGCCTCCTACGTCTTCTGGGGCTGTTTCTTGCTGACTGACAAGGAGCAGCATCTCGTGTAGACGAACAAGCTCCTCACGACGGAAGCGTGCCGGGATATTGCCATTGGCGATGAGCGTATCGAGTAGGTTTAGGGACTTGTCAAAGCCGGCTTCGTCGACGGCATTCGGGAATGGGTGTATGGCCGAGATGAGTGTAATGATGAAACCTGAAGAGAATATCTGCTCGAGGTCAAAGGGGAGAAATATTTCTGTACGTATCCCCGCGTAAGCCTGATACTATTGAAGCGCATAAGGTGAGGGGGAATACCCACCTAGCAGGTCATGCGATTGCAATGCAGCCAATATGCGTAATGACTTGCTCGCAGACTCACTCGACGTTTTCAGAAGAGCCGTGATGGGTTCAACAGTATGTCGATCGGGACTACCACCAGCCGTCTTATCTTGTAGTCTGTCACGAAGGAGACAGATCAGAAGGGGACGTGTAGCCAGCAGAATGCACTAATAACCCGTAAGTCCCTTGTGCTATCGCAAGGCAATCTTGTGCATACCTGATGATAGCAAAGATTAAGTGTTGCCGAAACTCGACCAACGGGACTGGAGTTCCCTGGCTTTAGCTCGGGGGATGCAGCCAAATCATCTCCGAGCTTGGCCAACTCACGAAGAATAGCCTGTGTGTTTCGAAGAAAAGATGAGCCAAGCCGATCATCAGTTGCATAAACAGCTACATGGGCCTGGTCAGTCAAGGCCGAGCAAGGGAGGTGACTGCTCACTGTTGATGACTTTAGCCATGAGCCGTGAGAGCTTGACATGCATATCGACAACTTTGGATTTTTGGGTTGCGTGAGGCCCTTCGGGTAGGAGAACTGAAATGTCTCCATCGTTTATCGAACTCGGGGCGCCCATGAGTGATGCAAATTTTCGGTCTAGGATGTACAAGGTCCACCAGGCACTGCGATGCCTTGTCTCCTCGGTAGGGTCAAGATAGCCCCCTGTTAGATCACGGTGTAGACCTTGACTTAGAGAGACACGTAGAGCCAGTCCAAGCTATAGAGCGTTAGCCCGCCACCCGGAGGATTCAGGGAGGGCCTTACATAGAGGTAGGCGCTGTTCCGATGGTCGATCGACTGAAGGTATAGAGCCAGACCGCAGCAGATCTCAACAGACAGAATTGGATCTTGACAAAGACCTGTTATATCTGGAAACAGTTTTATGGCTTGTAAGAAGTATTCGTTGCCCGGTGGTTGTGCACTAGATCCAGCGCGCCCCAACAACGCCTTGCCAAGGGCCATGACGACGAAGTACTGTATGTACTCAAGTCGATTAGACCCTATCGGCGGAGGGTCCTGGCTATAGATGACATGTCGAGTCCGATTAAAGTTGGATTCCTCAAACAAATGGTAAGTTTGAGTGATGTGGAACTTGACAGTGTTGGTCAAGTAAATAGCATAGTCAAACGAAGGCAAATTGTCCAAGGTGGTCAAACTGGAATGATCCTTCAATGAAGCCGTATCCAATGGGAAAGCAGTGCCGTCGACGTTCATCGGAACATCCGGGGAGGAGTGTTCACCGAGGTGTGCCTGGATCATGTTCATGGCATGTCGGCTATATGCCCATGTTGACGATGGGCCCAAGAAGCCTATTAGCCTCGATTAGCCATCTTTGCGTGGAATTATGTGTGACTCAACTCACGTCTTTTGCCTTGATTATCAGTCATGAAACTGGGAGAATTCGTGACTAAAGGGTTTCTCAGGCCTTTCAAGTGGTCGTTGGAGATCTCGGGTTGATCATTGTCATCTTCTCGTGTGGTGACTGTGACATGTTAGAAAGAACTCATTGCCGGTATCGTAGGTTGAATAACCTTGCGCTTCATGATTCTCCGATGGCGTCAGTCGACGGTTTGCCCGTGTCGAGTCGGGGCCGAGCTGGTCATCTTCGGCCTTGCGTTTTAATGCATTAAGGTATCTTGATCCGTTCAACGCGTGTCCTATGCTCGGCCTACGGCAAAATTTACTCACCGTTCCGAGACAACAATCTTCCTCTCATGTTCAAAGAAGCATTCTGATTCGCGGCGCACACAGTTGCTACATGGTTGCGATCCGGAACAGCGGACTTTGCGTTCCCGGCACGCGACACAGCTACGCCAAGGTATTAGCACATGAGTAGTTCTAAACATGTAATTATCGTAACTCACGCTGCGCGCCGAGGCTTGGGCGCTGTCCTCTCCTGTTCGTGGTTGCTAGGAGGGGGCGTCATGGTAGTTCGCTAACCAAGGTGCCGGTTCCGCAATGATAAGGTGGCATTTGACACTCTTGAGCAAGCAGAAAGGATTACAGCACACAACAAACTGCCGTCAGTCGCCACGTTTGATGATCACCGCTTAAACAGGTGGATAAGGAGGCATGTTCTGAGACAGTCACCAAGCCAAGTCACGATGCCCCGAGAATGAATACTCGTGGAGAATTATGTCTTTATCGGGTCGCTACCTAAGCTAGCTTACTATCCCGGTTTGTCACATGAGCATTCTCGACATTTGCAACTGCCGCCAAACACTTTGTTGCTCCACCAGCGATCAACCCAGAATCTTGCTGGCAAAGCATGAACCGCACACCCAGAGAGTGAATGGCCCAGTCATGGATATCAGGCTGGTCGTAGATTCCAGCAAGACCCATGACTTTGCCGTGCTTCTTACAGGCTGCGCTCACTTGTCTCAGTGCTCCCTTGAATCTGTCGCTGCGGAACTCTCCTGGCACGCCTAGCTCGATGGCCAGGTCGTTGGAGCCGATGAGGAGAACATCTACTCCTTCCACGGAAGCGATCTCGTCGATCTTTTCGATGGCTGTCTCGTTTTCTATCATGACGAAGACTGTAGATGCTGATGTGTTGCTCTCGCGGATGACTTGTTGCTGGGGGAAAGTCTTGAGAGAGAAGACGGGTAGCTGTCCTGTCATTGACCGGCAGCCCATCGGCGGGTATTTTGAGATGGCTACAGCCGCTTTGGCTTCCTCTAGAACACAGATGTGTTAGCAACAGTCGACTTCGGGTCCAAGATTGGCCACATACCGGCGCTTTGCACATGAGGGAAGATAACACCCATGGCACCTCCATCCAACACCTTCTGAATGAGCCCATTACCGCATTGATGCGGTACACGGACAAAGGGTGTAACCCCAAGTGAAAGTCCAGCGCAGCTCAGCTTGCTCGCATCGTCTACCGAAAGACTCGAGTGCTCCAGGTCGATAAAGAGACTATCGAAACCTGCATTCTTGGCTAATTGGACGACTTGTGGGTTCGTGACCAGTCTCACACCAAAGGCCTGTAATCGTAAGCAAATTGGACAGTCGATGTGTTTGCCGCGATAACGATAGATGCCACCGGCTACTTGTGATTAGGCTAGTTGCCTGTATAGGCAATTGGCAAACATACCTTGCAAAGCTGCCCTGCAGCGAACCTTGTCCTGAGGGTGTTCTGACAGGCGAGCATACTCATTGCTTCTCTTTCTTGCTTTTACATGACTCTACTTTTTACAATCTCACTCGCCAATTCAACTCAATTATTTATGTTATCGAGGGAATACGCAACCTCGGAGAGGGTCCCCGAACTAGCGTCCAGAATCCCCTCGGTGAGGCTCGCCGAGCACTTGAACCACCAACTCGGCCATCTCGGTGTCTTCAGATAAAGCCTCGGCGAGGGAAACGGTCAAGTGGAAATTACTCCATCGTTCTCAACTTATCAATTTCATACTTAATCATGCCACTCATTGTCCGGGGGCTTGGTCGTGGTGTCCGCCACCTTGCCACTACCCTCCCTTCCAGGTGCTTGCTCCAGCAGACCAGGTGTTTCTCATCAAGCCATCTTCTTTATCGCTCTTCAGACATGTTCAAGTCATTTCAGAGGGGTCCTGTGGACCCAATGTTCATTCTCAAAAAGAAGGCCGACGAGGACGTATCCCCAGACAAGGCAGATCTCGGTGTCGGCATCTACCGGAATGAAGCAGGTCTCTACAGTGAGCTGGACTCGGTTAAACAAGTTAGACTTTTGCTATCTACAAGGTTTCACGGGAGCTGACCAAGTCGTTCGACCTTAGGCCAAGCTAGCACTGGCACAGAACGATCCAGGCCATGATGTGAGTCTTGAGTCTCGACCCTTGTTAGCTTCGCGTATCTAACAGATACCCAGTATGAGCTGACTACCGGCAATGCCCAATTTCTGGAGAAGGCTGCGGCTCTCTTGTTCGGGAAAGATTGCCAAAAGCTAAAGTCGGGTCAAGTATGTACCAGCCAACCTGTCATCACCCCATCAACCACTGACAGACCCAGATCGCATCCGTGCAGACAATATCCGGCACGGGAGCGAATCACATTGCTGCTTTGGCCCTTAGTCAATCCGTCTCACCTCTCCCCCAGGTCTTTGTCGGCGTCCCAGCCTGGGGTAACTACAAGCCCATGTTCGAGCTGGTTGGGATGCAAGTCACCGAGTATTCCTACTACGATCCCAAGAACCGAACCATCGACTTCAGCTCTATCATCCAAGCTGCCCGAACTGCTCCCCCACGAAGCGTCTTTATTCTCCAAGGCTGCTGCCACAACCCCACGGGCACCGATCCTACAAAGGCACAATGGAACGAACTTGCCTCGGTCCTCGAAGAGAACAGACACTTCATCTTCCTAGACATCGCCTACCAAGGCCTGGGTGATGGCATGGATGAAGATGCTTATGCTGTGCGTTTGTTTGCAAAGTCCAACGTCGACATGTTTGTCTGCCAATCCTTCTCCAAGAACTTTGCACTGTATGGCGAGCGATGTGGAGTTCTCCACGCAGTCTGTGCAGACGCAAAGACAGCATCCGACGTCCACGATCGTCTCCGATGCCTAATACGATGGGAGTTCTCCTCTTCGCCAGCCTATGGAAGTCGGTTGGTCGACATTGTGCTTGGATCTGATCAGCGTACTGAAGCATGGTGAGCGCCCCTCTACAAAATGATAACCCGTCTGAGCCTTGTGCTGACTGCCACTTCCTGATAGGACAACTGAGCTATCCGAAATGAGCCAGCGATTGAAGAGCTTGCGAAAGAAGTTGCACAGTTACTTGACACAAGACTTGAAGGTATGTAGCGAGATAGGCGGTTTAGAACAAAAACTGACCCAGTACACCAGACCCCAGGAAATTGGGAGCACATCCTGAAGGAAACCGGACTCTTCTCGTAATTATAGAACTCGGTCCACAATTTAGAAGGTTCTAACACGTCATAGATTCCTCGACCTTACGCCTGCGCAGTGCAAAACGTTGATCGATCGCCACCACATCTACCTCCCATCGAGCGGTCGAATCAATATTTCAGGACTTAACAAGGAGAACATTGAGAGAGTGGCCAAGGCCATTGATCAAGTTGTTCGTGGAGATGTCAAGGCAAACCTGTAGCCAAGTCAAGGTATAAAATGATGGGGTGGGCGTAGTAGTGGAAAATGAGGGTAGAACCAAGGTTCAGTCGGTTGGGCAGCCATTATCACGACAACACGCCTCTAAAAGAGAACATCGACTACAGTAAAAAAGAACAAAATTGTGCATTTAAGCATAAACATGAGTCCCAGTTAGTGCCCGTTTTTTTATGTACATGTAGCACTTTCGATTCAGAAAGCTGGCTTCTCGGCACGACACCGTGGAAGCATTCTCCTTAGCACAGTAACCCCTTCTCCACGAATGAAACTCAGGACTTCAGAATACGTTGCAAAAAGCCGATTCAACGAGTGTTGAGCAAATTCCCTCAAGTTGGCTTGCCATGATTATTCAGGAGGTCGAGACTCGGGTTTATGGAACGAATCAAGCTACGTTCAACATCTCCGCATCTTACCCCATGTGAGACCTGATAATCCTTGCTCAATCTCTTCTCTGTACGTAATGTGTAGTTCATAATCTTTCCGATTCTTCCGCACGCATATGCAGGGAACCTATCGTACACTTCCGGGTGAGGGTCTCTTGTTGCCACTCTCAGCTACCATGAGCCAGGGACGCGAGCGGGGACCAAACCCCGAGGGCATCTAGGCGTTTTAAACTCCACCTCTATCTATGCTATCTCTACTTATCGGTTATCATCCAAGGATAAAACACTCAGAAAATCGCCGACACGAGGGAAAAGAGAGGATAGTCATGACCAAGGGACCCAGGCGGGGACCAAACCCCGTAAACATCTACAGGGGCTTGCCCTGGTCATGGCATGACCGCGACGCTAAATGCTCCGCCTCTCCGCACCATGACACCTTGCGAGTCATGATTCTGGGGTAGAATGGGGCAAAAAAGCTTGATAAAGCGTGGGGCGTTGGAGATAGGCTACTCGGTCGCTCTCACCGGGCGATACCATTAGCCTCGGTCATGGCGCCCGAGCGAGATAACCGGCGGGGAGGTCCGTTCATTCTTTATCAGAGTTAGTGTGGTCCAGCAAGGTCAAAAGGCCTCGACTCCCTCGCTAGATTTGTATCTCAACAACTCAAGCACTTTCTGCATCATTCTTTCAAAGTCAATCTTCTACCGTTGTCACAAGCATCATGGCCGAGCAATTCGACAAGGAGAAGCTTGAGGAGCTGGGTGCGGTCGAGTCCCACACTCAGGGGGAGACCGTCCAGTCTAATGACTTGAAACGAGACTTTAAACCACACCAGGTCTTTATGTTCTCGATTGCTTGTGCAATTGGAACAGGATTGGTTATTGGTTCGGGCAGTGCTCTGTCTAGAGGAGGCCCTGGCAGTCTTTTGATCGCCTATATGGTCATTGGGCTCACTGTGTTTTTCGTCATGACTGCTCTGGGCGAGATGGCGACCTTTTTGCCCATGAATAAGGGCTTTGGAGGATATGCTACCCGCATGGTTGACCCGGCGTTTGGGTAAGACAGTCTGACTCCCCGTGCTTGGAAGCAGTGTTGACTTGGTGACTAGGTTCGCTACCGGCTGGAACTACTTCCTCAAGTACATTATCGCAACACCGACCAATTTGACGGCCACGGGCTTGATTCTCCAGTACTGGAGGCCAGACCTGAACGTTGCCATCTGGATCACAGTCTTTGGAGTCCTCATCATCACAGTCAATGTAGGCAACCTATATCCAACCTTGGTCAACTGATGCTAACGTCTCCAGGTTCTCCACGTCAACAGCTTCGGCGAAACCGAATTTTGGCTGGGCCTGTGCAAGGTTCTCATCATGACGACTCTAATCATCTCCACCCTCGTCGTCGCGCTCGGCGGCGGACCCAACCACGATCGATCGGGCTTTCGATACTGGCAAGATCCAGGAGCTTTCGCGGAATACTTGGCCGAGGGAGCCAAGGGAAGATTCCTCGGCTGGTGGGCATGCATGGTGCAAGCTTGCTTTGCGTATACAGTGAGCTTTTAAACTGTCGTTTATGGCGACTTGTTTTGTCTGACGGTTTTTTCTAGGGAACTGAAGTCGTGGGCATGACTTTCGGAGAGACCCCCAACCCAAGGAAGAACGTTCCTCGAGCTGTGAAGCAGACTTTCTGGAGAATTGCCGTCTTTTACATCCTCGGCATTTTAGTGCTTGGCATGGCTGTTCCTTACAACAGTGAGAAGCTCATCGGAGCGACCAAGCAGGCAACCAGCGGTGGTAAGTCTCTCGATAGGCTGAAAATTAGTGGCAATATCTAACTCGACTTTCTAGCTGCCTCTCCTTTCGTCGTCTCTGTTAGCATGGCCGGTGTTGGCGTGTTCCCCGACTTTATCAACGGTTGTCTCTTGGTCTTTACCCTCAGCGCGGCAAGCTCAGGTACTTAGCAACATGCGAACGACACAATCAAATTAGCTAACAATCCACCTTTCCAGATATCTACTGCTCGTCTAGATCTCTTTACGGTCTCGCCAAGGACGGCCAAGCCCCTCGCCTCTTCGCCAAAGCCCGTGAAAACGGCAACCCCATTTACGCTGTCGCCGCTGCGTCGGTGTGCATCGCCCTCGGTTACATGAACGCCAGCAAGTCATCTTCTACAGTGTTTGGCTACTTTGTGAGCCTAGTGACCGTCTTTGCCGTCCTCAACTGGGTGGCTATTCTCATCACCCATATTCGATTCCGTCAGGCCCTGAAGGCCCAAGGCATCGCCACTAGCGATCTTCCGTATGAGGGCTTTATGCAGCCCTACGGCTCCTACTTTGCCTTGTTCATCTCCGTCCTGGTCATCATCTTCAATGGTAAGCACTCTTCACCAGTCACACGTGAGAAATTAAGAGTACTAACATAGACGATAGGTTATGACGCTTTTATCCCGCACTTCAAGGTCGACGTCTTCATCCTCAAGTACATTGGCACCATTATCTTTATCAGCAACGTCACATGGTGGAAGATCGTCAAGAAGACGACATTCTGGAGTGCAGAGACTATTGATCTAGCGATTGGCAGGCGAGAGTTTGAGGAGAGGGAGACCCCCCAGGATGAGGAGTGGAACGGTGGCCTACGAAAGAAGGTCCTCGGCTTCTTCAGGAAGTGATGTCCATGCAAGGGTTTCTCTCTGAGAGCTCTGCAGGACTAATCACCGAGGTTACAATTGTAAATGCTACGATACTGCAGATAAGAGTCAATTCAAGTTTATAACAAAGGAACAATGCATTCAAGGTCCCACCGTTAAGTCAAGCCAGAATGTGATAGTTAAGCGAAAGTAAAAGTCCCACGCAAGCAATTCGTATGTGTCGTCGTCCTCCGCCTTTTCACTGGCCAATTCGAACGTACATATCTGCCCCTCATGGTTGCCTAGTTGCTGACAATTGATAAGCCGTTTCCGGTAGGTGGAATACGTCTCGTTACGTGGGACGTTACGTACGGGGCCATCGCAATCCCCGCTCACGATATCGCAATCGGAAGGATTTCGCTTGTTTTTAAGCCCCCTTTTATCAGCGCAAGAACTCTTCCAGCCGATCTTCAAGAGAATGAACACTTCTATTCAATCATGAACTCATCGGTCGACGCGATGCTTGACGCCGAGGCCAACTTTGGTCCAGCGGCGTCGTACAGATTCGACTTTACCCTCTTGTTTGAGAATGCAGTCTTGTCGATCCTGCCATCAACTTTGTTTCTTGTTTTGACTCCACAGCGACTGTTTTGGTTGGTCAAGCAGCCTCGAAAATTGACCAAAAACTCCCAGTTCGTTCTCAAATTGGTACGATAAGTAACCGCCTCATGACCCATCTCTAACTGTTGCTAGGGTCTTATCGCCGTGTATACGATTCTTCAATTGACCGTTCTGCTGTGTTGGGTGCTCGGTCCTCTACCTGTGCCAAAGTCACAAATTGCAGCAGCTGTCTTGGTCTTTCTCAATGGCTTCGCATTGGCTTTCTTGTCGTATGCCGAGCACACTCGATCCGTTAGGCCTTCAACACTCATCAACGTCTACCTGCTTCTTACGTTACTCTTTGACTGTGCCATCGCCAGGACGCTATGGCTCATTGAGGGTACAAAGCTGATAGCCAAGGTTTTCACGGCAACTGTCGCAATCAAGTTTACCGTGTTGGTATCGGAGGCATGGGAGAAGCGATCCATTCTTCGAGCCCAATATCAGGAACTCTCACCCGAGTCAACCTCTGGGATCTTGGGCCGGAGTGTGTTCTGGTGGCTTAACCCTCTGATGAAAATTGGGTTCGGTCGGCCTTTGACCGAAGAGGACTTGTATGTTGTCGTTCATTATTCCTCGTCAGGAATGCATGCTGACTAGCCGCTAGGTATACAATCGATTCTTCGCTCTCATCGAGAAGACTCGTCGCCCATGCGCAAGAGACTTGGAGTTTAAGTAGGTCACACATTACACACTGAACACTTGAGCGGTTTCTGACTGCTCCTACAGCAAATCACACCAAGAAGAATAGGCTTTTTTGGTCTACCATCTGGGCTGCAAAGGCCGTCTTCGCCTCTGGTATGCTTTCTCGTATTTGCTTGATAGCATTCAAGTACACCCAGCCTTTCCTTATTCAAAGGACCGTTGGCTTTGCCAGCGACTTGACCGAACCTAAAAGTATTGGATGGGGACTCACTGGGGCGTGGCTCTTGGTCTTTATCGGTCTCGCCGTGAGTTCACTCTGCTCAGCCAATTACACTACTAACCTGTGATAACAGATCTCCAACGGGTTCTACTACCATAAGACATATCAGTACGTTGCAGCGAACACCAATCATGCGATTTTACTGACTGTATAGGTTCGTGACATCGGTCAGAGGCAGCCTCGAAAGTCTCATTTACAACAAGACACTTGACCTTAGCACCACAGCGTTCGACGAGACCAGTAAGAACTCCAGCTTTGCTTCAAGATGCGGCACTGACCTACTCATAGTCGCCGTCACGCTCATGTCTACCGATACTGAAGCCATTTGTCTCGGTTTCAGCAACTTGCACGAAGTCTGGGCTTCCCCGATCGAATGTGGTGTGGCGCTGTTTCTTCTATACAGACAGCTTGGCCTTGCATTTCTGTCACCCATGATTATCGCGATAGGTTAGCGCTTGAACACGAATATTGAGGCGCCCGCTAACTCGTTATAGTTGCCACCGTCGGCATCATGCAGCTCGCCAACCACATGGGAAGGGCACAGAAGAAATGGGTCCGTGGCATTCAGACTCGAGTTGATGTAACTGCCTCTATGCTCGGGTCGATGAAGGTGAGTGCATGGTCTCAGTTGTTGGCTCTTGTTGTTAACTCTCTTCTAGGAAGTCAAAATGCTCGGACTTACAGACGTTCTCAACAGCATGGTTCAAAACTTGCGGATAAAGGAGTTGAAGCTAGCAAAGAAAGCTCGGAAGCTGTTGGTCTTTCGATTGATACTGGGTAGGATATCAGTCTCGCCCTCCTTGGTTGCTTTGCTGCTGACTTATCGACAACAGCATCCAGTACACAAACCATCTCACCTTTGGCAACTTTTGCGACATTTGTCATTATATCTCAGAGCACAGGTCAACCATTGAACGTCGCCTCAGCTTACACGTCATTGTCTTTGATATATCTCTTGTCGACTCCCATGGCCACGGTCATTCGCACAATCCCAATGGTCAGCGCTTCTCTGGCTTGTTTCGACCGAATCCAGGCTTTCTTGATATCAGACAGCTTCAAGGACCATCGACTTCCTTTGAACACTGGCACCATCCAAGCAAATGACAGCACAAGTCTTTCTTCGAGAAGCAGTGACGTTATTGAAATGCAGAATCTATCACCAACGCAAGAGTTTTCTGTCGGGGATCCTCTTATGGTAGTCTCAGACGCCAGTTTCAGCTGGGGTCAAGCAGAGTCCCCAATCCTGCACAACATCTCATGTACTATCCGGAAGTCGCACTTCACCTACATCATCGGCAGTGTAGGCTCAGGAAAGAGCACGCTCTTGCAGGCAATGCTTGGAGAAATGAAACCATCCAAGGGATCCATCTTTACTGGAACCCGTAGGATTGCATTTGTCGGCCAGGAGCCGTGGATCCAGAACTTGACTCTACGACAAAACATCTTGGGAGCATTCAACTACGACAAGTCGTGGTATGACAAGGTCATTTATGCATGCGCTTTAGAGCAAGATATGATGGAGCTACCAGGAAGGGATGCCACAAAGGCAGGCACCAAAGGAGTATCACTCAGCGGTGGCCAGAAACAACGGCTTGCTCTTGCGCGAGCAGTCTACTCGAGGGTACCCGTCATCTTCTTGGATGATGTCTTTGCAGGCCAAGACGCCGCGACAGAGGAACATATCCACCGGATGCTCTTCTCTGAGCGCGGTCTGTTCCGAGAGATGGGCACCACAGTTGTGTGTGTTACAAATGCCAGTAAGTTTCAGTCTATTATCTCATCAGCGGTGTCTGATACTAACATGGATCAAGTCCATCGCCTCGTGTATGCCGATCATGTTATCGCTTTGAGTGAGCAGGGCTCCATTCTACACCAAGGAACTTTTGAACAGCTCAAGACCGACACCGTATATTTCAAGGGTCTTCACTTTGAGCAGAACGGGTCCGCCTCCAAGGACGACAATACTATTACCACCGGACCCGGCGAACTGGCAACATCGAGCCCTCCAGCACCAGGAGAGGATACGCAAGCTTCACTCGGTCAAGGACTTGGAGAGTTTGCAACTTATGGATATTACCTCGGATCAGTTCCCTTGTGGCACGTTCTTCTGATTCTATCTCTTGTTTGTCTCCACGCTGGAGGCTACAAGATGACCGAGTTACTGCTCAGTTTCTGGACAGGTCGCACTGGTGCGACACAGCACGAGTCAAACAGCTTCTACCTCGGCCTCTACGGTATGCTCGCTGGTCTATCTATGGCCGCGCTCATATCATGCGCTTGGTTTTACCTCATCATTGCGGTCCCGCTCGGCTCGGCGGTTCTTCATGCTCGACTTCTTAAATCCATCATGGATGCTCCTTTGTCGTTCTTTTCCAAGACGGATGTTGGCGTCACGACAACTCGTTTTAGTCAGGATATCTCTGTTGTCGATACTGAGCTGCCATTCACGCTGATCGATCTGCTCATCAACATTGCGGTAGCGTTCTTGTCTGCTGTCATGATGTGTGTGTTTTCCGGTTACTTTGCAGCGACTCTACCTCCCATTCTCTTCTTTTGCTGGCGTAAGTTCGAGGGTCCATTACTTTTTTGCTATTCTAACATCGCATGCAGTCCTGTCAAAGTTCTATCTCCGAACATCCCGTCAAATCAGGATTCTCGAACTACAAGCCAAGTCTCCCCTCTTTACCCACTTCCTCGACACCTTGCAAGGGTTATCCAGTGTGAGAGCCTTTTCTTGGGAGACACAATTCCGGGAGCAATACTTTGAGTTCCTCGACGCGTCGCAACGCCCATATTATCTGCAATTCTGCATCCAGCGTTGGCTGGCACTGGTTCTTGACTTGATGGTCGCTGCCATGGCTGGGATCATGATGGTACTCGTCGTTCAGCTTCGAGGTCAATTCGCACCCAAGTTTGTGGCACTGGCACTTCTCAACGTTACTTCGTTCAACGAATCTTTGACGCTAGTCATCAAGGGTTATACTCAGTTGGAGACTGCTTTTGGAGCGGTTGCCCGCCTCAAGCAATTTGGCGCAACCACAGAGAGTGAGAATCTGGCTGGCGAAACGAGCCAAGTCCCTGAGGAGTGGCCATCATCTGGACATGTTTCCATCAAGAACATGACTGCTTCATACACCAAGACGGGGAACCCAGTGCTGCACGGCGTGACCCTAGACATTCCTGCGGGTTCAAAGGTTGGCATTTGTGGGCGTAGCGGGAGTGGGAAGAGCTCTCTTATGGGCTGCCTCCTTCGTCTCCTGGAAATTGATGCCAACTCCAGCATCGAATTTGATGGCATCGACATCACTACTATTCCTCGTCAAACCATTAGAGCCTCGGTGGCGGTGGTTCCCCAGCACCCATTCTTCATGAAAAAGACCAGCATCAGAGATAACTTGGCCCCTCGAGGCGAGCGGAACGACGAAAGAATGCTCGCAGCGCTCCACAGGCTCAAAATGCGAGATGTGATTGACAGAATGGGTGGATTGGACAGCATTCTGGATATTGATCGCCTATCTCAGGGTCAACGCCAGCTGCTCTGTCTCGCCAGAGCCATGCTCGCCAACAAGAGGATCATCCTCCTCGACGAAGCAAGTAGCAACGTGGACCCCAACTCAGAGCAACTTATCAGACAAGTCATTCGTGAACAATTTGTCGGGTGCACCGTCATTGCTATTGTTCATCGACTTGGAGCTGTGGTGGACTTTGATCGCGTCGCTGTGATGAGCGGTGGTCGCGTCGTGGAATGGGACAATCCTAGGGAGTTGTTGAAGCGGGATAGTGAGTTCAAAAAGCTGTGGGATTTGACTTCAGGGTGAAGAGAGTAAGAGTATCGAAATGGTGCTGAACTTAGCTAGGTTTACTGAGCTTAGTCGCGCTTTTTGAAAGGGCTCCTCAAAGCTCTTCTCGGGTGCTGTGTAGATGTGCAAGACGCATAAGGACTGCATAAATTCGTTGCATAAACAGGTGGCTCCCAGAGAGCACGTGAGATATCACGTGTGGTTGCATGATTGAAATCTACTCCACTGTTCAAAAGCTCACTTTGTCCACCTCGTTCCATTCTTTAAGTGATATTGCATCTTTCAACTGCACATGCCCTATCGAACAAAGTAGTGTACACAGCTCTTTGATAAAGGCCTTGATGCTTTTATTATACCTTCACTCATGTCATATTTAATAACTGCCTTTCTTATGCTCTCTTACACCCTGAACAATAAAGATCCCGTGAAGTTGTGGCTAGTTACCCTGGACCTTGTGGCGTAACACATGGGGTTTATAACTTCGCTTTAAAAGGCTGATTGGCCTTTAAGCTCATCACAAAGCTTTTCATCCAACATGATTGGTTTCTTCACAACATGCGATTGGCAGATTTCTTTTGCTTCGTTGCTCGCTCTCGCCCTTCAGCGTGGTGTTGGGATCTCAGCCTCTTCAGCCCCGGAGTTCGGCACGATGGCTATGGCGACATTCCGCACTTTTGAGGCTGAGCACTGAATGATAAGCATATCATTGGTTGAGCCTTTCCTGAAACGACTCTGATTGTGGACCTTGCGCCCCAAATTCAGGGATCGGAGTTCAACGCTTCAGCCCAACCAGCCAAAAATGTGGCACAGACGAATCCCGTATCAGTGATGTCACTCGAGCGCTGGATTACTCCGTATATGGTTAGCGTGAGATCTCAGCCCAAACTGGATCAACGCAGTCATCCGCTGATCCTTGCCTCCTTTGGGGGCTGCGTAAATCATCACTCACAGTTCGTGAGTATATAACATCTCGAGGACTGCCAAGGGAGTTTAGGATATCATCATAGCGAATACAGACAACGGTTATTCATACAATATACTTTCTTTCAAGTCCATCTGTTCATCATTTTTACACACTCATCAACATCATCTCTCTCACACCACCTCCAACATGAGCTTCCCTCAAAACAACGACATTACCCCTCCAGTCGAGTCACAACTCGGCAACCCTACCCTTCAAATCGACTTTTCATGGAAGAAGTTCAAGGCTTTGGTCTCACAAAAGGACAAGTCTGGAGAGTCTGTTCCTCGATATGTCATCGACTACAACACCTTGAGGTCGCCTCACCTTGTCTTCCACCCTGCCGAGGACAAGTCTGTTACTATCGGTTCCGGTACCCTCCATCCAGTCTCGATCCACGCCGACTATGAGCTTCGTGGCCAGAAGGGAACTCTCAAGGCTCTAAGACGCTTCGTCACCTCTTACACGCACTTGTCATACAACTACGCCGATGGCCCTGGAGATACCCCAGCTGCCATGACCTGGACTAGCTCTAGTGACTTCAAGAGCTGGGACTTTATCTGCCTCGATGAGAACAGCGTTCCTGTCGCCAAGTTCTCTGCCAACGCTTGGGCCATCAGCAAGGTTGGCTACATCGAGTTCATGGGCCCCAAGGCCAACAACCCCGACGCCCAGGAGGAGATTATGATCACTGGTCTCACTCTGTTCTCTCAGATGGTCCTTCGTACAAGTAGCATCCTGTCTCTCTTTGGCGCCATCTTCTCAAGACCCGGCCCGCTCGATAAGGAGGCAGCTGAGGGGTCCCGGAGGAGTGTGGAGGGAAAGGAGTGGGTGGAGCACCAGGAGCTATCCTTTCCTAAGGATAGCAAGTCATAAAATGATACGGGGTTGTGTATTTGGCTGTTTTTAAGTCTTAATGTGTTCTTTTTAGCGAGTTTGTTTGTCACGAGATTTGGTTACGGGGACGGCAGCTGTTTATATGAGTAGTCTTATTACCTACGATACTAAACGAATATAATGCAAAGTTAGACATTTTCAGTGAACGAATCTGTAATAGGAAATCTCCCTCTATTGAATTGACACCAGGTGACCTACAACTCCACTACCTACTCCGCCCGACTATCGTACATGATGGCAAGTCCATCTAGTCTTGGATCGGTTGGATCCAAAATCCGAAATCTACCTCTTCCGCTTCCGCTTCCGAGGCTGAGGCTGAGGCTGAATGATCTTGTTTCGGAACTCTTCCCTGATCTCCTCAGGGGTCATGGGTAGTTCCAAAGTGACCAGTACTGGACCTGAAATGGTATCTGGGGCCATGGCCTGGAGTGCTTCTGTCTCGGCACCATAGTTCACTTGGATTTGCAAGTTCCACCCACCAGACGAGGTTTTGCCTTGCAAATCTAGACGAAAATTCTGCTGGCTGTAGATTTCACCAGGAGTGTCTGAGAATTCCAGTAGCTTATCATCTGGAATCTCGTCAATGAATAAAGCGAGAAGCTTCTTCGTACTTTTGCACTGTCTTCCCATCTTTTCTTGAATGATCTGAAAACTCTTTTCTTGAGTGATCGGAAAACTCGTTTCTTGAATGATCGGGAAACTCTTTTCCTGAATGATCGGAAAACAATGCTCTGTGTGGAGAAAGGTACCTGAGAGGTGGCATGAAAATGGTTGGACTGGAGATGACACAAATTATGTAGTTGATGAAATGCCTGCTTCGACCTTCAAAACAGCGCAGGTCCATCTGTAACAGATACGTTCGTGACATGTTAACCTAAAAACACAGCAGGACATCTTAAACTATTAGGTGAACACTATGGAACTAGGCGAATGGAGGAACGTGTTCTCTATAACTCCGATCAAAATCTCGTTTCTCTGCGAACGGTGCTTGAGAACAAAATATGAGGCTGTACAACTCTAACAAAAAGAGAGAACGAGACAAATCATCACTGTGACTGACCATGTTACGCTTGCGAGCTTCTTGTACCTTAACTGTTAAATGCCGTTCTTTGTTCTTCTTCGAACAAGGCCTTTCAGGTGATGGGAGAGAAGAGGCATCCCATTGACAAAGCGAACAATCAGGTCAGATTTCAGTTCGGCTTTGAGCATCAAAGATGGCGAACAAAGCAAAAAAGCTGAACACTTGCGAGCACCCGGTCTAGTGTGGAGTTTTATCACTACAGGCCTTTTCTCCCCAACTTTGCTTTGTCCTGTAGGTGGCATGTATTTCACCCCTGCATTGTACAGAGCTTGATTGATGAAACGAAGCACTGGCGATGACCTTTCTTCCATTTTGTCCACTCCTTTCAAGAACTTGGAAGATAGCAAGCCGTGTATTCCCATGAGGAAACAAAGGCATTGCAATGATCACTTACTTATATATTGACCCAGTTACGTCTGGAGGGGAAGATATCCTGACAACCCCATACACTACTTTACTCGACATTAGTATTTTACCTACTACGAAGATGTCGACTAATCCTCGAGACGGACTTGTCTGGGACGATTCGGGTTGGGCCCTTGAACCCAAGTGGGCATCTGAGCCCAGCATCGAAGCGATCCAAGCAACATGCCAGCGGGTGCTACAGCTTGATGCTTCAGACGACTGTTCGGTGTCGTTCAAGACCGAAGGCGCCTTCAACAAAGTCTACGTGGTCGAGGACAACTGTGAACGGAGATGGATCTTTCGAGTCGCCCTCCCCGTTGACCCCCACAAGAAGACTGCTGGAGAAGCGGCAACTCTCTGCTGGCTTGAACGCCACTCAGACATTCCAGCACCCAAAGTGATTGCTTTCGACGATTCTAGCGACAATGAGATAGGATATGAATGGATCCTCATGGAGATGATGCCCGGAGTTACGGCGCACCATCGATGGCGCGGGATGTCGTGGGAGGCGAAGACAACCTTTGTTGAGAAGATTGCCGAATATCAAGCACAACTCTTCAACAACACGCAATTCCGTACCATTGGCACCTTGAAGGATGTCAGTCTCGAAGATGATGCCAAGTTGGAACCTGGACAGTTGGTTGATGGCATGTTCTTCATGGGTAAGCGTTATGACGTGGATGTCCCTCGAGGGCCATTTCGCTGTAGCTACGACTGGCTCAAGTCGTACATCACTGTCATCATTGGAGACCAAAAGAGAGTAGTAAAGGAACACTCGAACTCGGATTCAGACTCTGATTCATCCTCCAACTCATCCTCCTCCGACAGCTCATCCTCCTCCGACAGCTCATCCTCCTCCGACAGCTCATCCTCAGACTCAAGCTCATCTTCAGACAACAGCTCAGACTCATCAGACTCAGACGCAGAGGAAAAAGCCCACGCTGAGTACAGTATTGAAGTTGCTGAGCTACTCTCTGATCTTCTGCCCGATATCTTCCCCAAAACCCTGAACCCACCGGAGCCAACAGTACTGCTGCACGGTGACCTTAATCTGAACAATATCCTGGTCGACGACGATGGAGCTATCACAGCTATCATAGACTGGGAATGCGCCTCGGCGGTGCCTCTCTGGACTACTACGCGTATGCCCCAGTTCCTTCGCGGGCGAGACCGTGAAGAACTCCCGGATCCTGATGGGTACATGGCTGCTGATGAAGAGATGGAGGCTGCGAGACGAATTCGCGATGGCGACTATTATCTCGAGAGCGAAGGCAAGAACATCCTCTACTGGGATCACCTCATGGAATATGAGCAAACAAAGCTCAGAAAGGTGTACACGGACCGCTTGTCTCAGCTCTGTCCTGTATGGGGAAGGGAGGTTACTGAGAGCGGGCTGAAGATGGATTTCTACCAGGCGATTTATCAGTGCACCATCGGTTGGCGTTTGTTGACGATTGACGACTGGGTTGGGGAGATTTGGGAGGGAAACTTCTTTACAATGGCCGAGATGATGGAGCCGGGCCGTACGTAGACGTTCCTTTTGTGCCGATTTTCTTTTGTTTTGTCTTGCATATTTTTGTAAATGTATGATTTTTATTGTAGAACGTAGGTAGCGTAGACAAGCCAGATTGTTAGTCGCGCTACGCAGAATCGTAGTACCAAAAAAAGAAAAAGAAAAGGTATCTTTATTCATTCCTCTTGATGGACGCAGCTAGTTGGCATGTGAAAGATTGGCACCATGTACCTACAATACGCAACTCTTTAACCCCCCATCAAAGCTCCTTGCCAATCTCCTTCGATCCTTCCTTACTTTCGACCAACTTCTCAGTGTCCAGCTTAATCTCCCCGTCAAACACGCTGGCGATGGCCTCAAGACTTCGACCAGATGTCTCTGGGAAGAGGAAATAGACACAAGCAACTTCAATACACAGCCAACCGACATAAACTCCGTAATACTTCCATGCCAAGGCCTGGAGACCGATGGGGTTTACAAAAGAGTTGACGAATCCTGCTCCCTTACCAAAGAACATGAGAACCGAAAAGCCTTTAGCTCGGATGGGGTAGGGCAAGATTTCAACGGGATAAGAGTAGAGTAGAGCGTTGAAGGCAAAGTTGAAGAATGCGTAAAAGATGAAGAGCATCGCAAGAACACCGTGACCAGCGGCTTTGTTGCCTCTTTCGTTGAACAGACCTGCACAAAGAGTCTGGCTGCTGAACACGAGGAGCATGCCCACAACGGAGATCATGAACTGTGTTCGGCGCTTGAGACGACCTGAAGCAAAGGCGGAAGCGACAGATGTGAGCCAGTTGAAGATCATCAAGCAGCCGTTGATGATGTTGGTGTGTCTGGCATTCGTAATTCCAACGGTTTCGAGGACACGGACGAGATAGTAAGAGACAAGCCCGTTTCCGGACCACTGTGAGAAGAGACCCAAAAGAACAATGACAAGTAGGCGATGGCGGTTACCGGGTGTTTTGAGCATAGATGCCCACCCGGTGGCGTTCGCAAGTTCAGCTTCAATGACCCCACGCATCTGGCGATACTCTAACTCGACAAACTCGGAGGAGGCATCTCCATTAGCGTGGTACTTGACCAAGATATCCCTTGCTTTTTCGGGTTTTCCTTTTGCAATGAGAAAGCGTGGAGACTCGGGGAGGAACCAGATACCCAAGATCTGGACAAGAGCTGGCACAGCTTGGAGATAAGATGGGATTCGCCATGCCCAGTCGTTGGGGATCCTGAATGTTCCAAACGTTGTCCATGCGGCAGCTATGGCACCAAGATACCAGGAAGTCTGATACAGAGAAGTGGCGACTTGTCGATCTTTGGGATGGGCCAACTCGCCGATGAGCATGGGAGCGTAGGTGTTGGCAAAGACAAGACCGAAGCCAATGACGAAGCGAGAGATCAAGAACATGGAAACTGTAAGGTTGCATTAGTAGGATAAATATTAACGGATACCGTTTCTGGTTTCTTACTGTGAACGCATGCGCCTTGAATGACACCTCCAATTAACATGATCACGGCGCCCAAGAAGATCCCCATACGGCGACCCCAGCGATCACCCACAACGCTGATGAAAGGTGTGGCAACGATGCAGCCGAGGCCTAGGATCGCATTTAGAAGACCGAGAATACTGCCGCGAGGACTGTTGAAGTCTAATGAAGGAGTCAACTTGTCAGCCAGCTGTCTGTCGTATAAGCCTAGAACGGTGAACTTACAAGAATCCCAAGCTGGCACTGCCTGAAGACCGCTCATCATCGCCCCGTCAAATCCCAGTGTTACAGCAGGGACAAGACATCCAGGGATCATGAGCAGATAAAGCTTGAACAAGTTGCGGCTTTGGTAGAACGGCGGCGCATGGTGGGCGAGTTCTTGAATGCGCCGATCCAGTTCCTCGACGGTTTCATGACCAGCCGCAGAAACATTGACCGAGCTTGTCTCTTTGCTTTGTGAAGACGCCATTGCGGTCTTGGTTGTATAAGATGAAGCGTTGAAGGCCGTGTGATGATGAGCTGATGTCGATCTTTCTGTGGGAGGTTGCTTCAACTTATACACGATGTCAAGTGACAACCTTGTGAAGCCTCGCTTGTTGGTTCAGATCGCGTCATCCCTCCCAGTTGATGAGAGCAGATTAACCTCCAACGCGTTGACCGTTCAAAGAAGCTATAGTTCAATGCGTGGCGCGGGGAGAGCATTCGATCAATTTGATCTATCGGCAACCTTGACCAGGCTGGATCTTGAATAGCGGCTCAGGATTGGCTAGACAAGCTGGCCTGCGAGATGATGCCATTCATCCCCGGATCGCGATCGTCTGCCCACTTCACGGCCCCTCAGCTTCAGCCAATCAATGCACCAAGACTCCGAATGGACTCCGAAGCTTCGGCCGGTGAACCAATGGTTGGTCGCCCTCGCCGATCGCAGTTCGGAGAGCCAAGAATCCACTTGTTCAGTCTCCACGGGCCTATTTCCGCGCTCGGTAACGAATTGCAGGGTTGCATTTAGAGGGAACATGTACGAATGGGATGTGTTGCAAGGGCATAAGAGGGGAAGACGCCGCCGAAATGACCGATCTCGGTTCATCACACCGCATCCTCCATAGCTCGCCACCATGAGTCCCGATTCTCTTCACAATATTCTTTCGTCTCTCACGCTTGAGGAAAAGATACGTTTCCTTTCGGGTGTTGACTGGTGGCGCACTCCAGTTATACAAAGGGACGGGGTCTTTGTGCCCCATATCAAGGTATGTCTTTGTTCTCAATTTGTCAAGCACGAACAGAAGTTAACATCCTTTGTCTCAGTTTACTGATGGGCCCAATGGTGCCCGAGGAGAGAGCTATGTGTCTGGCATCAAGGCTGCATGCTTTCCCTGCGGGACATGTCTCGGCTCGACATTCGACACGTCGATCCTAGAGAGAATTGGCGCCGCAATAGCAAAAGAAGCAGAGACAAAGTCTGCAAATGTCCTCCTGGGCCCAACCCTCAACGTGATCCGTTCACCGCTGGGAGGCCGAAACTACGAGACCTATAGCGAGGATCCTCTCGTTCTGGGTCATCTCGCAGCTGCCTATGTCCGCGGATGCCAGTCGACGGGCCGTGTCGCGGCGACTCCAAAGCACTTTGTGGCGAATGACGCAGAGAATCAGCGGACGACATTGAGCGTCGAAGTTGAGGAGCAGGCTTTGAGAGAGATTTACCTGAAGCCATTCCAGCTTGTCCTAAAACTCTCAGACCCTTGGTGCATCATGTCAAGGTGAGTTATTGGCGATTTGCTTACTCGCACTTCATTTTTGCTGACTGTTACTGTGTGTAGCTACAATAGGGTTCAGGGAACCTACGTCGCTGACAGTGACGAGCTCATCAACGGTGTCTTGAGAGATGAATGGGGCTTCCAAGGACCCGTCATCTCGGACTGGATGGGAACTTACTCCGTCGCACCCGGCATCAACGCTGGCGTCGACATTGAGATGCCCGGTCCACCGAAATGGCGCACCCCAGATGCCGTGTCGAAGCTCGTTCAGCAGGGTAGCATCACCGAAGAGACTATAAACAAGAGCGTTTTACGCATTCTCAAGTTGGCTTATCGGCTCGGTCGATTCGAGAATCCCGAGGAACCCCCTGAGCGTGCGGTAGAAGACCAAGCTCGCGATGATCTCATCAAAGAAGCCGCAGCAGATGGAATCGTCTTGCTCAAGAACGCTGGTGATATCTTGCCCATATCTAAGAGCTCAACTGTCGCATTGATCGGTCAGCATGCGAGCTCTGTTGTCCTCGGAGGTGGAGGAAGTGCTCGAGTCGATGCCTTGCATGCCGTTACTCCAATCGAAGGGTTTCAAAGGCTGGGCTATGATACCAGGACAGCAGCCGGTGTGCCAGTCTTTGGTGCTGTTCCTCATGCAGATCCCAGCTCCGTCTTTCCCACCGGTCAGCCGCAACACTCTGAACTTCCTGTTCGACTGGAGTGGTTCAATGGCTCCGTGATTGGCGAGAATCTCGTCCACGAAGAGTTCCGCCCTCAAGCCGAGTACATGATCAAGGAACAGTGGCCAGAATACCTTGACAAGATTAGCTACTGCACGCGAATCACGTTCGATTTGGTGGCGCCTTCAACAGGCAACGCAATCTTTTCAGTCATCAGCACAGGTCGGGCGAAATGCTACATTGACGGCCAGTTGGTCTTTGAACGACCCCAAGAGACAAAGCTACGGCCCGAGTCTTTCTACTTCTTCAAGAAGCAGCTGGAGAGACGCTTCACTCATAATGTGGAAGAGGGTCGCCGTTACTCCATCAAACTCGAGTCTTGGGCTTGCGATCCTGATATCTTGGCTGGACCGCCTTTGTTTGGAAAGATGTTTCAAGGAAGCTCCATTCGCTTCCATGAGGAGATCAACCTGCAAGCCTCGTTGAATGATGCCAAGAAAGTGGCCTCAGAAGCCGAGTATGCTATTGTCTGCGTCGGAACGACCAACGAGATTGAGTCGGAGGGCTTTGATCGGGACACGATGGATCTCACACCAGAACAATACGACTTGGTCAAGGCAGTTGCCTCTTCAAACTCCAAGACGGTGGTTGTGAACTTCTCAGGCGCACCTGTTAGTCTCTCACAGATCGTTGATGTTGTTCCTGGAATTGTTCAAGCTTGGTTCCCTGGACAAGAAGCAGGATTATCAGTTGCAGCCGTTCTCTCTGGACAGGTGAATCCTAGTGGTAGACTGCCACTGACATGGCCACGAAAGCTAGAGGACGGCCCGTCGTTTGGAAACTTCCCTGCCGGTCCTGATGACATTCTTCGATACGAAGAGGGACTTGACGTGGGATATCGATGGTACGATCAAGCGAGCAAGCCTAAGCCTTTGTACCCATTCGGATTCGGACTTTCCTACACACGGTTTCAGATTGTAAGCGTTGAGATTCAAAAAGGACGGGCTACATTGGGCCCCGATGGAGAGGTCTTGGTCAAGGCTAGAGTCGCAAACGTTGGTTCTCGACAAGGCAAGGCTGTAGTCCAGTTCTACGTATCTGGACCTCAAGATAGCCCAATACCCGGACTTTCGCGACCAGTGAAGGAACTACAGGCGTTCGAAAAGGTTGAGATCGGCCCTGGAGAGACAAAGGTGGTGGAGGCGCGGCTGGATAAGTATAGCGTCAGCGTTTATGACTCGGTGGCAAAACGATGGCATGCAGAGAAGGGGGAATATACGGTGCGCGTTGGCTTGTCGAGCGATCAAGTACACACTAGAGTGTCTTTCTCAGTACCGGAAACTTTCACCTGGACAGGCATTTAGCAAGAGCTATAACCTAGATAGGCTTTTTACTATCTGGCATGACGATAGCTATCATAGAAGACGACTCAATGTTACAGGGTTTTGACATTTAGTTTAACACCTGCATGTATCAATAACTGTGTACTTAATTAGTGAGGCCGGCGGATTCTTTGGAGATATTACCAAGTTCACAGGGCTCCGTTGTGCTGAGCTTTTCATCGAGAACCATTAAATAAATCACGGAAGATCCTTCTCCATTAGACGACCAAAACCATGTTACATTGATCAAGGTTATCTCCTATCGAGTTTCCAAGAGGTGTTGTCACAAAGCGTTGGTTAACAAACATGGGGCACGCAGGATGACGTGCTTCACTAACCGCATGTCGCCAGTCTCTCCCCGCCCTCGGCATGGAGCAACTAATCATTGCAAAGAGATTGACCACTCACCACTTAGCCACAGTCATTCTTCATCGCGAGGACTAACTACCTGCCATTCTTCTCAAAATCACCAAGATGCCACGAAGAGCGTGCTATACCTGTCGGTAAGCATATCCCCAACCCTGAACTAGGACACGGTCACTAACCCAGCAATCAAAGTTCCAGCAAGGTCCGCTGCAAAGTCCAGGAAGGCGAAGCTGGTTGTGAAAGATGCGCGACGAGACAGATTCACTGCTCGTACATACCAAAGTCCCAACCTTCGTCTCGCTCAGATCCCATGCCCAGCTCCCCATGGGCAGCTTCTGAGCACAGTGTCGGTTTTGAGCCTCCTCCAATGAGACAAGCTAACCAAGACTATCGGATGGAACGCGGGACTCTGGGGTTAGACGTTGGAAAGGGACGCCCAGAGGATCTCCTCAGAGAGGGAGAGTTTACTCATTCTCTGATCCTCCTGTATTTCAGCAACTTTAGCGATATTCACTTCATGTTTGACGAAGAGCTATTCCTTGCCGACTTTTCCACCAGTCAGATTCCCAAGGTCATTCTCTATTCTATCATGGCGCTGAGCATTCGGTAAGTCTTGCACTGAAATATATACCTAGCTCGCTTACACATGTCCAAGATTCTCGATGGCACCATTCACCGAAGATCTACCACCGTGCCATAGAGGGGAGCTTCTTTTTAAGCACGCCCGAAGCATTCTAGTCGAAGACTTTGATTGGCCATCAGTTCCGACAATCCAAGCTTACCTCTTGCTGGGTACCTACAAACTGGCATTTGGCGGCTCGAGACAAGCATATGTGTATCTTGGTCAGCCAAAACTCATCTTTAATCTGCCAACCAACTGACTTCCTCAAGGCTTTGCGGCGAATATGCTTAGAGCTCTGAGACTTCTAGATATCAGCGAGGGGGAGCCATCTGTCTCTGTGGAGACACACAGACGGCTCATTTGTACCATGGCACTCATGGATAGACTGATATCCTTTCCACTTAGGTTGACACCGCACTTTTCTCGCCGAGACAAGATTCCCCACATGTTACACGACGACGAGTTTCTAGCCTTGAAACGAGGTAGAGCAAATCAGACTTTGGGAGCGCATTCAAATGTCAAAGCTTCCAGTGTGTCTCAGGAAGTCATGTTCCTTTCAGAGATACTAGCAGAGCTTTACGAGCTGTTCCATGATGGCCAGGATGATGTTTATCAAGTTCTATCCAGGTTCACGCGTCATGCAGCAACAAGAAGTGCTAGCCTTCTTTGGACTCCCTCCAATATCTCTCATCACTTGCTCCATGATACCCTTCGGCAGTTTGCATATATGCACCTGCTATATCACCACATCGGCCAACTAGTCCACTTCAAAGCCCTTAGGCCGACCTCGACCCAAAGTCAAGCACAGAGAGAGTCAGCTGCAGAATGCCACCGCCATGCCAACTCGATTGCAGCAATTGTTGATACTCTATGGGACCAGGCTGGCTTTGATCTACACAACTTTTCTGTCGGCAAGATTCTTACCACGGCGGTTGTGGTATATGCTCATGCTATTCTGGAAGCTTCTACAACCGAGGCAATTCAACAACTACATGATCAAATAGCCATTCTGACGGGTTGCATACACCGTATTCAGAACCATACGCGAATGTTTATATGGGTGGTAAGTAAAGTTGACCCGAAAAGAGTTTCACATGTTGCTAATAAGATCATAAGCACCAACACTTAGAAACATTTGTAAACATGTTTAGTCGCGACAAGTCGATCTGGGCAAGGATGTTCAATGACAACCCTCATCTTCTGCGCCAGATGCTATATCTTGGGAGCTACTATGAAAAGTTTGACCCTCGGACTGCAGGTAAGCATCTGACTTGCTTTCTGGATTCACAACGGGTAACTCTAACGACTTGAGCAGGGCGCCGGATAGGGATCGAGGCACTGCTAGAGTCAAGGTGAAAAGAAGATGTGTGGATGCAAATTTGTGGGGATATTGGAAGGAAGGAATCAAGGATATAACTTGATAAGAATATACCTTGTTAGCGAGTTATTTAGTGGGTAGGTTTGAAACGGGAGAGTAATAACTCGCGGTTCCCTCACTCTCATCTTTCAACCTGTCTAGAACTCGACATTATCGGATTTGCCTTGATAATTTTCAAGATCTTTAAAGAGACAAGATCATTCCTGGCAGTGTGAAGAATAGCTTGGAAATTTATTTGTTACGGCACGGCACTCGGTGAGCTGGCTAAGCATATCCGATGGCGAGGAAAGGGGGCCCGAACCACCCCAAAGTCATCAGAATATATTTCAACATCACTATATTGCTGGTTTTCGATGGATTAAAGTAGTTACTACTATCCATGGCAATTGATCTAATAACGACATCTAAAAAGGACAAATCTCAAAGGAATCAAATCAAAAATGACTACAAATGCGTTGTTTCGAAAAGATGTAAAACGACCAAGAGGTTGCACGTTCGCTTAGGCTTAGACTCTTGGCTTGGCCTCTAAGCCTTTGATGTCAGCTTAGGGCTCCTCTCCTTCTCCGGTTCGTTGACTGTCTTGATCTTCTTTGCTTTTCGGGGTTGCTGTGCTGTCGCCTTTCTCTTTCTCGTCACGGCCCCCTTTGTGTTCTTGCCGCCTTGTTTTCCGACATTTCTCCAGTCGAAAAGAGATGGGTCGTATGGTGGATCTTGGGTCATGTAGACGAGTGCACCTTCGTAGTTCAACAGAGGGAGGAAAGGCCCCTGTCTGCCTGGACGCGGCCGAAGGTGGTCGTACACCGAGGACTCACTGATCGTCTGTCCAAACTCTTGGATGCTCCGCCCATTGATGTCCCTGTAAGCGACGAGTCGGCAATGTTTTCGTCGAGACCTGGGAAAGTCAGCCCACCAGTTCCACTCTCCAATCACCTCGCGCTGGAAGCAGAACAAGTCCCAGGCCGCCATGCTCGCGAATGCCCAGCTTGGTTGAAGCCCTTGTTCAGGACCCCAGATGTGTGGGATTGTCCAGGCGTGGCTGAAGTCGACGAGCGTACCGTTGATGTACTGCTGGTACTTGAGGTCGCGAACAACGATGCCACACTTGTGCAGTTCCTTGAGGTCGCGCAGCATTTTAGGAAACTTGGTAGGCCGTAGCCACTTCCCATCCTTCTCGTCTTTTTCATCATGGGCCGGGTGTCCTCCCGGGACCCAGTCCTTGACAATGGCCATGAGCGGTTCTTTGGGGTCCAGGTGCTCGAACAATTCGGCTCCAGATGTTGATGGGATAGTAGGACTGTTGTCGAGTGCGATCTTGAACTGTTCTTCCACCTGCTCATTCAAATACACCAGCATATAGCCATGGACTCGAACGGCAAGATCCTCACGGCCCACTTCCTTCAACCTACCAAACACGCGACACTCACTGTTGAAGGACGACGTGTAAAGAACCAAGGTCTCGATCAACGAGTCAGACCAGCCGTATCTCTCTTTAGGGTTAAGGGCCTCTCCGTCTTCGTATGGGTCTTCTTGGAGGGGACACAGATGCGCACAAGGCTCGGCGGTTCCTTCGGTGTAGAACTGGAGCAAAAGAATTAGTCGACATCTAGTAAAGCATGGATACGGTGCAAACTAACAATCTTGATGGCGCGGAGATTGCCGTCAATCTCGGCTTTGACAGTGACGCCGTGGCACCCAGCGCCGGCAATGTCCAGAAACTTGAAGTCATGGTCGAGGAGGTCATCGGTGAAGCACTCGAGCTTCGGACCCTCGCAATCAGGGAGGGGCTTGAGGGTGGGCATAGTGAAGGGTCAAAATAGAAATAAGGTGATAGATATGAGCAAAGGTCGTCTTGTATGATGGTCGAGTATAATCAAATGATTTCGTTCGGTACAAGAGGCTGACGAGACAGAGCCAGGCAGGCGGTCATTTTAAGACAGATGATGAACATTCAACATTTCATGAGGAGCAAGAGCAAACAAAGGATGGTAAGAGTTGGCCTGTTAGCATAGATATCTACTAGACATGATATTGCATCTGCGAGGTTGCGAACAAAGCAACAAAGGCTAAGCATCAACCAGCGTGGTTAAAGATAGCCATAATGGACTAGAGGGCAGCTTTGACTTGAGGCTGGTCTTTTCAGCGTTGCAGCTCAAAGGACTGTTGAAAGCTACCAATAGATCATGCAAGCGGGTTATAGGACGCCTTTGCAGATGCTTTGTGTCCTTTGTCTGCCAATTTGGTGACGTTTCCAAAAAAGAATGCCCTTTGTGGTGGATGCTTTATATGCCTTTGCCACTGCAAGTTGGTCCGGCCGCTGCAATAGGGGGCGGTGGATCGTTGGCTGGAACAAAGTAGAGTGGACCCAGAGAGTGCGTCTGCTAATAAACGTCTTTTCTTTTGTAGCTAACGGCTTCTTTTGGACAGGCTAGTGAAAGCGCACCACTTTAAAGGATACATCTGGGTGGCTGTCGGCATCTTCTCTTTCTCTGTTTTCCAGTGTCAATTGCTTGATTACATGTCTGACAGCAAGGCAACCCGGCCCTCGGCAGCTCACAGCAACGTGGCTACGTGGCCCCTCAAGCGGATAGGTGTACCTGTGTTTGAAACCTTTCAGCTCTACGCAGATCAGAAGCAAAGGGCGAACAAGGAGGCCAGGCCCATGACCGTGGTTCGTGGACATTTTCATGCTGGAACTTGCCTACGTGGGGAGTGCTGGGAAGACAGAACTCTTTGAGTGTTGAGTACTCTGTGTGCAGGCCACAAGGGACTTCTTTTCTTTAGAGGCACAGACTAATGTCTCAAGCATTGTGCTTCCCCTCTGGTTGATGATGAGTCAAACTATGGAGGTGGCCTGAGTATAAATAAAATACCTAGTTTCAGCTCCATCCTTAACGCTCACTTCATCCCCAAACTTCCCACCAAATCGATATCGATCGCATCCTTGTCATTTCATCTCGCACAGTCCTCAATCCCTCTTCCTGTCTTGGTCGTAACGCCACCCTAGAGCACCATGACGCTCAGAATCTTTGCAGTCATCCCTTTCATCACATTTCCCTGGGCTACCCCTTTCGAGACTCTGCAGGCCATCCTCACCAAGGCCAACCCACCGATCAGGGACGAGTCGAGTCCACCAAGAAACGTGCCAAAGAGTAAGACTGCGGCCCCCGACAGTAGTTTTGAGGTGATCAGATGGACTGAATTCAACTTGGAAACGCTCATGGAGGCGTATGGAGACATCCTGAACGAACAAGTTCAGGTCAAGAACCGCGCGCCAACGCAGCTGCCTAGCATCAGATACCTCGCTGATATCAAGACTGTTGCGCAAGACTGTATCTTACCTACTCTTCAGTACACCACAGAAGCGGGTGCTCGTCACATTGGCATCCGGCTGGAGCGTCATCTGCCAACCTTTGACTTTCGCCCCTCGCTTCGTCTTCCAGGTAATCAGACCTGCTATCCGACATTCGCCTTGTGCTCTAGCAATGACAAGGCACATGTGGTTGGCTGTGTCCAGTCTGCTAAGCAGTGGCACTCGAGTGACCTGCTGGGAACTTCGATGACTGCCAAGCGCCCAATCGGCCGACTCATCACATGCTGCAACAATGCAAATACCCGTTACGGTTTTGTTTTCACCAGCAGCGAGGTTGTTGTTACTCGCTTCTCTAGAACCAACACAGCCAGACCTTTCCAAATTGAATGGCAGGCTATTCCGTGGGACGCACATGGGGAGAATGTCCTCACAGTCAACCTCGCGCTATGGTTATTGGCCATGATGAGCCTAAATGACGACCATCGACCAATTTGTGACTCAACTGAGCTTCTTCCTCTCAACTCATGGTCAAGATCAGTGGGAACGGACGGCCAGGTTGTTTACCAGCACCATCTTTCGATGCGCAAACGCTTCGATCTACCGGCGGGCGCAGTCTACACCGAAGTCTAGGCATTGGACTGATGCACCACGCATTGCCCTTACACGTGAGGCATTGGACCGACATGGAATGATGATGCCCTGGTATCGGTCTCAATCCCCTCCTTGGAGAGATGTACACTCAAGTTTCCCATGCTTCTTGGGACTGCTGTGTCTATCACCCCAGACACCGTCCTCAATCACATGATATTTCCTTTCAACACTTACTACTTGTATTTCTTTGGAGTTAGACCTGGCACTGCATCATAGACAATTGACTTTCTTTTGGGCACGTTCTAGTAACTTGACGATAGCGCTGAAGTAAAGGTGACATTGTGAGAGGTGTTTGCAACTCTCATAGAGCGGGAAATCCTTCAGATGACGGGCTGCTGCGGTTTCTGGCTCGAGAGGTTGGCTCAACATCTCCGGGTGGCGACGAGGTCATGGCAATCCTATGGGTCCGTAATAAGGACAAGTCGTCGGATGGACCTCGGTCCGATGAACCCTTAATCTTGGGTCGGGTGTGATGATTACTGACAAAGGTCCTGGAAGTGGGGGTATCACGCCTGGCCATGGTGTAGTAAGCCCAGAAATTGTGAAGACGTGGAATATATGATTTGCTAACTGAGACCTTGTTGGGAGACAAAGACAAGCTCTCCTTAAAGGTTGTTAAAAATGGTATCCTTCAAAGTTCCATCGCCCCCAGTACTGACTCGGTGGATGTTGAAGAGAGAAGCTAATTTGACGGCAAAGGCACCGACGGCACGAGCAACACTGTATATGACGAGAGGACAGGGTTCCTTAGCCTTTGTCCAGGGACCAGGCAGCGCCAGCGACCGGTAAAGGTTGATGGTAGGCTACATGTGGTACACTGGTAGCCGCTATGATCAAAAAGTCAGCGATCCACCATGGGACACTCTAGAATGACAGAACGAACCTTTAAAACTGGTGTTTTTGGAGATGCGAAAGGTAGACCATTCCCAAGCCAGTCCATACTCGGCACAACTTCCCCTAGGAGCCTTCATCTCGCGGAAAGCCGCCACGCCGTCTTCAACTTTGAGCTCGGTGACATGGTCGCCAACGGCATGGACAATGCCGGCAATCTTATAACCTTGGTTAAAACGCGCTGATACCCAATAGAACCTTCCGGTCCACCTTGATCATGACTTCTCAAAGATCTGAGAGCTGGGGCATGGGGACATCCTAGATGTTCACAATGGGATTCTCGGCGACAAAAGATTCTTTCATCTTGATGGATATCTTGAGGGAACTACTTGAGAGGTATCAGACTTGAGAAGAGAGGCAAGGAGGGTCATAAAAGGCGGAGGGGTAATTATGGGCTGACACAAGTGCTCCAGAGAACCTTGGTTAGTCCGTTAGGTAATACTATACGAAATCAGGCGTGATAGAAATATCGTTTCACAAATCCGGCGCTCGCTACTATGTCTAGCAATCTATACATATGAGAGAAGTCGATTGTAGAAATGCCATTCCAAAACCGGTCAAATTGTGCCCCCTGCCGCCCCTCGAGTAATGAAGCTGGATAAACGGCAGTTCATATATCAGTTTCCACCATTTAAAACATGAGAAGTAGCCGCAAGTTCAGTCCAATTCTATATGAAGGGTGACGGATGGCGTCGCCTGGACCAGACATGCGGAGCAGTACCTTTCTCTCAGGCCTCGGGCTTTTGGCCATAGACGGTAGTTCTACGTTCAATGAGTATCCTGTCTTGGAATAAGGCAGGGGAAGTCAACTTACACTAGCACGTAGGAATGAACATCTCGGCTCAGAATCTCTTTGCGCATATCCACCAAAAACATCTGCGCCTTCTCATACTCCCACTGTCATCAACATTAGCTCAACGTTCAACATGCCGTATAAAGTCCAACTTACACCCAAAAGCTCAGTCAAGCTGCGAATGGAGAACCCCTCAAGACCCTGCAGCAGAAACTGTCGGTTCCAAGCACCCCACTGCTTGAGATGCTTGTCCTTTGGCCAGGTACCGATTGGAACCTTGACCTTGTCTTCGGTGATGTTGGTGAAGCCGGCTTCCTTGACGGGGTCGACTGGATTCCAGAAAAATGGCCTGTTGATCTTTTCGCCGACTTCGTTAAAGATCTTGACCCAAGTCTTGAGAGGGGATTCGGGAGTAAGGGTCTCGTCATCGGATCTGGCGTCGCCCCATAGCTCGACATGCTCTACCCAACCGCCGGGCTTAAGATGCCTACACCATGATTAGACAACGCCAGCATGTAACTTTGAGTAAGGGGTCAACCCACTTGTGGACTTTCTTCAGGAGCTCAGTCCAGTCAGGCACAGTGCCTGTCATGTAGCGAATATGGATCAAGTCAAACTTGTTCTCCGGAAAGGTCCAGTCCTTGTTGATATCATCCACCTCGAATTTGCAGTTGGGCGGGACAAAGTTAGGCTGGATAGGCGATAGATCAACCCCGACAACCTCAGCGCCTGGGTGCAGGTCTGCCATTTCGCTGGAATATGTCAACTGGGACTCTCTTAAGAAGATCAGGTTGTGGTGGGAACTTACATGGCCCAGATACCAGTACCGCAGCCGATATCTAGAACGTCCTACTAGTCGTCAGCCACGACAAGGATTGAACCAAGGAATACAACAGACCTGTGGGTGGTCGCCGATAGGAGCCTTATAAAGTTTACCGTCCAGCACGATCCGGAATAGCTCGTGACTACCTTGGAGTCAGATAGAGGCCAACGAGCGCACTTTAAAGAGATCTCACATCAAGTCTTCAGCCTCTTGTTGACGGTCGTCATTGGGTCCCCTATTTCATGTCAGAGTAAGAAACGAGTTCTTTTCTATTCTAGATGCTCACCAGTAGGTGCCGTCGCCGTACGAATGGTATCTTCTGCCATTCTCCCATTTATAATCGAGAATAGAAGACCTCAGCGATTCGGTATCGGTGACCGCACTTATACACCACATTAGAACAGGCACAGCAAAAATCTCATCTCCAACATCCTCTTACCCCACAGAGTAAGCCGAGTCGCTATCCGTGTCCTGCGCAATAAATCGCCATCAGCCAACATGAACCCAAGCGGGGAACCATGCAGATGCTTGTCAGGGTTGAACCAACAGCCTCGATATTGTCATCAGCGTGCGTAGCCGCCGCCGCCGCTTCAGGGCTCTCGGGCGACTTGGGAGACGACTTTGGAGGTGATTTAGGAGACGACATGGTTTGTTACCAACACAGTCAGAGCGGTTCCGGGAGTTTGGTCGACGGGCTGCAAGAGGGAAGAGTGACGTGGGCGGGGGATGCGAGGGGATGCGTGTTATCACAAATGATGTGACAAAGAAAGTCACGTGCAGACAAGACTCCCTGGTCTTTTTATTCAGGGTCAATTGGGCCGAAATGACGGCGGTGAAGGGATCGTCGCTGGCAAGGGTTTGTAACTCGCTTCGATTAGGGCAAACTACGAGTTTCTTTCCAAAAGTCAAAATGTAATTTGTCGGATTGTCCGGCCGCTAGAGAACTCTGCTACCTAGTTATCAAGGTTCAGATATATCTCATTTTCCTAGTAGTCCACCGTCAACCACGAGAACTTCCCCCGTCACATATTGAGAGGCATCGCTGCAGAGGAATACAGCAGGTCCAGCGTAATCAGCGGGAGTGCCCCATCTTCCAGCAGGGCAACCAGTTATCGCAGCGGCTGTAAGCTCTGCATTTGGTCGCAATGCAGTATTCCTATCAACGCATGAATTAGCGATTTAACCCTTACGAAGCATAATCAACGCGGCCCCTACATATCTGTAGCCACGTATCCTGGCGCGATGGCGTTGACTTGAACATTGTGCTTTGCCCACTCGTTGCTCAAAGCCTTTGTCAACTGCGATACTCCACCCTTTGAAGATGAGTACGGCGCATAGTTTTCGCCGCCTATGAAGCTGTTGATGGATGCAATGTTGACGATTTTGCCTGATCTTCGAGGAACCATGTGATTTCCGGCTGCTTGGCAGATGAAGAATACTGCCTTTAGGTTGACATCCATCACCTGCTGCCGGTAAGTTTGAGTAACCGCAAAGAGGTCGTCTTGCTTCTTACAGCATCCCATTCTTCCTCGGATACAGATAGGACCTCTTTTCTCTTCAAGATGCCACCACAATTGACCAAAATATCGATTCGTCCGTCCATGGCATCCAGTGCTTGCTGAAAGACCTTCTTGACTGCGTCCATGTCACCCAGGTCGCACGAAACAATCTCTGCCCTTACACCTCTAGCCCGAATGGCATCCATAGTATCAGTGCTGGTTGTATCGCGTTGGGCGACGCAGACCGAGGCTCCAGCATCAGCCAAAGCAATAGCAATAGCGGCACCAATGCCTCGTGATCCTCCCGTGACAAACGCGTTTTTGCCTTTGAGAGAAAAGAGGTCGAGGGCTGGCATTTGAGGCGTCGGTTCCGCTGTTGGTGCCGACATGATGAAAACTTGTGCTTGTAGCTGGAATTAACAGTCTTTCGCTGGAGTGGACAGGGCTCTGATTGATTTTCATTTTCTTATTACTGTTCTTTTATAAATGCAGGCTCCTCGAGCCTCACGATGACCCCCGAGACATTTCCGGGTTCAGAACCCGGCTGATTAATCATCTTTCGGCTCCCAAGCCGATACCCAATTCTAAATAGGTAGCTTGACTTCAAAAAGGCTCCACGATAGGGAGAAGATTTCATTGTAGTGACGGCATGGTGCAGCCAGAAATAAGCGACAAAGTTGGTAAAGGCTGTCCAAAAACCATCATGTGAGTCGAGTTGTCTCAGTCCCTAGGTTGGTAGTGGAGGCTGGAGGAAGAAGTGCTTCCAGGCGACAAGCATCTAAGGAAGAGAGGATGGAATGATTTTTTCAGACAGGTGCCCCAATTTATACTTTTTCCCTCGACAGCTTTCCCTGGAAATTACTAAACACGGAGAAAAAACTCTTCCTCTTCTCATTCTGGTGAAGATATGCCTGGCTCCTCGTGATGCATGATGCTGACAGCCCAACAGGCACCGACCGGAGTAGTCCGTTTCTCCCCGGCCAGCCTAAACTAGGGCGTGATCGACACTCGGCTACCTTAATCCGAATTGCATCCTCGGGTCTTGGCATACTCTCCAAACTCCGAAATGTCTAGTCCACATCCAGCGGCTGGCAAAGGGCTAGTTTACCGAGTCGTTGCCGACAACATTTATCTTTAGCCGAGTTCATTTTACGGACTTTTGTTTCTGGCAAACTACACAATCACAATGACTTCTTTATTTCCAGACCAGCCAGCGAAAGAAAGCACTCCTGGGCAGGAGGGGCAGGCCTTGGAGAAAGGCTTGGCTTTGGAACCCAACGATGTCAGGAACCCCTCTCTTGATGACTCTTCCGTTGACGGGTCAAACTTGGTTCGAGCTCAACTTGGGCTCGACTCACTCAATCCAGACTTTTCACTTCCGCAATACCTATTGTCTCGTCAGATAGACGTCGCCGTTAAAGACAATGCGCCAATCGATCTCTCCAAGTTCCAATCTCCGTTTACCTGGTCGACCAAGAAAAAAATCATCATTCTCTCAGGAACCTTTATGGCTTCCATGCTTGCCGCTTACTCTGCCGGTGCTTACGCCCTTGCTTCAGAACCGCTGAGGCACAAGTGGAATGTCGGCGACACGGCGTTCAACGCAGGTATTACCTTGTTTGTGGGCGGCTTTGGTTGTACGCCAATGATCCTCGCGCCCGTGAGCGAACTGCACGGTCGATATTGGGTCTTTGTTGGTTCTGGAGTTGTCTTCTTTCTTGGTACCCTAGGATGCGCACTCACGGATAGTTACCCGAGAATGTTGGTCTCCCGGTTCATCACTGGATGTGGTGCTGCAGTCTTTGCGACGCTTACGGGCGGTGTGGTGAGTGACCTCTACCGCAAAGAAGATCGCAACACACCTATGGCGCTCTACTCGCTCTCTATCATGGTCGGCACAGGCTTTGGGCCACTGGTCAGTGGAATCGCCGTCGATCATTTGGGGTGGAGATGGATCTTTTATCTTCAACTCATCGCCATCGGAGCCACGACTGGAGTTCTCTTCCTCTTCTTCGGAGAGACGCGAAGCAACGTGCTCTTGCGGAGAATGTGCAAAGAGCTCAACACCATGCAGTACGAAACAGCAACCGGAGCGACTGTGCAATTCTCTCCCTCTGTCGCAGAAGCCCTGCACCTGGACATCAGCATTATCTGGCGAAGCTTTGCGTTTCCCCTTAAGCTGCTCGTCACTGAGTCTGTTGTGTTTTGGTTCTCCGTCTGGGCTTCGTTCGCTTGGGCTATTCTGTACATGCAGTTCAGCAGCATAGGAATCGTTTTTAGAGGTGTGTACGGCTTCAACAGCACCCAAGTGGGAGCGGTTTACACGGCGGTCATTGTTGGATCAATCCTCAGTATCTTTTTGGCACTCATCCAAGAGCCCATTGTTCGGCGCGTCTTCCCTCACAAGACTCCATCAAGCACCCCAGAGCAGCGCCTCTTCTCTCCCTGCGTGCAATCAATCTTGCTGCCCATCGGCCTATTCTGGTTCGGATTCAGTGCCAAGACTAGTGTATCTTGGGTTTCACCAGCACTGGCCGTGGGTTCCTGCACAATGGGAATTTTTAGCATTTATCTGGCCGTTTTCAATTACCTGGCCGACACCTATCATCAATACGCCTCCTCAGCCCTGGCAGCACAGAGTCTCTGCCGGAATCTATTGGGAGGAGTGTTTCCGCTTATCACAGCGCGTATGATCTCAAGCTTGACCTTGGGAGGTACAGGAGGTTTGCTCGGTGGTCTTGGATTGCTATTGACATCTATTCCCTGGTTATTGTATTTCTTTGGTCGCAAGATTCGGTCGCGGAGTCCGTTTGCCAGAGAGATGGAGCATTGATTTAATAGTATGAGATACCTTTCAGCAGAGAGCCTCTCTCAAAGGCATCCTTGATGACAGGAAGAACAACGAGATACGGTAACTACATGTGCAGATTCGTGACAACTTGCACAGAAATACCATGCTCCAAGCCATACTCTCTGCCAGTCCGCCTTAGTATTACTCAAGCACTATCCTCAGCTGCAAATCTTCTCCAGGTCTTGAGATATCCCCTATCAACCCTCCACTTCTCCGCGGTTTCTTTGACCCGGTTGACAAATCCTTCCCGCCACCCACCAACAACATCGTCCTCACCACCAACTCTTGAGCCCAGGTTCCAAATCAAATCTCTTTCAGCCCTAGCCCCCTCCGGTGCATCTAGAAGACCAACCGCTACATCAACGAGATCAGGACGATCATCGACGGCGTACAAGACGGAAGCGGAGCATCGCGAGCAAAAGTACCGCTGAACGTCTGGCGAGCTCTTGTATAGTGACAGGGTCCCAAGACGAGCATCTTTGTCGGGGCTAGAGACAGCCTTTTCGAGCTCTTGCACTGATTGGGGGAAACTAGGCAACTTTCTGTCCCTCACAAAATAGATTTGTCGAAGCAGAGCAAAGGTCCAGTTGACAGTCTCGACACCAAACACAGAGCGGCAAGTGTTGCATGCGTCAAAGGTCGCAAGGTGCTTGTGAGTTGTTGGATCAACGAAGAAGGGCAGTGAGTCGGTTTCACCGGGTGAGAAGTCGTCCGGGAACCGCCGAAGGACAAGGTCAACTCCCTTGCAACGGCACTGAATGGGGATATCCCTTGGGCTTTGGGGATCATCATTCGATGCGCCCACTAGTGTCGGTCTGTCGTGATCGAATGTTTCGTTTTTGATAGCTCTTGCTTTCCAGCGCCTCGACTCTATGCCATCTTCATTCACGTCCACTAGCCACTGTGAAACGCCGCCGTCTTCAGTATCTCCGACAAAGATCTGATCCGGAAAGGTGATCAAATTCTTTACTGCGACATTATTCAGTGCTCCCGTAAAGACATCAAGCACCTCCGGTCTATCCTTGTAATATTCTTCCCAAAACAACGGACTCGAACAAGTCCCGCAGAACAGCAAGCTCACATTTGACGTGAACTCATAACGCGCCAGATCGGAGCTAAGAATCTCGCGAGTCAGGCCAGGCCACTTGATATGACTAGTGTACATGGCCCCGGTGACATGTCGGCAGGACTTGCAGTGACATATCGATCCTTGGAGAGGGAGACTAGAGCGGGAGATCGAGGTCGAGTAGGAATGGGCTTTGCAGAGGCACTGAGCCGTGATTGTGAGGTTGTGGGCCAGGTCCGCCGGCATGGTTGTGTTGATTGAGGGGTCCTTTTAAAGCTACTTTGTGCGGCCAATATTAATGATATATCAGAAGAATGACTCAATACAACACTCTTTGGAAAGCGAAAGAGCCTGTGTGATTGTGGTTGAGGAGCGTGATGCTGCTCATCACCCCGCATTGGTGCTTGAGGTGGATTATAAAGCCCTCGGATGTGAGCCGATTGGCACTAACGATCAAGGGTCGTTCTTATCAGTGTCGGCTTCAATTGATCCTACCCAGTCCGCAACGTCATCTACTCTTAGAAGCCGATGCTACCTATGCTATAATTGGCAATAATGCTGTGCATGAACCGCGAGCCCCGACATTGACAGGGAGTTTTGCCAAGGTGGTTGGGACTTGGACAACGAACCAACAAGCACATGCTAAGACGCCCAGAGTGCGCCCCGTCAACATGTCTTGCCGCTGGGGTTCAAAAACGGCCCCCTGTAAACACCAAAAGTGGACAAGCCCTCGTCAAGTCCTCGTATGTCCTGCATCATCACATGCACAGACCTGCGAAAAGGGGTACCGAACCAACAGCAAAACGGGTCACATTTCCAAAATTGTCTGATTTGCCGACGTTGTGTGTGTGTTGGTTCTGACTGTTGTTGGTTCTGCGGTGGGGTGATGGGTGGACATCCATGCTTGCAACCGTTCAGTCTATACCAAGAAGAGGAACTAACTAACGCATGGGCAAATTGCGGTTTCCTGAAGTAACAGAAGATGCATGGATACTTAAACCCCAGAAGAGGTACGCCATGTCCAGCGGCAAAGTAACTTTCCCTTGTCCTTGATCGATTACTTTTTACATCCGTCACCATGTGTTTCTTTAACCAATCCGTCTGGTCCTGCGGCTACTGGAAATGGGCTGGTTTTCAACAACGATGCCATAAAGAACGTCGAGTGGGCGAGACATGCGGCCTCAAACTCGTCTCCCAATGCAACTACAAACCAACACCATGCAGCATATGCCAAAAGATCAAAGCAAAGGTCCATCGCATCGAGCAATTCACCGAGAGAATGGATCGCCTTAAAGAATGGAATCTCATCAGCACCTTTGAGAAATGTCTGGAGGAAACCGTCATTATGGAGAATCAGTTGGCAGAACTACGTCGTCAGCATGATGCAAACACCAAGGATGTTGTTGAGATCACACGAACAATTGTCGACAAGACGCAGAAGCAAATCAGGCACAGCGACTGGAGCGGTGTGCGGAAAAGCGCACAGACAAAGACAGGGTCGAGATTAAACACGATCCCATTAGAAGTGTGGGAGAAGGCCATAAATAATCAGGAAAATTATGGTTTAACTTCATCTGGGCCTGTCATAATGGGTGTCGAGACGGGATATGGAGCAGAACGGGCATTCATGAGTTCATAATCTCAATGGAGGACAAATCAAGTAGCTGAATAATATAGACCGGTTTCACGTACTCGGCCGTCACTGTCCCACCGAATCTTTCCTTTCGAACCAAATCTTATCTCCAATGAGAGGCTCCAAGTCCAATCCCATCTTGACGACCCTATCACCATCAAATACAAACTCGGCTAAAATCAAGTCATCCCCTCCCTCCCAGAAATCCGATAGATGTGCCGTGTACTGTGTCTGGTCTCGCTCATGCTCAAAGGTGAGAGTAAATGCCATCGAGCGATCCGTAGCATCGATGAACAAAGCCTCATCCTTGATCTCTACCTTCATTCCATGGTATCCAGTGTTCCAGTAGTAGCCCGTGTATTGATCGAGGGGTCTTGTCTGTGGCTGAGTATCTTGGCTCCGTTTACCTCTTTGTTTGTCCTTGGGCTTTTTCGCAGTCTTATTCTTTCCGCTTCTTTGGCTGCCTTGCATCTTCTTCTTTGTTTTGCCCTCTCGTTGGCCTTTCACAACCATTTGTTTGGTGAGAAGTTGGGTACGCTCCTCTTTCGGAACACCAAGGACCTCATCGATGAGATCCCGAAACAGCTGTGCAGCCACAGAGTTTGTCCCCTCTGCATTCCCAAGAACAACAGCGCCAAACTTGAACTCTGGAAGAAAGATGAAACGACTTCCAAAACCAGACACGACACCATTGTGACCGTAGACTGCGTGATCACGGTACTAGTAAACTTCCATTCCGGCGGTGTACTTTGTCGCAGACGTGTGAGGCTTGAGCTTCCCACCCTTTGGTTCTCGGGAATAACGCTCTTTGATGAGACCTTGGTATACGTTTTCGTTGATAGGTCCTTCCTGGCTGACGACCGCCTTGATCCATTTGATCATGTCGTTGGCGCTTGAGATGACTGAGCCAGCGCCTTGACCCTCGGGACAGTTCCTGGCTTCAATTTCGCGGTGCGATGAAGTTTCTTTGTCCCAAATATGCCCCTTGGCTAGTCTGCCTCCCAACCCCTTTGCTTTGGCGCTGTCAGGCTGGAGGCTACTCGAGTCCATGCCAAGAGGATGGAAGAAGCATTCTTCCAGGAATTCGCTGAACGGCTTCTTGGCCTTCACTTCTACCAGGTGCGTCGCGACGGTGTACATCATGTTGCAGTAGAGATACCTCGAGCGCAGAGGAGCAGCGGGAGCAAGATTTCTCAGGTTTCTGGTAATGGACCTTGCATTGTCCGGTTGCGTTGCGTGCTCGCCCATGTAAGAGTCGTCATGTCTAGAAGCCGGTAAGCGGAATTCATTGACCTTGGAGAGAATGCTTACCCAGGCATGCCAGTCCGGTGTCCCAGGATATCGTCAATAGTGATGCCCTTGGTGTATTCATCCTCAGCCATGACAAAGTCCTCAGGCAACAGCTCGGACATGGCAGAATCATACTGCACCTCAGGATAATTCTCATTGTCATCGACCAACAATGCGATTGAGGCAGCAGTCAAGGACTTTGACGACGACGCAATGTCAAACAACGTGTCAGCTGTGCATGGCTTGTCATCCCGAACAGAAGCCAACCCAAACCCCGCAGACTCGATGTGGTCATTTTGAACAACCGAAATGGAGAGGCCAGGCACTCGATTCCGACGCGTCAGCTCTTCTATGTGCGAGATGAACTCTGGTGAACGGAAAAGCTCCATGGCATGTTACCAGAGAAATAATGTTTGAGTAAAGTTTGGGTCTGACGTGGGAATCTGCAGCGAATATTGGCAACGTAAGCAGTGGAAGCCTGGTCAGCTGCCTCCATTCCGAGCTAACTAACACCCATGCAACAACCCAGAACCCAACGGATAACAGAAGTTTCCAGGCCAGTCTCACTTGCTCTTGATACGGCCATCGGTTTGCTGAAACCCGACTCCAGCGAGAAAAGCAACGCGAACGACTCCCAGTCCCCAGAGCGACCCAAGATTCGCCCAGTCCTCGACCCTCCATGCACGAGGATTCCAAAACACATCCCCACCGAGGGAAGCACAACTCGCATACAGATGTAGAATGTCGCAGATGAAGATGCCGACGAAAACACCTTTCCATACACGAATGTCATTCGTCAACCTCAAGAGCACGGCTTCGTTGAATGCAAACAAGGTATAGAGGGCTGCAACTTGGTCGTAAATGACCTGATTGTCGGGCGCATACTCGCTCGTCTGAGACATGGTATTTAGGAAGGCTTTAGGGGTAAAGTGCGTCTGCATGGCGGCGCCGATTGCGAGAAAAGGTTCAAGATAGAGAAAAACGAAGCGGTATAGGGTTGGGATGTTGCTCAACACTTCCATGCTGGTTGACTTTGCCATTGTAATTGACAACACAAAAGATAGACATAAAAAGGTGGGTGTTAAAGAGTTGTGTTTCTAATGGGAAACTTGAAAAGAAGTCAGTTTAGAGAATTTCATCACGAAGAGATTTTACAAGAGGTAGGTGGGCTTCATGCCAGTTAGACAGCATTATAAGCTGGAGAGGTCAGACCGGCTGGGGAACCGTCGAGTAATGCTACTGCCGATCTATGTCAGAGAATAAGACGCACACCGATACATTTGTCAGGCTTCCATCAACCCTCATGCCTAAAATTAGGGAGAGCGCAGCATCTCGTCATATTTGGGAGATACGAAGGGTTGCACATTGACACATAGTGGAGATGATGACAAGCGGATGTAACATGAGCTTGCTGATCTGTGTCAGACATTAAACTGCCGGCAGGTGATACACAGCCGGATTATTCTCTCATTTCTGCAGTGGGGCAAAAAAAGACGGGAACGGTGTGTTGTGGTCACTTTGCAAAACTTGAGGAGAGCAAAAATGATCACGCTGGGGATCGAACCCAGAATCTTCTGATTCGTAGTCAGACGCCTTGCCATTGGGCCACGCGACCAATCTTGGTGTTGCTTGTGAATCAGGCCTGCAATTGAGGCTTATGCGCCAAGGCTTGACTCAGTCTCCCCGCCCACCTCTCACACAAGCATAGTGATCGTCCTCGATGGCTACAATTGCTCAGGCAAGAATGTTGGGCACTCATCCACATTTATGGAGCAGTCAAGCTTAAGTAAAGCATAAGAAGCCCATTAATCGGTCGAAACTCGTTTGCAATTTGAGGCCTACATACAAGCTATCTTACATCACTACCAGTTACCGAACGCAAACATCACGTACTGTTACCCGTCCCGCAGCTTTACCAAGGGCCTCTGGGCCGTGGCCACTCAAGGTCATTGGCCAACTCAACCTGAGCCAAGTGAATAGCCTGATCCTCATCATTCTTAAAGACCTTGACAGACGCAGTTGCGTTGGGCTTGACAAAGTATGGCTCATCAACCTCGCACTTGGTGTCATTCTCAGGAAGGATTCCACGGTAAAGGAAGTCCCGGGCGTGCTTGGCAAGGCAGAGCGATGGAACCGCAACAGAGCAGTGACCGTAGCCCTCAACCTCGACAATCCTGGAACCTTCAAAGGCAGCTCGGGCAGATCGTGCCGAGACAAGAGGGCAGACGGGATCGTAGGTGGTCGAGAGAATCAGAAGAGGGTGGGCGGTCTGAACGCCATTGCGCGGGACGTAGTTGTGCGTCTTGGGGATCTGCCACTGCTGCTTGGCAAAGAAATAAACGAGATCATCCTGGGCAAAGACACTGCGATTGAACGAGGGAACAATGACGTTCAAAAGCGAATCGAGATCCTGTGGCCAGTACTTGGGGCCAGAAGCACCATCGTTGAGGCTAATGGTGTAGAAAGAATCGTCGCCGTCGGGCCCGTCATCCAGTCCATAATCCTGCAGGGCGGCAGTTGCGTTTCCGTTCATCAGCTTGCCAATGTGGTCGGCAAAGTTGTACCAGTTGGCTGGCTTGTAAAGAACTGGGAAGAGCGCTCCGTACCAAATCTTTTGGTAGTCCAAGAGGCCGTACACGCTGTTGTTGACGTAGACGTTGAGCGGCTGCTGCTTGAGTTCGCTCATGAAAGTGAGAAATTTGGTCTTGAGGCCTTCCCATGAGTCTGCGAGAGATGACATGGCGCATTCATCACCAGACTTGATGCATTCCTTGAGCAGGCCGTCAAGGACATTCTCGGTATCGACCATATCCTCCATATCGATGCGTTCTCCGTACCAGTTGAATTGGTTAACAACACCATCAATAATGACTCGGTAGGAACGTTCCGGGAAGAGAGTGGCATAGGTCTGGCCGAGCAGTGTGCCGTAGCTAAAGCCCCAATAGTACATGTCCTTCTGACCAACAGCATCCAGAATGCTGTTCATGTCGGCAGCAGTCTGCGGCGTGTTGATGTACTTTCCATACTCGCCCATCGTGTCATCGCACGCCCTGACAAAGTTGTGAGTCCAGGCGTACATTTCGGGGCCGTTCTGAGTGAGGTCTGCACTGTTTACGGAGCTCAGCTGCCTGCGGGCCTCCTTGGTGGGATAGCACGAAGCGTGGGGCTTGGACGAGTTGACGCCTCGGGGATCAAACGTCAAAAGGTGGAGATCATCGCCGATGATGGTACTCAGTTGCTCGCCTCGTCGATGGATAAACTCGAAGCCGCTGCCGCCCGGACCTCCGGGGTTCAGTAGGATGTTCTTGCTGCCGTCCTTTCCGCGCAGACGGATAATGGGGATGGTGAAAGTCTTGTCGCTTGCATCCTTGTTGAACTGATCGATCGGGACATCAACGCTGCTGCACTCCAAAGAGCGATTCTTGATGCTTCCGCACGGCTCCCAGGTGATGCTCTCACCGGGGTACGTGACACGCGAATTGTGGTGGTGATGCGGGCACCTCACGTGAGGGACGAGGAAATGCCACGCGGCGAGGACAGTGACACCGAAGCAAAGGTACTTCCATCGTCCGAGGCCCGATTTGGGCTTGGGTCCGTCCAAAAAGACGGGATTGAGGGGTCGTTTCTCATTCATGGTTGATGTTGTTGATGAGATGAGACGCGACCTTGGTGGTTGCCGGGTGGCGGTATTTCATAAAACACGCTGACTCATCCGGGTCAACGCAATTAGGTAGGCACCGTGTTGTTACTAGAGACTATCCAGGTACCTAAATTTCGATTAGGTATGATCCAAATCACGAAAGGGGAACAAGGTGATTCAAGTACACAGAATTTCACCTAACAATAGATAGCTAGGTGGATTGTCTGATTGCCGGCATCTTGACCAATTACCTACTAGCTACCATCTTGGCATACTCTGGGCCCAGCCATGATCAGCTCCATGAGATGTTGCATCTACCACTACAAGCCTCAGACACGTATAGCTGGTCCGTCTATGCTCAGTTCACGTGCCAACCGCAGCTTCTCGATGACAGCGGGTCTCAAAAAGCCTTCTTGAACCAGCGCTTGAACAAACAAGAAGACCCATTCTCGACAGTCAGCTTTCTACAGAAATAGTCAGCGCAACCCTCATCTCTGTCTTTAATAAGGTGCAAAGATTAGTGCAAAGAGACAGATCATACCTTAGAGTAAGCACCCTTGGCCCAGGGCATGACGACTTGGGCGGCAGTTTCTTCTAAAAGGAAAATGTCCAAGTCAACGATGGCGCCTAGGGTGATGACGCTGACCGTTTCTTGGGGATTAATAAAAAACCCCTTTCTGAGCTCACGATTGATCCCATCGGATCGTTCTTCCACAGCGCGGAATAGGGTTCCTTTCTGTTTCCTATCTTTTGCTATAAAAATTGCCCACTGGCCGGGCATAGACGTATTGGCGTGGTTGATGAGCAGCATTACGCTGAGGGGAGCCATTTCGAGAGTGTTGGGATTTGATGCAAGTTGGAGTTGTTGTTGCTTGTGCTTTTGATGGCACTTTAGTAGATTGGAAGTTCACGTCAGTTCATGGTAGGTCTGCGGTAGAGTCGGTTTTATAGCATCCATATGCATTTGTGTTTGTGATTAACTTGGGTACCAACTAATGGTCATCGTCCTTGACACACGATGTGTGCTAACAAAAGCCTCAGAAATCACATATTGATAGGCATCCCCTCTATCCGAAGACTGCGTGCCGCCCGCAGCTTTGACATCGAAAATACGTCCAAATACTGTTCGTCAATCAGACGTTGGGCAAATGCAAATGCCCACGCTTCACAGGCGGGGATCTAAATAAACAGTCAGCGCAAGCACTGTTTTCGGATGAGAAAGACCATACCCCAACGACAGTACCTGCTGGTCTCTCGGGTATCGTGACAGCCGCGGCGATTTGTCGAATCTTTTCTTCATGGTTGGCTATCTGGTCAAGGAAGATGCCCAGGGAAATCGTGCTGAATGTCACCGGTTTCGACACAGAGTTCAGAGAATACCCCTTGATGGATATGAGATTACTGATTAGCATTCCTGGCTCAGTTCTTTCCGGTGCCATGAAGAATGACCACTGGCCAGGGATGGATGCGCCTTTGTGGGAGACGAGCAGCCAGATTGTGAAAGACATGTTGGGAATGCTCGAGTGTTGGTGCAAACTGAGAGTTGTTCTCGTGGTTGATGATCGGATTTCTTTTTGGTAGAATGATGATTGAGGTTGGGAGATGCTAGGCCCGTGGAACAGGCAGAATTTATACTGCTAATGTGTATTTACGTCTGCGATTAACATACCACTATGGATGTCTGTTCGTTACGAGAGTTGATCGTCACTCAGCAACAAGGTGACTAGGGAATAATCTCACTGTTAAACACTTGACTTCTTAATCAATACGATCAGCGATCAGGGTATCACGAGCCTGTCAGGACGATTGTAGGTATGGAGTTGTTATTATTGTGGTTATGAGCAGCAACGTGAACCGTGAAAGGTGTAAGATTGGAGAACTGACGTTCAGGGACAAGAGCAAAGCCTCACTTATGTACGCGCTACAAGGGATCGAGCTTACGTCGACCCGTTCAACTGATCTATTCAACTTCAACAGTTACCTTGGGGCTATCAAGACACTGATACTTAGATGTCTACGATCTTCTGGCTCAGGTAACCTACCGGGGGCCGGGCTACAACTATAATAAACAGCACATTATTAACATATCACAGCGTCATAACCCAATGCTAACACAGTGGCTAGACTTAGATGTCTACTTTGATCTGGCAGACAGCCCGCGAAAAGAATCATAGAATCCAAGCTCAGTATTTGTGGATGATGTACGTGGTTACAGGTATTTGTAATAACTACCTGCCTCTGAGCTTACGAAATAGCAAGCTCCCACGAGACGCATACCACATACGCGCCAGGAAAATGCAAATACTCTGTCAAACTAGGTTCTGGGTGCCGTCTCAAACTTTTCCATTGCCGAAGCCTCCAGGATTCCCTCATCAACCAACTTTTGAGCAAACCACTTCGCCCAAGTCTGACAATCAGGAGCCGGTTCGGGGGTCGAGTTGGCAATCTCCTCCATTCGCGCAAGTGTCGACTTGTTGGTATAACCCAAGATGAAGGAGCTGACGGCCTCACCAGGACTAGGGCAAATATTCTTCTTGATATCGACGTAGAATCCACGAAAGTGATTTCCCAGGGTGTTGAATAGCGTTCCTTCTTGTGTCACGTCTCGGGATACGAGGATTGCCCAGTGGCCGGGGATGGGCACGTACTCGTGAGAAACGAGCAACATTACCTGGAGGCGGGTCATGTTGAAGATGCGTGAGTTTTGATGTGGACTTGGGGTTTCTTCAGCGTTGTTATTATTGTCGATGTTAAGGGCGCTTCTCTTTGGTAGATCTGAGGCTCGAGTTAGTACATGCAAGGTCACACGAGAGGCAGACTTTATAGCTCGTGTTTTTACGTCCGTGATCAACATTCCACCACATTTTGCCTACTAGGAAATCACGATTATCGCCAGCACGGAAGGCGATTCTGGGGAGTAGGCTCACTGCTCAACACCATTACCTTGATGATTAACGTGATCAATGATGAGGACTCTCAGACCGGTGTAGGTAACCACAAAGGTCATGAATTAGGAGGGAAAGGGAAAGAACATGACACAGCAGATGAAGTCAAGGTCTGATACTTGTCTGATTCATTGCATTATTAGCTGTCTACTATGACTTTGTATATGACGTCCTCTCTATCACCTTTGTAAAATCCTTCTCGGTGCTATTCAGCGACGGATTTGAGCTCGACGAAGGATCAGGATATCTAGGATCCCTCTCTGCACCATCATCGACTTCAACAACTACAGACGTTACCATGTCCATCTGAATGGCAGGTCCTCGAAGTGACTCTTGACTGATGGTCCGTGCCAGACCTTTCCGACTTCGTGGTTCATGGCCGCTTGATCGGCCTGACCATGTCCACCAACCTCCTGCGTTGTCGTTTTCTTGGCCGTGTTGATGACCACCCTGGATCGAGATGGTGTTACCGAAACGACGGTTCATGGGTGTCTTTAGGAATGCAAATGTTCCCAAGCCAATATCCTTCGAGTCGACTTCGTATTTGGACGCAAAGATGATGACGTTTCGTGTCGTGCCAAAGAGAAGGCAGTCGAAAGATCCGTTCGAGGCAATCATTGCGCCCGCGAAACAAAAGTAACCGTTGGGCACGTTAGCCCCGGCCATCGTTGCAATACGACCCGCGGCTAGAGGAAGGGTGCAGAGAACGTAGATGACGGGATAGATGAGGAAGGCAGGGTTGCGGCTAAGCTGGAGTTGAGCGTTATCCTCATCGTCGTCGGAAGATCCAGCGCGAGCTTGGCGGCGAATGTTGAGGAAGATGATGGTGTAAAGGATCGAGGTTGTACCAAGAGCGAGAAAGATGAAGAGGTAGTGTGTTAGTAGTCGTAGGTTCTCGTATCGTCTGTTCATCCAGCACTGGTTCAAATCAGTGTCACAGGTCATTCTGAAGGACAGTGATACATACCCAGCTGCCGGCGCGGACAAAAAATCCACCATACTCGGCTCCGTTACTAGTCGCAGCGATGGGTGCAAAGGATATGACGTAGACGAATATCCAGATGGCGATGATAGCAAGGTACAGCGCCAACTGAGGCGTGCGTCGACGCGAAACCACTGCCAGATAGGTGTGCACAGCGATGGCAGTGATGAACATGCTCGATGCCAAGTCACCCAACGATACAAAGAGTCCTTGAGTGTAGCAGGTTGCAGTGCCGACGACGACGGCATCTCTTCGAAGCCATTCCACGTTGAGGAAGAAGGCTACTCCCTGATGCATGTCGGCCAGAAGCAGGTTGATGATGAGGATAAGGAACTGATTGGGTCGCTTCCGTCGCTTTTCAGCATCCGCCTTCCCAGCGTCCTGATTCTCTCCATTGTTGGCGTTGTTATCGGTAAAAATGCCATCGATGCCGAGCGTGAAGTCAAGGGCCCTCTGTATTGCGCCGCCCTGCTGTTGGATGTGGCCGTCTTGCTGATTCCTAATGAAGAAATGCCATGTCGCAAGCTTATACACGAGGTAAAAGAAAAGGCCGCTAGAAGCAAAGAAGGAAATGAAGGCTAGGACGGTGATTGCGGTCAAGCCGTTGCGTAGATCGGATCCGAGGGGCTCTAGTGTACGGCTCTCGACGGGGAGATCGCCCCAAGCCATGGTGAAGATGCCAGCGGGAGTGAACAGCCAAGAAACACTCGTACTGCAGAAGATGTCAAAAGAACAGCATCCTGACAGATGCAGAGCCTTCGAAGTGCAGGAGCCAGACTGTTTTGTCTTTCGGGGCAACACAGAGCGATGCTACGTTAAACCAGTCAGCTGGGCGACGCAAACCATTGAGTTTAAAAGGGTCCCCTGCATCTAACGCTCGGATGCAGGACATCCTAGCCTCTAGCTTCTGCCAAGAATGCTTGAGGCTCTCGGCGATATGCCCCTGAACCAGAACCTTCCCGGCCGAGGCTAGCGTTGACACATTCTTTGCGAGCACCGCTTTGACCGCCGTTCGGTGCAGAATAACGCCGAGGTAAAGGGTTTTTTCAGAGCTTCTAGACGCTGGACCAGAACGAATTCTGGATTCTTTTGATGGAAAGCTGTGACTAATGGCCCACTCGTTTGTGATGGGCAGCGCTATTGCTGCTCGAGTTCTCGCGAATCCGATCTGTTGTGCAGATCGATCACTCGCTTACAGTACGTCTGGAGAATACTCCAGCTCAACCATGCAGCAGGATCAAGACCCTTGACCAGAACATCTCGCCTCGAATCCTATCATGTAACCATGCAGATTGTACATAACGGACAAGGGCATTTTGACAAGTGGCGTTCGCTAGCACGAGTCAGTTTTCTCGGCCATGTAACGGTAAACGACCCTCGCTAGACCATTATCAGATTGAGCGCTTAACTGTGTTTGGCGATGGCTTCAGCTTTGGCGTTGCGCTAGTTTCCTTCAGCCCCTTCGGCTGGAATAATGAATCCTGAAACATGCCTCGGCAAATACGCAATCAGGTCATTAGCGGTGCATGGCATGAATATTCCTGACTCGAGTTTTATGTGTGTGTGTTTTATTGAATGTAACTTGGCCTGTGTGAGGGAGGCAAATTGTCGGTAGTTGTTTTACATGGCTTGCGCGCAGGGATTAAGACGCAATCTTCGGAGAAAAGCGATTCGTGGATTTCTAGATGCCGCGTTATCTTGTCGGTTTGACAACCGAGCCAACTTTCAAGGGTCCAACCCCAACGCAATGAAGGGTCCAAGCCTTGAAGGAGAAACAGAGGCAATTTGCCACTTCCCAACGTCGCGTCGGATTGTTCGGGAAATTTGACTATAACTAACAACCTATCCTCGTCCTTGCTTTGTTTCGCAACACAGTTGTCAAACAACTCTCTCATATTCACCTGGTGTCGAAGTTTCATGGTTGCATGGCGCCCTCGGGCAATGTCACAGCTAGAGGATCTGCATTGACGGTGTCCCGCGGCCTCCGCTAAAGTTCTAGAATACGGATCCGACGACAAGGAACGCTTTCTTTCCCAGTTACATAGTTGAGACTGCATTATAATAAACAAGAGGTATATATAGCTATTAACCTTGTCCAAAGGCCAAGTAATTGTCGGTCATGTAGTTAGAAAAAGCAGCCACACTACTGATAGGCCTATCCAGTTGGGTCAATTGGGCCTACCTATGTGGGAAAAAGCAGAAAATAGAAATGGGAATAAAACACGATGTTAAAGTCAACGACTTAAAGACTCAAGTGTCAGCCCGCAACTTGTTGACAATATGCATGAAGAATGTTGCGTCAAGGTAGCAGCCGTCACCAGAGTCTTAAGTCAATGGTCGATCGCAATTTGATGCAACAGCCTTGAACGTATTCAGCCAACATAGCCATCATCGTCCTCTCAATTCTCTCCAAGGTTCGTATCAACTACCCATATCCTAGTTAAACTTCGAGTTAAACTGGTGAAAGTTCGTCAGCACAGTTGTCGCTCACTGCGACGCAATTTGACCTTGATGGTTACTACCACAAGCTTCGAGACAGTAATATTGAACCAAGCCCTGGTTTAGTCACAACTTTATGACTGTTTTTGTTCAGGTTCTTTCAGATTACTCGCGGCAGAGCCGTTTGCCCGTCCAACTCTTGGTTAAAGAGAGAGGATAGTAGCCCTAACCTGTAGATGCTAATCCCTTTAACTTTCTGACGACTAACAGGCCAGAATCAACTCGTGCCTCGTCTTCATTTGTCTCAAGAGATCTCTGTTGGTATTTAAGGATCATGCCTATTTTCCGTGGTGGTTGTAATTGTTCTTTCGGGTATCTATGATGCAGGAGATGACAGCCCTTAAGGACCATCATCCGTGATATCAGGACCTAGATATCTTATCATAGCGTATGCCATACATTTTTATATTAACTGGTTTTCAGTTTAAGGGATAATCTATATAGACCATTTAGTAACTCAACTCAGAGCCCTCAATGCCCCCAGAGGCACATTAGATGTATCGACGTTCAGTCAAGGAAGTCATTCATTCATCCTACGCAACGTTTCCCAAACAAATCTCACCGTGATTTACACTATAGGTATTGACACGATGTACTACCCAGACTATGCGATCGGGTTTCATGACATCTATGCTCTTGGGTGCTCTTCCTGACAATCCTTACACTGCGAACTGCAGTTAGCCACTTACTTAGTAGGAGGTGTATCGTAAGATTCTAGAAGCCTGCGCCCTAAACCGATTCATTTACCAGAATGAGTGGAACACGCAGATAACAGCATTTTCCCTCGCATAAGAAAGAAGTTAGGGGGGCAGAACTTTTGCAATAGAAATGCGACTGTTCGCAAACCTCATGCTCTTTGCGGCACTAGTCAGGGAACTACATTGCGACAAGAACTAGGAACAGGGATTTCATTCGTGAGCAGAATAATACTGACAGGGAATGCCGTCACATTCGGAGTCTCACTTCTGTCGGCTGACTCTCGCTTACCCCTAGCTAAGTCGGGGTCGGGTCAAATTCGTTAAGATCCGACAAGCTTCGGATGTTATCTCAACCCCACAATTTGTGCTGCGAGGGCCCGAAGGCAATGGAAATTCGCGTAGATAATTCGTTTTCAAGTTCGGGTTTTCCAGGTTCTCAGAATTACATAACTCAAGACTCGGTGCTATTCGATACGAGTGAGAGCATCTATTGTCCACCAGCAGGGCCGAAACTATGGAAACTGCTATCTAGTCGCGTTTAATAACCGGAAGCCCTTCGGAAAATCTGACTAGCCATTTCGTGTTTCAGGCTGACGTCCTGTTTCCTCCGAATCCTCGCGGCCTGTTTCGCACCCCCATTCACCCGATATTCCGATTTCTCAAGCCCAGCCTCCGCCAATCCTCACGTTCTTACTGGGTTGATGACACTAACCCCCGTTTGGGTGTTAAATACCGAGCCAGTAAGGATACATGGTTAACCACCGAGCCTTGTCGGGTATATACACCATGCTTCAGTCTGACACGCAACCCGTAAAGACATGCAAGTTTAAGGTTATATAAGATACAGATCCCTCCAACACTTCACTGTATCATTTTCAAGTCAGTCATCCTATCCCAACTCCCGTCTTACACTATCTCTTCCATAATCAAACCCAAAATGGCACCCCTCCACGTCGGCGCCCTCCTCTTCGACTACCAGGCCATTGATGTCATTGGCCCAATCGACCTCCTCAACTCCTGTACCAAAATGTACATGAAAGCGCTCCAACCCTTGAGTGGAGTAACGGATGAAACAATTTCCCGTGCCCCCGAATTCGTCTTCCACCATATCGGCGTCAATAAAGAGCCATTCCGGTTGCTCTCGAGTGACATCACCGTTGTGCCCTCCTCGACTGTGGATGACTGTCCCGAGATCGACATCCTCTTGATTGGAGGTCCCGACCCTGTCAACTTCAAGCTGGACCCGAAGCATGCCGACTTTCTCCGAAAGCACGTTGCGGCTGGAAAGCTGCTCTTCGCCAACTGCACCGGTGCAGCTGTTGTGGCGTCAACAGGTGTCTTGGACGGAAAGAATGCCACCATCAACAACTTGGCGTTCAAGCTGATGCAGCAAATATATCCCAATGTCAAGTGGACCAACGACAAGAAGTGGGTTGTTGACGGAAATATTTGGACTGGTGGTGGTGCCGTAGCTGGCATGGACATGTGTTCGTACTGGATCAAGGAGAACTACGGAGAGGATGTGCTCACTCACGGAGGCTCTATGCTGGACTTTGAGCCAAGAGACATCAAGGGTGTCCAGAACGTTCTTCCGAAGAGATATGATGAGAGTGGAAATCAGCTCTTCACTCACGCGTTTCCTTAGAAGTACCTAGAGTAGCATGCTGATCGATAAATTGGGGTTTCAATATCTAGATAGGTTACAAACAAAGACTTTTCCAGTCCATAGATCTGGTCGAAAATTGATAAGTAGAGAGTTTCTAGTTGCGTGTCTTTCAGCGGTCGACGGCAATCACGCATCAAAGCATCCCCTGTAGGCTGGCACGAGGAGGGTCGTTTTGACGTGGCCGATTCTTGCCCTGTCTGAATAGATAAGCCCCAGGACAGACGCGTCATGATCCAAGCACAGTTCTAAGCGAAAAAAGAAGTTTCTCATGGCAACGCATGCAATTACAAGAAATACACGCTAATAATTCCTCGAACTGGCCCCGTCTTCTGCCTTCCCCTTAACGGAGGGCCACGGTCCTCTGTATGCAGGCATTGAATTCACCTCCATTAAGATGACATGTTGACCACCTGTACTTGGTTTCCAAAGGTTGACGGATCATCAAACAAGCCAATGTAACTGCCATAGTCATTTCCGTACTTGTTGTCAATGGAGGTGCCCGAGTTACACTGTTCGCCGTCACTATAGCAGTGGGTGCCAATAGAAACAAGCCGGCCATTATCGTTTCGTAAAATGGGAGCGCCGTTTTGCCCTAAGATGGCGGTCAGAAATGATCATCGTATATAAATGCCAACTTACCCCCAAATGTCGAGATCCTGTAGTCGAGCAAGTTGCCAGGGCTCTCGCTGAGATCGTAGCTGGTATTGGCGAACTCGGCGTACATCCGCCCGCCGGCTTCATCACTGAAGGTCTTGTCGCCGGGATACCCGACAATACCGAGTTTGACGTTCTCGCCTGACAGAGGTGTGGCCTCGAACTTGAAAGTGCCGAGGTTCCCCTCAAACGGGCGATTTATTTGGATAAATGCCACGTCGCGCGAGCGGTTTTGATCCGTCTCGAGCCACTTGGCCGTCGTGGCGACATTGACGCCATGTCGGCTCTGCACCCAGGGATTCTTGATCGACTCACGCCCGTTGTAACCGATGTAGCACTTCATCTGCGTGCACGCACCGAGGTTTTGGCTCGTGGAATACACAACATCGCCACCCGTGACGACGAGGTCAGGGCGGATGAGCCAGCCGGTCCCTATTTGCCAGATGGAGTGACCTGTGTTTGGGTTCACGAACCTACTCTGGATCTTGACGATGGCTAGAATTAAGAACCGTCAGTTGCGTGCTTGTCTCGCTTCAATAATGTTACCTACAGCGGTACTTTCCACCATCCTGGAAATCGGCCGGATCGACTGGAATCCGCTTATCCGGGTCAAAAACCGACTCTCCGCTCCGACTACCATCGTTAGGTAACAAAGTCTGCTTGGCAGGTTCAGGGTTTCCAGGGTCCGACAGCTTCCAGATTGCTGCCTGGTTAGTACCAGCGGGGAGAGACATTCTCGACTAAAGGGGAAAATGAAGCTATAAGAAATGACAAGCTAAAGATAGGTAATTGTCGCCTGGACATGGGCGAGGAATTGGCCTTCTTTTTATGCAGCTCTAGGGCTCAGCCAACCCCTCTCCAGCTGAGGGAACTGACGCGACCTGAAAGACGACAGCTAGCCACAGATAAAACAGAGATCCGTGTTTAGAGATGGGAGTGGGCAATATTGCTGCGATCTAGGCCCAATATCCCCAGGCCCAGACTCCCAGAGCGGCTTGGCGTACTCGATACGCGAACCACATGTAACGTGGCTGCGACTATTGCCAATAGCGGGAATGCAGGCAGGCGTCTAGACGCGGGGCGGTAGCCACCATGAACATGCGCACACTCGAATGTTGACGAGATTTATATTTGCGCAGTCACCTCTTCTCTACAAGCTGAAACTCAGTGTACCCGTCGTCTTTCGTCAATTCTTCAACAAAACTTATCTATAAGTTGTCCGCATTCAATACCGTCGTTGGTCTCCCCTATTCAGGCTCCATCCAACCTACGACTCGGTTGTCAAACGATGTGAATAAGTCGCCATTGTCGAAATTGCAGGATTTCGCCACTACGTAGAACCCAGGCGACTTTTCCAGGTGTCAACAGTCACCCGAGCAAGGAATGACGAGGTTCAAATCTTCCCCCGAGAGCAGTATTGGCACATGTCGGCGCCATGCTGTTATCCTATCAGCCCCTGCAGCAAGAGAGAAATGCATTATCTTACAGGCTTATGACTGACACTGCCCCCCTACGCAGTTATAGTCGCACTGGTCATAGATCAGCATGGATCCTGAAGTAGCTTTGAATGCACTTCGTTTTTGGCCGTCCCAACAGAAGGATCGGAAAATCAGGGCAGAGGATAGCAATTTCAGGGGACCTACAATATTGCGGCATCGTCCACAGTTTAAAAAATCAGTATTCTGATCGATACATCTGCCTGAGCATCGTATTCCGCCTTCAGGGCATACATCGCCGTCACAAAAGCCATTCATGCATAGTGAAGCAGATGCGCACTAGAGAGCATCAGTTCAGAGAAATCAGGTATAGGGAAAGGGCAAAAGCATGCCACTCTACCGCAGGTTCCACAGTTGTACACGTCCCAGTCAAGGGATCTACACACACCGCTGCATAAAGTTTGGCCAGGGCCACATTTGCAAACGCCTGCGTTGCACGAGGCAAGATCGGGGCACTATGGAGTATCAGATCAAGAAAATCGAATATGGGGGACGGGAGAAAGCCTACCCTGTTGCCACAGTCACCGCAGTTCAACGGGTCGCGATCAACAGGCATGCACGAAGAACCGCAGAGCTTTTGGTTGGCAGGACACTGGCAGCTGCTTCCAACACAAGTGGCCCCTCCTGTACACTATAGGACATGAGACAAGCCAAACAATGACTGGAGATAAAGGAGAGACACGTACCGCTTTGCCACAACTCCCACAATTCCAATTGTTATTCTACAAGTTGGTGCAGGCATAGCCAAAGCAATTAGTTTGGCCAGCAGGGCATGTGCAGGTGCCTCCAATGCAAGAGCCGCCCATCCCACACTACAAGATATTAGAAAAGAAGAGGGCTCCAATACGACAATGAAAACATACGTAGTTGAAACATCTCCCACAGTTCCAAGAATCAGTATTGACGTTGGTGCATTGGCCACCGCAGAGTTTGTTTTCAGTGCCACCAGGGCAGACACAGGCGCCTCCAACACAAGAGGTTCCGCCTGTACACTGAAGTATATGTCAGCAGGGGCAAAACAATGAATGGATAATATAAAGATACCTGGAGTTTGCAGACTCCGCAGCTACTTGAGTCGGTATTGAGGTTGTAGCACCCGTCACTGCACAAGGTTTTGCCGTTGGGGCAGACGCAGCTACCTGCGGAACAGATCGACCCGCCTGAACACTGTAACTAGAGTAAGAAGATGTAACAAAGATGGTACGAGTTTAACATACTATGTTTCCACATGAGCCGTAGTTCTTCTTGTCTGTTAAAAGATTCTTGCACGCGTCGCCACACGTGGTCAATCCGGCTGAGCAGACGCAAGAGCCCTGATCACAAGACTGATACTTTTTGCACTGGACATGTTGAAACGATTCATTAGACCCTTGAGAACCTCCATGAGGTAAAACACACACTTACCACATTGCGGCATGCTCCACAGTTATTCTTGTCCTTCTTCATGTCGACACAGCTATTGCCGCACAGCGTCTTACCAAGGGTGCTGGCCTTGGGTCCGCATGTGAAGCAGACCCCTTTACCTGCGTTGCCATCTCTTATACACGCCCTGCGAGCGGACGAGACAGGGAAATTGCTAGAGCATCATTGGTCACAGATCAAATTTGGTACTCTGGTCGTACCCAAGGCGGGACCTATCCAGTCAGTCACTGCTAAGAGGGCACCGTAGAAAACTCTTGCCAATGGCAAAGCTAAACAGGAGGATCAGAACAAGGCGGAGCATATTGGATCGTGGGTTGTCAAACAACCGATGAGGATGAAGTGAGGGTCCTCGAACGAGAAATCTCCACACCTTAATACTAAAGCAACAACTGACGAACGCGGCAAAGGGCTTTGGTTTGGGCCTCAAATGGCTGTATGCGGGAGGCGTTGACATCACGGGCGTCAGCCTCATTCCAACTAAACGCCAACGCGGTTGATGCAGAGACAATCTTGTCCGATTTGGTTCGGACATTCTTGCTCAAAAGGCTTAAAGGCGACTTTCTCCAGCCAGACCACTCGGGACCTTGAAATTTTATAGGGTTTGATTCACAGATAGACATGCTTTAGCCCATGGGGCGTGTTCCTGCGAATGATTGTATGCTTCAACTGTAGGTGGCAAAGATACTACCTCTTTGAAATAGACTAGTGGGCTTCCAAAGCAGAAGAGCTGGGAATTTCCGTCGTGCTATAGACGTGAAAAATATTCATTCGTGAGGCGCCTCCACAAGTCACTGAATCGCGTCACTACATATCCCCAATGTCATGCAATAGTCATATTGATACAGACTACTACCAAGATAGATAGAAAACACTCGACAGAAGCGCTACCCCGACAAAGCCCCAACTCATCCAGACATGACTCGCAGAAGACAGTGAGTTGTAGTTCAGGCATTCGTAGTTCTCGGGAAGTACAGACTTGTTGTAAAGCTCCTCAAAGGGCGTGCAGTTGAATCCCATTGGTTCTGAATACTGGGCTGGAGCCTGCGCCAAGTGGAAATAGTCCAGGACCTTTGGCGGGTTGGAACCGTTGCGGGCTGCGAGGAATGAGTCACTAAAAAACACAGTTAGATCGGTCAAAAGGTCAGAGGATGAGGATAAACCCACAAGAATCCGGTGGAGAGAGGGGTACCGATGATGTTGATTCTGCTGATGTTTCCTTTAGGCCAGTACCAGAACTGATCTTTCTTATTCTCGGGGTCTCGATACTCTGAGATCAGGGTAAGGTTCTGGTTTATCTCAATATCGATTGTCATATCCTCCCAGTCGAGGGCTTTGGGTGGCATTCGAATCCTCTGCAGATTTCCGTGGTCATAAATCGTGAGGTTGGTAATCTTGTCAAAAATAGTGAGGTCAATCTCCTTCAGAGAAGAACCTCTGAAATAAAGCCGGCCAACATTAAGCTCCTTGACGTTGGGTGCGCGCGTGAGCTTGGTGAGGTCACCCTCAAGCTGCAGGAGTCCAATGTCCATTGTCTCTGTTTCTGGGCCGCCGAGCGTGAGCTCAGTCTTGTTTGTCGCAATCGAGATCTTGCTGGTGTTTGCATATCCAACGGTGACGCTCCTAAGATTTGGGATGCGGTTCGCGCTGAGTTGCACGGGCGCCCACGTCGTGAGGTCGTCATACCCCGACTCCCGAGCGATGGCTGTGAGGGGATACTTGAACCAGCTGTCAAGAGATGAGACCCTAACGCCCCAGAACTGAACACCCGGCGTCCAAGCGCCACCTGTGAAACCCTTGAGTTCCTCGTGTTTCAGTTCAGTGAGGTGGTTGGCCTCGATGTTGAAGGACCCCAAGTGCGTGAGTTTGGTAATGTCGAGCTTTCTGAGGTAGTGCATGCGCTGAAGGGTAAAAGCCTCCTCGACTCTGGTGAGCTTGGGAAGCAGGAATTCCGAAAGGCCTTCAAAGGCCCAGAAGTAAATGGAGCCGTTGACCGTCTTGAGAGTTGAACATTCGATTGTGATGGGCTTCAACGTTGTGGGATACGGTCCGCCGATTTCTGTTGCATTTCCCCATTCGGGATCACCCGAGTACGTGATATCCCCGTTGATGAACTCGATACCATCGAGATTGATGGACTCGTCGAGGTAGTCGTCAAACTTCAGGTATCCCTCAATAGTTTTGCAGCTCTTTCGAACCTCATCAGCGTGATCCTGGGATTTAATTGTGACATTAGCACATCCCGCCGCCCAAACAGCTTCTAAAGAAAAGTCAGTTCGACAGAGCTTGTAAACCTGTGTGATACATACCCACCTAGGAAGAAGCATAGAAAGGCGACGATGGCGCCAATACGTTGGAGATACATCTTGACAAATTAATCCGCGCCATGTGGAACTGGCATTGCAAGGGAAATGTGGAATTGTGCTTGGACATATACTCGTGCATCGCTTCTGAAAAACAGCCCAAGGCAAACTCTGGGCGCCGTTTCGCTCCTTCAGGGGCAAAGTCAGGCGAAGGCAATGCTAGAGAGTCATTCGTCAGTTGTCATCAGGGGATCAGTTGCCAAGAGTTGCCATGATTGGGCTGCGCCGTGCAAGAGTCAAAGAGTGGGGGGAATGGTCAACTGTCAGTGGGCAAAATGCGAGGGATCCCTGTTATACAGGCCATTGCAATGATCCTTTGTGCCGTTGAACCGTCTTAACAGCACAGCACCTGATCTTGGCACAATTTAGGTAGCATTTACTGCGCCTTGTATGATCCTACGGGCAAATTACCTCGCTTGCAATTATGCCTAATGGCTTTGCTTGCCAAATCGGCCAAAGACAAGAGTTCCCCAAGTTGTCTTTCTCTGAACAGCCCGTTTCATGAGTAGCAAGCTGTGCATGTAATCAAGTTACACATAACAAGGCCAGATAACTCAGATCAATAGGACTGTCGAGTAGTTTTTTGCAAATTTCTCTCATCAATGCCAGCATATACTGTCCTTAATGTGATCCTCTCACCAACTCAACAGGCTCTGATCTCAAGCTCGTCCTTGATTCTCATGCAGGTCACCTTTCACGACTTCCCCATGGCTCACGGCAGATAGATATGGGGGTTAAGGTCCAGTCACGTTGTCTGCCACGGGATAGTGAGATCGGAGATCCTCTTTTCATCTTCGGGGAAACCGACCCTTGGCCTCGGTTGTTCATGCCCCAGTTTTGCTCGGCTCTTTCGAGACTGCCAGCTTTGTCGCTTTGTGGCCCTGATGGTAGCCGAAATTGAGATGGTAACCCTGAGCAAGTGAGAGATGAGACGTAGACCTGATTAGCTGAGAACATCCGCCTATAGCATACCTCCACGTCTCACTACCCAACGCAAACACGCGGATATGAACTATTCCGTGACAACACATTTTGCATGCCTCTCATTCTCTGGACGCAGTTTTAGGTGGTTCTCACGACATTCTTTGTACCAGCCAGCAAGGCGGGCAAGGGGCTCAGTTGGTGCTCTTTCGCCTGACAGCCGTGTGCTTCGAATGCGAACTGCCAGCCCATCTATTAATCCATGTTTGTATATACTCCAAGATAACTTGTAGAATTTAGAAGCTCAACCAGAGGTTCTCGTAGGTGACCTCAGTCAAATAATCTGTCTTCGTGATTGCGATACTCCTCGATTCATGTGATGAGCTGAATGAGTAAATTTGAGAAGTTGCGCCATTATCAACGAGGAAGTTTTTTTCTACATGTATTAAAATAAACTCGCGCCCCCCTAGTCGGATGTTTCATAGATCTATATGATACTAGAGATAGATATCGTAACTTTTTGGCTGCCAGGTGTAGGGTAGTTTTCTCAGACATTGGTGGAACATGCTTGAGACACGAAGCCAATAACCGGAGGTGAGAGGATTCTGTAACCAGCTATGCAAACAGTGGTTTCATATTAATTTGATTGGCTTTCGTTCGCGTGGAAAGCTCAACGGATGTATAGTTAATGACTTATACCGGCTTCATGGCTTTCGATCACGGGCCGCGAGGCTCAATACTTTCGCGTTTTCGGTTTAGCTACCAAGAGCTTGTGACAGGCCAAGATGCCTTTGCCAAGCATGTGCTAAAACTGTGTCGGGCTAAAGAAGGCGGAGGGAGACACCTGAACTAGACTGAGTCCTCATCATGTGGTGTGGCTCTGTTCCGACTGTACAAATCTCTGACAAGCTCTGTGACAGTGAACACAAGAGCTTGGGCCCCAAATGCTGTGTCTACACGTTGAGCAACCGAGGTAGTACTCGATGGGCCTACAGTCCAGATATAAAGGATTACAAATTGTATCCCGGAAGCTGCGAGACCCCTGTTGACATTCTTCAAGTGCTGATCGACATTGCGGATGCGGCTCCTCAGCGGGTAACAACTATCCGGGTGGAACACCGCAATGACCTAACGTCATTGCGTCCTAGAGCCCCTTGGAATAGGGCCTAGTACATGATCCGACGCCTAGGGTGCTTCATCCGCCACGGCTCCAGAGAATCCGATTGAAGCCTGATCGCCAGATAAGACCAGGCGGGACTCTGCACGGATGCCGCCAGATGAAATACGGCGTAGTCTTTCACACTAACGAACAGCTGGATCCTTGGCTCTCCGGAAACAAAAGCAAAAAAAGCCCTGGCGATCTCCCAAGTGACAAATCCAGCGCATAACTATGGGGTTCGTGGGGATAGCCCTGTTTGTCCAGCTGAGCACACCATGACAAAAAACATGACTCGGATGTCGACCGAAACGTGAGCCTGAGCAAGTCAAAGCCCCTGAACCATGGATGGAGATAAACACAAGAGTGCAGAGTGGATGATGGGATCCATCACGCCACAGGTGAGCGTGCTGTGGCCAGGGCCAGCCATGGAGATGCTCTCACTCCACAGGAGAGATCCCCCCTGAGTTTTAGCTACTCGGCGGAACAGATCCGCCCGACAAAGTCCTCGCTACGGTGGAAAACGTCTGCCGAGATTCACTGGCCATCTCTGAGCGACACTGCCGCCGCTTCTGATGAGACTCTTATGTCAAAGACTCTCCCCAAGTTCGCGCTCGATGCTACATCCGGTTCGGCAATAACCGTACTTCCACGTGGCGTGTTTCCCGCCTCGAATGACACGCCAGAAGGAGCCATTCTCATTGGCACGCCAGGGAATCTGTTGGTTAGATAGCATGGAGAAGAAACACTCCTTACTCGCGGCCACGTTTTTCTCGACGCCGTCAGCAGGGATTTAGCATGGAACGCTTTGACGACGAATGACTCGTGCCTTGCAGATAGCGGGTTAGCGCAATGTCGATCTCCCTCTCGCTGGGAACGGGCGGCTTCTGGTAATTCCCGTTGGCAGGGGTTCATCCCATGCATGCCCGTCTCGCATCCTGCCGCGCATCATTGCCGTGAAGATTCGGGCTCGAAGAACACGATTGGCGTCTCAGCGATGGTGGACTCTTGCGGGGACAGCTAACATGGTCCATGTCGATGTGTGCCTGGATGAGCCCTGGAACGTGGCGACCGTAAGCATGCGTTGGTGGTGATGTTAAAGAGGCCGCTCCCATGCATCCTGCGCGTGCCCTCTTGTCCCCGATTCTGCGATTTCTGCATCACCGTTTCCCGCCATGGCTAGAGACATTACGTCGTTTGCCGCCGAGGCCTTTACCCTCCTCTCGGTTGGTATCATGGTCATCATTCTCCGAACGTACGCCCGTATCCGACAAGTGGGCATCCGCAACTTCGAAGCCGACGATTACCTGATGCTGCTGGCGATTATACCCTACTCGATCGAGACAGCCCTCGCGTATACGGTCAGCGCAAAGTACCACGGATACACCAACAGTGCCATGACGGACGAGGAGCGAGCGTCTCTATCCCCCGACAGCGAGGAATACGCGTGGAGGTTAGTGTGGTCTTTGGGTTTGGTGGGAAGGCCTGGTTAACACAAGCTTATCGTAGGGTTGGCGGATCCAAGATCCAGGTCGCCGGTTGGGCCATGTACGCGTCTGTTCTATGGGTCATCAAGAGTGCGCTGTGCGCATTCTACTTTCGACTCACGGTGGGTTTGCCTGCATCTGGAAGGGTTTCAGTGCTAATGACCGCAGTCTGGACTTGCCAATTACAAGATCCGCATCCACATTGGCTTTGGCTTGATCATCACGACCTATATCGTCATCATCTGCTGCATCCTGTTTAGCTGTCATCCGTTCCACCGTTTTTGGCAGATCAATCCTGACCCAGGAAGTATGATATCCTCGCCCCAGTTGTTTTGCCAAGGCAATACATGCTGACCAACATCAGACCTCTGCCAAGCCGCATCTTCAAAGCTTTACATCTTCATCATTGTCGTTCTCAACATCGTCACCGACACATATCTCCTTCTAATCCCAATCCCCATGCTGTGGGGTGCCCGCATTCCAACGGTCAAAAAGTATGGCCTCGTGGTACTCTTTTCTGGCGGAATCTTTGTCATGGTAGCTGGCCTGCTGCGCTGCATTCTTATTCTCAAGGTATGTCCTGGTCACTATTTAAGCTGGTGTGAACTGATAAGACTGACTCCTCTTCTAGAACCCCCACACTGGACCTCAAGAAGGATCCTCGTGGGCCGTCCGAGAGTCATTCGTCGCCGTCGTCACATCTAACTTGCCAAGCACATGGGGATGGATGCGGCAAAAGCTCAAGCCCCTATTCGGCTCTCTTCTATCCTCAAACAACACGAGCACTAAGTATAAGGGAGGACCCGAGCCTGGAAGCATTATGCTTGGAGATCAAGGAGTCTCAGGCTGGAGGAGCCATAATGGGCGGTCACTCAAGTCTGGTACCAGGAGCCAGAGCGTCCATGATCGCAACATCTTCATACACGCCGGGGAAGCCAGTTCAGATGAGATTATTCCGTCGCGTCATGACGGTATCACCAAAGAAGTTGAGTTCACTGTCTCGGCGAGCACGGCACGATGATGATGGGCTTGGTCAACTGGTCGTAAGCTTGTCTTTACTCGGTAGATATTTGTATGTAATGAGTTAATGTCTAATACTAAGAAATAGCCATGAAGCTGATGTCTTACATATTTGATGCTAGTGAAACTAAGTAAATCGCATTGTGGGCTCTTCATCTGGTAGGTAGGGAAAGACCTAGAGAGAACGACGCGCTTGCGGTTCAGTTTCTCGAGGTCGGGTCTCGGATATTGTCGGGGAGTCAGGGCCTCTGTGTCCCGAGTGTTTTAAAACGGAGACTACCATGCACAACCACTCTTTCGCCAACCCCACTCTTTCGCTAGGCAAAAAAAAAAAAGCACCACCAAAACTCGTTAACTTCACTTACACGAAAGTTGGCTAAAATAAATAGCTACGTAAAAGAAGTTACCTCTATTGATTATAGAAATAATTGGAGGTGATTGTTTTGACTCCGTAATGTTGTGTGGGGTACGCGATATATATAGGCCGTGCTATTGAAATATTGTTAGTCCGATCACTAAGCCGCTCACTGCTCCTTCTCGTGTTTTTTGGTCTTTGTCTTTGATAGCGACAAAAAAATGCCTATCTCGCGACTTCGATGGGAATATATAGAGGACGATATGGCTGAGGCTATATTAGATATTATTGATAATGGCTTTTTACCCTCTTAAGCGGCTAAGAGACGGGGAGTGCCCCGAAGGACTCTAATCGATAGACTTAATGGCCGGGGAGCCATGAAAGAGCAGATTTACCCTCGCCGACGTTTGTCCAAGGATCAAGAGGATAGATTGGCTTTCTAGATACTCCGTCAGGAATCCTTGGGCTATGCTCTGTCCCACGATCAGATCCGCGCTTGCGTCATGGGCTTGTTGAGACGGCAGGGCGAATATCCCGAGTTAGGACGCAATTGGGTGGCCAGATTTATTAATCGCCGCATAGACCTCAAGACCAAGATGGGTAGACGCTAGGAAGCTAAAAGGTTCGACGCTTTCACGCCTAAGGCAGTTCACTGGTACTTTGATATTAGGGAGGGCTAGTATGGCTGGATTAAGCCTGAAAATACCGTTAACGTTAATGAAGGGGGTATTATGACTGGTTTCGGCAAGTATCTATCTATATACCTTGTTAGTGCTTGAAATCTGACCGACTAATCCTTTTTATTTAGGCTTAGATGGCCTGGTTATTGGAAGCGCGGACCCAAAGCGGAAGGCATTTCTCAAGGGACCATAGACTCGGAATTAGACTTTATTTATTGAGGCTATTACTGCTGACGGCCACGCTTTAATCCCTGGCATAATCTTCAAGGGGAAGGAACTCTAGAAATAATAGTTTCTTGAGGAATTCAAGACGATAGCAGACTAGTATTATATAACTTCGCCTAATAGGTGGATTAACGATTATATTAGCGTTGAATAGCTTGAAAGAGTCTATCTGCCCTAGACCACGCCTGCCGATGACTCCGACGCGAGACTGATTATTTTAGATAGTTATGGGAGTTATGCAACGGTATATTCTTCATTCTCTTCAGCCCAAGATCACTACTGAGCGACGGAAGGATGAATAGATAGCTACGTGCTTTCTGAATAACGTTTACTGTTGCTATCTGCCAGCACACTGCTCTCATGGGCTCTAGCCGTTAGATAATAGAGTATTTAATGCCTCTAAAGCCGCATATCGACGAGAGTTGGAAAAGTTCGCTTTATTGACTGATTCCACTCTAATGGACAAGGTTAATTTCATCAGGGCCTACGCTAAGGCGCGTCGAGTTAGAATGACTAAGAAGAATATACTCTCCGGCTGGAGGGTTACTAGGAATTGGCCGATCTCACGTGCCAAAGCGCTGCGGTATCCAGAAATCTAATAGGATAGGCCAAATAGTAGCCCAAGAGCGACTCCTGAACCTAGGCCGTATTTTGACTCGGACGATACACCACAGACGAGCCGCCAAATTCGCGATCTTAGGCTAAATAAAACGCCAAAGACACGAAGACGGTATAACATAATAGCTAAGGGGTTTGAGGCTCAATAGCAGATAGTAGCGGCGCATACTGCGAGGATTGCTAGCCTAGAGGAGGAATTGGCTCGCCTGAAGAGAGGGAAGAAGAGGAAGGCGGTGCCGAATCCTAATAAGCGTTTTATGACTCTTGGCGAGACTCTAGTTGCTGGAGAGGCCATAGCCGAAGAGGAGACTTAAATTATGCCTATTGTGGTGGAATATGGCAGCTTAAGCGAGCCAGAGTTAGAATCGGAGGCTGGCTCAGTCATTGAAGTCAGAGAGGAAACTATACCCTATCAACCAACCACGCGATCAAGGCGGGTTATCAAAAGACCTAGGATTCAATAGATATGTGCATTTATTATTTATAAAACGAAAATTTTTGCGCATATCTATCATTTTGGTTAAGTTCTGTGTAAGTAAAGTTGTTGATTTTTGGTGGTGCTTTTTTTTTTTTGCGTGGCGAAAGAGTGGGGTTGGCGAAAGAGTGGTTGTGCATGGTAATCGTTGACGTTATAGGAATCTCCTCTCTTATCAGATGATATTTCAGCATTTGTTGGCGTACCTCAAGGGCGCCAAAGCTGCAGAGTAAAGAGAAATGGAATAATAGGAAGGGAGTAGAGGGACGAGTCTCGTCGAGATGCCTACCGCGTGTCACACAGTTCATCCCGTACTATATTTACCCTCTATATGCGTCCATATAACATTGATTGTAATCACTGGCTCAATATCTTTGTTGTTCGAATAGGCCAAACAAGCTCGTGACCTAACAAGACCAAATTGCTGGCCCCGGGTCTCTGAGGGCTGATTAGGATCAAGGTGAATCATGTCTCGACCTCATACTGCAATCGACGAAGGAAAGGACTGCTACGGTCGTTAAAGTACGAAAAGACCGTTGTGGTCATCTTGAGGTCCTAGCTATTGTGTTTTTTGATACAGTTGAGGCCCGGCCTTTGATGGAATAACCGAGCCAGAAGACCAAGAGTTTCTTGGACATGAGCCACGATCAGACCATTATATCTCTCCTATTGATAGCTTAAAGGGACATTTGCTCCAGGATTACACGTACCTGTACCAATATTTCGTACTGTTGATGAGATAACTCAACTCAGTGGAGAGCCGGCTCCGAGACGAAGAGTATGTACGTAGTCCATCCGTCTGTACCTGCTGAGTAATCGGAGACGCGGACTCCGTGGATGACATCGAGCTGCCTATGCATCAATCATGACTTGGATTCGGGGGGTCACAATGCTTAAATCTTTGTTACGTGACTAAGCATTTGCATCCTTAAATAATGCTCTCGCCGGTTGTTGAGCTGGAACTTTTGCATTCCAAGCTGAGGGTGGAGGCTTCAGTTGTGTTACGGCTATGTTATTTTCGTTGACTCGCTCAGAAGTCCACACCCCACTGCTTCGTCGAGCAATTGATCAAGCATTCCAAACTGGAATACCGAGTTCGGAATGCTTGAAAACCGAACTGTCTTTACAAGAATAACACTGAGAAGAGGAATGAGGGTAGAGTTTATGCACGTCTATTAAATAAGATATGTTTATGAAGTCTCTTTATTACACCCGCAATACTGTCGGGTTCACAGCTGGGTGTGTCTCCTCAGCCGCCTCAAGACTCCACGCATACTGTCCCGCGACACAAGTCTCATCGCACTCAAAGCAATCAAGATTAAACCATAAGTACCACTGCGGTGACCTGACACCCCATTCGAGGTCGTCCATGGTCTTCTGGTCAACGGCAATAACACACTCAATGTCGGGATACCAGCCAAAGGCTCGGCAGTCTGGGTTGGCCTTGCAGATGGCTGCGCACGTGAGAGCGTCGACAGCGTCTCTTTGCTCTGGGAAGCGGTCCATAGACGCCTTGTAGTAGTTGGTTGGGTTGACCCAGTCGACCTTGCCCTCGCAGTTGCCTGTGTGGCCGGTTCGCTGGCAAAGCTTGATGGGCTCGTCGAGCGTGGGACAGGTTGTCTCTGCGGGCTGTGCTGTGGTAGTGGTGTACACTGGCTCCTCTGTAGTTGTTGGGTATGCCGTTGTGTATGCTTCAGAAGGCAGAGCTGTTGAAGGCTGGGATCCCCAGGTCCAGTCCCAAGAAGTAACGCAGTCCTTGCATACCCAGCAGTCTCGGTCATACCAACGCCACTCAGCCCCCGAGGGCACAACTTCGAGCTCATCGACACTTCTCTTGTTAAGAGAAAGAACACAGTTCATGTTCATGCTCCACTCGAAACCCCAGGCGCCGCAATCAGGGTTTGTGTGGCAAAGAATAGCGCAGTGAACTGGCTCCGAGACCTGAGGTACCCAATCATAGGGCAGCTTGGTGTACTGCGCGGGGTTGACAATCTTAAGAGAGCCACCGCAGGGACCTTGTTCCTTCTCAAATGGTCTGTAGCAAATACCCTGGCCCCAGTCCCACTCACAGGCTTGCTCCTCGACGGGAGGCTCTGGGGTCGGGGTGAGCCAGATCCAGGTCTCCTCCTGGCCGCCAGGGAGGGAAGGTTGAGTTGTGGTGGTAACAAGTGTGGTAGTTGTGGGATCGTCATGACAGGCACAGGTCATGCAAGACAAGTCGTGCCAGTAATATATGCCCTCCTCGGGGTTATCCTCGTTAGGATTAACAGCCATGATAAAGTCGGCGTCCTGGACCTCGTGGGTCGAGAAGCGGCACGAACGATCATCCATCCAGGCGGCAGACTTGCAGCGGGGGTCAAGAGAACACCAAGCGACACACCACATCTGAGTCCAAGCAATGGGATAGTCCTCAGGCGGCGAAACAGCCCAACCAGCAGCGTCGTCAGCGGGCCAGGTACCTCGGTAGGCGCAAAAGGCATGACCGATCTCCTGGTTGGTCCACTTGCAACCATCCTTGAGAGCCTTGGGACAAGTGGAAGCCGGGGGAAGCTTGAAATTGTTTGTAGGCTCCGAAGTAGGCTCAGCCTGGGTGGTAGTCTGGGGCTCGACCTGGGTGCTTTCAGGCTCGAGGGTGACAGCCGTGCTAGGAATCTCCGGCACAGATGTCACCTCGTCCTCGTCGTTGCAAGGGCAGTTGAAGCATGAAAGATCATGCCAATAGAAGACACCCGGGGTATCAACATTAGGGTTAGGTCCGTGAACAAAGGTCGAGTCCTGCACCTCAAACTTTGAGAAGCGACAGGTTCGACTGTCGGGCATGTAAGCAACAGACTTGCAGCCGGGAGTAAGGGAGCACCAGCCCAAACACCACAGCTGGCTCCATGGCGTGGGCCAGTTGTCAGGATATTCGGTGACCTCCCAGCCCTGGCCGTCAGGACCGGGCCAGGAACCTCGGCTGGCGCAGTTGACCATGTCTTCGCCACTCCAAGGGCGCTTCCACCAGCAGCCGCCGTTGAGGGCCTTGGAGCAGAAAGTAGGAGGAGCGGATGATGTGGTGTCTGGCAGTGTTGAGGATGACTGTGTGCCGGGCTCGGTCCAGGCAGTAGTGAATTGAGACTCTGGCTCAGAGGTCTGCTGTTGCTCGGGAGTAGTAGTGTACCATGTGGAAGCTTCTTCGACACCGCTAGTGTACCAGGTCGAGTGTTCCTCGACGCCGCTGGTATACCATGTAGAATGCTCTTGCTCTCCAGAACCACTTGTGTACCATGTTGAGTGTTCTTCAGCTCCACTGGTATACCACGTAGAGGTCTCTTCAGGGGCGCTCGTGGCCCAAGTCGAAGCCTCTTCGGAGCCACTAGTGAACCATGAAGTCTCCTGCGTCTCGGGTCCGCTGGTGAACAGCGAGGTCTCTTGCTCTCCAGGGCTAGTAGTGAACCATGTAGGCGTCGCAGTCTCCTCCTCACCACTGGTGAGCCAGGTCGAAGTTTCCTGCTCTGCACTGGCAGGAAAGCTCGTGCTCTCACCAGGAACAGCACTCGTAGGCCCCACTGCAGGGGGCGTGAGAGGAGGGTTCTCTCCAGTGCCAGAGTTGCCAAAGTCAATGACAAAGTCGTTGATGGTCTCGGGTGTAACAAGGTTCGAAATAAAGACAGAGTCGACGAGGATGGTGGCGCCTCCACCCAAAAGACAGTTCATTCCGATGCGGAGAGGTGCGTTGACTTGGGCGGGCTGGACCGACTTGAGGACTTCGTTCCATGAGATGGCAGTTCCTTGACTGAAGACCCAGCTCTGGTGGAAGACGGCGCCTCCGAGGTAGGCTGTAAGCTCGCAGAGGTTGATGGCCTGCGGTGATGTGACGACGAGGTAGTAGAACCGGATGGTATAAGGTGTCGTGAGGTCGAGGTTGGCGATCGTCTGCGAGATACTGACAGAGATGCCCATGTCTCGCTTTCCAGAGCCGGTGTTGGAGGCACTCATGGCGGCAGCGCCTCGTTCGTTGCTGCCGGGTTCTGGACGACCCTGGCCTCCAACAATCTTGCACTCTCCCTCGACATCCCAGTCGGGGAATGCTGTGGGATCATCTGGGTCGATCTCGCCCATGTTACCGTTGCTAGCGAGGTTGCGAACCTTGGGGAGGGCGCCGGTCTGAGTAGGTTCCGAACCGGTGGCCGTGCTGGTGGAAGCAAGATTGGACGCCAGTGTAGAGGTAGGGTTTTTAGGCCTGCAGACACTCGCTGCGGCTAGATTGGCGGTGCCCGAGAGGGCGAGAGCCGCCAATGCCACGAGAGAACGCATCGTGGATGAAGTTTAGAAGCAAATTGCCTGGGAGAAACGTCCAACAACGAGGGTCCTAGGAGATGGGGCAAGCCTTCATTTTAAGGGACATGCCAAGCGAGAGAGCGGATCCACGGCTGAGTCTGATGGAGATAAACTCATGATGGTCTCTAGCCAGAACGTTGTGGCCCAGCAAGAATATCGATAGCTTCACGAGGCGCCTCGGAAGGGGCATTCAGCTGGCTGTACCCCAGTCGGCAGCGCCTTGATTACGGGCCTCAATTGATCTAGACTTGAAGACGCATGGGAAAAGCTCCATGCGAACCCCAAATTCCCTCTCCAGACAGGGGACCTGAGTCCAAATGCAGGCCTCGTCCGATGCAATGTCCAGACTCGCCTGAATTTAGCACAAGCTCCCTCTGAACGACCATCCAAACCCCTGTGGAAATGTTCTATTCCCGCGATAGTGGACCCTGGAGGCGTTCGGGAACGTTGTGGCCCTCGATAGTCTGTTGCGCTATCGCGCCAAGAATCAATAGACCAGCGCAATCTGTAGGCGACGACCCGCTCAGCTGAGGGGGCTTTACGGGCTACTCCGTCTCGGAATATTTAAACGATATTCAGGGTCTGCCTAAGATGCCTTCTGGCGCTTCTGTCAATGATGGTCCCGTTTCTCCTTCAGCCACGCCGAAGCCTTCAAAGACGAGCTTAATTCTCCTTTAATGGCTGTGTCTGACCCGGGAATACCGTCTTACTAAATTCGGTTCGTTGTGTAAAGTATAAAAAGGAACGTGCCTCCGTGTAGTCGTCGTTGAAGCCGAAACGTCCCCACATGTATTCAGCATCTGGGATATACATCCAGACGCCATTCTCAGAGGGTCGTCTCTTTCTGGATTTTTGTCGCGCCCATTTCTGAACGAGGGCAATTCCATGTGCATGGTCCACAAGGCCAATGGTGTTGCTGGCGGCGAGCTCATCTTCCTCATCTTCCGCCTCTTCGACCTCGCTCCCTCCAACGTAGTAACCCCAGTCGTATCGATTGACGAGGAAAACCTTTTCAGCTCTTGTCGCATCATTGTTGAATGTGTTTTCGGTTTCTTCGTATGGAGAACCAGCCACCCGCAGAATCTTGGTAAGTTCTGGCACAGGGTCGACATCTTGGTGAGCCGCGAACCATCCGTCTACGCGCGGACTGTCTATGTCACGGAGCTTGTAGACATTCCAGTCTCCATTTTTAGCTGGGACATTGTGCTCAAATTGGTGAGCTACAACCGTGCCTGTAGGACGAGGACTAGACGTTGGTGGATATTGGATGAGGGCATGAGCACCTCCGAGCATGTTGCTCAAGGTGCCGAAACAAAGGGCGCCAGAAGTGACGGTGAAAGAAGAGGCGATATGATTTAAGTCTGTCATCGTTGAAGGTAAAGAGTGGTGAGTTGTAATTGATGTATTGCATCACAAAGGAGTGCGAAAAGGTGATCTTATAGTCGCTATCCGTCATCAACTGCACGATGCGCTAGGCTGGATCCAAGCGTGCACATTCAGGCAACCACCGCTCTGGTCAGCGTGAAGGGCATGCCCAAGTCCACGTTTTATATAATATCACAGGCAGCACTTTCACGCCACGGCACCTTTGGCCGTGCCTTTGCCCACTTGGGTTATTTTCTGCCCGCAGCTGAACGCTTGATCCAGTCAGACCACTTCCGCAACACCAAGATCTACGGCGCCTGCTTGCTCTTCACATCTTGTCATGAGAGCTGCACTTCGTTTTCTAAGAGAATGGAATGCTATTTTCTAACTCGCGTCTGCTTTTATGTTGCAACTACAGCATTACAACAGCTACAAGTCCGACAACAGCGACCATCATACCAGGGGCCTTGGAACCTGCCCCAGCAGTAATTGGCGTGAGAGCAGGACCAGTAGGAATCGCACCGGAGGGAGCGACATTAGTAGCAGGAACGCCAGCGGGCTCGTCCTGTGCGTGGCAAGTTGCGCAACCATCGGGGTCGGAGCTACCGGCGGTGGTGCTCGCAGGGTGAATACCAGTGATAGTGTGGTTGGAAGGATGGCTGACAGGCCCATGGATGGGAGTGGGATAGGGATTCTCCTTGACAGGCTTAACCGTGATGACTTGGTTCTCAGTCTTGTAAGCCTCCTTGGGGCAGCCAGTTTGGCATCTACACATGGTAGGCATGTGAATGGTGAAGGTTGCGGTCGACTGAGGGACCTTGGCAGTAACGGGACGCGTTGCCTTACCGGTGCAGGCACCATTTCCAAGGCAGTTGATGACATGGTAAGATGTGACGAGCTCTGTGGTGACTGAACCAACTGGGCAGTTGGTCACAGTAGGGGGACAAGAAGTAATCGTGTGCACCTCGCTATATGTGACTGTAGAGGTCACATCCGCATGTCTCGAGGGATAAGTGACCGTCGGGTATGAACCAGAAGTAGCGAGAGCCATAGACGTGTTGTGGTATTGTGTCGAAGAGGGGACCGCTGTTGAGTTGAGTGGAACCGAAGTCGTTGGGACAGTTGTAGTGTTGCCATCAGAACGGGTGCACTCTCCGGTGAGAGCAGGGACAGCGTTGGGGCCCTTTCCAATCGCAACGAGCTTGGAACCGCAGTCCTCGTTGTTGGCAAGCCAGATATTGCGATGATCCCAGTCGTAAACGACGTAAGCGGCACGCAGGAAGGTGTCCCCTAGGACAGGGAAGTCTGGTGATATGTCAGCCATGATGCCGGGCTCGAGGTTTGTTTACGAGACCCACTGTCATCTTGAAAGACTCCCAATCTGCAAGCACCATCCGGGCGCTTCCAGATAAAGTCTGCGTACGGAACTTTGATGATGGTTTCTCCGAAGAGAAAATCAACGGTGCCGGCCATGTCCATCACCGAGCAGTCCACCGAATACAGAGGAGACTCGGGGATGGTCTTGGCTGTGGGGAAAGAGTCGACAATGGCCTGGACGATGGGACCAGGGAGGGTGCTCAAGGTGTAGCCGCTATCAAGCATGACGGCCTGTCGGGTGGGCTTGGAGAAGATGGGGATCTTCTTGCCGTTCTGGACTAGGGTGAGGCCGTCGAGATAGACCCAGTATCTGTGGATATTAGACATGGTAGCAAAATGAGAAGGGGGGACACCAACCGAGTATATCCGTCGGGAGAGTCGTCGCCAGGAATGATTGGACGCTTCTCAAGTTGGCCAGAGAACTTGCGAGTGTCAATGCCTCCAAAGATGACGGAGCCTAAGAAGGTTAGTATTTAGCCGCGTACCCATCCATTTATAGACCTACCTCTATCACTACCGATGCTTCGGATATCAAGACTGAAGGCTCGGCTATTGATAAAGCCTTGGGTGGCTAGGTTGTCAAGGACCAAAGGATAGTCGCCTTCCCAGCCGCTCAGCCACGGACTGGCACCCATAACACCGACATTGGTGACGAAACTGCTGTCTGCGACTCCAAAGATTTGTTGCGAGATTCTCGCAGCTGAAGAGAAGGGACATCAGCGACGGCTGTGTTGGATCAGAAGCAAGACCTACCGCCGACCGCAATGTAATCAGTGCTACGGTTGAACCTGACCATTCCAGTACCGTAAATGATGGTCCCCTGCGTCCCAAGATCCGTAAAAGTACTGCTCTCATTAAAATGCCCAAACGACTCGCAAAACTCGGGATTATCAGCCTGACTACAATCGGGATTCACCCAGAGCTCCGGAGACCCGGTATCGAAGTTAACCGTAACAGTCTGACCCGGGGTGCCAATTGTCAAATCGATGCTGTAAAAATTGCCATTCAGCTGGGCTTCCAGCGCAACCTCCTCCTGTCGCCTCGTGACGCCCTTGACGATGGGAGCGCCGCTGGACACGCGGAGCGGAAATCGGAGGAGCCCGTCTCCCTGCACTTGGCTGTTGTCATCTCTGGGGATGTGCTGGGCCTGCGTCGCGGCGACCAAGCCAGCAAAAAGAGTGAAAAGCATGATGAAAACAAATAAAAGAGTGGCTGGCGCAAAATGAGCCAAAAATTGAACGAGTGACAGATGGTGAAAACACACGCGAGAGCTTGAAAACGCCAGAAACAAGGGCAGAAAAGTAAGAAACTGGAATACGAAGGGATGGAGATTGTTATGATTATTCATCGGGGAGCATGTACGATGATAACATGCTTAATCTCCACCCTCGTATAGATCGCCTTAGCCTTGCTTGGACCAACGATGCATTTTTGTCCTTGTTTCTTGCTTTCTCTCTTTTCAGTGGTCTTGGATCATATGTAGACAATGCCATATTCAAGAGCATGTCTATTTAAACGCATATTCATACCCAGTCATTAATGTCAAGCCTCTGGTTCAAGCGTGTCGCATAAAAAGGGCGAAATGCCCCCCTGCAAGACGAGATGGATCCGGTGCCTGAACCAAGCACTAACAGCGGAGTCGATACGATTTGCAAGCCAATCAAGTAACGCTTTCGCTCTTAGGTTCGTGCTGAGTGGACGGGGAGCGGGCAAAACATTCCGGCTCATCTGTGGATCATTCTGAGGGTCGAGATGACGGCATTCCTAACCTATACCTACAGGGCGGAATTCTCTTTTAGGCTGAATTGAATGGAAGCAATGTATTTGATGGAGATGATGAGTGATGAAAGTCAATTGTCTTATTTCGCTAAAAAAAAAATTAAAAAGAAAAAAACTTCTATGTGAGAACTACCACCACAATATCGTAATTACCTTGAGGTATAGTCGGAGATAATAAACCCTAACGAGATTTGTGTTACAATAGAAGAATAGAACCTTACTTTCGGCACATTAGTTGAATCAATATCTATCATGCATAACGCGATAGTGGAGATAAATAGTAGCTAAGGACAGGAATTATCTTGCTTTGTGTCTACTTGAGTGGAGATGCCCATAGACCCAACCCAATAGCTCCCCATATGGCAGCACCAACTGTGAAAGTAATGGTCCTGGCCAAGTCAGATCAACACAACCCCATTGTTCCCTTGAAGTACTTACTCGGCATATCGCTTTGCTTTCCAAACAAGGTAAATATCAGCCGCACAAATGACCAAAGTGCTGAGAACCAGGGTGCCCATTTCTTCATTCTTGCCCGCCCTGCCCAGCACGAACAAAGCTGTGGCAATAGAGAAGTCTCGAGAACCAAGGATGAGTGCCATAGCCCGGTTGGTTTCCTTGCTGCTGTCTTTTGCTGAAGGTATGACGCCAAACAACTCAGCCGATCGCGCAGGTTGGAGGAAGCCGACAAGGCCCAGCGTGGCCCATCCTGCTGCGACTCCAAGTCCGAGGGTGTTCCAGGTTGATGCAGAGAGGGAGGCCATTTTATGATCGTTAACTAGAATTGATTGGAGATATAATTGAAAGGGGGGGAAACGGACATCGTTCGGGTTGAGGGGAGATATTTAGCTTGAATGTCGGAGCAAGGATGACCCGACTTTGGCTCCCGCAACGCCTTTCAAGCCTCAATATCCCGAGTCATTCCGCAGTGCAATGATGAAAGCTGGTAGGGATAGTTATAAATAAGGTCTGTTTGAAAAGATCGCGAGGTTTAATTTAGTCTGGTTTCCCTCTATTACAATAACCGATATACCGATGTACCCTGAATGAACGTCTTGGACAACCACATGTGTCCCTCATATGTACCATGCTCCATTGACATCCTTTATATTGCCATCGTGACGCCATCGACATTTAGTTGGGAAGGTTGGCGGGAGCATAAGACTGGTCAGGTTTCACAACCTTGCCGCTAGCGAGCTGCTTATCGGTGTAGCCAGGCCAGATGATTTGCTTGTTGCTGCTGATAACCGACAAGACAGTGAATCCCTTGCCAGGACCAAACTGACCGCTCCAGCCAGAGGTGATGGTGAATGTGCCGCACTTGGCTGGGCCGCCGTTGGTCTGCGAGGCAGGACGTCCCTTGACAACGTACTTGCAAGTCGTCGGAGTTCCTTTGCCAGTGTTGATCTTGAAGTTCCAGGTGCAGGTCGTGTCGCCCTTGTCGCAGGTGCGCTGCATGTTTTGGATGGTCCACTGGGGAGTAGCGGCCATCATGGAGACGGCGCCAGGATCGGCAGAGGGAGCGGCGGCGACATTGGTGGCCGAGAGAAGAGCGGCGACGAAGGCGAGAGAGAACTTCATTTTGATGGTTGAAGAGGTGTTTTGTAAAGTGTTGAAGAGATGTGAAAGTGAGATTAGTTGAAAGAATGTAGCGTGTAGAATTAACTTGTTGCGAGGATGGGGAGTGTTGGCTTAATGCTTGAGCTGAGCTGCGAAGTGATGGTTGAACCTGTTGATGAGGAAATATCTGAGTGTTAGACGACCCTCCTTATATAGCTGTTTCCGGGATAAGATCAATGGAATGTATCCCCAATATGATGCTATACGATCAACCTAATCTGCTAATCTTCAATTCTCGTCAACTCTTGGCTCAAAGCTGCCGACTTCCGATCACCACCTCGGATAGACCGAGTCTGGACCTTAGCGCTCACTCATCAGGGGAAAAACGCGCCGAATCCAGGAATGCCGTCCCTTGCTTGAGACGGTTAGGATGTGCTTAGCGAGCCAGTCGTATTGCTGGTTATTTTGGTTGACGGCTTGCGCTAGTAGAGCTTATTGGCTTTGTTGCGAGGAGTTGGGTTTTGCGCTTTCGTATAGAGGGCGCCTCTTTGTTTGTGGAATGTGGGAGACTATTTTAATCGGTTGTCAGACGGCGAATTCCAATGTGGTTTGTGGCTTTTTGTGGCAAGTCAGCGGCGTTCATATCCGGGGTTAACAAAGAGACTGCAACAGCGACGTTCACTAGAAGCAACGTTGCTCCAAGAGAAACGCATTGAGTTGATTGTTGAGCGAGTAACTAAACTTCTAGCTGCTTGAGTTGGTGGTGCGCGTTCTCCGAAATGAGTCCATCACCGACTGTTGCAAAGGAGGGAGGCAGACAACATCACACCATCACACCAGCTTTGATCAAAGATCCATGGAGGAATGACGTTAATTTTATTACGGTGCCTTTCAGTATTGGGGTTCAATTCAGTTTGCATTGATGACTGTATCTTTTGCCGTGTGGTTGACGGCTTCTCTGAAGAGGCCATGGTGAAACACTACTATAATGATGGCAACTGGTCTCTGAGGGTAGACATTGAAGAATAAACAGACCAGAGATTATAAATCAATCAAGAAAAGACGCTCGTCGACGGATGAAATGAACATGAGTTGCAGTTGGTAATTTATAAGCAACCGTTGATAATCGCCGCCTACCGCGAGATAACGTTATGCCACATAACGTTATGCCATGCCATATAAATTGACAGAAGAGAATGGCTTCGAAATACAAGATCTAGGCTATACAGACTTGTACCGAATTACCCTTTCAAAAACCCATCATGCCCCATCCACCTAACAAGGCCATTTACCTGGACTCGCAGGGCAAACATACTATCCGCATCATCGAAGAACAATATGTCCCAACCGGAGCTCAATCTCTTGTGGAGGTCAAGTACTCGGCCATCAACCCAGCCGATACTCGTCACTACTTCATGGGCATCTCCGAAGTCGTGTCAGGTTACGAGTTTGTGGGCACCATCCGAGAAACCGGACCAGATTCACCCTTTAAGCCTGGCCAGGAAGTGTTTGGATTTTCCATCCCTGGTGACCGTCGTCCTCTTCATCTGGGAGCTCATCAGGATTTCCTCTTGGCTGACAACTTATTGACGTATGAGAGACCTGAGGACATGGATGCCACCTCGGCTGTCACCATGCTCGCTGGAGCTCTTACCGCTATCGATGGCTTGTTCAACACTCTTGAATATGGTCTCCCCGCTGCCGGACTTGAGGGAGATGATCCGACCGACGTACCGATCCTGATCTGGGGTGGTTCTAGTGTCGTAGGTCAGGGAGCCATCAAGTTGGCCAAGGCTGCTGGTTTCAACCCCATCCTCACCACGGCTTCACCACACAACCACGACGCCTTGAAGCAGCTGGGCGCAACACATTGCTTCGACTACCGCAGTCCTACTATTGTGCAAGACATTCACGCCACAATGAAAGGGTTGAACAAGAAGCTCAAAACTGTCTTTGATAGCGTTGCGACTGGCCTGGGCGTCTTTGAAGGCCTCACAAAGGAAGAGGAGGAAGCCATCCAGGCGAAATACGAGGAGAGCTCTCCTGGCATTGCTCGTCGATGCTGTGACCCCGATATCCCGGAAGATGAGCTACGGTTGAGCGCATCGCTTGTCGTTGCCAAAGACCTAGCCTGGAAGTTTACCCTCATGTTTCGAACTGTTGATACCATGGATCACGGCGTTGGTGATCATGAGATGAGCCCTGAGGAGAGGCAGGCTGAGGAGGCAAAGATCAGACGATGGGGAGCTCGCAATGATTATACCATTCGTTGGTTGATCAAGAATCATGCGAAACATTGGCAAGCTCCTCGAACGAGGGTTGTTGAGACAGCGGAGGAGGGTATTCAGGCTATCAAGGACGTGTATAGTGGGAAGACGAGCAGAGAGAAGGTCATTATCAAGCATCCCATGTGAAGCGTCACAAATGTGTTCTATGACTAGCAAAGAACGGGTTCACTAAATATATGGATTAGCATTCTCTTTGTCAATTCCTCTTTCTACACTACCGCACAAGATGGAGCCATTTCATCCGTTCGTTGACACATGCTTGGCTCCATTGCTTGAGCCGCGTCTATGATGCTTCGACTTCCATTATCCTCGTCATGCAAGCATCAAACGGTTTCGCTACTGCCGATGCAATATTCATCTAGCCAGTCACTCAAGAAGGTAAAAGGTTTAAAGCATGAAATCGTCGAATGAATTGAAGCTATACACTAAAATGCCGATCCAGTATCATTATGTAAAACATGTAAAATAAACCATCCCGTCCTTTTGCGCGGACATGAAGAAATAAAAACAAGAAAGTGTTGAAAAAAGGTCGTAATTTTCAAGACAAGAAATATTCCCACCAGGTCATTAACGCATAAATCATGAATCTCTCTATGTGTACCATTTTCCCACATATTTTTCATCATCTTAGGAACTCTTGTTGAACAAACTCATTCTGAGCATTCCTCTGCTTTTTGGTTTCTGGTGGAATGAGCTCTGCTCGCTCACGGGTCGCGGGCCGAAACTCTCGATGCTCTCCATGCGGGCCATGGGTCGCACTGGTGGGGGGGCTTGCTCTCTTACGAGCTCACCGCGGAGGGCCTTGCCGACGTCTAGATGCTGTCGCTCGTACTCGTCGTGCTTGGCCTTGGCCTCGATGAAGCGGTCCTCGGCTTGGCGTCGTCGCTCTTGAAGGATTCGGAGTTCTTCGTCGAGCTGGGCCATTTGCGATTGAGCTTCATTCATCAGGTGATCATACTCTGAGATCTTTTGCTCCAGCGGTTGAAGAACAATCTTTTGAATGCTGGGGCTGTTGAGACGATTGATGTCGCCAGGGACAGCTAGTCGCTCTGGTGATGGGCCGCGACGCGACTGCTGGTGGTGCTCCGACGCCATCGCTTGGGAGCGGTTCTGCTGCGTGTTTGGAGCTTGTCCGGGTGGCGAGTCAGAAGGACCTGACCTTGGCTGACCTCCGTCTGAAGGACGTCGTGATTGTCGCCTGTATCGACCTCCCTCTCTGGGACCGTGCTGCTCAGGACCATTCTCCATTCCGCCAGAGTAAGAAGGATGAGGACCACCACGTCCGGGGGGTCCGTTCATGTTGTTGGGACCCGGAGGTTGTCTGCGCTGCCCTCCACTACGACCATTCTGACCAACCGGAACAACACGCTGCTGCAGGACACAAGGTTAGCCGCGGATCAAATGTTATTCCCCTCTAGTGAGGGGGGAGAGAAGGTTTTGGACCAACCTGCTGCTGCTGTGCCTGTGCGAGCATGGCATCCTGCAATGCCACGTCAGACGTAGGTGAGCGCATGTCGTCCTCTCCTGCGAAGCGGTAGTCGTCGACCTGCTCGGGAGACTGCGTGCGTCTGTAGCGAGGGCTTGAGCCATTTCTCGCGGCGCGGGCAGCTTCACGGGCCTCACGGGCGTTGCGAGGGAATCCCGGATCCTCGAGGTCGTATCGGGGCTGATGAGGAGCTGCCATGGTGGCCATCTGGGATATTCAACAGGGACAAAGGAGAGTATGAAGAAATGACATGAGTTTTGGAGAAACGGAAAAGAAAGGACAGACACGAATTGAACACCGACGGGTGGCTACTTTTGTTTTGGGGGGAATAAAAGATGAAAACTCGATGGCTGGAAAGGGGAGGTTGGTGTTGATCAGCCTTTTTGTGCGCTATCCCATGCCCGCCGTGGGACCACTAAAGGAGACACCCCCAACCGCCTGAATTGCACTGAAGAGGGGTGCTAAAAATAGGACAGTGTGCGTTACACCGTGTCCTCCCATTTTTTTGGTGACTTTCCCGCCCTCTCTTTTTTACGAGTTTCGTCGCATGCATCAAGTCGTAACATTGACGCAAGCCAGTATGCACCACCCAGCGTCTATTTACCTGCCTAGCCAGCCAAGGGCGGCCTGCTTCAAAAAGCAGACAATATTCTCCAGATGAAAAAGGTCAAGTGCCCCGTCGTTAAGCGACCGTTGAGGATCGGCTATGCATGAAATGGCGGAGACTTGACCATGTCTTCTACCACGTCGAAACTTGGAGCACTGCGATTGATCGAGACCTGCTGAAACGGAAGCATGCATAACTTCCCCTGCAAGACCCATGCCAATCATTATCTGGTGGCTGGGTTTCAGGTACCGCCGCAGAATTGGGAATTTGCCCGACGAGAGAAGTGTGTCTGCTCGATATAGGCTTGGCTATTGCTTCAATATGGCTGACCAGGGAGATCATGACTAAAGATATGGATGTTAATGATGCTATTTGCTTTATATAGAGAGTTTAGTCAGTGAGTATCAGTCAGCAGTTGGCAACTCGTGTTTACCAACCCCCTGCTCGTCCGTTTGTGTGACGCGTCACTGTGCCACAAGCCGTGTTTGCTCTGGGTTCATGGACTTGGTCCCAGCCCTCAATCGGACCAGTTCATGAGCAGTTCTCGGTTACTGGGCCAATTCCATTCAATTACTCCAGTAGTTTGCTGTATCTGACACTAATTAACCGTCTGGAGCACGTCAAACAGAGCCTCCCCATCAAGTTCAAGATGTGGCTGTGCACCACCTCAAGTCCGTGCACCGCCACACCAATCAGAATTTTCCCTTGTCTCTCCCTCCTCACACCCTTGCCATCATCCGCTCCGTCGGGCCGCACCGTTCTCAATAGAGACTTCTGTAGTGTCATTGGGCGAGCAGATGTAGTAGCGAATGGTGACTACAATTTTTACAGTGCACAAACGTGACTGCGGGATCTGACATGACCCGTTGCTGTGGCTAGAGAGGTGCGTTTGGCTGCCCTGATGCAGCTCAACTTCACCAACAAAGGTGATGGCTAACGGTTTGCCAATAAGATGTCGGAGCAAGTCTCTGTTAACGACCTTCTGACGGTCATAATAACTACCTCAGTGACCCCATCTGCCCCTTCAACGGAGTTGCTCGAGGCTATCCTTGAGTCTTTCGACCGCCATTGCCCAGCCTTGCTATCATGCAACGTCATCGTGGTCTTTGATGGCTACGACAAGATCGTCCCGACAGCTCGTCTCAAGAAAGGACAAGTTACCCCTCAACAAGCCGAGAACTTTGCCAGCTACAAACAAAACGTAAAGAACCTCATTCTTGGCAGATACCAACGGCATGGCGAGGGGTCCACCTTTACAAACACCCATGCCAAGGCGGAATACGGCAGCACTCGCGGGGACAACGAAGTGAGCTATACAATATCACAGACATGTGATAAGTCGGTGACCTTCATAGAGCCATCGAGACGTCTTGGTTTTGGTCTTGCCGTGAGATCGGCTTTGAGAGCCACTGAGACTCCTTATGTTTGGGTCCAGCAACATGACTGGGCTCTGTTATCCGACCTACCCATTGAGCCCATGTTGCAAATCATGAAGGCTCATGAATCTGACCTAGAAGTACCCATAAAGTACATATGCCTCGCGGCAGTTCGCATGCTTTCATATGCAACGTCCATGGACGTCGCCCGCTTCCCCGCTCTACGAAACTTGACGGCTTCTCTCACGGGCGACTTTTCTACCGCATCATATCCAGATGCCAAGGTTCCTCTGACACCGATGTACTTTTGGCATGATAAGCCGCACCTTGCATCGACTGCTCACTATTTGAGTCGTGTCTTTCCTACACGGCTGGCTATGTTTCGGGGAGACTTTATTGAGGATAAGATTGGTCAACGGGCTCGTGCCCAGATGAAGGAGGGCGAGGTGAGTAATTACATACTTTAAAGTTATTCAAGTACGAGTTAATGACTGACTGATATCTCTAGTGGAATAAATGGGCTACGTGGCTTTACTATCCCGATGGTGGGAAGCAGCTCTGTCTGAGGCATCTGCAAGGAAGAACGCGGGAGAATGCAACAGGCCAAGCGGACAGGGCGGCTATGTGGAAGCAGAGGAATGAATCGAGAGACGTGGAAAAAGAATCTTCTGTTGTAGAGGTGGACGTCATCCAAGATCTTCCTTTGTTTTTAAAAGAAGACGAGCTAAAGTCATAGGTAGAAAGCAATGTAACGATTGATGACCCTAGCTTAGACTCGTATCCTCGTACTCACCCTGAACGTTGTGGTTGAAAATAGTCAAAACACATCCCCAAAGTCAACTCGAACCACTACCTTGTATTTAGCTACTCTCCGAACACTCTTCGAGGCAACATTGAACCATCCACCAAACCCCGCGTACCCGCCTGTCCAACTTTCATCTACGACTGCAGATCCATCGGGCATCGTTTCGCAAGCTAGACGGGTTGGTATCGGCCGAACCCCAATCCCACTCATCCTTAATGAGATCGCCGTCATACAACCACGCCAAGTCAGGGAGGAAGTACCAGTCCCAAGACCGGAACTCGTCGTGGGTGTTGGCGCAAGTGTTGAGAGATGTCTTGCGTGTCTGGAAGGTTGCGTGGTAGAAAAATCCCTGATAGATTTTGGCATGGTTGCGATCTTGAGCACCTTGGTCCAACAAGTCGCCGTCGCTAATAGATATTAGTATCTTGCTTGCACAGGCCATCTCATGGGAGTTGACTTACTTGTTCACAGTGTTCTGAATATCCCCCCAGGCGAAATAATCCCAGCCCCCATGAAACCCAAGCAAAGTCCCAGCCCGAATCCACCCACCGTTCCCATCACCATTCCAGATGACAATTGAATTCTCCCAGTCATTCATATGCCCCGAGTCCTTCTTGAAATAGATGCTATAAGCCACTCGCCACTCATTGTCACCACACTTTCGAACAGTATAGTAAACAGGGAATCCATTTCCGGGTGAGTTGACGCCGTTCCACGGGCCAGGGTCAGCGCATCCTTCATTCTGATTGCCTATGCATTCATCGGAATGATGGCCCTCGACCTGTGCGCCGTCGATTTCAGCAGCTTCTGGGTAGCATGGCGCCCTGTCCCAGGAACGGCCGAAGTGGTACATGGGGGCAGCTGCAATAGCAGCTTCATGACCGCCATCTGTTGAAGGCTTGATGAGAATCATCATTCAGGTGGAATGCTTGTCTAGACTCACTTTCGAAAGCGCTCTCGGCGATGGGGTCATTGGCAACGACAATAGTTGCAAGTAGAGCCAAAAGGCTCACAAGGGTTACTCGGCATCACGCCCTTTCCAAGCGAGGTCGCATCGTAAGCAAGCTCAAAGCCCATTGGCATTAGGTAAAATCAGAAGATAAAGATGGCTTACTGGGAGGTGAGCTGTAATAGGAGACCCGAGTTCTCAGATATGATCTTTTAAGCCCCTAGAACCACAGTGCGTTACTTGCTTCATGTCATCTCGATACTTGCATTGCGATGGCAAGTGAGAATCCAGCCATGATGAGGGTTTACGGGAAGGTTTGAGGTGTTTTTGCAATCCACTAAGGCCCAGGCTTAATGAATCATCGTGTTGCATAAATGGATGCACAATGAGGTTTTGTGCCGTGAGGCAGCTGTGTGAGTAATTTTCTGCAAGCCACTGACATTGTTGTCTCAGCATTGTTCCAAAGCATTCTTGCGGGTAAAGCCTGGTGGTTCTAATATCTTACTATGGAATTCGCTCTTTTTGCACCATATAAACTCAGATAGCAAGAACTACTAACCACCAACATTGAGTTAGTCCTCGTCTGACACTCAACCGAGGAAGCTTGATGTCAGCTTCGACTCGGTATCTAGAGCACCAACCCGTAGATACAAGCCCTAAAGAGGTAGTCCACCGCCCATTTGCGATTGGAAGACTTATAGCCTGGTTGGTGAATCTCACGATGGGTTGCTGTTTAACTGGCACAGGGGCGTTTAGTCAGATTTCAGTGAGACGCCTGTTCGACCACTAGCGTTTGGCCTCAGTGAGCCCGCATCACTTTCTTGCGTTTCATTCCGCGAAGCATTCCTCCCTTTCTTCACCGGCATCACAAACCGTTGCCGTCGACAACTGCCGTTTGAGTGCGGGGTGCTTCAACCCCTCACAACACTAACAACCGCGGTCATCGACAGCCGTGAATATCATCGAGACCAGATTAAAGAGATCATTGACGGTTAATTCAACGAGCAAACAATACTAGATACTCAAAAGCCATCACAAGATGAGAATCACTTCTTTTTTATCCTTTACCCTTCTGGCTATCGAGCCATGCTTTACTACGGCTCAGCGTCTCGGCACGCCTTCTTACGAATTTCTTTATACAGTCAATGCATCTTTAGGTGAGCGTTGGCCAGTCGGAGACTACGGACAGGGTAGTCGCGTTGTTATCCCCATCACCGGAGGCACTTTCAATGGCCCTCGTCTATCCGGGACTATCAACAACCTCGGTGCGGACTGGGGTCTCACGGATAGCAAGGGTGTCTTTTTCCCAGATACGAGATACAATCTGCGCACGCACGATGGCGCCGATATTTTTATCCAAACGGCTGGTCCGACGCAACCAGATGGTCGGACTCTGCTGAGGGGAATATTTCAGACAGGACACCCCGACTATGAGTGGTTAAACTATATCGTGGCCATCGGCGTGTTGCAGCGTCCTACAGGCGACCATAAGGGCAAATATGTATTGATCGATATGTGGCAGGTAAGCTTACCTTGTGTGCAACCTTATTGGTAGGACTGGCTGACAATATACAGGTTGTTCTACCCTGTCAAGGTTCTGATTGCGAGGATAAGCCTCAGAGCGGCACAGTTGAGCAACCAATGGAACCTTGGACAATGCAAGGAGCGTAAGGGTGCATCTGCGCGATCTTGCTGGGATACCTAACTTGAGAGACGAAGTGCTACGTTAGAAGTGTGACTTAGAATCTATCTCTCATCTACTTAGATACAGGAATCGCAGCAGGGCGAAGAGGATTGCAGGGCCCGCATTTGGGCTCATACCGCCGATACTTCATGGAATCTTGCCTCCGGAATAAAACTCCTAGAAATAACCGTCGTTCACTCCTATTACTTGGCGAATAGTCAAGAGTGGTTGAAATACGAGGAGGTTCTCCCTCTTGTGCATTGTCAGACTAAGATTTGAATCCAACTGCCGACTCTACATGCCGCACGGAATTCAACTTGCAAATCCGGCGTGCAAATCCGTTTTCTACCCATTTACGGTGGAGATCTTCTCCTCTATGGAGACGTCGGATAATATCCACAATTCCGACATCGAAGCTCGGAGCATTTTACACCGTATGTCGGGTGTAGTGGCGTGAGGGGCTAACCTCCTCTTCCCACCAGCATTTACCTTGATGGTAGGCCTATTCTGTTTTATCGGTGAAGGGTTGCTTTCGTGACCTTTGGTGTAAGCTACACAATCATGGTGTCTCAAATTGTCATGAACCTCTCCTCTCTTCTCTTTCCCTCTTTGTTACAGGGATCTCATGTGTTCTCTGAAACCGGCGTCGACTTTGCTACCAGGTGCGCCGATTTCGCGACGTCACTCCAACTGCCAGACACTAAAGTTTGGTTCACCCAACATGTATCGCCTGGCACCAAAATCACCTTCCCGGACAACCATGAAACCTGTCGGCGACCTGAGCAGGTAGTCGACGTTGAGTTGTGCCGCATCGCCATGTCGGTTGCCACATCTCCCATCTCGAACATCAGCTTTGAGGCTTGGCTTCCTTCCAACTGGACGGGTCGGTTTTTAAGCACTGGTAATGGGGGTATGTCTGGGTGTATCCAATATGAGGACATAGCCTATGGCGTAGGACTCGGTTTCGCAACTGTCGGTGCGAACAACGGTCTCAATGGTACATCGGCCCTTCCCATGTTTCACCACCCTGAGGTGGTAGAAGACTACGCCTATCGCTCCGTACACACTGGCGTTGTCGTTGGGAAGCAGGTCACCAAGCAGTTTTACGGTCAAGACCATACCAAGTCTTATTATCTGGGATGTTCTACTGGTGGTCGCCAGGGATTCAAGGAAGCCCAGGACTTTCCGGAGGACTTTGATGGTATCGTTGCTGGAGCTCCTGCATTCGCTTTCGGAGGTCTCATGTCCCGCTCTGCGAGCTTTTGGGCCATTGACGGACCTCCCGGCTCTCCTTCATATCTCAGCCTTGATGACTGGGACATGGTCCACAACGATGTGCTCACGCAGTGCGATCGTTTGGATGGAGTTGAAGACGGCGTCATTGAAGACCCCAACCTCTGCCAATATCGACCGGAATCTCTCATTTGCGCAGAAGGACAAACTGAAAAGTGTCTGACTGCGCATCAAGCTGAGGCTGTTCGACGCATCTTTTCTCCCTTGTTCGGATCTGACGGAAACTTTATCTATCCCAGACTTCAGCCCGGAGGCACTCATGGCTTTCATTATGTCGTTAACGACAATCCGTTCCCCTATTCTACGGAATGGCTCAGATATGTCATCTACGAGAACGCAGACTGGGATCCCAGCACGACCAACACCAAAGACTACGAGGCAATGATTGAGAAGAACCCCTATAATGTCCAAACGTGGAAGGGAGACCTCTCCGGGATTCGGGACCGTGGGGCCAAGATTCTGCACTACCACGGTCTTCAAGATGGCATGATCAGTAGCGAAATTTCTCAGATTTACTACGACTACGTCTCGCGGACGATGGGCCTGGGCAGCACAGAGCTGGACAAGTTCTATAGGCTCTTCCGCATTAGCGGCTGCGGACACTGCGCTTGGGGCGATGGAGCCTCGCATATTGGATCGAAGCTGATTAATATCGGTGGGTTGGATCCTGAGAGCAACTTGCTTCTCGCCATCGTGAGATGGGTAGAAGAGGGTATCCCACCAGAGACCATCATGGGATACCGATACGTGGATGGGGAACGAGAGAAGGGAGTTGATTACAAGAGACGACACTGTAGGTATCCTTATAGGAACGTGTGGGATCGTGCTAGTGACCCGAAGGATCCGGACAGCTGGAGTTGTCAGCTGTGATGTGCAAGGAGTCAGCCTGGATCTGGTGTTTTCACTTTGGTAGTGGAAAAGTACTGATAGCGGCTCTAATCATGAACAAACACGGCGTATTTAACTTGAGGCTAAGCCTAAGCTCAGTAGAATTAATAGCGTGGCTAGCCATGAGAATTCTCCCAACAACCCTCTTCTTGGCAAGGTCATCTTACACCTTTCAACATCCATTGTTTGCATTGAACAGTGTATGACCCCTCAGAGATGACCTTTCGTCCCACGGAGTACCCAGTGGCCAACGGCGTCTGCAAATCATGCCCAAGAGCTTCGCAATCACGATGTTTTACGGTGTTGGATTTTGATGCCCTCGTGTATTGGTAACTCTGTCTTTTGCTGGTGTGGCTGATGGATTCTTGGCCTTATCACAGCTGATAGAAAACAAAAGAAAAATAAGTATTGCCCTTGCAGTCGGTGGCATGAATACGTATCAATAAGCTCGGGAAAAGAAGGTGAACAACCGATAGAGCGCAATCACGGAGTACTCATATTCCTTCACTGGCATCAGACTCTAGCTCTTCTCCCTCTTCCCCGCTCTCGTCGGTCCCTTGGTATTCTGTGTCGAGCACTGAGGCTTGTCTTCCCCATCCCATAGAATCCATGTCGGGGGGAGGCAAAAACTGGCTAAAAGCCTTCTCACCGCGCCTGAAAAGCTCAGCGAGTTCGAGATCTCGGTCCATCCACCGATGGAGCATGTTGGACTCGTATATACACACCCGATCCTCCCTTATCGTCCTCGTCTTACCGCCCTTCATTTTTGGTACCCAACGTGGCCCTTGCTCATTGTACGTGAAATTCTCCAGCGCGAGGCTCTTGCTGGGTGTTTTTGCGGCCGAGGCGATCGCTGGAAGAGCTTGGGCCGAAAAGTGCATCCTTTCGTATGTCTTGAAGCCATCGTTATGACCTTGGCGATTTCCAGGTTGGCGAAGGACTGAGCCAAAAGCACGCCAGAAGAAAGTAAAAGAGTCGGATTTTGTCAAGTTCACAATCTTCAAGAGCCCCAACGAGTTGTTGCTATTCGTGTCTGGGATCCCTTCCCCTGCCTCGATGTCAAGGACTCTCCCATCCTCAGTTGTGTACCAGATCGCTTCTTCGCTGAATTCAACAGCATGGCTGATTTGAGAGATCATCCAACAGAGTGAGACATTGGCCAGCCCTCCGTTGTCACCACCGCCTCCAATGTCAGAGTGGCTGCCAAGGAACCAACACTGCTTTAGTTGGCCTTTCCTTTTCGAACTCAGGATGACAGGCTGGAAGTGTTTTCGCCGTTCGTCCAAAGCCAGGGCGTGGTAGGCTTTCTTCACGTTGGGCGGCAGGCGGCCGTCGACAAAGGAGAATGGCTCGTTCCATGAGAAGAGGGAAGTTTGTAGGGACTTGACCATATCCCACGCGGCGAGGATATCGATCTTGACGTCTCGTCGGAGCTTGCCGTTACGGCTGAGCTCGTCGCAGCGCTTTGCCAGGTCACTGTCGCCACCAGCAACTGCAGATTGGCCCTGGCGCCACTGTTCAAATATCGCGGGGAGCTCCTTGTTCACCACTGCCTGACCAAGAAGACCTACATCGCTCACAAATTTGGCCAGACAGTGAATGGTATAGGCGCCCCTCGAAAAGCCGATCAGAACAATCTGATCACCTTCGAAACGGTAGGTAGAACACAAGTGACGATACCCTTCACGGATTTTCCGCGTAATTCCTGTTTACATAGAGTGGTAAGTCGTCGCGTATCGCGTACAGGAGCATTTGGCTCTCACCTTCACCAGTGACAGCGGCCGTTCGGCTTCCCATCCATGTCGTGTCGGTGCCAATGCCATCGATATAGTACGGAATTTGCTCGTACCGGGCATTCCGAGAGTTGGCTTCGCTTGCGATGCAACTGGTGAGCTTCGTTACGTTGGTGAATGGTTGCTCGGTCTCTCGGTCGTTCCAGGTGCCATCGCAACAGACGATTGCCCGCCTGTAAACAAAGTTCCACGAAGCCAGCTCAACTAAAAGCGGTTGAGCATATCTCCATTGAATCATGTGCTTAGCCATAAGCTTATCCATGATGGTCAGGACAGTCGTCCGTTCCTTGTCTTCATGTCGCGGGTTTGCACCGTATTTGAGTAGTAGCCGGACCATAGGCAGAGCGGGCACGGTCACTCCCGTATTTAGTGCAAGGTAGACAACGTTTGAGAGAAGAGACCGGCCTCGAGCATCTTGGGGTTCGACCTCAGCCTTATTTTGTAGCAGCATCTCCGCCACGCGGGTGCGCCCACTCGTGGCAGCCAGGGCAAGTGGAGGTCGACCTTGTGCATCACGTATGTTGACGTTGGCGCCGTGCTCAATAAGTAACTTGGCGGCCTCGATCTCCCCATTCTCTGCAGCTATATGAAGTGCCGACTTGCCTTCATTGGATTGAGAATCGATGTTGCCCGGTTCGCGGTTGAGAAACTCCTTGAGGACTGCTACGTTGCCGCTCTTGGCGGCATCGCGTAGGTGCTGTCCAGCCTCCATTTGTTGAGAAGAAGAAAATTTCAGAGTGAATCTGAGTGCAGAATAAACGAGGCAACGAAGCGCAAAGGAGGGTAATAAATAGGTGCTCGTCTACAGTAGTACCATTGCATCATAGATCGCAACCTGATCGCCAGTGTTGCAGTGGAGCTGTCTTGGCGTCTTTCAACTGCATACCAAAGGGGTGTTCATTATGCACGAGCAGAATGAGAGATGTGCTTGTCATTCCTGAGGCTACTGGTTGAAGCTGAAGCAACGCCTTATAGCTCGGCAGATGCTGACGTGGCAGGAGTTTATGACAGGTTGTGAATGGTTGCCACTTTGTCCCTCTGGTAGTCTTTGTAGCTGCTTACATATGTTGGCACACTGCAACTCCTCCCTTTTTGTTGTTGTTGACCCCCTAATCGTATCTTATCCTCTCAGAGAACCTTTAGGCGCGCAACCGTAGTCTTCGGCTGAAGGATAGCTGCGACCTAGGCGGGTATCCTAACCACTGATTGATGCAATCAATATAAGGCATCCCGCGCGCCACAAGGGTTGGCAGGAACAGCCTAGGTCGCGGTGAACTAGGCAGCGTGGCCAATGGTAAGCCAGCTTAGGCAGATGAGGGCTTGATTCAGCACAGGAGCATTCCAAAGTAGAAGAAAAGGAACGGAAGGGAGCGCCCGAATAACTTGCCTCGATCAGACCAGTTCTGCCAAGATCTACCGACGCATTACAGGAGGACTGGTTCAGGTTCCTTCGATTCTCCCTTCATCTAGCTCTATTTGACGTGACGTAAATCGCTCTGATAAGATTTGAGGTCCGATGGTCAGTAAGCCATCGCAGATAAACTTTTCGTTAATACACCTGGCCGTGGGTGACAAGAAACAGCCTGCTTATGTTGGCTTGTAGTTCGTCTTTGTAAAGACTACAAGAATATTCAACATGACAGGGATATCACAATCTACATCTCCCCTCTCGCAGATTTATAGCAGCTCGCGAAATCAACCATTGTCTATCAATATTTCGGGCATTGTCTTTGTCTCTCCAAAAGAGTTCTTCCTTGTGACAACGGGCAAGAATTTCCTCTCAGGGGAGTCCATCGTTACAAACCTGGCTAGAGAGGCAGGCAGGGAAGAAAACCGGCCTCAGGACAAGAGCAATTCAAAGATGTATAAACAGGCATGTCCTTCTATATCAACAACAGAACCGTAACATGTACATCATTACTCCGAAGGCACCGACCATCCATTAGACTCATTATACTCATCAGGCGTCGTAGTCCCCTCAAGGACCTCGTATCTCCTCATCTGCAGCGCAGCCTCAGTCTCCTTGCCTCCGATGATCCTGGCGATCCGGTCACCAATCTCTTGGCCCTCAAAGTAGGCGCCCTGGAGGTAACCGAAGAACTGCGCAGAGTTGGCTTCGCCGGCGAACCAGAGACGGTCGACGTTGGCTCGCATGTTCTGGTGCTTCTCCAAGGTCATACCTGGGGGCCAGTTACTGAAGGATCCAAATGCCCACCTGTTTCTGATTAGTTACTGCGATAGACTTGATGAAAGGACAACTTACTCCTCCTGACTCCATCTGGGGTACATGAACGACGTGGGCTTGGGGATCTTCGTATCAGGGAAGATGGTGTGAAGGACCTCCATGATCTCTTCCAAAGTCTCCTCATCAGATTGCTGTTCAGCATGGTACGACTGTTGTCCCGTCACAGTTCCAAAGAGCACATTGGAACCCTCGACGAAACCAGGGGCGTCGAGTGCCTGGAACAGGGGATAGTAACCACGCTCCTTGGGGTCCGCGTACAGGAAGAACTCGGTGTCCTTGGGCCAGAAAGATTCATTGAACTGCATGAAGATCTTGGTGTAGGTGCCCATCTGGAACTGTTGAATGGGCTCTTGCTTCCATCGGGGTAGCTCAGGCTCAAAGGTGATGACATCGTTCTGGAGAACTCCGACAGAGAAGGTGCAAATGGCGTAGTCGGCTTCAATGCAGTCACCGTCCTTGGTGATGATCTTGACACCATTTTTATCATAAGCAATTTTATCGACGGTGGTGTTGAGCAGCAATCTGGGGTCGTTCTTCTCCAAGAATTCGTCGGCCTCGCCAAGAAGCCAAGCACTGAAGCCACGCTGATCGATGACAAGATTCGTCTCGTCACTGAAGTGGTCAAAAGTAGCGTTCTGCACAGCAATGGTGTACAAGAAGCCACACTGTTCAGGAGGATACACCATCTCAAAGTCCCATCCAAACCACTCAGCAGCCTGCTTCTTCATGTCCCAGCCAGGTCTCCAGCCAGCAAGGCCAAGACCTGCACGGGTCGACGTATCTTGGAGGTTGTTCTTCATAAGGAGACCAGCATCCGCCATGGCAATCTCGAGCTTCTCGTCAAACTCGTCGATTTCTTCTGAGAAGTCGGCAGGGCCTTTTTCGTCATAGGTGAGGAGCTTGGTGTAGTTGGATTGGGTGTTCTTGATACCGTGCTTCTGAGCGAGACGCCAGATGGGGTTCGTGTTTCCCTTCTCAGACTCAAGACCTTCGACCCAGTTGGCACCAAGCTCAACGGTCAATGGTTTGCCATCGGGGCCCTCGCCGAAAGAGGTCTTCCTCAAGCGTCCACCGACGTAGTCATTGTGCTCAACAATCAGGAAGTCATGGATGGAGGCATTGGACAGGGTTTGGGCAGCTGTGATTCCAGCCACACCAGCGCCAAGGATAGCAACCTTGGTCTTCTTGCATGTGCCTCCCCGGGGGACGGCAACGGCTTGGCTTGTGCCTAAAAGGACTCCGCAGAAGACTGCAAGGAGTTGTGAGTAGGAGTGACGCATGTTGAACGAGGACCAGAGAACTTGAATCTCAAAGGGGGTTGGTGCTAGGCATGGAGAGGAAGCAATAGTTGGTACTTGTTGGCTCTTTAAATATCCCATCTCATTGATATTTTACACTTTCCAGCCGATGAAAATGAATTCCTGCTTGTCTTACAGTCCTGCCGTCCTGCAGCTGATCCCGCAGCGGGTCTCAGTTGAGCATCTCTGGGCGCATCTCTGTACGGCGCCCTATAGGGCATTTTGCGAAGATGTCTCACAGGCATGCACGCTCACCCGATCTCAGATACTCATTGGGAAATTGATTGGCATTAACGTAAGGGTGTCCAGGCACGAATATCTCAGCTGAGCAAAAGATTCGGTCGCCAAGATGAGGGAATATGTTGCTATGGATCACAACATCTTCAGGTCAAATGTGGCTGGCTGAAAGTTAAACCACGCAAAGCACCGCTCCTTGCTCAGTCTCCCCGCATTGAGGAAAAAGTCGGTCAATGATTTCCTGTAGTTGTTTTGTCAGGAGCCAATCCCCAGGTAGCATAACATCTTTCACGTGAAGCACCAGCGGTTGAACCCTTGCCCAAGGCACAAGTAGTCATGGCATTCTTCAGGATAAACTTGAGATCAGAACCTCGCTTTACCCTTACTGGCTACCTTGATTTGGACTGTTGACTGGGTAATTGCCAGACTTTTGCAGATGTGTTCATCAGCTAGGATTTATTGCTGTAGACGTGAGTACATCACTCCAGGCTACACGTCCCTCTAACCCCTATTTCTCACTATTATCAACGCCAAGAACGCCATCGCAATATCGCCGAAACACGTCAATCACACGGTGTCACTCGCGGTTGGAGTCCTATTCCCCGTCCCGGCTTCATTGCCTAGTGTCCACATAAGATAGAGATTGCCATTGCAGGCTTTATTCAATAGTCTTTTATGTCCGATCTATACCCCTGGAGAGAAATTTTGACTAAAACAGGCACCAGATTAATCTCGGACTTGTCTGGGAAGTGTGGCGGAGAAGACACGCTAAAGCTGCCCTACCTTGCCAAGCACAAGTTGTCTTGTCCTTATTTCTCACGGAATGTGACTGTAGGAAATCAACACTAACGATGCATTCCTCATAGTTCTTGATCGCTGCAGAACCAAGCGTTCAATCATCGTGTCGGGTGCAGGATTTCCCCTAGGTCCCAGAGCACCTCCTATGGAAATCAACAAGATTTTTAGGGACCGATGCATGCCATAAGTGTCTGTTCACCCTATACTCATAATTTGGCTATCTCTTGCCAATTAATGTGTCATCAAATTACTTCTGATTTGGTTCTCATCTTCAAGGTGTTCAAGGCTGTTGCATACTGCTAACAACCGCAAATAACCTGCGGTCCAACCGTTCAACAACCATTAGCGGGACATATTGAGGAATACAAACAGTAAAGGCATCCACAAAGTGCTAACACTATGATATCATCCACTTAGTAGTAAACATAAGCATAAGTGGCACGGGCCGATGATGGGTGCAGTCTTGTGGAGGTGTGGAGGTGGCTGAGCCTTACAGCAGCCCCTTTACATGAAGACACGTATTGCGCCCCAAACTTGCTGATTATCAATGACAAAGTGCCCTGCTAGTTCATTTAGTTATAGCTATAGTGTCCAACGAGTGACCAAGGGGTATTTGACCTTCCACCTGGCCTCGTTGGCCTGGCTCACCCATCCACCTCTTGCCAGACCAACGCCCTGCAGAGATGGAACAAACGAGGCAGTGCAAAAGCAATGTCAATTATAAACTTTCACTCATTAACTTTCATTTCTCTTCTATATCGTGAGAGAGTCTACTATATATATGTACAAGGTTCGCCTTTTTATACAACAGAGTTGTCACCGCAAGAAAAGGCGCCCCTAACCGAGCTCTTGTCGTCCGCGAAAATGGCAATCAACTCGGAAATTGAAGACCACAAACCAGCAGCATTCATGAAAATGGACTGGACAATAAGAAGACCGTTGATAATGCTCAGAGTGATCTTCTTCCAGTCCTTGGTGAGGTTGCCCCAGTTGAGGTGGAACCAGAAGACGGCGCTCAGACCAAAGGTGAACCAAGCGATCGTTGTTGCCGAGGAGATGGAGAGAATAGAGTCAAAGATGGGGATAGCGTTGGAAATCACCCACACGATGATCCAGTAAAGGGTCACGCAAGCCACCCAAATGCCCCAGGACTTGAAGCTCTTGTCGGTGACCTGGTCTGTGGCCTTGATGGCTCGCATAACCACAACGTACATGTACTTAATACCGGTGTGTCCGAAAGCCATGGCTGTGGCAAACACAGCAGGCAAGACAACACCGTAGGCAGCCATAGCAGGGATCTTTGGCGCGGAACCGAGGGCTGGGGAAGTTGTATATTCTCCGGCAAGACAGTATATGGCGATAGCGACGATGGTATAAAGAGTGATGGAGAAGACCTCGAGGCAAGCCAGGGCCATGGGGAAGTCCTTGCTGGGGTTCTTCATCTCAGCCATATACGAGACGAAGCTGATATTACCGGCATAGGCGTAGCAGATCTTGAGACAGGCGTTGAGACCTTGGCGGAAGGTAGGGTGCCCGATGATTTCGATTTCCTTTTCCCAACCGGGAGGGGCCTGAGAAGGCTGTGCAACACCAAGACCGATCATGACAATGAGGGCAGCGGCCATGATACTAATGGTGGAGGGAATACCGGACTGTGACACAAACTGGACCGTACGGGGAAGGCAAAGGACCCAACAAGCGACAACGGCGACACTGACGAAGCCGACTGTGCAGATTGCGTGGTTGCTAAGGGTATTAAACGAGACGGAGAGGGTAACACTCGCGGACGCGCAAGTCATCATGACCTTGATCATTAATCCAATACCCGCAACGACCTCAAGCGGCCTACCAGCAACGATACCACACATGTCGACGACGTTGACGACATGGGGATAGCGTCGGTAGAACTGTAGCAACTCGAAAGCAGTGTAGGCAGAGAGGGAACCAAGACCGATGATGGCGATGACACCGGGGACGACACCGAGAACCCTGAGGCAGCCAGGGAGAGACAGAACGCCCAGGCCGACTTGGTTGGTGACTAGGACGAAGACGGTGTCCCATCGACCGAGTGTTCGATAGTTCTTGCCGCCTTGGTTGAAGATGTTTTGTACGGGCTCGTCCGATTGTTCCTTGGTCTCCATGATATCACCGCCTTCGTTGACAGTGTTGATGTCATCGGCGCCTTGGAGGGAGTATTGGCGTTGTCTCTCGGGAGCGGCCATCTCGCCTTGAGACTTGTCTTGCTTGTTGTCCGTGGACATTGTGGGTGAATGCAGGTGTGGCAGGTAGAGGGAGGAAGCTGTGAGGCTCGACCGGGGAGAGGGTGTGATTCGCCTGAATGAACAAGGCGTCAGGGGAACCAGCCTCCCAACAAGGTATTCAAAGATAAAGAGGGGAAGGGCTTGAGGTAGAAGTAGGCCAATCAAGTTGATGTCGATGTGGCTTGGAGTTGGGAGGACCGTAGGAACCTTAAGCAGAGCAGGCGTCATTCAATATATACACGTGCCAAGACGTTCTGGATCATGTCCGAGAAGGTGACTAGAGTCCGAATGAGACAATTAAAAATCTCCAGAAAAAAAAACCCTTGACTCCGTCACCTGCTTACAACAAGGACAAGACGATTCTCAATCGTGGAGCCCCATGGGACACCGTCGCTTGGCACGGAGAGCAGCTTGGGGAATGGAGACATTCAAAGCTTCTCTCACGTAAAAGTTAGCAAATATACAAAATCCATCAGGTCATGGAAAACGCTGACGGTAACGCTGACCCTCCGTATCCTTGCGAAAAACGCGAGTCTCTTGTTCCGTTAGCGGCGCTGTGATGGGACCGCTGGGTCGTCTGAGATGCATCCTTTTTACGTCACCCCTCAGCGATCTTTCCCCGAAAATCTCCTCTGTGAGATGAGGAGATTAATGGGGCTGCGGGTCAAAAAGGACTCTCAATCTTGACCCCAGAGTCGCTGGGACAAGGTGTTGGGGAAGGATGGCATGGATAAGGTTATTTGTTGTGTATGGAGTTGATCGTCAAGTTTTCTTCGTCTACTTGAGACGTAGGAAGTGGTAGTCATAGTCACTGCGATATCGCAAGTCGTTGAAATCTCGGAGTTTGATCTTATGCATCTACGGGAAAGGCGTCCAGGACAAGGCCATACCAGGTCCAAGCTTATCCCGAAGCCGTTCAAACTCTAGAGGCGAAAAGCAAGAGGTCGGACAGCGGCAGATATTTCGATTACGAAAAAATAGGTTGTTTTGACACATTTAAACAGCGTCTGTGGATCCCCAGGAATAGGTGTTGGCTCCGTCGCTTGTTGGTGAAGGGCGTGGGACACGTGCCGTAGCACCTCAGCAACGACCAACCAGGGCATGTATTTTCTCAGGGGGAATACTCGAGCTTTCATTGGAGGACGGAGAGGACGGTTGACGCGACAGGAGAGCGGAGTGTACCGTTGTGGACATGGTCAAGGCGGTGAAAGACGGTCTTTGTCAAGTCTGTGTCTAACAAAGTGGTTCTTGATAAGGTGCTGTATAATCAGAGTTACTGTATTTATCCAAAAAACCACGTGCTTCTGCAGGTCCTATCCTGTCTGTATCTCGCCATTTCGGCGGTTAGCAAACCTCGCCCACATGAAACGCCCCCCTCGAACCATGTGCAACCTGTCATGCGCCCCAACGGAAGCCCAAGAACGAGGTTCGACTTCTAGAAAACGAGGCTGCCGGCCGTTCAAGCTTGGCCAGGCCATCCCAGTCCCGTCTGTTGGAGAAGGGGGGGATGATCTTGTGGGGGTAAAGAGTTGGGGAAAACGAGGGGGAAGAGGTAAATTTCACTCTCCACCGGGAGAGACGGAGTGAGCAACTTCCGATATTTTCCCTTGGCATGAGTCGTGAAAGGTAAATACGTCTTGGCAGGGCAAGCATCTCCGTGCGGAGTTGAGGGGCAATATCTCCGAGGATACCGAAGAGCGAGGGTAAGGTGAGAATGGTGGAGGTTGAGGTAGACAAGACTCAAAGAAAAGAGTATGTTATCAAAAATGGCTTCTGCATTTCCAATCGGCTTCTTACTCGGAATAAATAAAGTGATACGAGTTCCCATGATTCAATTCCGACTTGGCGACTCCAATTCTTCTCCATTACCCATTTTCGCCAATTTCTCTCGGCCAGGTCTCGGGTAAACAAAATTCCTTCTCGGAGTATTTCACACCGACTCTAAAAGGTCCGAATCCACTTCATTTGTGGCCGCATGTAGGGTAGTTGAATGGATCTCGACAATCTGGTTACTCAATTAATCAACCAATCCGTAGACATATCTCTCAACGGCCCTTTTCCCAATCACTTGTCGTGAGATTAAACAAGATTCGGTGTAAGAGTACCGACACTGGTAGAGCATCGTCGGCATTGTCGGCATCTTGCATATGCAGGTCTCCCGTCGAATTTTGAAGCGAAAAACATCCCATCTCTTGTGACTCTTTGCTATATGTCCCCATCATCGCACAAGCGATTGGGTCGCTTACAAAGGTGTTTACAACAACCGGCCTGTGGATCTGTCGTGATCTTCGGGAGTTCAACTCCGACTGTTGACAAGGGCAAAGAAAAGAGTCATACATCGCACCATGAATCCTTCGGTACATAATTGCCACTGTATCACGACTATTGCGTCAAATATAGGAACCACGTACGACTAAATTGGCAACCACCTGCCGATACTAAGACTTGGTCGGTACTACTAACGATGTTTTATTCGAGTCGCATCATTAGTATGGGCGTAGAAAGATTGTCGAGGGCAAGAATTGATATCATCATAGGAGGTCTAAATAGAGATATTTGACCCAAGTGCAAGAAACTTCGATGATTACTGACTACTCAACTCGTCCACCTTTCCGTCAAACCACGCATGCCCCCAAGATGGCATCTTTCAAGCTCCAGAGTGACCTTGGTTGCATCACCCAATCCTTCTATGATGTCCGGAATGTTGCGGCTCGAGACAATCCACTTGACGCGTGAAGGTCTCTTGATAAACTTCATGAGTGAGTCTCGATCCGCTACACACTCATCCAGAGCGTCAACAACTAGTACCGTCCCCTGTAGTGTGGGATCTGTTAGCACAGTTTCGAAAAGTTCAGAGGTAGGCTCCCAGGCTGAGATGTGTCCTTCTCGCTGTTTTTGTAGAAGGCTGTATTTGGAGATCAGAGATGGTCTCGCACGCGCAAGTATATATAGGAGACCGCGCAAGACAGCTGTTCCGTTGTTGAGATTGGGATTAGTGATCTGACAAAAGAAGTAGGGCACGACTGTCAACTTCGCTGATAGGTGATCGATCATGCTACAAAGTAGTGTCGTCTTGCCTGTGGCGAGGAGGCCCCGGATCCAGAAGAGTCGAGTGTGCGGGTCATTCTGAAATTGAAGGAAGCTTGGATGGTCTAGCACTCGGCTGAGCCTGTCGCTGAGTAGCCAGCCACTGAGCTTTTCAATGGTGCGTTTGACATTTCGAGGATCAGTCTCGAACAAACCATCCAAAAGTCGAACGTTCTCCTGGACAGGACCAAGAGCTGTCACCAACTCCAGCATTGTGGCCGCAGTCCATTGGTGCCCGGTTTGAATTGGCGCCAGATCAATGCCGATGCCAGCTGCTGAAGCTTGGTCCATGACTTCTTTGTCTAGGCTCTTGGCCGCAGATAGTAGCTCCTCCAGGTCATCAAGTTGGCCATCAGGAACCACAGCTCGGACCTGAAGTTCAAGCATCTTTTGGCATAGCTGTAAAGAACTCTGCTCGAGTTGAATCAGCTCCCTGATACGAGTCTCTGTTGAAGACCATTTTAAGCTCCTCAGCTGAAATTCAAGAGCCGAGTGCCAAGGCATTCGAGACATAAGAATGATAAATCCTCGCCAATCGCCTCCTCCTCGGGTTTGGACGTTTGCTAGGAATCTCAAGACAAGAAAAAAGCCAACTCGTGGCAAAGTAGACTTGGGAAATCCCATTGCAGAGGTTGAGAGCCACTCTACTGCCTGTATGACAGGTTCGGTGGCTTTGCTGGATCGAAACGTGTGGCGCATCTGCTCTAGCAAGTCGTCGGCAATCGTGTTTAGTAGTGTCCGGCGTTTGTGGATATCAACGCCGTGGAAGACATTGAAAATTTGCTTCCATTCGCCTTCCGGGTTTACGGAAAGCTCCTCGGAGAGCAACATCTCGTACCTCTCCACCAAAAGGGGGTTTATCTTTTTGAGACTGTCGTAAGCTCTGTCCCAAAGCGTGTAGAGCATCATGTGATGTACAGCTGTGTCTTCCTCAGTAGGGTTCGTCTTTCTAATACCCTCCCAATGTTCGTCGAATTTGGGTGGAAAGGACACGATCTGAGTCGACGCTTCATCGACAGGCATGGCCTCCTCTCGGCTCGATCTGATCTCATCGAAAGTAGAGGCAGATCTGGGGTCATCGTCGGTTTCGAAACCAGTAGACACATCGTTCAGATCCTTGGGCCCATTGGAAGGACGGGATCTGCTTCGGGCCTTGACGCTGGTAGTGTTCGACTCTTGCTCGGATACGCTCTCTTGGTCGCTGTCAAGATGATCCAACGTATGAAATGCCAGACATCTGAGGTGTCCAGCGATGTGCTTGGCCAGCTCGGAAAGTTGGTCTATCTCGCTCTTCTGTGGTGTAACAGAGAGACAATCCGAAGGGTTGTCTTGGACAAGCGTAGGGTTGTAACCACAGAGGGGGCAGATATGCTTGGGTCTAGCCTCGACTCCTGTGCCTAACGTAGCGATCATTTTGCGTTCAGCTTCATCCGAGTCGGCGTGCTGTTTGCAGATGTGCTCTTGGAAGGCCTCTTGGTCGCGAAATTCTTCCTCGTCATGTTCAAAATCACATCTCCAAACAGTTGGCTTGTGAACCAACTGTGTCCACTTTGTCGAGTGTTGATTGCGCATGTGGTTCTCCCATAAGCTCAAGTCGGCGAAGAACTGTAGTGGCTTTCTGCAGTCCTCCGAAATGCAGACGTATGGCTCCAAATCTGTGTCGACATGGCGCCTGAAGCTATGAATGAGCGGCATGCGATCATAATATGAAGGGGTCCTTACCGCCATTTCTTGTCTTCCAGCTCTGACTCTTTGAGCTGTCTCCAGCAAGTAGGACACTTTGGATCTTGATTCCACTGCTCGTGGGTGGGCGGCTCAGGATAGTTGTTCAAATCCCCGACCATGCGTGTAGTGTTCGCTTCCGAGGAGGAAATGACCGACTTGCCCCCATCGCATCTCGCGCGCACCATAGCGGAACTGGTTGGAAGAAACGTCCAAGAATCAGTGCTCGGAGTTGTTTCAGTGTCTTGAGAAGGCGTGTTGCCACTCGACTGAGAGACTCCCTGGTCATGGAGAGTGGCAGCTCGGGTCTTTGACGTGGGTTGATCGGATTCGAAATCGCTTGGTTCGTGGTTGGAAGTGTTTGGATTGTGGTCCTTTCGCGTCTTTGAGCTTTGTCGGTCCTTAGGGGTTGTCTTTTGCTGATGCTGTCTGATGTACCTGAGTCTCTGCCGACGATCAGTCATGGCTTCCACGAGTTGGGTGCGAAGAGACGGTGTAGCCATAGGATACTTAAAGGCAACAATGTTAGTGGCTAGAAGCCTGTACTTCTCATCATTCTCTTGTTCAGCAAAACTCTTGAGCCTACTGCTGAGACTTGAAGCGGAGTACTTTTGAATGGTTGCGCCTAATCGATCAAGCCTTTGAAGCACAGCCACGATGGCTTCCAGCGCTTCCTCGACTGTGCCTTCAAGTTCCTCCACGGGAACATTTTCATTCTGATTTGGCCGTGGTGTTGTCGACCTAAGTGAATCTTTGGATTGGCCCTGCATCTTGACTAAAAAGGATAGTTATCAGCAAACCGGGCGAGACCAGCCGAGAAGTGCAACTGTACGTACTGAATTCTAGGTTTCTGCGAAGCATTAATAAGAACTGCGTCACGAAACCTCGAATCTCATCGCTATAGCGTAGCGTCTGATCAAGAGAGGCGTTCGGGGGCGCGAAAACACCGAGATTGAAGCACCAAGACTCGTAATCTTTGGACAAAGAAGCGACTTCCTTCTGTGTCTTGGAATCTTCCGGGCCTGTATGAGCGCAATCCTGGAAGAGCTTACTGCACTCTGACGCAAGAGTGAATATCTCACTGGCGCTTTCTGAGCCCGCCATGATAGGTGAAGCGGAAATGCTGGGGAGACAAGTTGTTTGAAGGAAAATTGCAAGTAGGATCGGAGTTGGGAACTGATCGGATAAGCTGAATGGGCTGTTCCACAAAGGCTTATTGGTGCACCTACTGGTGGCATCTTTGTCAATTCACCGATACGTAGGAGGGGCCTTAATATAGACGCGATGCTTCATCATAAGCCATTAATCTCGCAAGTTATTATGAGCTGGTTTCTTTAGATTCCGTACGGGGCCGTTGCAAGCTGTTACTAAAGACAGTGATGCACTGCTGTTTCAAGCGGCCCTACAAGTTGCTGTTGCACGCTGCTGTTACGAGCTGTTGTAAACCGCTGCCCGAGATAGCCTGATCCGATCAACTGCCCTCACCTGAAGGTGATTAGCCGACACTGACATCGCGTCGACACGGCCCTTGTACGACCGGTCAAAGACGATGACCCAGTGCGAGGAAGAACTCATACACGCCACACAAATTATCACGTATGTTCATAATTAGGTAAGTAGAAGTGAATGGTCTAGTTGGCGAGAATCTGCAAGCGCCGTGGTGTCGACAGGGGCTCGGAACATTTGATAGGCAAAGTTCACGCCATGCTGATATGTCGCAAAGACCTAGGCATTCGCCGAATGTCTGCAAGATGGATGACATCTGCCGAACCATCGGAGATAGCCTCTCTAATGAGGAGAAAATTGGCCTTTGGATATGCTACGGGAGGATCTGGCATGATACAGACACTCATCCAGGCTTTGTCGACAATCTTCACATTTTGCCCACCTTGCCATTGAAACAGATTCTTTAGCAACCCACATGCAAGCCTGGGCCCAATGAAAGAGTGAATTTGGCTTATAATCTGGCTTGTCGTCTTTTCCAAACATACAGTTCCGAAATGCAACAGCGGGAGCGGGGGCCAGGAGACATCTACTTCCTCTACAATCCGGAGGATGACACTATTCATCAGCCAGATCACCCTTACGTTGCATCCACCTTCCTTTCGGATCGACCACCAGTCGAGACCAAGGATAAGTTCCACGTGCTCGTCCACTTCGCCAAGCTCTTGCTCGAGATTGGGCTTGGCCAGGTCTTTGTACCCAAACGTCCCCGCCTTGATGCTGATCTGATTCAATGGGTACAAAGCGATGTGGCCAAAGAGTCTTTGATACAGAGTTAATTTAAAGGTGTCATGGAGTGCCTGGAAGCTAGAAAGCCAAGACACGTGAACAACTCTAAGGACGAGGAAACCCAGTGCCGTAAAGTCATATTCAGCCTGGTTTCCCATCTCAACAAGGCCCGCAATAACTACCGTTGTCTGGACCCCAAACGGACGCAAACCGTTTCGCTACCAGATTCAACTGTTGATAACGTACTGTCTCAACAGAACGCACTATCTCGTGAAGACCTTTCAGAGCTATTGCCTAAGAGTAGAATGTTTGACGAGCAAAAACTTTGTCAATGCGACGCTGACCAAAGGTAGGTGCTCGAAGCTCGATGAAGGCACATGAAGACTGACTCTTAACACTATATCAGCGAGACCGGTAGTGCCAAGAGCTTTTTGGATCTGGCCGAGAGGTTTTATATATCCTCCACACGCGGCTTAACCTCCAATCCCGACATACGAATCGCCATCCTTGATACTGGCATACAAACACATGCCGGTTTCATCAAAGGCGCAAAGTACAGCCGGAGGAGCCGAGATTCTCCGATCAAGGAGTCGAAATCACTCGTCTCTAAGCACCCAAACGATAAGTATAGAGATGGAACAAACGTAGCTTCTCTAATACTGAGAGTTTTCCCAACGCAAACCTCTACATTGCCAAGATTCCTCGTGGTATCGAGCAAGATGGCTTTGAACAGATCACCGAGGTGTGAGCAAACAGGCTGAAGGCTTACTGATCCTGGTACTGACTAGTTTGGCAGGCCATCAAATGGGCAAGAAGTTTCAATGTTCATATTATTAACATGTCCTTCAGCATCCCAAAAACGCCAGAGGTCAAAATGAAAATCAAGGAAGCAGAGAACAGCGGTGTTGTAATATTTGTAGCAGCATCAAACAATAACGTAAATCCTGGCCAATCCTTCTCGGCAACTCTGGACACCGTTTTGTGTATTCACGCAACCGACGGCAAGGGCAACAAAGGCAGCATGAACCCCGAGCCAGAATCCCATCGAGACAACAACAGTGTACTGGGCGTGACGGTCCCGTCCGCATGGGATAATGGCGTTTATCTCTCTGGGCCGTCATCTGCCACCCCCGTAGCTGCTGGCATGACCGCCGTGGCCCTCGGCTTCATAAAGGCAACCGTTCCGGCTAGTAAAATGCCAACGGGTAGTATAGAGGAATCTTTTGATCGTCAGGGGATGAAGAATATTCAACTAGCAATGAATATGTTAAGGGATGGGTACAATTGCATTGTTCCCTGGTGCGAATTTTAGCCATTGGGCTCCGGACACGATGCGCTCATTACTAGAGTCCAGACTCAGGGTAGGAGCTTTATAAGTCGTATACCTATCCTGCATTATTGCCCTCATAGTATTAGTCTCGGCTTTAATATTGCCTTGGCGATACCGAATTCTTTTAACGTAGAAGATTAAGCCTATTAAGGAGTAATATATAACCTAATTGCCTCTATACCTAAAATAAGGTACCTTTCACTTTTACTGCCTAAAAAAAAAATCTCTTCGTTTCAACGGGATTATAGTATCTTCTAAGCCCATATCATTCATGGAGGGTTGAGAATAACGCTTTATCAATATAGAAAACATGACATACCAAAAGGATGGCTCTACTACCCAGAGGGGCCAGTAGAACCATACAATAATCCAACACAACATCTCCAAGACAGTGTTAGAAGTGAAAGGGAAAGTTAACCAGAATATGAGAAGATACAACATGCCATGGAATGCAGAGGCTACCTTCACTTCCTCGAGGGAGGATAAAATTCTCTCTCGGACTCCCTCTATCGGCGACGGCTCAAACTTTGAATCCTGTATGGGCCATATGATTAGGGCGACGGCAACTGTAAGAACGGGTTTGAACAAGATGAGATCTGTGATGGCTTTGAGGAGGTAAACGATAAGCCAGGACCATGGGCCACCAATGACACCGAAGACACACCTTTCCAGGAGCCTTCCGAGGCGCATTCGGGTCCATAGAAGTAGCTTGAGACTCGTTTCCTCCTTTTCCCAGCAGAAAATCTCGACCACAATTGTCCGCTGGCCGAAGACAATATGTTTCTCGACTCTGGCGAAGAAAGGGCCAAAAGACTCACTTCTATGTCGAGGTTGGTCTTCAAGACTGGAATATCTCACTTCAAAGGTCACCCGCTCGGCCTCTGGGTCATCCCAGGGAGGCCGGCAAACCCAAATAGACACTGTTGTTGATCCCTTGAGTGGATGCCCCTGGTGGATTGCCGACTCCAGAACCAGACGCAGCTCAACTTCTCTCCCCAGCCCAGCTTCGGGGTTGTTCATGGTGATGAGGCCTGTCGCTGGAGACCAGGTGTATCCTGTCGTGACGCTCTTGACATGGATACCTTCGGGTAATGGCTTGAGGAGGAAAGAGCCACGTGGGATACGATGCATCTCTGGGGAAGGAACTGTCATGAGATACGCGGTGATATTGGGTGTCCTTTTCCATACCGAGTGACGCGTCCACTGAATTGGTACTTCTTGGACTCGACAGAACCGATTGCCGGGAAGTTCTTCGAACACAATCGTCGCTAGCTCTGTGCACTGTTTCTGGCGACATGCGATTATGCCATACGTGAGACCACCGCGCCATATACGCAAGTCAATTCGGATCCCACGATTTGTTATTGAGAATGGGGCAGAGTCCTGGCAAGTGTCGACTGGAACGATGTATTCTGATCCAGCAAAGGCCATCGGTGAAGGGGCAAGGACACTTGTGCTTGACCAGGAATCGGGGTATTGCGTCTCGCCGAGGCCCCATGCGAATATCGACTGATCGTCCGTGTGCCTGATGATTTCTTCTTGGAGCCGAGCAAAGGCTTTGCTCCCTTCGCCATATAACAGAGGCATGTTAATGTCGAAGATGCCCAGCAGACAGTAGGCGAGGTCTTCCGTGCGAGTTGTCTGCCGTCTCGACGCCCAGCTCATCCGCTGAGCAATGCTCGAACTTCTCAGTATCCTGTGAAGATCATCGCGATTGTCTTGGAGGAGCCTCTTATCGATACCAGTGGTGTAAGCAATGGTTTCGCTGAGGTTGCTTCGAGAATCAATGAGTTCCCAAGTGGACGCATAAAAGACAAGTCTTCGGGGAGCGATGAGCTCCTGTAGTGTCCAGCCCCTCGTAAACCAGCGACTTTTGGGGATGGTAGACCGTCCATCAGATGTCTCATTCACATCGGGCAGATAAGCGTAGCATATCGTGGCACCCTCATACCACTTGAACATGGAGTTGATGGCCTCGGACAGCTCGGCGCTACTGGTCTTGTCGATGCAGCAGGTATCAATCCAAGCGTACTCCAAGTTGGATTCTAGAGTCACTTTGCAGGTTTGAAGGATCTTTTGGTAGCCGGCTTTCAAGAGGTGTTGGCCTGAATCATTTTGCATGTCCTGAAATGTGACCTCTTGATCTCCCCAAGTGTGAGAGAGAATCGCATAGCGCGGCCGATTGATTTCATTGAACTCTTCCAGCTGCAGAGTTTTTGTGTTGATGAGACGCATTTCTGCGAGGAGGGATGATGGTTTGTATGGGTAATTGAAGGGGATGGTCGTGACGTGGCGGGGAAGAGTTAAGTGATTTTCAAGTCAAAGAAATCAGGCTGCAAGAGGAGAGAAAATTAATCATCAGAATGAGATAAAATGATTTGTTGAAATAAATGCAATAGGGGAGATATCACTATAGGAGCTCACAAATCCGAAGTTCTTTTAATTTAATATCACGCCTTTCACAGCGCTTTAAATTTGCAGTGAAGGACTCGATCAACGGGTATGGAATCGCGTGACAGAAAGTAGAGAAATCGGCTCTCGTTAGTCAATTCATTAATGCAAAGAGACTTAAGATTGTGTTTCCAAAGGACTGGCCAATGAGTCTTTTTATCAGGTACAATATGTTTGTAAACGCAATCTTTGCCCGCGTGGTGATGTTTTTGAGGTTTCAAGCTCGTTACGCCGTGCCCAATAACACCCTACCCAAAGTTCTGTCTCTCAATTTCCAATGTAGTTTAAGGCTATCATATTTGGTATCGCAACACATAGTAGAAGGAGTGGGATGAACAAAGAAGTGTTATCGGATATTCTCTTGCAGACGGTTGGCTCAAGCCTGCGACGACTCTTGCCGACCCTTCCACCACCGCCAAACGGCTTGGCAGTAAAACCACGTCTCAATAGTTCCGAAGATGCTGATGAGTACAAGAACAACCACCTTCATATTCTTGCTGAGACCCAAGGCGTCGAGGCTGAAGGCAGGGTATGAGGGATTGCCCGAGGCTTGTGGTTGATCTGGTGGGGGTTGTTTGCTTGCCCTCTTTTCTTTTTGGGCAGTCCACATGTTTCTTGTTGTCGATAATTGACGTGGAGAAATCGATAATCCCGAGAATCCTACTTGCTTGCTGTGGGTGCGCAGAAGTCGACTGCGTAACGTAGCAAGTGGCGTTGACATGGTTCAATGATGAAGCTTAAGAGACGACAGGATACCAAGATGATGAGACGTTGAAGAGGCGTAGATGTAGGCGATATTTAGAGGCTTAGAGACGATAAAGAGAATAAAAAATGTCACAAAGCCCTCAATTGAACGTTCCCGTCCCTATATGAGCCCTTGAGAAGCACCTCGTATCGCGTATCCGTCCCCACCCTAGAGCCCAAGGAGACCTCCGCTTTAGGCATAGCGCCTAGTCCAGTGGTGTTGAACAATTTCAGGCCCGTTCTCATTGGCCGGGATGTTTCGGGTTGAGACCGTTCACTGCCGGGGAGAACCGGCCTCGACTCTGCAAAAGTCTAAGCGGATTTACTCCGTAATACGGGATACGATGGTGATGTTGGCCTTGATTTCAGGGCACAATACTTTGCAAGGTCTCGCACTTCAAAGGAAAGCTTAGAGTCATAAATCCTGTTGACCATCTATCATGCTGTATGTGCAGCTACAATTTTACATGTTATCATTCTCTGGTACCCGAATCCCTTCCTATTGTTGCGAGATGTCCACCTTGCTCCACCAAAACTCGGACTGCTTGCGTCCCCAAACATCATCTACAAACGCAGCCGGGCTACCAACACTGCCTCCGATCAGTTCCTCATTTCCAGGGCCAAACTGGAGAACCTTGGGTGCCTTGCCATCATACGGCTCCCACTTTGGTCGGTTGGGATAATTACCGGCGACGGCATTAGGGTCACCCTTGGTGATAAAGCTTGTGACGTAGGTATTTGTGATTTCTGCCACCTCCTTCTGTGCCGGAGAGATCTTTACGACATTTGGATCACAGACCTCGTACCTCATGTTGTCGCCGTGCTGGGCGCCGTTGTTGACAGAGGAGACTAGAGCCCAGTGGTAAACATAGACAGGAGCTGAGGGAGAGGCTAGCTCTGCCGTCTGTCGCACAGGTGCCACGTAAGCGTAATGGGCATATGCAGCCTCGATACGCTTATACTGAGCGCCCATGCCCTCTCGTGTCTCCTTGTACTCGTCCGATGTGGCTGGATCAGGGTAAAGGTTGTCGATGGTGTTGATATCCTCCTTGGAGAGAAGAGGCAGCAACTCCTCAAAGAAGTGTCGGAACTCAGATCCAGTAGACATCTTCTTGTCCACATAGAGAGAGCCCTCGTTGGTGGTGAAGCCCGTCATGATGGGTACCTTGTGCCACTTGCCCTGCCTCCATGTTTCCAGGGGCGGTCGGGCAATGATGTCGCCATCAATAACTGGCTGGAAGGCCCAGCGAAGCGAGGGGTTGTATTTATCGAAGGTGGCTGTCTGAGCGGCAGTGATAACGTTCTCGGGTTGCTTTCGCAGGTATGGGAAGATCTCGTCCTCGGGCAAATCCTCGGGCACACCAACTTGCTGAAGGAAGTCCTTGAACTGGGCTTCGTGGATAGGTGCGTTGTATGGCCTGACAGCACGAGAGGTGGGGGCTCCAGATTCGAGAATGGCCTTGTGGAAGAGAGGTGCCACACCCTCCTTGTAGTACATCAAAAGATGACCAATCTATTAATCACATATTAACACGACTGATACAGCACATGTGTAGCAATATGAGCAACTTACAGAGTGGGCTCCAGCTGAAAGACCAAACAAGGTAACATTATCCGGGTCGCCACCAAAGGCCGCAATATTCTCTTGAACCCACTCCATCATGAGAATCTGGTCTCGGAGCCCAAGATTAAGCACGCCTTCCTTGGCACTGAGGCTAGACGGCAAAAATCCAAGGGCTCCGATACGGTAGTTGAAGCTAACGGCGATAAATGGCTCAGGCGCGTTGGATACCATTGAAGCAGTCTTGTGCATTGATGCAGTGCCTCTATTGAACGCTCCACCGTGGATGTATAGCGCAACTGGGAGCTTGGCATGCGACCCTGATGACTGGCGAAAGATGTTCGCAGTCAAACAGTCTTCGCTGTACTCAAGAGGGGCACTTCCCGCCAAGAGTGGCTTGCCGGGACCTGCAGGACCATACTTGGTGGCATGAATGACAGTGTCAGAGGAGGGAGGAATCTTGGCTGGTAGCCGAAAGCGTCGATCGCCAGTGGGTGGCAAGGCATAGGGGACGCCCAGCCAGCCGTCGACTGGCTGCGGAAGCGCGTCCTGCAGCTGGACGCCGATAATCTTACCCTGAGGGAGGGTGACGGTTGGTTCAATCTGGCTTCCCATGGTATCGGATCTTTCGGTGGATGATTTGATTTCCAAGTTCGAAACGAGATAAGCAGGGGCAAAAGACAGCCGTCACGTTGGCTGCGTTAAATACAAGCCGAGAACCCAAAAGATTGACGAAATCAGAGGCGAAAAGCACCGTAATTCGGAGTAAAGGTGGAGTCCGTAGATCGGAGTCCAAACTGCGCTCCGTGGAAATCTGGGGTTCGGGACGTACTACCCCTGCGGATAACGATGCCGGTAGGCCTTCAACAGCTCACTTATCGAGAGACTATGGGCCGACGGAGATAGCAGAGGACTATTAGATCCCGACAATCAGGTTCCGCGCGATAAAGCCGCCCTGATCCTTCTTATACCCCGCAAAACCGACCCGTCTATATCTCGACGGCTCTTGAGGACGGAGCCCGGGCTTCAGATCTGGACACCGAGGACCGGAGGCGACTCGCTAGACTAGGACCCCGCGCAGTAATCGCAGATAACCATGGCTCGATTGGGCGCAGAGTGGAGCGGCTTGATAACGGGGGGAAACGCTTGGAGATAGCCATGGAGATGCTAACCAGATACGCGTCTGGTCCCAGCTTGTTCGTGTCATGTACCCCAGATTCTGTTCCCTCTACTGGCATTGAAATGGGATAAATAGATGGACGTCGACCCACAGAATCTTCCATGCTCCTCCATCCTTCTCAAGTTTCAACCTTGACTCGTTACTGAACTCTATTCAGCGACAAGGCGAGAAGGGCTCAAACAGTTCAATTCTACAACCAACCCCTTTTCTCCAATTTCGTTGCAATGTCGCCACAAGACGCCAAAAGCACGGGCGCTGAATTGCCCAACGAGAAGTACTCCGCCAAGGCCGAGGAGAACATCGCCATGAGCAAGCTAGAGTCCATCACACCTGGGGAGGTGGTTGAGCTCGATGCCACCGAAACATTTCTCCGCGAGCACAACTTTTCCAATGAGTACATTGAGGAGCTCATGAACGACGCGGAGCTCAACAAGCGATTGATCCGCAAGGTCGACATGGTGCTCCTTCCTCTTCTCATGGGAACCTACATGATGCAGTATATCGACAAAACCACCATGGCCTACTCTGCCGTGTTCGATCTCTTCACCGACACTGGCATCTCGTCAGACCAGTACAGCTGGTTTGCTTCAATCTTTTATTTCGCCTATATGGTGGCTGAGTATCCCTGGCTCTTCCTCGCGCAAAAGACACGCATGGCCAAGGTCATCTCCGGCTGCGTTTTGGCCTGGGGTAGCGTCCTCATGCTGACGGCTGCTGGACACAACTTTGGCGGTCTCGCGGCCTGTCGCTTCTTCCTTGGTGTTTTTGAGGCGCCTATTACTACCTGTTTCATGATGATTGTTTCTATGTGGTATGTTTCTCCCCTAGCGGGGGACAAAATACACGAGGCTGAATTGGCGATGCCCTCGCCTCCCCCGCTGGCCCCCCTCCTTACGCCTCCCATCTAATCATCCATTCAACAGGTACACACGTGAACAACAGCCATTCCGGGCTGGTATCTTCTACTGTTGTAATGGAGTTGGCAGCATGGTCGGCGGTATTCTCACCTTCGGCATTGGGCAGATCGATAATGGATTCCCTGTCTGGAAGCTAGTTTTCCTCGTCTGCGGTGCCATGACGGTCGTCTGGGGCGTTGTCCTGATCTTCTTCCTCCCCGACAGCATCCTCACAGCCAAGCGATTCACCCTCGAAGAGCGCGCTCTCCTCATCGGCCGCGGTCGTCTCGCCCGAACCGGAATCCTCAACCAGACAATTAAGTGGTATCAAGTTAGGGAGGCCTTTATCGATCCCCAGGTCTGGCTTCTGTTCCTGTTCATGCTTCTTAACGAGGTCATCAACGGTGGAATCGCCAACTTTGGAAAGCTCATCATCAAGGGTGTCGTGCACGATCCTCTCCAGACTGTTGCTCTTGGTATCCCTCAGGGAGCTTTCCAGGTGTTCTACATCCTCTCGGGCACATACCTTGCTTCTCGCATCAAGAACTGGCGAACCATCATCATGATGATCTACCTCCTCCCCACCGTCGTTGGAGTCTGCCTCATGTGGAAGCTTGATCGTAGCCACAAGGTTGGCGTTCTCTTCAGCTACTACATTGTCGGCGCCTTCGTTACATCGCTCGTGCTTGCAATGCAAATGCCCGCTACCAACCTCGGTGGCTACACCAAGCGTATCACTGCCTCTGCTATGGTCTTCATCGCGTAAGTCTCTCACTACCGCGTGAAACGCAAGTTGATCACTAACTCTTCTCTAGTTACTGCGCTGGTAACATCATCGGCCCTCACGCCTTCCTAGGCAAGGAGGCACCCACGTATAAGACTGGCTGCATCACCATTCTTTGCTGCTCCGTCGGTCAAGTTTTGGTTGCCATTGCTCTCCGACTTCTCCTGATCACCCGCAACAAGCGACGTGATGCTGCCATGGCCGCCATCGGAGAGGTTGATACCGATGCCGCGGCGACTGAGGGAGCTGATATCACTGACTTCGAGGTAAGAGTTTCACGCAACTTCACATCAAGCTTGTACTAACCAGTGCTTCAGAACCCCCACTTCCGATACGTCTTGTAAGACGGAGATGCTTGGATGATTTATGGCTTTTTAATAGTGAATCAATGATTAGAACTTAGACGTAATGAAACGCGATACCATGGCCTGACCTTTTCCTGTGATGTTGGCGTGTATGCCACCTGTTGACTCGATGTGTTCTGCCGGGGGCTTTGAACGCACTCGACGCTCTCACTCTAGTGGCCCTACCAACATTGTTGTACTGTGTAGCTGTGTTGATCTCACCAAGTCAGCAATAAGAGAATGGATCTTCGGAATAGTTCGGAGACTAAGCCCCGACAATGATTGTTCTGTCAAGGCGACCCGACCCCCTGGTGAGCCGACCCCGTTTGACATCCTATTAGCCAATGGATAGGTTAGGATAAGGGTTATGCTTAGGGTGGGGTTAGGAATAGAGTTATGCTTGGTTAGGGTCATAGTAATTGATTAGTTTATGATTGATTTGAAGTGCAAAGGGGGTCGGCTGAGAAGGGCGTCGGTCGTCTTGACAGTAAACACCCCGACAACCACTTCCTTCCAACAGTCCAAGCTTTCCCCCTTACCCCTGAGACTAGCCCCTTCCCTAATTCTTGTGAAGCCGACACTCAGTGATCTCCTACCCCACCCTCCTTGGTGCAAGTCAACAGTAGATCCGTGGCTATCTGATGAGAGAGACGCGGCCCAGCCATGGCGGCCTAACTATCACTCCCTAGGTCTGTGAATACACTCTTGACTAAGAGTGAATAGCAACACCGAGAAGTGCACAAATCTGTGCAGTGATCGGGCGGCCTTTTCTTTGTTTCACTGGACCCTTGTACTGCTCTGTCACTGACCCGGCGACAGTCGGCTAGACAGTCGGCCACGGCTTCAAGATGCACTGCCAACCCTACCTCTGGATCCAGGACCCTTTCGTTTGGTCTATAAATAAGCCCTCGTCGAGCACGTGGACATAATTGGCCAACCGAAACGTCTAGAGATATGCCACTAGATCACATTTATAACAACGAAACACGATGCCACTCACCAGGTCCAAAATCTCCCACACGATCGAAGGAGATCGCATCTTTGACGAGCAGAAACTGGAGAGCGCTTTGATACAGATTTACGGGATGAACTTCCAGGTCCAGAAGATTACCGAAGCCTGGGTTATTGTGACAAACAACAAGTCTCCCAAGAACTTGAGCATGAGGCTGCAGCTGGATGATGTGATTGCGATATAAGGACTAGCTGAGGTGGATTCAAACTAAACAAAAGATCGAATCGAGGCTGCTTTCACCTATCTGCTCTGCTCTACCGCGCTCTGTTATTATGGAAGTGATTCCTATTAGAATATATAAATGCTCCTTTTTCCAATAACTAATGACAACCCCAAACGCCTACCTTGGTCCGGATATTATAATACACTTTCCTTCGCCCCTTCTAGATCACTTTTGACTCTCTGTTCCCGCAATCCCGATGGCCACGGAAAGACGACATCGTACGCAGTAACGCCTTCGAAGAAACATAGACCAAGAACCCATTTCTTTGTATAGAGACGACACGGCCCGTTGAGCTCTAGGTCTCCCATTTCGACTCCAAGGGAAACATGATGATCGAGGTCATTGCCATAGTACTCGTCGCTCTCGTTTGTTTCAGACCAAAGCGAGGTAAAGACGTGTGCGACGGACTGGTCATCTAAACTGCTTGCTTTTGGCCCGGTTATAAAAATTCCACGATGGACAGTGGTACTCCCACTACTGTCACAGAGACAGCCAAGTGATAGCCCTTCATCCGCATCCATGGCTCTCACCAGTTCTTTGGCCATCATTCTGCGATATCTAAGGCCGAACGAGCCTTCATCTTCAATCATGGCGTCTTCGTCGAGGAACGCCTTCAAATCATTGATTAGAGTGGTGCATCTCTTGCGTTTATTTGCCCTCAAAAGCTCCATGAGTTGTAGTAGGCGTGTCCTGTGGCAATCCGGGAGTTGATGCTGTCCTTTCTGGCTCTCTTGCGATAACCGCGGCGACGACCTCGGCGCTTTGAGCCGCTCGTCTAATTTCCACAAGTGGCCAGTCGTTTTAATGCCGTCCGCAGCGAGTTTCACATCGACAAAGCGGCAGCCCTTGTTAAAAGTAAGATTTCTTTCACCTTGAGGTGCCCGGAAGCCATCAAAGAAGAGATCGTGAATGCGATCGATAACACTCGCGGGAATAGCCAACTCATTCCTCAAAATCTCTCCGTTTAATAGTCGTAGCGCCAATATTGAGAGGGTTAGAGTAACGCCTGTTTTGCTCTTTTCCTGTAGCATGGTGCTTTTGAGACGCGTTGCATATTGACAACAGTTTGCGATGATGGCCAGAAGATCCCAGGGCTCTGTGACTCCTCTGGCGAGGACATCTGAAACAATGATGCCAGACATTGACGTAGATTTTTCCAGTAGAAGTGTATACTTTCCTGCGGTTCTCAATATGTGTTGGACCTTCTCTTCGTCCTCTTTTCTGGTCTTGGCGAGTTTTCGAAAAGCGAGACAGAACTTGGTCGCATTCTCAGAAAACCTGACCGACTGAACACTCAATTCCCCAGGAATAAGATTGAACAGCGCCTTTCCCGAAAGGCGGAATATTCGTTTTGGCTTCTCCAAGCCCGGGCTGTGGTGAATGAGGAGTGTCATCTTTAACCCGGCACGGTAGTTCTCCTGGAACGTCCACGCTCTCGACCACCACTTGTCTGTGGTGATTTCGTATAGTAGTTGTAAAGCCTCCTGGGCTTTTTCATATGTCGTTGTCTCTCGTAGCCGAAAGTCTCCGTCCACGCATTCCACGAGTTGGCCTTTGAGTACCGCAGCCAGAGTCGCCATTTCACTCTCCTTCTCAATCGGGCGTCCAAGCAGAGCAACAGGATGGTTGCTGAGTGAGTAAACTCGGTCCATGGCGTCCAATGCGTGTTGCTTCTTGTTGCATGCTTCATGCTTACACGTCGGCTGCTGACACACCTTTTGAGGAATGCTGTGCCGATCAATCCACAACAACGGGACCTGATGTCGTTGCATGTATCTCGTGATACGCTCCAGTACAGAGTTACGCACACTGGAGTGGTACGCATTCTTTCTGTCTCTCGTTTCGATAAGATGACCCTCTTCTTTTGGATTTTGAACTTCGGTTTCTGATGCTTCCCAGGTATAGGACAACGCAACGAAATTGCTGTCGTTGAAGGCGTTGATCTCTTGTCGGAACCAAAAGGGTTCTTCGTCGGCGTCGGCAGACCTTTTCTGCTTCAAAGAGCCAAGTTTTCGTTTCTTCGATTGCCTACGACCGAGGCATTCGAGATTCTCGACGATCCAAATCATTTTCTGCTGAGGAATGCGGCATTCTTGGATCTCCAGCAGGAGCGGGATCAGGCCCGATTGTTCAACTGAGGGGGGGCTCTCAGGGTCCCTTGAAGAACCTCGCTTTGGTGCCATATCTTGAGCCAACTGGACGGCATATTGGGGGCAAATGCCGATGAGAAATGGCGACGTGTGGTGAGATTTGCAAGATTTGGATGAGAACTCGCCAACAGCTACAGTTTTGTTTCGTCATGCACCGCGTCACGACCCACCAATCACAGGCCGGCATGAAATTACAGGAGAGACCATTAGCACAACAACGCACCACTTCTCGCTTGCTCAGAAATACGAGAATATTGACAGAAAGGGTGATTCAACGTGACGTACTCCTTATATAGGAGTAGGATGCAGATACGCGCAACTATTCCTTAAGAACTAGCTTAACCTGCCCAACCACAGCAGCCCTCACCACCCATTAACCCAAGCTCCAGGCATGCTATCAGGACACCTCTGCCCAGTCTTGAGCAACTTGCGCAATTGCCTCCTTTCAAATCGACTTTCCGCGAGGTCGCAGGCCCAGTCGAGACTAGAGACTAGCCGTTTTGTTAACTCTGATTGCCAGGATCCCCGAAAGTCGTCCATCATGGTCCTGGCAAGGATAGGGTAGAAAGGCTAGGGTGATGAGCCATCCAAGCATTTCTGTGTCATGGGGTCTTTCCATGCCCTATGCAACTCTGACGTGGTCGAAGTATCCAAATCGAAGCGGTACATAGTATCTCGCTTTTGGAAATGAGGAAACTCCAACAAGAGTTCTCGTATCGGGCATGCGCCATCGATCTCTTGAATCCAGCATGGCATCCTCCGACCTCCATACTCCTGGACAGTGAATATCTTGCGGAATTCCGTGCCATTTTCTGTGCTCTTTTGGTCCCAAGTTGCAATACAGTGGTTGATCTCGACATCAAGATACTCCTCAATGTCAACACCAACCTGTTCCAACAAGTTTAGCCAGAGGCTGCATCGTTCCAGGGCCATTTGAGGCGACTCAGCATTGGAAATTATGCGGTGAACGGCACTGAACCCTTCATGTCTTCCTGTTAGCGGCTTATCCAGCCAGGTCGAGGTATGGATGTCGACACCATTTGACAGAACATCAGCAAGGACGGGAGCCCAGTCGTCCAGGAGGTCACATGGCCGCATACTGTACGATAGTTCAAACATACCGACAAGATATGAGTAAAGACGAAGGTTGAAGGGCCACCAATCGTCTGAAAAGCGCTGTTTGCAATACTCAACGAAAATCTTCAAATCGCGGGCCGAGCGAAGCTCATTGAGGGCTCTTAAAACCTCAAGAGGGGTCAATGAATCGCCTCGCATGTCAATGTAGTCAAACAGCAGCTGCTTCAGTCCAAATGAAGCTTCAGAACGAATAAGTGGAGGTCTCGGGGATATATGACTTGAGGTCCTACACTCGTCAGCCTGATGACCAGTAATGCAGTAAATCTACACGAACCTTTGCAGCGAATCTGAAAGTTGTTCAACCAGGAATTTGCAGACATTACTGGCACCATACAAGACAGAATACTTTCAAAGCATTAGCTACGGTATTTAGACACGCATACCTTCTAGTGTTTCTCTTACTCCGTAAAAAGTTGTCTCGTCATCGGCATCTCTGTAGAGACTCCACGCCATAGTGGAGAACGGGGTGAGTAAACCTTTACAGAAGTAATCCCTAACCGCTTCTGCGTCATCATAGAAAAGGGCACTGACTAGTCGATCACCAATTTCGCTCGATCCGGGGGCTGTGTCGATAACGTGTGGGAAGTGCAGGGAGGCGGACAAGGGAGAGAGTGACCCTCGCCGAACTGACAGTTTGAGGTACAGCTTCAATATCGGAACACCTATCAAGAAGGATAGATCTTCGTCAGTTTTCAGAGAGTCAGTCTCGCTAAATCCAGTAGTTGTCTTGAGAGTTCGCGTCGTTTGAAGATAACCGAGTGCGCTCCAACCCCATCGCCACTGTGTGATGAGAGTATCTGAGCTGTCTTTGTATGATGAGAATGTGCGATTTCGATTCGTAACAGAGACTGTTTCTGTCGATTGACCCTCTACTACCGAAGGAGCAGATATTAAAACATGGCCTCGCCTAGGCAGGACTGAAGGTCTCATGTTGGCAGCCCTACGAAGCCGCTAGATTAGCTCTGGCTCTTTGTTTGTGACAGATACTCACAAGAGATTGGTAGTCATGTGTAGTTGAAGTGAAGACAGAGATCGATCCAGATCATCATTACACTGTCGGATCCGGGCTCTGTGCTGCAGAACCAAGCTGCCAACCGTGGCCAAAGAGGCGCGCCCATTCTTCCGACGGGCCGTGACTTTGTGGACAGCATCATACGCAAGAGAGACTTTGTCGCGGCAGTCGCTGATAGCTTTGTACAATTTGTTCAAAAGCGTGGTCTCCCATGGGTTCCGGATTGCATCAAAGTTGGCTAGGACAACCTCGAGCGAGCGGCAGACCGCCTCAATGTCGTCGAGCTTGTCTGAGAGAACTGCGAGGTCTTTGGCGGCAGACTTGTAATCGGTAATCAGCTTCTTTATCGCTGTCGTGGTTTGCATCAGCTGCATCGCCAGCGACACCACGCCGAAGGCGAGAGAAGCGGGATCCATCCTGGGACGCAAGAGAGGATGAAGGATGCAGTAGGTAGAGAGTGAAATTCGAGTGTGAGGGGGGAAAGAAAGGCATACCAAGCTGTGAAAAACGCCTAGGCGGGGTAAACCACAACCTGCAGTTCAGCCTGCCTCCATCAGTCAGCCTGGAGCCTCATTTCTTGACACCGCACGCTTCATGCACGTTGACGTGGCTGAGTACCGGCCTCTGGCCATGCTCACTCATTGGAGCCGGGAGAAGAGTAAAAGTGTGCCAGCAAGGGCGCGTTTAGAAAACTGTTGAGCAGTGTAAAATGACTAATTGCCACGGTACCTATTAGAAGGTATCTCCTACTTTTGCCATATGGCATAGTGGTCTATTATGTATGACAAAAACCAATAGCACTCGGTATGGCACATTGAGAACAATACTAACGCACGCTGTTATTGGTAAGAAACAGCCGATCAAGACCACTAATGAATCTCAAATGCCTAAGGCCATCTGATTAGCGCCGTCGGGTGTCCTTGAGTTTCAGGCCAAAATACAAACTGAATGCATAGCCACACCTGCACGTTCGCACATCCAACCAGCATAAGCCCCGGTGATCTACCTGCCTATGGAGAGAAAATGGAGGTATTCGTTAAATGCATAATCAACTTCAGTATTACTCATACCGGATCCTTCGAGCAACATTAATGATATCCTTTACCAAGCGCCGACCTCACTCGATTTTGATCCCAGTTTCATCATTATCTTGCAGGAATCAACGGATGAGACACAATGTCGCCCATCAATCTCAAGGTTGAGGTCGACAACGCGCCCGATTTTGCCGACGACGTAGTCATCATTCTCAATTCAGTCCTTGCCGCACAGTCAACACCCGTCGAAGCCGCTAAGGCCTTGGACGCTCTTTGCACCGAAGAATCGGACCCGGCCACTTTCCTTGCACTTTTCTGGGAGTTATTTCATCCGCTCGCTCGCCAAATTCCCTATGATAGCCAAGGCCAGGACCTTTTAGCAGCGGTTGTTCAGGCCCTCGACGAGTTAGCTCCCAGGACAGTGACATTCAAAGCGGGATGGGGCGAAACTGCTGATCACGCTGGCCCTCTCTGGAAGAATCTGAGGGAGACTGTGGCTGCGCATTTTTACGATACCTTTGGTGACTGTAAGTTCTGTCCATCCACAAACAACACAGCTAACAGGGCCATCTGCAAGCTGATTTACCTGCTTCGGGCGAAGAATTCCGAAAGCAGCGGAAACTCAATCTCAACGCCTTTGCAGCAAGAGTTACATCACTACTCAATCTTTCCACCGAGATGTACTTCCTCTGGGCGATGGTCGACGGACTAGAAGGCACCATGACGTTTGTCTGGGGTGCACTAGATGTGATAAACGAGGACCCTGCCGCACTCGACGAGTATGATATCAAGGCTGCTGCGGCTTGGATGGTTCACGCAGCTCATGTCTTCTACGGACGAGATGAGGAGGTGCGTGGTGGGGGAGGCGGCCCGTTGTGGATGCTTCCCAAGAAAGAAGGATTGAGACTACGGCGCAAATACAAGGGAACAGATGGGCTTTGTCCTCTCAGGTGGCAATTATGGAAGGAAAGGCTCGCTGTGTTCCGAGATACCGAGGCTTTGGATGCACGCCTTCAAAAAGAAGCCGGAGATGCATATGCTGCCATGGAAGCCGCTGAGACATTGACGAAGCGCCAAGGCATGGGAACGGGTGAGGAGGAGAACGAGGGCTTGTGAATAACAGTGCATATATAGTTACAATCAGGTCATTATACATAGCAACCCAAGCCTTATATCGCGGGGCGTGGCAGAGTGCCTACAGGTTGTGACACTTGCCTAGGCAGGGGCAACTTATAAGTAAAGAGCAAGCCTAATATTACTAAAAAAATTAAACAAAGGTATTAATTATTAATATATCTTCTAAAAATTATTAAAAAACTATGAAAGAGGAACTTAGGGAGTGCTATCAAGCCAGGGAATACTCTTACCTAAGAGTATAAAATAACATAACGATATCTTAAAAATCCTTTAAAAAGAAAACAAAAAGAGGGCCCAGCCGGGATTTGAACCCGGGACCTTGTAAATTGTCTTTGAAAGAGAAGGGATTTCTCCCGAATCACAAATCCATGCAGGAACTGTTAGTTATGATTCTCGTGAGGTGTGAACATTTGACGTACTACCACTAGACCACTGGGCCTGGTGGCAGCGGGCACAACTTTTGCAGTATATAAACTGACCGAGCCTTAGCGCGCGCTAAACCTTAGTAACTGCGTTTATTCAGGAGTCTATTACTATTGCTCAAAGACAGCCGCAATCGCGGCGCACAAAACGAGCATAAGTTGACATTTCATTTAGCATGTGCGTCACATGAGCCTGTCGAGATGCGTGTACTGGCTTGGCCACTTTATCGTCGACAAGAATTTCCGCTGACCTTGGGTCAAACCGTCTTTGTTGAAGCACGTCGTTGAAGCTCCCAACGTGACTTTCAATGATCTCAGAGGCAACCCATAAGCCTTTTCAAGCTTTCCAAGGCGCACGTATATGTAACAAGCCCCCTGCTCTCTAGAAACCTATTTTGTACGTTCCTCTACAACACCTGCTGTCCGTCCATCCCGATGGTCAATAAATCTCAAATTCCTCGTTAACAGGTTGGGTGTCCAAAAACTCTCCGTGCATAATCCCATCGACATATGCATCTCCAACATAGGTAAACCCTCCGCCATCTCTCGGCCGTAAAATAATCGGCGACTGGACTCTCCAGAGCAAAGCAACCAAATCACCAGGTCGAACCATCTCATACCCAAGCCCAAGCATTTTCTTAGGTGTCTTGAAGAGAGTCCTATGGTGGTTGAACAGTCTCTCCTGATCTTGGAGTCTCTTGCGAGCATTAGCAAGCTGGGCTGAAACGTCATCGACCTTGGGCGGCTTGTTCCAGAAATCTCGCAGATCACGGATAAAGTTGGCCTGTTCTTTAGTCAACCTATCGGCGTCAATAGGACTCCGGCGCATGATCTTTCGGACCAAGGTTGCAATGTCTTTGCTCATGGAGGCGTTGATTCTCCGGTACCAATGGGGTGCAAGAAGAACTCGCCATATGTAGTCCTCTCCGGGGCCGATGTCAGGCCCAAGATTCATGAAATCGCAAATCGACTGTAGTCGAGAGTCTGAATTTGCGGGATCAAGGGCTGCACGGTCTTTTTCATAAGCCTCTTTGTGTGATTGCATGACTTCCGTGATGATATCAACCCGGCATCCATGGCGGCGAAGAATTCCGAGGCTGTCATCGGTGCTATTTCGAATAGCTGGAGGCACTGGAACTCCCCGAGTCGCGTCGAAATGTCTGGACATGTTGATTGCGTCTTCCGAGATTCCACTTTTCCCCATTTCTCGCCAGTCGGGGACCCAGGAAGGTAAGCCGTCAACACTCTCCTCTTTCGGAACGCAGCTGTCGAGCTTGTACGCTCCCCAGTACGTGCCATCGTTCTCTATAAACGCTCTCGTCGTGGCAGTAAACACTTCAGCCATGCTCGCTCTGTAGTCTACCTGGATACCCAGACGATCGTTGTCCGTAGTGACGCCCAGCAGCCCGAAGACAATATCTCTAGGGTCTGTAGCCGAGTAAAATGGACGATCTGGAGGGTCCATATGATGAAATAGCAGGCTGTCTAGTTGTATTTCGTTCCCACGAAGCTTCTGAGATCGCGTTTCCATAGCCAAGTTGTAAGAAAAGTTACTGTGTAAGCCCCTGCCAAAGTCTCTCGTTTCGGGGCTGTGATAACGATAACGAGCATAGCAATCATCGACGACGCTCAGTGTAGCTTCAAGGATACCCAACGGCATAGTTTTGGCGCCACAAACGATGGTAACCTCTTTTGCAAGAGCAACTTCTTGATTGATCCAGATCCGATGCCAGTATTCTCTTTCCATCAGACCTTGAATCCCAGCGGCAAGACCCTCGTCACCATGATTTTTGCCTCGTAGATCTGGCTCGTGGAGGATATCGTGTATCAAGTGAGCATATCCCAAGACATTGCCATCATTCCCTGTAGAACCCTTGTAGGAAGTTGGGTTATTGAGGTAAGCGATGACTCTTTCATCCGTGGGCAGCAAATCCAATCCCTCAAATCTCATGGCTATTGGGCCGATGCGAGAGATAAAGTCCATTGCTGCGCCACTCCCGATTGAGCCTGGACCTAACCAAGAGTACACGCGATCTGCATTGCTGAAGATCTCTCGCATCAGGCCAACTTGATAGCTCTTTTCATCGAGATCAGACTGCTGAATGCATATTGAGTCGATCCAGAGCCAGTCGTAAACGCCATTTTCTCGCAGTTGCTCAAGTCCAGCATGGAGATTGCGACCGATGTTAAGGGATGAGCCATTGGCACTAATTTTGATCGTGTCTGAGACGTCTCCCCAGACGTAGGATAGAGCTGCATAGCTGGTCTCGCTCATGGAGGCATGGCGCAGTTCGAGAGAAAGCTCAGGCTTAGAACTAGAATTTTCATGGAAACGAACGAGCCTGATTTCTGACTCATCTCGTGAAAGTTGATCGTAGATAAACATAATGCCGACTCGACAAGGCGATGTCATTTCAAGAGAAGGGTCAAGGTGGTGGCATGAGTTGATTCTGGTGCGCCAATTGTCTGTCGGGGGTAAGATAGGCAGCAATATGCACGTAAACCACATAATCGGGCCCGCCAAAGGATCCATACTAGGGTCCCTTGAATAGAGAACTATCGTATTATGACCTTATTAGAGGAGGTTCATAGTTGCTTTTTTATTGACGTTGACAAAAGAGTGATTTTAGACATATTCAAGATTTACATTCAGTACATACGGACTGACACGGGCACTGCATTCGTTTGGTCCTAGATAACCTGCTGTGAACTTCTTTCAGCAAGCAAAATCATGTAGCGCTAGAGGTCCCAGCTCATCAACAACCTCAGACGACAGGAACCAATGACATACACCTTATTCTCTATGATCCAAGATATTCAACGGCCTCAGGTTGTATTACTCCTCCTATGAGACCCAATAAACATAAAGCACGATTCTCCTCGTCTTAATCAGGTCAAGTTTCTTCGTTATCATTTATATCCAAGCTCATAATAAAGACCGTCCTGTTAGGAAAGGTGCGTGCAAGGGTTCCTCGAGTTTGTCAAAAGAATTCAACAATGTCTGTAGAAAAGAGTTGATTAAAAGATCGCATGGTTGCCTTAGCGGATATTCAAATATCTGCATGAAGTCCAAGCCACACACCCGTTATTAAATATTGCTGCATGAGGGGATGCCTGTCGCCCTGCGCCTCAACCTGCCTAAGCGTTGGGCCTTAAGATAAGCACTTTTCTTTAACATTTCAAACAACGCACTGGCATCGATGGCCGAGGTTGCAGGACTCGCACTCGGGGCCGTCGGGGTTGCAGGCCTCATCGGCGCTTTCAAGGACACTATTGACCTCTTCGGTCTCTTGGCCGATTCCCGTGGACTGGGCCGAGACTACGAAATCTTGCAGATCAAATTTGACATACAGAAGGCCCTTCTCCTTCAGTGGACTGATCGAGTAGGCCTCTTGCACGAATGCGACTACGACCCATGTCTCGATCAAGCTCACATCCAGGAAGCTATCGGTCAGATCCTAAGCTGTATTCGACTCTTGTTGACCGATGCTTCCGCTTTGAAAAGCAAGTATGGTCTCTCCCAGATGGATGATGAAGCACCTGTCTCGGAGATCACCTCCATTCCCTCAATCAGCGCTTGGCGTATGAGAGTGTTCAACAGCCAATACGAAGAGTTCAAGAGGAGAATCGCGCAGCGCAACGACAAGCCTTTTCGAACCAGGGCCCGCTGGGCTGTCCGTGACAAGCAAAAGTTTGAGGGCTTTGTCAGGGATCTGGCAGATTTCATCTCGAGCCTCGATAAGCTCACGCCTGTTACTCGTGGACAACCCTCTCTCCAGAACATGGCAGATGACGACGTAAAGACTATTCGCGGGCTGCCAGGCCTCAAGATGTTGCTTGAAGCGTCCCAAAACTCGCACAAACTCATTTCTGAGTCAACTCAGCGAAAAATATCTCGCACCTGCGAGGAGATGATACTCAGCCGACTCTGGTTCAGGAAGATCCATGACAGGAGGGAAGACGTGGCCGATGCACATCTTGATACCCTTCAGTGGGCTCTCTATCCACCCAAGGGTGAGGCTCGCTGGGATGATTTATCCCAGTGGCTCCGACAAGACTCCGAACATGGCATATACTGGATATCTGGCAAGGCTGGGAGCGGCAAGTCGACTCTTATGAAGTATCTTCATTCGCAAGAGCGCACCCGGAGACTTCTCCGAGAGTGGTCCGGTGCAAGTTCCTACACGCTGGTCGACTTTTTCTTCTTTAATCTCGGCACCCAGGAGCAAAAGTCTTTTGAAGGGCTATCACGGGCGCTTTTGTACCAAATCTTGAAGCCTAATCCGTCTCTCATCCACCAAGCGCTTCCGGACATGGTCAAAGAACTCAAAGAAACCGAAAATAGCCCGAGTTTGCCATCACTGTCGGAGATTCGATATGCTTTTCGGGTCCTCACCCGTGAATCTGCCATGGGCAAGTCCTTCATATTCATCGACGGGCTTGATGAGTTTGAGGGCAACATTCGGGAAAGCATTTCGCTAATTCAAGAGCTCGGTCGCTCGCGTCACATCAAAGTCCTCGTCTCGAGCCGGCCTATCCCGGCTTGTGTGGCTGCATACGAGAATCTTCCCAAGCTACACCTACAAGACCTCACACGGAAGGACATCAGGGCGTATGTGGAAGATGTGATCGGCAGCCACCAGTACATTAAGCGGCTTCTCAAACGATCTCCTGATGGAGTCAAGGGCATGATGGAGGACCTGGTCAACAAGTCATCTGGCGTGTTTCTCTGGGTCGTTCTGGCATGTCGATCACTTCTCTCTGGGTTTGAAGACTGTGATAGGTTACTAGAACTCCGCAGGAGAGTAGATGAACTACCGCCAGAGCTCGAAGACCTCTTCGATCTCATGCTCGCCAAAATCAACCAACGATATAAACATCAGGGGGCTTACTTGTTGCGGCTGTGCTACGAAAGCCAACGAGCTTCGAGAAATCCAGATTGCCCGGCGCTCTCAGACATGAGCACGCTCGCCCTTGCGCTCATTGACGACTCGGAAATTTCTACAAGTAACATCTGGGACCTCTCTACGCAGGAGAAGATAGATCTCTGTGCCATACTTGAAGGGCGGTTACGCAGTCGATGTGGTGGGCTTTTGGAGAAGCAGTCAAATCCGAACCATGCCGACGCTGACAATCCAGGGGCTTCAAGTGAAGATGATCTCCTCGTAGGTGGAAACGTTGTATTCATGCATCGCACCGTCTTTGAGTATCTGAGTGATGAGTCGGTATGGGAACGCGATTGCTTGAAGGCGAATTCTCATGGACGGACCGTGGCGAAAGATCTATCGACGAGAGACTTTTATCTTATGATTCTTTACGTTGATGAACTGAAATGGGAAGATGGCATAATTGCTGAAATAATCGAGGACAAGCTGGCCGAAGCTCTCCGCAGTGGCCTCTTCTGGGTTCAAATGGGCGACACCGGGTCTCAAATGTCCTTTTTCGGGCAGTTACCTCATCTCCTGAGCGAGCTAAATGCTTGCAGACACAAACTCAAAGACGGGGATCTCTCATTTCTCACTCAATCTTGCCCTCCGGTGCCGGATACCACAATGAAGAACTATCTGCACTCAACTCTCCTCCTAGCCGCTGATGTCGGTGCTCGAGAATACATGGTAAGGAATCCCGAGTTTTCGACGCTCAACGGTTCCAGAATGCCTGCATGCGGCTGTCCTCCGTTATTGTCGCTCGAATTCAAGCCGCTATTCCGCCTGGCTACAAGAAACCGTCCTTCGCCCAAAGGTGTCTCACTGCTTTTGAGGTCCGGGGCCAATCCTGGGCTTGGAGACAGGGTATTCACGCCCTGGCTCCTCTGGTTGCAAGATCCGTCGGGACTCACACGGGAGCTTTGGACGGACGATGAATTGGTCCGAGTCATGGACGTGGCCGAGACCATGACCAGATACGACGCTGGTGGAATCAGGGAGTTGAGGAGATGGTTGAACGAGTGTAACCATCAAGACTGGCCTGTCCGCGTGAGGCAGAGGGGAGATGAACTGCTTCAATTTCTGGAGGAGCATGAGAAGAGCGGTTCATATCTAACCAAGGACCATATTCTATATAGTGGCAGATAGCGGAACCTAGGAGTAGTCGGTCCTTTTTAACATTGCACGGTAGGGTCATTTCTTTATAAAACTAGCTCTTTATACACGATTTCTGGTTCACTGAAACTATCAGTGAAGATGGAACAAACCAAAGAGCATGGACCGGTTGACTCTAAGAGCTGTCGATGGGGAAAACCTATCACCCCTTAGGAACGACAGAAAGTACACTATCATCAAGGTCTGTCACATCTCAACCGCAGAGTGGTTTCTCTTTCTCATGCGCTTACACAGAAGCGTTTCAAGCGGCAGGAAGGGCACCTTTAAAGTCCTCCAGGAACCTCCACCGACTAGCATCCTTCCATCCCTTCTCCTTCCACTCATTGGCCTTCTTTGGGAAAAAGTCGATCACGTCCAAGAGGCCTCTGTCATGCGCGATTATAACAAACACATTCTCACTGGCGTCAAAACCGATCATCTTTTCGATAGTAGCCTCGGCTTCAGGAACATCACGACCGGTAGCGGACGCCAGTCGACCGTAATACGGTTCAGTGTTGCTGTGACTAGGGCGAATCGCCTCTAGAAGAGCACCTTGGCAGACGGTCCCCTCGGCGTGAGGTGGGATGGAGAATGGTGAAGGTGAGAGTTCTTTTGGTAGCGGGAGGTACTGGCTGGGTCTTAGAGAACCAGTGTGGTGGCAGCCGTCGCCGCCCATGAAGATGAATGTCGAGGGAGTGGTGCGGGCCAGGGCACAGAGGTGTCCAATTGCATGCTTAATGATGAGTGTCATGTCACGATTTCACTTGACGGGATAGAGTACTCACACCAGGAGAGTCGAGCAAGTAGAAACTGCCGTCACCAAAGTAGTCCATGGCGCGGAACTGTCCGATTATCAGTCCCGTTGAAAAGTCAATCTCGCGCAGATTGCGCCCCCTAGCGTGACGGTCAGTTAACAGAAGATGTCGCTGCCGTTATCCACCAACGTACGAATAGTCACTCTCCAGGATGAGGGCATTGGGGTTTGCAGGATAGCCAGGGAGAAGTTTCTCTTTAAACCCTGGACCAACTACAAGGTCCACTTCCGGAGGGAAGGTGGAGGGATCACCGCTGTGGTCACAATGCCAGTGACTGTATGTTTAGTGCTCGTTAGTGATGTCAATGAGAGTTAAGCTGTAATCCTTACCTCCAAATGATGGCCTCAATGTCTCCCGGGGCAATGCCTTCTTCTTCAAGAATTGTAGCAATTCCCTTTTCTGCACTCATATCCAAGCTTGACATCCCTTTGACAATGATAGGGGGAAAAGACTTGACATCGGGCCGAAGTCCCAGGTCAAATAGAACCTTTTTTCCAGTTGAGTGCTGAATGAGAAAGGAATACGCAGGGCATTCCAAGATCTCATGACCTTTGACGGGGTCTTTGATGAAGAATCCAGTGGGAACCTTGATACGAGCCGTGCTGTCAATGACAGAAACGTCTACAACGTGTTGGGAGGATGGGATGTTGAGTTCCGTCATGTTGCCAGTCAAGTTTACCACAAGGGGTGAGAAGATATGCTGTCTTGAAAGAAGGAGGAAGAGGAATAAGGTAGATAGGATGGACTACATATCGAGTCAAGACAAAGATGGATGCAGAGCACATACCATACTTATATATAGGCCTTGAGTCGTGACATCCGTTTTAAAATCCAAATTAATATTCTTTTCCGTTGATGCCTTGGCATGCGTACGCACTATGCTCAATCTGGCACTGCCACCGGTGACGGATATCTGAGTCTATCCACCATTTGAACCTCTTATCAGATGACGTCAACTCAATGATTGCGCCTGGCGTTGGCCGAGCCTCATGAAGCTCAACTGGCCGTGTGCGGGTACAGTGATCTCACCCAACCTTTAACGTTAGAACACGGTCATTAACACCTTGAGCACTCGTAGAAGCCGTTGGTTAAAATCTTTGTACAGTAGCAAAATTCCGGTACGGGACAGCAGTCAAGCTTTCATTTTTTACTCTTTTTTTTACAGCATGCACCGACTGAAGGGCTAAACCGGGGCATCGGAAGATTGGGTAAACCGAGTCCGACTCGTGACTCCGACAATGGCGAGACGGAGGGAGGGCTAACTCCGCTCCGTAATGCAGCCGGCCTGATTAACTATGCGAATTCCGGTCTTGGAAGCCCTGTAGGAAGTCATGGTATCCCTCTTCAAACATACAGATTGACGGCAGTTGCAACTGTGGACCATAAGGTTTCGGAATTTAAGAGAGTCAGGGATGGCCTAGGAAGGCCTAGAACTTTTACCAATCTATTTCATATGCCGTAAGCAAAAGGTTAACGAATACAAGGCCTATAGTGTTATTCTCCCATCAATATTTTAATCCTTAATTCCATTATCGCCGAACCCGTTAGTCTATCTGTGCTAAATGAAAATGGTCGAGTGGCAAACGACGTAAGTTCACCAATCGGTCGCCGCCAAATTGCCATCGACTGGTAGTACTGAGAATTTGGAAAATTTTGTCATATTCTTCTCATCACATGTTAGTCTTGAATAGTGTCAAATCACACTTATAGGCAATTCCAAGCATTCTACTTGAATGTATACAACCATGCACGTTGCTGCTCTGGACTTGTTTCCATCCATATTCGAAGGCAGCACTCGTAAAGCACCTGTCGAGAAATTTCTTACCTCACAGTTGAGAATACTCTTTATTTCAAGGGGCAGCATTTCTTGGAAAATGTAACAGTTGTGAGGATACAGATCTTGCCGCGTGAAAGGGTTAAATGAGCGGCTTGATTCTCTGCCGGACCATTGTACAAATGCGGCGTGCATTAAATCATAGGCCTGGAAAACAAGATACTAGACCGGAGTCGGCATGATTCCGGACACTTTTTCTCAATGGATGATTGCCCTGTGCAGAATTAAAGTTTGATATTCGTATAGCTCACGAGGGCCTATCGGACTTAAGACTAGTATACCATGCAGGTGCATGCCAATGCCGACGCCACAGCTTCCGGAGAGAATATTTAAATTCCCAGCAAGATGACGTTGTGGGTTACAGTCATTCCAAGAATACTACTGCACTACCAGTAGCAAGCACTCGAGAGCATCTTCAACAACCACCTCACAATGACCCCTTTTAGCCAGCCTTCAGTTCCCCCTCTGCCCTCTGGCATCGACCTTTCAGGCAAGACCGCTATCGTGACGGGCGCTACAGCAGGAATTGGACTAGAAATATGTCGCCAGCTTCTCAACCACAAGCTATCCACTCTCATCATGGCTGTACGAAACGTATCAAAGGGCGAGACAACGCGACAAGCCCTTCTCTCTGACCCAGCCGTCAAATCTTCCGGCCACAAGGCCACTGTCAAGGTCATGGAACTGAACACGGAGAATTACTCTAGTGTGCAGAACTTTGCGTCAGCGTTCATATCCTCATTCCAGGATCTACACCTGGTAATGGCAAATGCGGGAATCGGCACATTACACAAGGAGCTCGCAATCTCGGGGCACGAGAAGAACATGCAGGTCAACTATCTCTCCAATGTCGCTCTCACACTCGCTCTTCTTCCCATTCTCGAAGCCACAGCGACAAGGACTAGGGCACCAACAAGGGTCACTTGGACTGGCAGTCGACAGTACGCTCTGACTCCTTTGGCTGGCAAGATTCCTCTCGGGAAGGATGAACAGGTCCTCAAGCACATTGACACCTATGATGGGATCGACACACTCGGGAGGTACGCTGACAGCAAGGTTCTCTGCGTGCTTTTCCAGCTCGAACTCGCCAAGCACTACAGTCCAGACAAGGTCATCATCAACAGCTTCTGCCCCGGTCTCGTCGACACGGGAATGACGGACGTACTCCCTTTTCACATCAGAGCTTTTATGAAGGTTGTGAAAGCATTGTCAGCACGGTCGCCCGAGAAAGCGGGTTGGATCGCCCTCAATGCGGCCGTGGTGGCTGGGGCCGAAACTCATGGGAAGCTGTTGGGAGACATGACCATAGACACGCCTTCTGACTTTGTGCAGAGCGACGAAGGACAGCGGATTGAAAAGATGTTGTGGAATGAAACTGTAAATGAGATGGGGGCCATTATGGCTGTTCCTGCTTGGATGAAGCAGTAGGGGGCATCGTATCTCTTGTATTTTAATTCCGTATTTGATGCGTATTGGAGATCTTTATTGCAATACCCGTTTCTCTATCATACTTATTGGGGGCCAAGTGATTCAAACGTTTAGGTGAACCTCATGACCACAATACCAGAGAGGTGGATGTCCATCCTGATTGTAACACGTTGGCGATCAGTTGGTCCACCGGTTTCTTGGTTCACTAAAATGATCCAGGTATTTTCAAGACCCGTGACAAGTGCCGTGGAGAATCATGCCAGACATGCCTATCTCCATGGCAAGCTAAAGCTGGGGCGGCAAAGAAGTTTGAACATCCCGGTACTAAGCGGTACCACATCCTCGGCATTTGCAAGAATCACCACAAGCCTACATGTACTGTCTACCCCAAGACAGATGAACGAGAATGCTGCTTGCGTTCAGCCGGGGGCGGGGAAACCCCCTGATTGCAGGCTCAGGTCCCATGGGGTGACTTTCGGACATCAAAGAGCCGATTTATCGTGTCGCGATACGATTATTTGGCCAAGAGCTAAGCTGTTCTTGACCTAGCCTCTGATTCCTTTGGGGCCTTGGGGACAAATGGAAGGGCAAGCACAGACAGGCAGAGGAAGCTCCGAGTCCGCGTCGCCAAACCAGGGCTTAGTTACCAGGTCCATGGTCCAGGAACCTGTGATATGCATGTGAGGCTCATGCGCTCCAATGCCAGTGTCCTTTGCACAGCGCCATCGCGGCTAATCTGAGATGCGGTTCAGCCGGGTGTCGTGTGGCGGCATTGAGTAAAATGAATAATTCACCCCATCTGTTGTGAAGTAGCGCACAAGGCAGCGGTGTAAGAGCAACAGGCCCTCACTCTATTAGAACCAGGGTTTGGATACTTTCCAAGGCTTGAGGTGTGCCTAATCTCCGCAAAGTCTCCTCATGCCATTGCGTGGCTCTTGGAGACTTGTACTCGTAGTTGGAGGGCGTGACCCCTGACCCTGGGGTTAGTTCTCAGCTGAACGCCCCAGCCAGCCACGACGACTCGGAACCTTGATTAGTCCTGGAGTTATCGGAGTTAGTAGCACTGATTGAGGGTGGTACTGAGTTTGCCCAAGCAAAAGTTAGTTGGCGATGTGCTCTCCATTTTGCATCAGGAGAGGACAGGCCAAGATGGGTTTGTTAGGTAAGATCAGCTTTTCTTTGAATGAGGACTCTGCCCCCAGAAATTCGCTCTCACAAGCATGTCTACACCGTTGAAGAAATGTGAAGCCCGATATCCTCTTGGAGCAGCTTTGCTTACTTGAGTCTCAAGAATTACGCTTCTCTGCTCGTGAATCCGCCTGCCTTGCTCAAAGTGGCCTCATAAGACCTAGACGGGTATTTAATAGTATAAACTCTCAAGGACACTACTCAAGTGTATTTTACTTTTCCTGGACTCTACGTGAACCTGATTTTTTAATCTCGAAATCCTCTGTTTCGACTTTAGGGTAAATCCTCAGCTAACGGTCCGTGTACTTTTACGGTACGAACTCAGGATACCGCCAATCAGAGGCTGACGTTTTCCAGGGACTAACTAACGTTAGACCTGGAGTTACCGTCAGAAAACGGTACTGAAGCGCTGTTATTGGTCACTCAATGAATACCCGTATTTAGACCTTCATTGCGACGAGAGGTCGAGCGCTGCAGGTGAGTCTTGAGCGGGTATTAGAAATGTTCTCAAATTGAAGAGACACAGAGCAGCGAAGCCTATGGGAGGCTCGATTATGCGCAGATACCTCTGAAAAGGGTATAGAAATGGACAAGTCGCTGCGGCAAAGACCTTGAGATGTGTGCCCTGTACATCTCGACCACCATTTGGCCAGGACACTACTCAAAGACTCCAAGCCGCGAGAATGGATGGACTAAAGTCTTGGTATTTCAGAGCTACTTACATGGCGCAAGTGCATTTATATGTGTCCATTCATTTCTCAATCGTGCAGGATTCCACCGCCAGCTGTCCTCCCAAAGCCTTTGTCGCAAAGTTAAACACACCAAAACGATAGCCAATCCAACCATCACCCGCATTGACGAGGGTAAAATCAGAGCCTAGACGTGAAAAGCTGGCTCCGTCGAAACTATGCTCGAATGTAGCTTCTCTGGGCTCTTTCTCATATCCGTCAACGCATGCGGCTGCGATATTGACGTGGATTCGCAACCATACTCGTTGCTGCGCCAATGGTACCTCTGCTTTGACATAACCCTTTGAAGTGACTCCCCAATCCCCTGCAACTGGTCGACCGTCCAGCCAGTTGACCAACTCTCCGACAGGTCCAAGTGTCAGATCGTCAACGTACACCAACTTCGCCTCGTCGCCGTCTTTATGAATGCCGATATAAGCGCTGTGATCGCGAAAGATTGATGCTCCTGCTCTGTCTCCATCCTTGAGTTTGGACCAGTTGACACAAAGGGTGGCCGTGCTCCTTGGTCCCAGAGTCCGATGGGTGAGGGTGTTGGGCGCCAGATAGAGGCAGTCGGTGACCGCGGCAGTTTCGAGAATCAACCGATTGCCTTGGATGCTCCACTTGGAGTTGTCAGGGCTTTGGTTCCATTCCCAGCAATGTTCCAGTTCGTTGCCGTTGAAGGAATGCTCTCTCCAGCATGTCTTGGGCTTCTCGGCGCGGCAGTGCTCAACAGCAGGGGGGTATTCCACCCGCCATTGTCCGTGCTCATCAGGATAATCGGCCACAATACTTGGCCACCCCTCGGTGTCGAACTCGACAGGTGCCAAAACTGGGATGCGTCCAGCGGGGAAAGCATCGATAAAGGCCATATAGTACCACTTGCCATCCGCCGTTTCTACCAGACCTCCCTGGTGTGGCGGTCCGGCACCCGGAATCGGGGCCCGAATGCTGCCAACGACGTTGCGGCACTCATAGGGCCCGAGGGGTCCCGACTCAGACTTGAGAACGTATTGTCCAGCCCAAGGCTTTGTCAGCCAGATGTAGTATTTTCCCTTGATGTTGTACATTCGAGCACCTTCAAGAAAATGCTCCGACTCATGCACGGGCTGGGACCATCTAAGTCAGCCACTATTTCTTCTGGAACTTAAAGGTTGGTACTTACTTGAGTTGAAACTTGCTTGAGTCCGTCAGGGGATAGTTTGGCAACGTGAATTGTCTTTGTTCCATAGGCCATGTAAAAAGAGTCATCCTCGTCAATGAGTACACCGCAGTCGTAGTAGTAGTGCTCAATAGGAGGATGCGCGGTCCATGGGCCACTATGGTTCTTGGCCGTGTAGATGAAAGTCTCATTGGTGCCTTGAATAGCGCCATACCAGTAAAACAAACCGTTGCTCTTTCGGTACTTGAGAGTCGACGCCCAGACGCCCTTGATGTAGCCGAGAGCATTCTTGCCATCGAGTCGGAACTTGGGGCTAAGGGCAGCCAGGTCTGGGACCGAATGGCCGATGTATTCCCAGTCTACAAGATTGTATGACCGCAGAAGTGGTGCACCGGGTGAAAAGTGAAAAGACGATGCGCTCATGTAGTAGACGTCGTCGACGCGGATGACTTCCATATCTGGCAAGTCTTCCCAAAGAATGGGATTGACACAGGCAGGGGACGTCTCATTGGCCATGATTGGAGAGAGAATCGTGAGCAAGGGGTCTGGACTGGGCTGAATAGGTAAAACTGTGAGTGTAAAATCTCGGCCACTGAATAATGAACGGCGTGACGGCTTTTGTGCACACGCCGAACTGAGTTGCCACTCGTGCAACTCTGCCAAATCGCAGCGAACACTGTTTAGGCTAATGTCAATTTGTCGTATTGAATACGTTTAATTCGGTCGACACCAACCCCGACCCCCCATGGGGTCATGATGCAGATCCACGTCCTACCCCATCTTTCTGCTCCACTTGAATAAGCTCGCCACTGTCAAAGCATACGAGTTTAACGTGACAGAGTCATGTGGAGGGTGTTGTTGGGATCTAGGCTCGAGCTAGAAGTCGTTACTGGCATGGATGCCGTGCTCCCGTTATGAACTGTTGGTAAATGATTCGGGTTATCAGAGAACGAGACTGGATCTCGTTACCTAGGTTATGGACGTGCTAAGGACACTGGAACAGGCTTCAAAGTCCACTGTCACTCCTCTATAAAAGCATTCAACGGCCTCTTGGCCTAGTATTTCCCCATTGTCTCATCAAAGGTCCCAGTTCCCCAGATTGACCACTTCAACAACCATACTTTTCCCCAATCCAAGATGGCGCCCAAGCTTACATCTGAGAGTGCGGGAGGAACGACCCACTATACCGACTTGAGCAGTGTCCTGCCGCAACGAACGCAACCATGGTGGAAAAACTCACATCTCGTCAAGCTCAACCTTTTGCTCACGGTTCCCATGATGACGGGATACCTGATCGGATTCGACTCGAGCATGATGAACGGGTTGCAATCTGTCCCAGTTTGGATCTCTGGTGAGTTCAAATCGTGATGTTGTGGATGAAACTGACATTCGTAGACTTTGACAACCCTACCGGGGCTCGCCTCGGCGTCCTCAACACCATGCAGATTATTGGCGCAGTTGTGTGCTTGCCAATTGTCCCTACTTCGCTGATCGCTTTGGTCGCCGGCTTCCTGTGTTTGTTGGCTCGTGTTTGCCCTTTTGGGAACAGCTCTGCAGACGGCCGCTTTTTCGTGGGCTTTGGCACCGGAATGGTTGGAGTCGCCTCCAACCCGCTCATGGCAGAGCTTTCATATCCTACGCATCGACCGTTCATCACTTCATTTGCATCCACAACCTGGGTATTACAACCCCCCCTTTAAGAGCGAATGGCACTAACAACCACATCTAGTTCCTCGGAGCAATTGTTGCAGCCTGGAGCACCTACGACACTTTCAAAATGAGCAACAGCTGGAGCTGGAAGATTCCTTCGCTACTGCAGTGTATCCCTTCACTCTACCAGCTGTGCTTCATTTACTTTGTGCCGGAATCACCTCGATGGCTGGTCAGCCACGGAAAGCTAGAAGAAGCCCGAACGGTTTTGAACAGATACCATGCTGGTGAGAATACGGACGCAGACGTTTCGCCACTTGTGCGATATGAAATGGCAGAGATTGAAGCAGCCATTGAGCTTGAGAAGCTCCAAAACACAAAGTCGTACCTCGACTTTTTCTCAACCAGTAAGTGTCAGACTTTACTCTAGGCGAGACAGAGCAGGCGCTGACAAGAACATTAGAGGGAAACCGCTGGCGTCTTGCTATTGCCATCATCCTTGGTCTCTCTGCTCAGTGGTCCGGTAACGGTCTCATCTCCTACTATCTCGTGATCGTCCTCAGAAGCATCGGCATTGAGGATCCCGAGCGCCAGAACTTGATTAATAGCGGTCTCACTATCTTTTGCTACGGTATTATAAGACGAAACTTAAGCGATATATAACCTACTATAGATCGCTACTTTTAAGGCCTTTTTACTTATTAGCTTAGCTTTAGCTTAGCTATTTATTAGCCCCCCTTAGCCCCTTATTATCCCTTATTAGCTTTAATTACCCCTCTAGCTAAGTAGAGCCTATTAGTTACTCTTAATCTTATTTCTAGGCTATTAATCTCTAGGTTTTATTACTCTTTTTAGCTCTTATAGGTATTATAATATCTTAACTAAGATTAATTTTAAATCCTCTTTTAAAATTAAGATTTTAGTTTTTAATCCTTAATAAAAGTCTTAAAATTTAATTATAATTAAATCCTTTTATATCTAGAAATAATATATTTTAATATAAGATATCTTACTCTTAGGACTTAATTATATTAGAAGAATAAGTAATTTATATAGACGTATATAATATCTTTTCTTTTATTTATATTTATAATAATTATAGAATTCCTAAGAGATAAATTAATTAAATTAGGTTTATATTAATAAAGAAATATATTATATAACCTTAAAAAGTAATATAAGTTATATTTAGTAATATATTTAAAAGTATTAAATATAACTAAGTTATATTAATAGCTAAAGTAATTAATATATAAGAAAATATAATAAATATATTTTATATATATAAGGTTTTTCTTAGGATTAAATCTCTAAATATTTAATCTAAGGTAAGACCTTAAGGATTAAACTTTAATTCTATTAGTCTTAGAATATAAGACTAAATAAGCTTCCCTTAGTCTTACCTTAATAATTATTTTATTAGGCTTCCCTGCCTATAATCTATTATAGCTATAATATAAGGTTTTATTTTTATTAATTTTATTTTTAAGATTATTTTTTATAGCTAAGTCTATTTAATAAGTAATTTTAATTTATAATTATTTTTTATATTAATATAATATTAAATTAAGTTTATAAAAATATATTTTTTTATAAATTCTTTAAGGTAAATAATCTTTTAGCTTATATTAAAGTTTTTAATTTTAAAATTATATTTTATCTTTATTATTTTTATTAAGGCCTTCTTTATAAGATAATTTTTAAGTATTTAAATTATTATTTTAATTATAAACATATAAGAGTTATATATAATAGGACTAATATAGCTTTTTTTTATATATTTCTTATTAATTTAATTTTTATTTTATATTTCTAGCTAATAATTAATAATAATAAAAATATTTAAAAATATAAGTATTTAAAAAGTAAAAAAGCTAAGGTAAAAGCTACTTTAAAGGTAATTATAGCTAAGTTAGCTTATATTTATTAATAAAAATATCTTTTAAAGGCATAAAGGGATAAGGCCTTTAAATATAGCTTTTATACCTTAGATAAATTAAAAGAGCTTTATAAGAAATCTTTTATTATAATAAAGATATATTTTATTAAGGCTATTAATTTAATTAATTAAATTATTATTAATCTTAATAAGCTTATATTTAATATTATTAATAAAATTTCTTTAAAAAGTATTATATATTAATAAGATATTTTAAGGGTTTTTATATTATGACCCAATAGGCCTCACATCACGTGGGAACAAAGCCCCATAAGTTCCCTTCTATACTAACCTATCATAAGGTCACTTACTATTCTAAATATAAGCCTTACTCTTTAGATCGTAAGCCTCACGGTTCAAATCATAAGGCACCTAAACTACATAAAGTATATAAAATATACTTATTACACTTTCTTATATAATAGCTACCTTAGTTATTAATATTACTTAGTTATACTTAATACCCTTAAGCATATTACTAGACGTAATATTATACTATCCTTTAAGGTTACATAATATTCTCCTCTACTAATATAAACCCAATATAACTAATTTATCCCTTAGGAAATATCCTCTTATTATATATTAATAGCTCTTATTCAGCGGATTACTTATATTACCTTAAATAATATTAAACGCAATAGCTACTTAGGCTACTCCTAGTAATAACTACTAGTAGGTTCTACCTACTAACTACTTACCTGCCCCTATCGCACTAGTTTAGGCTAATCCTAATAGCGATAAAGAAATAAATAGCGATGATAAAGAAATTAAGTAACTCTATGCCTAGGTTATTATTATAATTACTAAAATAAAAGAACTTAGAGGACTTATTAATCACATAGCTATTATTTAGTAAATTTAAAACTAATAATACTATAAGAATATCTAGAATATTAATAATATAATAATTATTATTATAAAGAGTAAAGATATTAGAGAAATCCTAAGGCTAGAATAATTAGAGAAGTTTAATAATACCGCATATAAATTACTAATATTCCTTATATAACTACGCGTATTTATACTCTATTACCCTATATAATTTACTATAATATCTAGTAAGGTTTAATATATTATAAGACGCCTTATTAAGCACGCTATAGCTTAGTTTAAACTTATTATAAAAGAATACCTTATTAAACTACTTAATAAATACTTACTATAAACTATAAACCTCTACTTTAGCTTTAAAGCCTTTAAAGCTACGCTTTAATAAGCTTTTAGAATAATAGATAAAAAGGCCTAGGTAGAAAGAGAAATTAAGGCATTCTAATAAACCTATTCTATATTAGAATATAGCACTAAGTACCTTTAGCTCGCCTCGAAGCTTAATTAAGACTAAGAACTATTAATATCCTTTTTCTTTAATAGACTTAAGAAAGAGGTATAAGCCGAACTCTATAAAGAAGACTAGCCTAATAACCTTATTAATTATATTAGCTAAGTAATTAAGATTAATAACTAATAATTCTCTTAGAAGAAACTCTAAAACCCCTATAATAATAAAGAAAACTATTAAAAGCCTCGGTTTAATATTAACTAAGGGCAATATTAATAAAATAATATATCTTATAAAACCTATATAAGACCTATAAAACTTAAAGTAACCTAATAGAAAAAACGCGACTATTATAGACTTAAATACTAATATTACTATAAGATAAACCATATCGAGAAGATCTACTATAAGAAGTAGCGTAATATTAAGGAAGGCCGCTACTAGCTATAGCGGCTCCCTAAAGGCAAAAAGTAGGTAAGATTTATATAAGCTAATAATAAACTATAGATAGCTCTTTAGATAACTAAAATACTTAGCATAGCTTAGACTAGGTATAATAATACCGGTCTAGAGCTAGGGGAAGTTACTATGCCCTATGGCTAGGTATACCTTACTAAGGAATAATTTAGGCATAATAATTACCCCTAGCCAAAACTATAGTATACTATGATAAAACCCTTAAAGATAGAATAATTCTATCTTATAGATAGATTAAAATAAAAACTACTCCCCGAACTAATTAATAAACCTAATAAGGACCCTAATATAAAAACTATTATAGTTATATAATATAAGAAATCTACTAAGATAAAAGATAATTAAATGCTATTATCTCTAGCCCCGAAGGAATAAACTAATTACTAAGAAGCCGCTATAGAAAGGTTTAATTATAAAAAATAGATTATAGGGTATAATAAAAATAATAAATCCTAGATACCCGCCGCGGTCTATTAAAGGGATTACTAATAAAATAACCCTATATAATGCGATTATACCTTATGCCCTTAATACTAAATTAAGGCATTATAAGAATATAATAAGATCTATAAATAATAAAAGGCAAATTAATATAGTAGATTATTATATAATAATTAGATTATAAAAATAATAAGTAGTAATTTAACCTAGGCATAAATTATAAATATTATAAACCCTTAGGAGTATTAATAAGAAGAACTTATATAAATAGGAAAAGGAATATAGAAAACTAATAAAGAATTATAAGAGAAAGACCCTTACTTATGATTATATAACTAAGATAATAACTAATATTAAAATAGTATATAGGAATAATATATCTAAATAGCACGAGAATATATAAATACTATTAATAAATAAGAAATTTATATTCGCGCCTATTATAGAGAATTAATAAAAAACCCTAGATATCTAGAAATACTTTTTAACCTATGAGATAATATATAAATATACCTAATATACTAAGAATATATTAATATCTTATAGATATCCTACTAATAATATTAATATGAGACCTATCGAAAAGAAAAATAAGAATAAGACTATTTCCCTATTATATTATTATAATAACCTAATAAAAACCTATATCTATAATATAAGATAAAAGGATATTAAATTTTCTATTAATATAAATCTATTAGCATAGCCTATATATAATATAATAATAACTTCTATTATATTATTTAGGAGTAAAAATGGGTTACCTATAAAATCAAAGACTAGTAAAAGCAAATTAACTAATAAAAGTAAAAAGACCTAGGAGCCTAAAAAGAAAAAAGCTACTAAGAGTATCTATATAGTTAGATTAATAACTATAACTATAAAGTATATAATAAGAGTAAATATAAATATGATTACTATAGCTATGCTCTCTATAGGTTAAAAAACTAAATATCCCGTCTAATATAGGGCAATAAATAAATAAGCAAAGGAATAAACTACCCCGGAAGGCCCTATACTTTATAAATAAAAGATATAGGTAATAATACCTAGAATTAAAAATATAAATTAAAAGAGAATAATTAAATACTTTAATAGATAATAGAGCTAAGTAGAATTACTTTAAGCTAATAATAATAAATAAGCTTAAGCTACTATAAAGGCATAAATGCAAGCCCTATATAGTATATAACCTCGAAAGAATACCTTTTAATTATAATAATAGATTTATTAACTATAAGATTAATTACCTTAAGGTTTTTATTAAAGAAAAGAACTAAGGAATCTTATTTAATATTATATTAAATTAGAGCTATAATCTTATGCTTAGGTACCTATAGTTATAACGCTTTAACTTATATTTTAACTAAAGAATTAACTAAATAATCTCTTATAATACTAAGATATCTTCTATATTAGATAATAACTTAGAATAGAGATCTTAAA